AAACAGTTGAAAACACACATATTTTCAATTACTTATTTTCCTTAAGCTTGTTTCCCGGACCTCCTCCTACCCCCCTTTTTTGTATTCCGCTTCGATTTATTGGTTCAGCAAATCCTTTCCATTAGATTTTAACCCATTTATACCCCTTTTTTTCATATTCTCTTAAAGCATTACAGCTAGAAACCGCTTAATTACTATCCAACATCATTCTATCATTCATTAATTTTACAATATTTCTGTAAATAGTCTTTAAATTTCTTCCAATCTTCTTCCACCGACTCTTCCCCCTGGTCTCGGATTCTGCCAGTCATTTCTGCCAATTCCATATAGTCCATCACCTTCATCTGCCATTCTTCCAGAGTGGGTATGAATATAAGCCACACCTTTAAATTTCAAAGGGGGGAAAGGGGAAAAAAAGACAATACCCAAATATAAGCCGTTCCCTTAAAATTCCGCAGGAACTCACACCCGTTCCGTTTTACTGTATGTCTGTTTCAGCAGCGATAGCCTAAAAGCCCATTTTTGTAAGGTCGCGAATTTAAGCTGCACTTTTAACTTTTCATGATCAGAATTGGGGAGGGGAAGCTTATATTCATGCCAGTACGATAAGTCGTAAAGAGGGAGGTGGGGATTTGATTCTGTTCGCATTTTGTGATGTATTTATTCAATTTGCCCTTCTTGAAACTAGATAAGAAGCGAAACACTACCATCCTCCAAAACTTGCGCTTATCCAAACTTTGCGATGCCATTCTCCACCCAAATCAAAGGCCTGCATTTGTGGGAAATTGTATACAGAAATGAACACGTCAGAAATACATTACGCTGGGAGAAATTTATTGCAAAAAAACCCCAACAAACCGTGCAGATGAGTCAAAACTGCATAGGAGAAACGCCGAATGATTTTCAGGAGGATTTTAAAAACAAACTGCTGCAGAAATGTGGAGAAATGAATTTAAGACTGGCAAAAGGAGAAACAGAGAGAGAACTGAAAATGGCAGATTTTCCATCTCTACTCATCAGCATTTCTGGGTTGCTGGCACAACCTGCCTTAGGTTGATCCTACAAATACAGTGGTACCTCAGGTTAAGAACTTAATTCGTTCTGGAGGTCCGTTCTTACCCTGAAACTATTCTTAACCTAAAGCACCACTTTAGCTAATGGGGCCTCCTGCTGCCGCTGCACCGCTGCTGCGTGATTTCTGTTCTCATCCTGAAGCAAAGTTCTTAACCCGAGGTACTATTTCTGGGTTAGCGGAGTCTGTAACCTGAAGCATCTGTAACCTGAAGCATTTGTAACCCGAGGTACCCCTGTACAGGGGTAGAGAGGGAGGCAGTTTGACTTTGCAGTGGTTCCCAGCAAAATAAGTCGTCGCTACTCCCCAAGCGTATTGTTGTAGATTTGGGGTGGGGGTAGGACCCCCAAAAGGGGTGGTGGTGCTGTGGGTAAAACCTCAGTGCCTAGGACTTGCTGATCGTATGGTCAGCGGTTCGAATCCCCGCGGCGGGGTGAGCTCCCGTTGTTCGGTCCCAGCTCCTGCCCACCTAGCAGTTCGAAAGCACTCTTAAGTGCAAGTAGATAAATAGGTAAACGGCAGGAAGGTAAACGGCGTTTCCATGTGCTGCGCTGGTGCTGGCTCGCCAGAGCAGCTTCGTCACGCTGGCCACGTGACCCGGAAGTGTCTTCGGACGGCGCCGGCTCACGGCCTCTAGAGCGAGATGAGCGCGCAACCCTAGAGTCGGACATGGGCAGGGGTACCTTTACCTAGGACCCCCAAAACCATGGAGATTAATAAATGGTACAATTTTATTTGGGATGTGAAGGGAGAAATACAAGCTGCAGAGGAATTCTTGGGCTAGCCTATGCAAAATGCCCTGGCCAAGCTAGTGCCATCAAGAAACAATTGAGGGCCATTGGGAATGCAAGAGAGCTGTCCTCCCCCGCTTGCCTTGACGTGTGAACTGAGACGGGGGGGGGGGTTCGGACGGTTGCCAGGGTAACTGGGTGTGAGGTGACAGGAAAAGAGTTTCTGGAGCAAGGTGTTCTGGAAAGGAGGAAGAAAGACTGGGGGCTCAACACATCAGTTAAAAAAACCCCAAGAGCTTTGAATGCGTTATAAACATGCAACACCAGAGGGCGCTGGAGAGCAAAGAAAATCTCTTGGCGGTTTTACATAGCGTTGTTTTTTTCTCTTTTGTTATAATGATTTCATTTCTGACTTTCTTTCCCTGTGTGTAGATCCACCCTTAGATCCACTCATAGCTGTCAACTTTTCCCTTTTCTTGCAAGGAATCCTATTCGGAATAAGGGAATTTCCCTTTAAAAAAGGGAAACGTTGACAGCTATGGATCCACTTTGGGCAGGCTGGCTGCAGGGCTGACTGGGAGAGAAGCCTTGGACTCCAGGGCTGCCCTGCTGTGGGGGACCAGCGCCTCTCGAAATAACCATGATGTAAGATCTGGACTCCCTCCATGCAGCCTGAAGGTGTAAACAGGCGAATAAACCATATTCCTTAAAACTACGACAGTCCCCGCCGTGTCTAAATTCTCCAAAGGAACACAGACCCCCTTGGAATTTTGCTGCCACCCAGCAGGGAGTGTGGGCAGCACCCAACTTTTGTAACAGTATGGAATCCATTTGCACTGTAAGTTAGGAATGCGCAGTATCTGAACTTGGCGGAGGCCCAGCCCAAGACCTCTTTTCAGAAATTTAAAACAGACGGTTTTAGAAATGAAAGTAAGGCTATATATAGAGACTCGGAGGTGGAGACATAGGGCAAGAGAGTCTCTTTGAACAGGGCACCGGAGGAAACAATGATCTAATGACGGGTTCCCTGAGAATACGTTCCTGCGTGACATACAAGGATTTGACTTTTTGCTCCACGCTGCCTTTAGATCAGAACGGGGGCGGGAGGAGGGGAGGGGAGGGCGGGAAGCCCTGAATCGCTCTGTGTTTCTGCACGCCCCGTCGCAGGCATGAAAACAAGTCTTGGAAGACGACTGACATTGCTTTCTGCGCTTTGTCTGGGCAGACTCAAAGGGCGCCTCCTGATTCTTGCTATTTATGGGTGGGAATCAACCGCACGTTGGCAGAACCAGAGGGTTTCGGGGCTTTTGTGCATCTAATATACTTCCCCACAAAACCGGTCTTTTGGCAGTAACTAAAGGGATGAGGGATTGCCACACACACAAATCAGAATCAAAGCTCAGCAGAGAGCCAATGTTGTACAATCTCCCCGTAAACTTCATGCAAACAAATCCTGATGGATGCTCAATAAACCATCCATCTTGGAAAACACCATAGGTGACTTTAATATTAATAAATGTCATCCATGGTTCCTTTAATGTCAACTTTAGCCCCAATAATTCCTGCCTCCATGCTGAGTAATACAGTGGTACATCAGGTTAAGTACTTAATTCGTTCCGGAGGTCCGTACTTAACCTGAAACTGTTCTTAACCTGAAGCACCACTTTAGCTAATGGGGCCTCCCGCTGCTGCCGTGCTGCCGGAGCACGATTTCTGTTCTCATCCTGAAGCAAAGTTCTTAACCTGAAGCACTATTTCTGGGTTAGCAGAATCTGTAACCTGAAGCGTATGTAACCTGAAGCGTATGTAACCTGAAGCGTATGTAACCCGAGGTACCACTGTAGGAAGTTCTTCCATCCGTGTCCATATGAGATCACATTAAAATATTCAATTTCTAAATGTTCCACAATTCTTTTCTTGCTATATATCCTTGAATTCGCACCCAGTTCAGCATCATCTGGAGGGCCAAAGGTCCCCCATCTCTGGACTGTGATCTGGAAGACCAGCATCCAAATCTCGACTTAGAGATGAAGCTCATTGTGTAGCCTTAGGCCAATCGCTGCTCACATCCAAACCATCCATTTAAAGCGCATGGCGTCCTCCCCAAAGAATGCTGGGAACTGTAGTTTTGTCAAGGGTGATGGAATTCTAGCTCTGTGCGGGGCAAACTACAGCCCCCAGAACTCTTTGAGGGAAGCAATGCACTTTAAATGTATGTTGTGGATATAACCACCGTCCCTCAACCTAACCTACCTCACAGGATTGTTGAGAGGATGAAAATGGGAGCGAAAAAACCACAAACACTGCCTTGATCTCCTTGGAAGAAAGGAGGGGTAGAAATGTGATAATACAACAAAGGACTCGGCTATAAAGCTGCAAATGTAACATTTTAAGTATGTTTTGAGTGTATTATACAAATGCTTTCTTCTTTCTTTCGCCAACTCTCATAGCCGAGTAAGATTGTCTTCCATGTAAACGGTCTTAACAGTGAGTCCGTAAGTGACTGTGGAGGCCAATGCTGGATCCACACGTCCTTCCATAGTGGGGACAGAGGTTTCCGGGTGGGAGTTGATCACGGTGAGGGTTTGCCAAACGTTATACAAATGTGACACTAGATGGTGATGGTGAGTTAATGGCAAATTCAATATACAGTGGTACCTCGGTTTTTGAACGTAATCCATTCCGGAAGACCGTTCGAGTTCCGAAACGTTCAAAAACCGAGGCGCAAAGGGCAGCCTGCAAATGTAATAGAGAAAAATGAGAAAAACACAGTGGTACATCAGCAGAAGCCGTTCAACTTCCGAGGTGCGTTCGAAAATGAAAGAATTTACTTTTGGGTTTACAGCATCGAGTTCTGAAACTTTCGTCAATTGAGATGTTCAAAAACGAGGAACCACTGTATATTTTTTAAACTCTGTTTAAAAATGCATTTTCACAGCATTTTTTAAGTATGTGTCTAGATTCCACCAAAATAACTAAATAAAAAAATGAAGCTGGGACTTCAAAAGTCTGCATCGCACAGGCTTTCCTTAAGCAAAGAGCCCTGAAGTTGAGGCAGCAGGTGGGCTTGCCAGGACAGAAAGGTGAGCCCCAGTGCCCAATTCTTTCCCAGGATGCATCGCGTGCACTGTAGGTCCTCCCACAGCAAGAGACCCCTGCTTCACGTTTCCCCCCCGAGCAACAAAAACCTGCGACCCTTTTTCACTGATTTGGTTTCTCTTATGCTTTATTGCTATCCAATTTCTTCTCTTTTTTTCCTTTGTCAAGCTGGCTAACCAAACAAACAAAGAAAAAAAATAGCAATGAAACGAGCAGAACGTTCTCCCATCATTTGCAAACCTTTTATGTCAGAGCAGAGGTCGTAGGGAAAGCTCAGGTGTAGCCGACCAGGCGAGGGGTGCTGGGGAAGGTCTTCCTCATCCCCATGCACTTCTCCTTGTCGATGAAAAGGGAGTTGGCCTTCACAAGAAGGTCGTGCTCCAGCTTGGACTTGTTGAGGATGAGCAACTGGAGGGTGTCGTGAGCCTCGCGCAGGCGCAGCTTCAGGGTCTGCAACGTGTCGTCGATGGTGAAAACCTCGTTCACCAGCCTGAAATGGGGGTGGGGTTGGGGGGACACAGATACTCTGTTAACGGAGAAATCTGAGGGCTCCCTTGGACAAAAAAACAAGGACACCAGCCAGGAATACTAGAGCAAAACAGCAGCCAGTAGGCTTGGTCTTTACTGAAGACTGTTGCCACAGGACTCCCACCTGCCACCAGGTGGAACAAGATGGAAGCCCCGAACAAAAGAGAACCCAAACTTTTATTAGCCGCTAATCCCCATGTTACACCCCCCCAAAACTACATCACTAATACATCACGGTTACATCATGAAAGGGTCTGGTGGCAGTAATGTGAGCATCCTGGACCCTGCCCCATGGTTCTCCTTGCCCTCCACCAAACACCCATCAAGTGTAACAAAAGAGATCTTTACATTTCCCTGTTTCCCAAACAAGTTAAAGGTAAAGGTAAAGGTAAAGGGACCCCTGACCGTTAGGTCCAGTTGTGGCCGACTCTGGGGTTGCGGCGCTCATCTTGCTTTATTGGCTAAGGGAGCCAGCGTACAGCTTCCAGGTCATGTGGCCAGCATGACTAAGCCGCTTCTGGCGAACCAGAGCAGTGCACGGAAACACCATATACCTTCCCGCCGGAGCGGTACCTATTGATCTACTTGCCCTTTGACGTGCTTTCGAACTGCTAGGTTGGCAGGAGCAGGGACCGAGCAACGGGAGCTCACCCCGTCGCAGGGATTCAAACTGCCGACCTTCTGATCAGCAAGTCCTAGGCTCTGTGGTTTAACCCACAGCACCACCCACGTCCCTTCCCAACCAAGTTAATCACACCCTTTTGTCTTCATCTGGGTTTGTTATCTCTGGAATGGCTACCTATCTAGCACTCAGGTATCAGGATGCCAGGAATGATCACTGAGGCAGAGGAGCTGCTGAGTAGCTGAGCTGACATGTCTATATGAATTTCTGAAGTTTTCCCAGTGAGCCAGTACATAGATACATCTATCAGTGAATTGTTAAATTTGGTATCGTGCAGCAAAGGGCCTTTGAATAGATAGGAAGAAACTCTGATGAAGTGTTTTGTGAGGACAAGTCACAAAAGTGATTGTGCTGATATTGGTAGTGGGCTGCATGTGCATGATATCTGCTGTAGGGGCAACCCCCCCCCCAACCTATACATAAATTCTTGCAACAGTCAGAACCTCAGAAACATTTGTGGGGGAAGCGGTTTGCAAATCATTGAAGGAAGGGATGAATAAACAGAACACCAGCTTCCGCCTAGAGGTAGCATCATCAACCCAGAATAATAATCAGTGCCGGATTTACGTATAAGCGAAACAAGCTATATAGCTTAGGGCCCCAATCTCTTGGGGGCCCCCCTATAAATTTAAAGGGGAAAAAAGAATTGGACGTACATTTCCAAAATATAAGATAAAAAACAAATAAAACAAAACCGACATACAGCAACAGTGTTTTGTGTTGTGTAGGCCCCTATGATGTAAGGCCTGCTAGTCTGCTCCCTGAAAGATCACTGGTTTGCTCCTTTCTAGATATAGGGTGCCTACATTCTGCATGGACTGGTTGCATGACAACATAGAGCATGCAGCTGCAGACTGCAGGGCAGCACAGTTGAATGCAGGTCAAGCTGTTGTACCTGCTGTCTAATATTAAAGAGTGTGGGAGTCATAAAGCCACGGCAAAGGCTTGTAATATTGCAGGGTGCCCCCTGACCTCGGCTGACCAGCACTCTGAGCTTCAGTCTCATAATCTGAAGGTCGTGAGTTCGAGCCTCTCACGGGGCACCACTTGTCGGAGCCAGCCGTTACAAATGGCGCAGTTTAGCATAAAATAAAGACACAGAGAGCCAGCAATATTTTCAGGATGGTATGAGCAGCTCCTTTCGAACTTCCCTCTCCTCCTGTAGCTTTTTTATTATCCTTTGTCTCTCTCCAGCCGCATGGCCGTTTGCCAATGTCTCACGTTACCTCATCCGGTCAAGGCTTTAACCCACCCACAAACCATATAAGGTCATCACTGCCCAGAGGAAATACAACTCCATTTAAGGTCAACACATTCCAATACATTGTAAAGCTCAGAGTGCTGGTCAGCCGAGGTCAGGGGGCACCCTGCAATATTACAAGCCTTTGCCGTGGCTTTATGACTCCCACAAAGAGTGCTTGTAGACTGATGATCAGGCAGCGTAGACTAAGGGCATGAGTCTTATGCCTGCTGATTGATTTCATGTAATACATAATTTTTTTATTTTGACCCCGTTATAAAACAGCTGGACATATAAAGGGCCCCCATTACCTTCAGTAGCTTAGGGCCTCATCAAACCTAAATCAGGCCCCAATTATTGTTGTTGTTGTTATTATTATTATTATTATTATTATTATTATTATTATTATTTTATACCCTGCCCATCTGGGTTTCCCTAGTCACTCTGGGCCGCTCCCAACAGAATATTAAAAACACGATAAAACATCAAAGGCAGACTGTGTTGCCAGATCAGAGCCCTGCAGCCCTTCACTATAAATAATAACAGAACTTCCAAGTGTCCCTATTTTCCAGGGACAGTCTCAGATTTACAGAAGCCATTTCTGATTTGATCCCGGAATGTCCCGCTTTTCCTTAGGACGTCCCTATTTTCATCAGAGAAACGTTGTAGTGTGTGGAGTTGTGCGACTCCCGAGTCAAGGAGATAAGTTACTGTACAACCTTTAAAAGACATCTGAACGCAGCCCTGTACAGGGGAGTTTTAAAAAATGTTTAATGTTTTATTATGTTTTTATATATGTTGGAAGCTGCCCGGAGTGGCTGGGGCAATCCAGTCAGGTGGGTGGGGTATGAATAGTAAAATCACCACCACAACAACAACCAGTGCTTTTTTAAGGGGAAAAGGTATCAGTATTCACCATGTAGTGGTTCCAGTAAGTGCCGCACTTTTAACGTTTGGGGAGGAAAAAGGTGCTGGTACTGCGTACTCTTGAATACCCCCAGAAAAAAAAGCACTATTGATGATGATTGAATAGGATGCCCCTATTTTCGTCAGAGAAACCTTGGAGGATATAGAATGATGAGGTAATGTCATACCTTGGTTTTCGAACAGTTTAGTTCTCGAAGGTTTTGGCTCCCAAACGCCGCAAACCCGGAAGTGAGTGTTCCAGTTTGCGAACTATTTTTGGAAGCCGAACGTCCAGCGGGCTTCCGATTGGCTGCAGGAGCTTCCTGCAGCCAATCAGAAGCCACGCTTTCATTTCTGCATGTTTTGGAAGTGGAACGGACTTCCGGAACGGATTCCATTCGACTTCCGAGGTACCACTGTAATTATAATAAGCCACCCATCTGATTGGGTTGCCCCAGCCATGCTGGGCGGCTTCCAACAGATATAAAAGGACTGTAAGATCTTTTTATATCTGTTGGAAGCCACAAATGGGTGCCATACAATTATTATTATTATTATTATTATTATTATTATTATTATTTCTGAAACCCTGGAGAGCTTCTGCCAGTCAGTGTAGACAACACTGAACTAGCTGGACCAAAGCTCAATATAACAAGCCTGCTTGCTGTGTTCCTATTGTGTGCGGGTGTGACACTCCTTTTCTTCTCTCTCTCTCTTTTTTGTCCCTGCTCTTGCAGAGGACGGAGCAGATTCCGTGTTTGCAAGCTCTGCTATAAAACCCCTTTGATGCTTAGCCAGATCCTGTAAAACGCTTTGTGCTGCTGGAGATGTTATCACTCCCACCCACTGAGGCTCATACAGGTGCACTAGGAAAAGATGAGTCAACCCTTTTTTCTTTTCGGAGGGGGAGGGCGGCTTCGAAAAAAACGATTTCGGCAAACAGCTTCTCCGACCCTTAACACGATCACCGCCAGCGCCTGGTGTCAAAACATCCTGTGTCTCCCAACTTTATGAGAAGGGAAAACAGGGTGGGGAGGCGCACCGGGCCTCTTTGTGGTTAGAGAAAAAACAAAGAGCAATGGAACAGAAGCCTTGCAGAAACATAGGGCATGGTTAGCCAACATGGTGCCCTCCATCTGTCACTGGATTCCAACTCCCATCAGCTCCAACCAGCATGGTCAATGGTCAGGGATGATGGGAGATACAGTCTACAACAGTCACAGCCATGCCAAAGTGGAGGAATTCTCCCACAACAAAGAATCCTGGGAACTGTAGTTTCCTGAGGGTGCCCCTGGGAACCGTAGTTCTGTGAGGAGCAAAGTATAGTCCACAACACTATTCTATGATGCTATGAAATGCACAGAGGAACACTCATGGTGCCATTGGGGCAGTCGTACACGATCACCCCTTCAGTACTATTTATTTATATTTATTGATAAAGATCTTTATATACCTCTATGTCATGAAAAATGTATCTAGGCAGTTTACAGCAATCGTAAAATTATACAATAAACATCATAAAGAAGGTTTAAAGCAGGCATTAATTAGCCATTGTGAAAGGGTGTATTCTTAATTGCCTGCACTGGCCTGGCAGAATATAAAAGCTCTCAGCAGGCGTTTAAAAGTTGGCAGAGAAGGCCAACTTCTGCACCTGCAAAAGTTTGGAGCAATCACACGACTTCATTTCAACTTCTGCTGAAGTCCCATAACTTTTAATTCTGCAAATATTCTGGTTTATTCATGTTCCACTTTTGTTACGCTATAGCTCATCCAGACAGTAATAATGTACTTGCATTGTGGAAGCATCGCGTAACAAACATAAAGCAGAATAAATCCAGCATTATTATTGGGCCCATCCACACGCCCTTTTATCCCATGATTTCTTAGCCAGGGGTTCAAGTTCTTCTTTCTTTTGGTCCTGCCACTTTCCCTGGGGAAACCCATGGCTTACTGCTGAATTGGAACAAATCGGGTTTCCTGCATATTGGCATTTGTTCCAATTCAGCCATAAACCACGGGAAAGCTGTGGGACAAAAATAACTCCTCTCGGACAAGAAATCACAGGACAAACAGCAGTGTAGACGGGCCCATTGCGTCAAAAGCATCTTGCATAATACTCCTGCAATAAAGCAGTTGGGTGACGGTGTCCTTAAAGGTAAAGGGACCCCTGACCATTAGGTCCAGTCGTGACCGACTCTGGGGTTGCGCGCTCATCTCGCTCTATAGGCCGAGGGAGCCGGCGTACAGCTTCCGGGTCATGTGGCCAGCATGACTAAGCCGCTTCTGGCGAACCAGAGCAGCACACGGAAATGCCGTTTACCTTCCCGCCGGAGCGGTACCTATTTACCTACTTGCACTTTGACGTGCTTTTGATCTGCTAGGTTGGCAGGAGCAGGGACCGGGCAACGGGAGCTCACCCCGTCGCAGGGATTTGAACCGCTGACCTTCTAATCGGCAAGCCCTAGGCTCTGTGGTTTAACGCACAGCGCCACCCTTTAGTCATGTAAAAAGATGTCTAGGAGACTTGGCTAGGGACCACCAACTGGTTTGACCACTTCTACCGGTACTGTGTTTCTCAAACATGGGTCCCTAGCTATTACTGGACTACAGTTTCCCATCATCCCTGACCACAGATCCTGCTAGCTAGGGATAATAGGAGTTGTCGTCCCACAAAAGGTGGAGGAGACCCAAGTGTGAGAAACGCTGATTGCAGAATTCCATCTTGCAGAAATAGAAAGCGACGGGAGCTCAAAGATGGCATCCAAACCAACTCCCCGAATCCTGTAGCACTAATAATCCTTGATGCGTTCTGCATCAACAGCAAATAGATCTGGAATGTGATAGACCTTCAGGCAGCAATATCTGGAGGGTGGGAGATGAGGGGGGGGCTCACTCACTTGTACTGGGGTACGTCCCGGCACAACTCCATATTTGGCCGCCATGTTCGGGCTTCAAGGCGTGTCTGGGCTACCTTGAGTGGGCTCTCCTTAGCCATTATGGCTCTTTCCAGCAACATTATTGTATTTTCTGTCTGAAAGATTTCTTGCAGTGTCTGAAAGGAGAAAGAGGAGAAGAAAATGGTATGGTTGTTGTTAAGTTGTGGGTGAACATATCAGACGACACAGCGATTCTTCAAACAGCTCTTGTTTATTCACAGGCCAGAACAGAACTGAACTGAAGGGTTCAGCCAGCCTGCTTATATAGAGCTCCACTACAACGCAACAGTAACAACTTTCTGTAACTATCCAATCACTGGACGTCACTTTCAATTCCTTATTTGCATATGTGGACCTGAGTGAAAACTATCTACAGTATCCGCCTGCTGGCCCAGGGTGAGAACTTCAGTACATAAGTTGTTGTTTTTCCCCTACAGTGCTTGCTGCCTCCTTGACTGATGCGACTTTTGCCACTGTCCTCTGGTGTTCAGGGAATCTGATCCCTCCCACAGTGGCAGCCAAGAAGCAGATAAACGAGAAGAGTTCTTACCAAGTGTTTTATTCAATATTCACAGAGAGACGTAGAAATGCCATCTCTTTTAGACAATGGCGTTGCTCCAAGTAAAGTCCCACCCCCTCCATCTCTCCTATTCTACATCATCCCTGCGTCGGTTGATCTGTGCTTTCTGCCTCTTGAGTTTTCTGTTCTCCTACTCTCAATGCCCGCCGGTCCTGGGAGGGCGGGGTCAGGAATGCTCTCCAAGGACACTGAATCTGTCGCTGCCTCTCCCCCGGTGCTTCTTCTTCCTCCTGCCCCTCTCCCAATATTTCCCAGCTTCTCCTCTCTGCAGCCTCTGAGCTTTGACCTTCTGCAAACCACTGTTGTTGTTGTTGTTGTTGTTGTTGTTTTAGAGCACAAATTTTATTAATTTAATAGACTACCAGCTTTTAGTACAGTTCCATGCAGTGGCTTCAATTTAGGTGTACAGCAACAGACAATGTCATAAAGAACAAAGTTTAGTCAGTTAAAGGGAAAGATTGCAGAGGAGGGTTGTGGGGTTTTTTGCAAGAGTAAGAAGAAAGCAAGATGAACTAGGGAATGTATCAAGTTTTGTTTAAATCACAGTTCTCCAGAGCTTTTGCTTTAGTTTAAACAAAACTTATGCAACCATACATTGTGACATTATGTTAGGGAAAATAGGGGGAAACACTATGGAAAACATTTGTTGAGAATTCTGACTGGAATGCAAACCACTGCTGTAAATCTACTGTATTGTTCGCTCCATAAGACGTACTTTCCCCCTCTTAAAATCTAAGGGGAAATGTCTGTGCGTCTTATGGAGCGAATGTGTGGTCCCTGGGGCTGGGGGTGGGGGACCTGGGCTTCCCCTGCCAGCCCCGACCTGCTCTTTGAGGCTGGGAGTGGGGGAAACCCGGGCTTCCCCCGCCAGCCCCACAAGCTCCTGAGCAGCTCTGGGGTAACCTGCAACCCGCCTTCAACCCGCTGCCCTGGGGAGGCTTCGCGCGGCTATCCCTGGCTTTTGCGGGAGGTGGGGCAAGGGACAGAGCGAGGCTCTCTCACTTCCCCCACCTCCCTCAAAAGCCCCCAAGAGCAGCTATTTTTTTTTCTTGAACCCCCCCCCCCAAAAAAGTAGGTGCGCCTTATGGTCAGGTGCGCCTTATGGAGCGAAAAATACGGTATACTGTCCTCCTCTTCTTGGGAAGGTTCAGGGGAAGGGGTGGGGCTGTCTCCACCATTCCTCCTCAGTCCAGTCCCTGACATCTGGGCCCATTCAAATGGAAAGTATTTCCTTCTCAGGGCTTCTTTGGAAAGAAATGTGCCTGGGGGAATGGGGGTGGGAGAATACAGTGGTACCTTGGTTCTTGGAGGGCTTAGTTGTCAAACAAATTGGCTCTCGAACACTGCAAACCCGGAAGTAAGTGTTCTGGTTTGCGAGCGTTTTTTGGAAGCCGAACGTCCAACGCGGTTTCTGCTTGAGTGCAGGAAGCTCCTACAGCCAATCAGAAGCTGCGCCTTGGTTTTTTAATGGTTTCGGGAGTCGAATGGACTCCCGGAACGGATTAAGATCGAGAACCAAGGTACAGTCATACCTCGAGTTGAATGTGCTTCGGGTTGAGCCTGTTTGAGTTGTGCTCTGTGGCAACCCGGAAGTAACAGAGCGTGTTACTTCCGGGTTTCGCCGCTCACGCATGCGCAGACACTCAAAATGACATCATGCGCATGCGCGGAAGCAGCGAAACGCGACCCATGCAAGCACAGACGCGCCGTCGCATCTTGCGTTCCGTTCGGGATGCGAACGGGGCTCCGGAATGGATCCCGTTCGCATCCCGAGGTACCACTGTACTACTGTACATCGGAATGGGAAATCTGTGTGGATCTTTTTAGGAAGGATCTGCCAATGAGTTGGCAACAACCACGGCAACATTAATCAAACCCTCCAGCTTTTAGTTAAGTTTTATGGTTTTAGCTCCATTGTTTAAGATGTTTTTAAACGTTCTACGGCTTAGGCTTACTGCTGCACCACACTCCCCACCTTATTTTACTTAATGGTCAACGCCACTGCAAAATTCGGGGAAATACAAGTTTCAAAAGGCAGCTGTGTTTTGGTTCAAACTCAGGCAAGTTTGGCAGATTTGACATTAGATGTGAACCACATCAAATCTCTCCCCCATCCCTAATTCAGAATCTCACACATGTCCACCTTTTGGGCCCTCTGGCAAAGGGCCAATTTGTTCCCCTGGGGCTTCTGCAAGAGACCTTCCTGCCAGATGGTGCCCCCAGAGGAAGAGGATAACTGATAACGCAGGCAGGAATCTCCTCCCTTGGCAGCCTCCGAAACAAAATATTGTTCGAACCTTTAAGTGAACTCCCAAACCAAACACTGCCTCGTCTTTTTAACCCACAACTAGGAGCTTAATAGTATGTTTGGTTTTAAGGTCATCCTGCCTTCCTGGCTGCTGTCTCCTGTCTTCTTCCTTTCCCCCCGCTTTAAAAGTATAATTAAGAAGCTGGAAGAAGCTGGGAGAGGGACAGGGGCTTGTCTCTACAGAGCAACTACTTTTCACACCCGGCAGAAACTTGCTACAAGTGGCTTTGGATCGCACACTGCAATGTACACCTTGGTCCAGATTAAACTCGCATCACTTGAAAGGACTTGAACGGATTGGTGGGGAAAGTCACCAGATTGTATTGCACCAAACTACATCATTATGTGGCTATATTCCAAGAATTAGGAAGCAAATCTCTCTCTCTCTCTCTCTCTCTCTCTCTCTCTCACAAGCACACACTCCAGAGGCTGGGTGGAGGTCAGTTCATATATATAGCTGCCAAACCGTACACCCATCTTTTGCAGAGAATAAAGTACAAGTCTGCCCTCTGGCATCCTTCACCATTTGTGCAAATCTCCACCACCACACCTCCATCGTAGGCAGGGACAAAGCACGCCTTGCACTCAATTTTTATGGTAATGCCCCTCGTTTTAAAATATTCTGCAATGGGTGAGTGCAGCACATTTCATTAAGGTGTGCACCCAGGATATTTTACTTATTTATTTTATTTCAATGAAGGAAGAAGGGAGGTCGGAAAATGACAAGACGAGCAAGAAAGAGGTGGGGGGCAACGACAAACAAAGCAACCAGAACAAGAGGGGTCGAGAAGCCAAAACAGGAGATTTTAAACTTCAGAGAAAAATAGCTGTGCCAAGATTTCCAGAGGCAGGGCAGATCTGGAGAAGGCTGAGGGTGCAATGCCTCTTCCTCCTCCTCCTCCTCCTTCTCGTCTTTGCTTGTGCATCTCAAAAGCAACTTCTCGCCCCCAAATATCTCTCTCCACAAACAGTGGCCAAAGGAGCTCAGATGGAGTCAGAGCCATGAGGCAGAGAGAGGTGCAGGCAGAAGAAAAAGGCTGGAATGGATCTGTAGCTTCTGCCTGTGGAGAAGGCAGACACCTCCTTCCTTTCTGCCTGCCACTGCTGGAGCCGCCAGTCACCCCACCCCACCACTGTTTTCAGAAGCTCTCTCTCTCTCTCTCTCTCTCTCTCTCTCTCTCTCGCTCTCGTTCTGTTGTTCCCCACCTCCTGTACACAAGTATTCACCTTATACAAAATTCCACATGGAGCAAGAACTGCGGCGTCATGCATACATAAAAGGGGTGCGTCTCAGTGTGAATAAGGAACCACCTAGCAAATCTGGCATTCAAATTGGGTGGCTAAAATGTGTCAAGTGGTATTCAAGATGAGGGAGGTTAAAGAATGCTGCAAGTGTTGGCTCTCCCACTCCCGACAATCCCTGGCGTCGTTGTTTCAACTGTGCTATTTTTTGTTAATTGTTTTTAAGAGAACAATGACTGTAGCAACTGTAAAATTAAAAACAAAACACATAAATATATCCGCCAGTGTTACAGAGTGCATGCATCTTGCTTGGTGACTCTATAGATTGTCTCATTAAATGGGCTTGTTATGCATAAAAGATCATCTTCGTATTCGCGGCATACAGATTGCAGAGGCAATTTGCGCCAAAGTGTCTCTCCTGAATGGCACCTGTGGCGCTTTGACTCTGAATTCATGCTTTCTCACTTCCAGTTGATCTAGTTATCAATTTCATCGAGATGCATTTAATTTTTTGCACCATGTTTGCAGGGAGGTTACACAGCATCCACAGTTTCTGAGGCATTTGTCCTGATTTGTTTGAACCCTCTCCCTCCTGTGCACAAAAACTTTCTTTAAAATGGGAAGGGGTTTTTTTTAATGGGGAGAGATGCTCATTAAATATAGGTATTAAGAGTCAATATTGGGTGACACAAGATTATCAAAGATCTGGAAACCGAGCCTTATGACATTATACTAGAGAGTGCTGGGTATGTTTAGCCTGGAAAAGAGAAGACTGAGAGGTGACATGATAGCTATCTTCAAATATATAAAGAGCTATCACAGGGAAGGTGGAGCAAGTCTATTTCCCCCCCTTTTTTTAACTTCTGTTGATAAATGCAATACTTACAAACACAAACCAGAACACTAAACAAACTTATTATACATAGATACATACACCTCTCAACTTAGGTTACAAAAAAATAAAACAAACATACAAACTAAACATACAGACATAAATTTTGACTTCCCTCCACCTATATGTGGCTTCCTTTGTTTCTTTTCTTCTTTTCGCTGTGTTATCAATATTATTTTTGACTATCTCATCTCATACCCATTTCTTCTTAATTTTTTACTCTATAAGTTTCATTCATTGCAAGTCTATTTTCTGTTGGCCTGGGCAGTAGGAACTGAACCAATGGAGTCAAATCAAAAGGAAGAAGATTCTGACTAATCATTAGGAAGAACTTTCTGATAGTTAAGAGCCATTTGACAGTGGAACGGGTACTCTCAGAAGGTGGTAGGCTCTCCTTTCTTGGAGGTTTTTAAGCAGAGGATGATGGGATCTGTCAGGGATGCTTTAGCTGAGATTCCTGCATTGCAGAGGGTGGAAATAGATGACCGCTGGGGTCCCTTCCAACTCCACAGTCCTATGCTTCTATAATGCTGTGTCTTTGCCTTGGAGCAACAGCATCAGAATCATGGCCAATATTGAACAAGTTTTACTGTAACACTGTCATAATTCACTGAGCCTGGACATTTCGGTTGGTTAGAAGCATGGTGCCGATAATGTCAAGGATGCAAGTTCGATCCCCGTAAGAATCAGCTGAATTTTCCTGCATTTGGGGGGGGGGGGTTGCTCTAGATGAGCCCCAGGGTCTCTTCCAATTCTTTTTTTAAAATTAAATTTATTTATTTGTTTTTTCAAATTAAAGTTTTACAATCACATAGCCAACATACATCATAAAAATAAGTTTCCAAACAAACTCCTGAACTTCCCTCTTTCCCTTTGTGGGTCCTATTGTTAGTCATTTCCTCCTGCATCTTTTATAAAAATCCAAATCTTTTACATCTCCATTATATCCAAAATTCACCATTAAACTACAAGTGTAATTCCAACCCTAGTAACAATTTTAACTGTTTACAATGATTTTTAAGATAAATGATAAATTTCCCCCATTCCTTATTAAAATTTTGGTCTTCCTGATTTCTGATTCTTCCGGTCATTTTGGCCATTTCGGCATAATCCGTCAACTTAATCTGCCATTCTTCTCTGGTCTTTATCTTCTTTCCATCTCTGGGCCATCTCATACATAAATAATCTTTTCTGCTCCATTGAGATTTCGATACATTGGGATTTTCAGGTCCCTTCCAATTCTGTGTGCCTCCTCTCCCATACTGAGAGCAAAGACGGAGAAGAGAAAATGATTGCCAGACCTCCTTTTCATGTCATGCCCAACCTTAGTGGGGCTTGCCACGTATCCCGTGCTCATGTCTTTATGACTGCCCATTGTTGGGTCTTGTCCGGGTTCTGTGGCATGGTGACATCACAGCGCAGCTTGGGTGGTCTACACATCCCTGAGCTGAGGAATCCACAAGGCCAGCTCACTCGACTGAATGGACGGCACCCACTCTGCCAAACGTAGCAGCCTTCAAAAGTTATCATCTAGGACAGCTGCCCCCCTCTGCAAGATGGCAGGAGAATCCTTGCTCATGGCCCTCGAGGGTTTTTTGGGCGGCCCTCCCCAGCCTCCGCGATGCCTTCCCAAAGCCCGGTAAGTGAGTCTTAGAGTCTTCCCTCCTCCTTCCCAAAACCTAGTTAGAGTTTGCCCAGCTAGGGGAAAGAGGTGAGAGAGCTCTCTTCTTCTTCTTCTTCTTCTTCTTCTTCTTCTTCTTCTTCTTCTTCCTCCTCCTCCTGCTCCTCCTCCTCTTCTCCTATCACTCGTAGCCAAGTAAGATTGTCTTCCATGAACACGGACTTAACGGTGAGTCCGTAAGTGACTGTGGAGGCCAATTCTGGACCCACACGTCCTTCCACAGTGGGGACATAGATTTCTGGGTAGGAATTGATCACGGTGAGGGTTTGCCAAGTGTGCTTTCCACTTAGCACGTTTCTCCCTTGTGTCCTGAGTTTGAGCGTCTTCAAAGCCCATGACACCTTTGGTAAAGGCTGTTCTCCAATTGGAGCGCTCGCAGGCCAGTTGTCAGCATTTATACTACATTTTTACAGGAGGTGTGTTTATACAGCTAGGGAAAAGAGGTGGGAGAGCTCTAGGACCACCAAAACAAAGGATCTTAGCAGCTTGGCAGTTTCGTATTGGGAAATATTGGCGATATTCACTGGTTTGGTTTCCATTCTGGACCCAGGAGGAAGGAGGGAACATGGGCAATTTCCACTCCTGCCTCCATTTCCACCTGAAGTCTTTTCCATCCCCAGCACTCAGCAGAGCAGTCTCTGCCTAACCCGCCCAGCCTCTTGAAGACCAGAGCCCTCCTACCTTGGCCAGCTGTGCCTGCAGCTGGTTCTTGGAGTCCGCTATTTCCGAAATGCGGGCGTCGAAGGCCAAATTCGTGTTTGTCCACTGCCTCCACATATCGTCGGAAGTGGTTTCCAGGGTGTGGTCCGCTTCGCTGCAGAGGGTGGCTGTATTGGCCCGTGCGTTCTGTGAATACCGGATGTTGTCATCGCTAAACTTGGCCCACGTTTCGGGGACCGTCACTCTGCAAGGTATAAGAATCCGGGTTACTGCTAAAAACCAGCATGATGTCCTGTGTTACAGGGTGCTGTGGGACACTTTGCAAAATAAATTGCGTACTTTTTTCTTTTTTTTAAAAAAAAAGAAATTTATATATCCACGACATCACGGCACCATACAATTTGTAATTATACAAAAGGATTTTGCATACAAATTTCTGCATGTTCAAAGGCCAAATTCACAAACACACCAAGTGGAAGCAAAATGTTGTGGCCTCCCCCCTCTGAAGCTTTGCTTTGTACAATAGGTACAACTGCTCATCTTTGGAAATCCAGGAAGTTTACTTTCTGTTTATTAGGATTGCTTTCACACCTGGATTTTAAGAGGTGTGGGCTCGGTGTCTGTCATATACCCAGCATGCTCAATAACCCACTCTAGTAATGGCTATTATAAGCAGAGTGCCCCAGACTTACGTTCCATCTATTTTTTCCACTCCGTGGTAGAAATTGATGCTGTCGGACGTGTTCCTCAGGTTATAGCACTTCTCATCGATGAAATGGGCCGAGTTCTTGTCTCCAAGGTCCCTCTCGAGAGCATGTTGGGCATCTCTGTTAACACTGTGTAGGAGGACGAGGATTTCTGTTATAGCAGCATATTTACAATTTTAAAGCCTTTTGCAGGTGACAATGGGCAAGAAAGAAGAAGTCTTGGAAATTCCATTTCCATATTCAAAAACCGTGAAAACAAGCTGTGGATTTCGGCCTAAAATATGAGCGGAATGACACCAGTGCCTTTTACCAGGCAGAAGCTGAACAGGTAAGGAAGACTCACCAATATTATTGCCAGTAAATGCCTTACCTGTTGGATTTCTGCCTGCTGTGAAGTTATAGAAACCCCATCGCGGGGTGGGGTTCAAGGAAAACCCAGTAGCACCAGCAATTATGCTGCTTCTTTTTTTAGCAGCAGGGAAACTTTTGCCGTTCCTCCCTTTGAGAGCTGGGTGTGACTTCCTGGGTAGTGTTGTGAATTCTGGGTCCATTCCAGATGGCTGGGCAACCCAGGAAGGTTAAAGGGCTTTTGTTGTTGAGAACTGCCAAGAGAACTGATGGCCATCCTTTGGAGAACTACACACTAAAAGAGGATTTCTCGAGGCAAAGGCTGCTGAGTTCTAACGGTGGCTGAGACATCGCAAATGAACGGGGTGCCCAATTCACCAGCCGCCTTTAAAGGCCATGTATATTGTGTGTGTGTGTGTGTGTGTGTGTGTGTGTGTGTGTGTGTTTAAAAAACTTACTTAATTTGTTGTTCAATCCTTTCTGCAAGCTTCCTCATTCTTTCTTGGCATGCTCTGATCAGATCAACCTCCTGCAACGGAAAATAGACGCCTGCTGTCATTGATCCTGCAAAAATGGAGGCTGAAAGAACATCCTTTATCGGACATTCTCAACATCCACCAAGCCTCCCTCCCCTTCCCATTGCTGCTGTTGTTTGGTTGGGCTGTTGTTGCTTTCTTGGGGAGAGGGCTTGCCTGGTTTTTTAGGCCTGTGTTTTGTTTTCTTCCCAGGCTGGAGATGTCTTGCCTGCGCTTTGAAGGGGGTGTGTTGAGCATCCGTGTTTTGTGGTACCCATGACAGTTTTGAGCCAGTGTGGTGTAGTGGTTAAGAGCAGTAGTCTCGTAATCTGGGGAACCGGGTTCGCGTCTCCGCTCCTCCACATGCAGCTGCTGGGTGACCTTGGGCCAGTCACACTTCTTTGAAGTCTCTTAGCCCCACTCACCTCACAGAGTGTTTGTTGTGGGGGAGGAAGGGAAAGGAGAATGTTAGCCGCTTTGAGACTCCTTAAAGGGAGTGAAAGGCGGGATATCAAATCCAAACTCTTCTTTGTGCATTTCCAGATTTGTCCCCAGACCCCAGAAATCTGGGGACCAGTGAGCAATGGGAACATGCACAGATTCCTGGTTGCATTCTGCTTCTCGTGCTACAAAAGTTGCTTCCCATACATGTCTTCCTCAATAGGGATCTTAGCACGAATGAGTGATTTATGGAAAGCTGGTCACAAAATTCCTGAACCAGGCAGTTTGATTCTACGGCTTTAGGCTTGAATAGAGACAAAGGATTCCTCGCCCACTACAGCTGTGCATCAAGGCAGCAAAAGAGGTTTAAAGACATGTGCCACCTTGAACATCCTGGTAGGATAGAAATGCAATCATAATAAATGCCCATTGATGGAGGATAAAGGTAAAGGGTAAAGGGACCCCTGACCATTAGGTCCAGTTGTGACTGACTCTGGGGTTGCAGCGCTCATCTCGCTTTATTGGCCAAGGGAGCCGGTGCACAGCTTCCGGGTCATGTGGCCAGCATATCTAAGCCGCTTCTGGCAAACCAGAGCAACACACGGAAACACCATTTACCTTCCCGTCAGAGCGGTACCTATTTATCTACTTGCCCTTTGACATGCTTTCAAACTGCTAGGTTGCCAGGAGCAGGGACCGAGCAACAGGAGCTCACCCCGTTGCGGGGATTCGAACCGCCAACCTTCTGATCGGCAAGCCCTAGGCTCTGTGGTTTAACCCACAGCACCACCCGCACCCCTTGATGGAGGATAGCACATCTCAAATGTGATAAAATGAGTCCCAGTTCTCCATCTATAAATCTATTTGTCCTGAAATTAAGGTGGTTTTTAAAAATTTGTTTTGATTTTTGCTTTAACGCACTAAGATAATTATAAATTTTACGTCAGTTTGGGTTTGGGCCAGTTTTCCTAAACTTGTTTCTGGCGTGAAAATAGCATAATGCTGAAAGAAATCTAATGCAGCTAAACTTTAGACTTCCGAGTAACAATGCACAAAATCCCCCTACCCCCCTGCCCGAAAACGGAATTTAAATGCACTTTGGGGATAGGGAAAAAGCTTTAAAACCTGGCCCTGGCCCTGGCCCTTCCCAATGTATACCTGTGATGTACATCTCTTGAGCTTTTTAAAAATAAAAATAATTAAGGAGCACAACTATCTCCTTCTATGTACTATAATCTGGCTTTAGGTTCAAATTGTGCTTGGTTTATTCATATGATTTATTATCATATGAATTTTGGACCTTAGGTCTTCTCTGCCACCAGATCGCGGTTCTCAGGTCTTAAGATGCAAGACTCTAGCATTTCTGGTGTTTGGTGACAAGTGTCAACACAACAAGACCATATGCCAACAAAACAAAAAGCCGTAGGTCACAAGCCATAATTGTTTTGGGTTTACTCCTAAAGCCTCTGATCCACTTGCACAGGCTTCATGAATCCACTTGCGGGTTGTTGACCCAGAGGCTGGGAACTGCTGCTCTGAAATTTCAGGTCAAACTTGGACTTCTCTGAGCAAGATAGAGAGCCAAGGGAGAATCCATAAAATGGGTTTTATCAAAAAAACAGAACACCTGTCTCGAGTGCTCTTTCTGGCTACCTTCTGCAAACTCATTTCACAAAGCCGGCAAGGCTTGCTGTACCTGGATGAGATTCTTTTCCACGTCATCATGGACCAAGTCGATGCCCATCCGTTTCTCCCGATTGTATAAGCATTCCAAAGCCACCTGAAAGCAGACAAGAAAACCACGGGTTCAGATAACTCCTTCAGAGGGGTAAAGACTAATAGTGAGTCTTTGGAAAAACACTGCAAGGTGTTTTTCTTTTCTGCGTTCGATCTCCTAATAGAGGAAGAAAACTGTTCCAAATATATCTGTGAATGGTTAACCTGTAACTAAAACATGTGGATGAATGGATGTTTGTTTGTTGCTAGGACCCAAAGCGCTGGATGATCAAAATGGCAATTAGGAGACCCATTAGCGGCTAAATTACTGGACCCTTTTTCCCCCTCTGGGTCAGCCTAAGGACACACAAGGAATTCAATTTTTTTGTGTGAATTTTGACACAAACACTATTCGATCCACACTTCCCCAAACTAAGGTGTAGAACAGTGCTGAGGCTGCAAGCCTAACCCTACTTACCTGGGAGTAAACCCCATCAATGAGACTTATTACTCATACACTCAACAACCGCTGGGCCACCCCAAGCTCCCCTGCCCCCCAGAATCCCAACCCCCAACGCACAGTACAGACTTCCGTGCCTCCCTGCAACCCCTCCCTTCCAATGTGGACCACCACCCCCACACCCTGAGCTCGTTACACTACTGGAAACTTTGCACTTCTGGTTGGTATTGCACTGCTAGTTATCCACTGACTTTCACACTTCCTAGATGCCCCAATGTTGCTGTCACTTCAAAAAAAGAAGAAGTGTATTTTGCAGGAAGATACCTTTTAAAATATATATTTAAATACTTGTCTACATGCATTTCTACCCCCTGAAAATTCACAGATTAATTTCTTCTTCCATATCTGCCCTTATTATTAAGTGCTGATGCTTAGGGAAGATTTGTACGTCTTCAAGCTTGTCCAACTGCATGCCTAAGCTGCAGACATTATGGGAACTTCAGCCATCAGCCAGCAATCAGATCTCCACTTTTCCATATCAGTTTGCAATTCATTTGTTTTAAAAGGTCCTTGTGAGAATTCGTCGGTGTTGTGGTATGAATTTCTCCTAATCACCACATTTCTTTTTTGTACCCAATTTTGCCTAATGCACAGTTTTTTGCGAAACAATTCCCCCTAATACGAATTTTTGTATGCTGTTTTTGCCAAACAATACCCCACCCCAAGTACTTCAGATAGAGCAAGGCTTCAATGTCCTTGAAGAAGATGCATCAAATTCCCCTCCCAGAAGACAGCAGTATTGTTTCATCCAATCACAGAACATGGAACAAAGTTGTGGACATGGAAGGAAAAAAACTAAGATTTCAGTAGTGTAGCAACCCCCACTGGCGCCCGGGGCAGACGAAAGTTGTTCAGCTTTTGGGTGAAAATCAAAGTGGATCAGCTTTTTTTAGGACAGCCGCTGATTTCAGGGACGCACAACACACCCAATAACCACTGGGCCACCCCAAGCTCCCCTGCCCCCCAGAATCCCAACCCCCAACGCACAGTACAGACTTCTGTGCCTCCCTACGACCCCTCCCTTCCAGTGTGGACCACCACCCACACACCCTGGGCTCGCTACACTACTGGAAACGTTGCACTTCTGCCTCTAGACCCCTGTCAGGCTTGAAGGGGACATGCAACCCGTCTTGGCTGCTCTACCCAAAAGAAAACTGAGCCACATCTATTTGAAAAGCGAGACTAGTACACCACCTTGTGGCCAGTTTTAGACTCAAAAAGCAAGACCGGACTAGGAAGAGTCAGGGCAAGGGTGCTATCAGCCTTAACCGCTGCACGTCACTTTTCAACAAAGCCTGCCATTTACTCTCTGAATTTTGGGACCTGTGTGTTGTGTGCACTTTTCTACAGCTTAAGGGAAGAGTGCACGCTTTTTTGTTCCGAAACCAAAGGTTCTCAACAGTCGGGTTAAAGAAGTGATCCCCAAGCGCACAGATAAAGCATCTGGCAAGGCCCCATGGGGCTGTCTTTGAAGATAGTTCAGAACCCGCTCTTCAGTCGTCTTCGCTCAGGGCTTCTGGCGACAGGGCTGGTTAAGTGAATCTCGCCCATTTTCTTCTGTGTGCCCCCGTTATTATTTGTCGTTCTCGCTGGAACAACCTGAGGGTGCAGTCCAAATCTACACCCATCCACAGTGGTGCTTTATGAAGCGGCAGAGCAGAGAGGGGTCAGTAAGATTGCTTCGGAAGCTTGGAGCTGGCACAGCGAATGGGCCCAAATTGGTGACTGACGCTGTCGCTCAGAGGCAGAGAGACTGGTCCAAAATCCCACAGATCTCAGGCTGGTCCAGCCCCACACCCACCTCTGGACTACACCCCATCTGGGGGCTATTCTGGGCCCATCACCTCCTGGCAAATAGAAGGGGAAGAAATGGAGGCAGTGAGAGATTTTACTTTCTTGGGCTCCATGATCACTGCAGACAGTGACAGCAGTCACGAAATTAAAAGACGCCTGCTTCTTGGGAGAAAAGCAATGACAAACCTAGACAGCATCTTAAAAAGCAGAGAAATCAACTTGCCAATAAAGGTCCATATAGTTAAAGCTATGGTTTTCCCTGTAGTGATGTATGGAAGTGAGAGCTGGACCATAAAGAAGGCTGATCACCGAAAAATTGATGCTTTTGAATTACCGGTATGGTGGAGGAGACTCTTGAGAGTCCCATGGACTGCATGAAGATCAAACCTCTCCATTCTGAAGGAAATCAGCCCTGAGTGCTCACTGGAAGGACAGATCCTGAAGCTGAGGCTCCAATACTTTGGCCATCTCATGAGAAAAGACTCCCTGGAAAAGACCCTGATGCTGGGAAAGATTGAGGGCACAAGTAGAAGGGGATGACGGAGGACGAGATGGTTGGACAGTGTTCTCAAAGCTACTAACATGAGTTTGACTAAGCTGCGGGAGGCAGTGGAAGACAGGAGTGCTTGGCGTGCTCTGGTCCATGGGGTCACGAAGAGTCGGACACAACTAAACAACAACATATATATATAACAAATTCTCTTCCTTGTTCCCCCTTGTCCCCCCCCCCCATTTTTTTCCCTGCCAAGGAGTCCAGTTCATTTTGTTGTCTTTTTAAGTAATCTGTAAAAAGTTCCCATTCTTCTTTAAAGTCGCAGTTGTCCTTATCTCGCAATTTGTATGTCAGTTACGCCAGTTCTGCATAGTCCATCAATTTCTCTTGCCACTGTTCTTTCGTCGGGGTTTCTTCATTCTTCCATCCTTGTGCTATCAAGACTCTTGCTGCTGTTGTAGCACCATCTGGGGGCTTTCTGCCAGCTACCACTGGTGGGCTCCCCGTTCTCAGCATTCCTGCCCACCGGGACATTTTGCAGACGAAGGAGAAAGTGAGATCTTGCTCCGTGGGTGGCAGAAAGCCAGCTTAGTTGGAGGAACACTCAGTTCAAATCTCCCCCTTGCCCAGTGCAAAGTGGGTCTGGGGTGCTGTGTTAAAGGTGAAGGTAAAGGGACCCCTGACCATTAGGTCCAATCGTGGTCGACTCTGGAGTTGCAGCGCTCATCTTGCTTTACTGGCCGAGGGAGCCGGCGTACAGCTTCTAGATCATGTGGCCAGCATGACTAAGCCGCTTCTGGCGAACCAGAGCAGCGCACGCAAACATCGTTTGCCTTCCTGCCGGAGGAACTGACATGCTTTTGAACTGCTAGGTTGGCAGAAGCAGGGACCGAGCAACGGGAGCTCACCTCATCGCAGGGATTCAAACCGACGACCTTCTGATCGCCAAGTCCTAGGCCCTGTGGTCTACACGTGACTACAAATGGCTTTTTCTCAGTGGACCTGTTCTGGATGGTGTTTTTAAATAAGATTTGACTGCAGTTGCTTGTGACCATCTAGATCAGGCATGACCAACTCTATAGAGACTGAGATCTACTCCAAGTATAATAAAACTGGCAGTGATCTACCTATTACTGCCCATAGTTCTTGAGCTTTTTTTAGGGAAAGACACCAGAGTTGTTGTTGAGCTTTTGGGGGGGCACTCCCTCCTTTCCCCACTTGCCGCCAGCGCAGCAAATACAACCTTTCGAAGCAGCGGCGGAGTGGTGTGCCGCAATCACTAAGGAGAAACCAGGTGATCACTTTTATTACTCCTGCAGTCCACCGGGAGCACCACAGCAATCTACAGGTTCAACATTGCTGATTTAGATCATTGCTTTTAGATTATTATTATTAGTGGTATGGTGGTTTCTTACTTATACTTGATTTGTTGGTTATCTCGTTTCTGCTGATTGCCTTGATTGCGGTTTTATGGAAAGGTATCAGAACATTGGAAACGAGCAGTGCTATTTTTCTAGAAAAAGAGGTGACAGAATTCACCATGCACAACCTCCCTTTTTCTCTTACAATGGCAATGGCACCCATCTGAGAGGTACCGGGACTGAGTTCCAGTGAGTTCTGGCTGAAATAAAGCCCTGGAAACAAGCAATAAATTACAGTACTCCCAAGGACTTGAAGCATGACTGTCGTTTTGAAGATCTGGGAGTCGTGCTGTTTTGATATTAGAAACAAGGGATGGTTCTATTAAGGGAGGGAAGGCGGACCACCACTTTGGCTACAGAGGTTGCCCAAGAGAAAGCCAAATGGCTTCTCAGCACAGTTGCATACCAAACCAAGAGTGTTAAAGTTAAGAACACCCCTGTTGTTCAGCCCAGACCCTGAGATCCAGCTCCAAGGGCCTTCTGGAAGTTCCCTCACTGTGAGAAGTGAGGTTACAGGGAACCAGGCACAGGGCCTTCTCGATGGTGGCACCCGCCTTGTGGAATGCCCTCCCGTCAAAGAAAGAGCCAATGATACAACCTTCTGTAGACATCTGAAGGCAGCCCTGTATAGGGAAGATTTTAATGTTTCATGTTTTACTGTGTTTTCATATATGCTGGAAGCCTCCCAGAGTGACAGGGCAATCCAGTCAGATAGGTAAAGGTAAAGGGACCCCTGATCATTAGGTCCAGTCATGGCCGACTCTGGGGTTGTGGCGATCATCTTGCTTTACTGGCCGCGGGAGCCAGCGTACAGCTTCCGGGTCATGTGGTTAGCATGACTAAGCCACTTCTGGCGAACCAGAGCAGCACACGGAAACACCGTTTACCTTCCCGCCAGAGCGGTACCTATTTATCTACTTGCACTTTGACGTGCTTTCAAACTGCTAGGTTGGCAGGAGCAGGGACCGAGCAACAGGAGCTCACCCCGTCGTGGGGATTTGAACCGCCGACCTTCTGATCAGCAAGTCCTAGGCTCTGTGGTTTAACCCACAGCACCACCCGCGTCTCTTCCAGTCAGATAGGCAGGGTACAAATAATAAAATCATTATTATTATTATTATACCTGGACCACCCTCAGCACCCACCTGCAGTGGTCCCTGGGCTTCATCCGCAGCACATTCTAGGCGCCTCTTGGCTGTGTCCAACATGCGGGTGTCGGACAGCAGCCGTTCGAGTTCATAGGTCAGCTCGGACCTCCAGAAATTGATGTCCGCTAGCCTCTGCCCGATATTCTTCCCGGAGTCTTCCTGCTGCTGCCGTGTCAGCTGGTCTTTGTCCTGTACCAGCCTCCCGGTGTCGGCGTTCAGCCTCCCGGCCCAGTGCCGGTAAGCCTCCGAGCCCTTGATCTGGAGCTGGTTGGCTTTGTACCAGTCGTGGGGGCTGTAGCGGGCGTACAAGGAGGACCGCACCGACGGCAGGATGGTGGGAGGCCGCAGTGGGGCACAGAGGCGCCCCGCTCCCTCATCGTTGGGCCGGAAGGCGGACATTTTGTAGAACAAGCTGGGGCGCCATGAGTTCAGGTAGCGGTAGCCTGGCAGGTAATAAGACTGGTAGCTGTCCTGGCTGATGCTGGTTGGGGCCACCTCTGGAAGCAAGCAACTCTTCCGAGGTCCGCAGTAGCTGGCAGTCTGGGTAGTGCCAAGGAATTCCATCTAACTCCCTGAACCAGCCACTCAACCTTGCTTGGAGGTCAGGGGCATGAGACAAGGCAGAGGCAGCTGTCCCCTGCACTGTGACTCAGTGACGGTGTCACAGAAGATTAGTGAGGGCATCGTGGCCCCAGCAAAGGGGTCTTTTGAGGCTCACTCAGCCTGCCTGTTTTGTTTCCTAAAAACACATGTATCTTTAAAAAAGCAAACAAACCCAAACCAGAAATGGCAACGCTAAACATGGGGCAATAAGGTCTGGTGTGGAGTAGTCATTACAAGTGCGTCTAGTGTGCAAGGAAGCCACTCCTGGATCAAATATTTTGGGGGGTGGCTGGGTTAAAATCAGTCAGGGACTGTGCTGAGGTGGGCTGCGCAGATGAGGAATGGTGGGAGCCTCCCCCTGAATTCAGGATCCTGAATTTTCCCAGGAGCAATGGGAGAGTATAGATTTGGAACAGTGGTTCGCAGAGGGACATAGTTCAGAAGACAAATGTTGGGAATAACTGGCTGGTGAACAGCTAGGAGGAGAAGAACCGGGAGAGAGAGTGTTAATGTACTCCAGTTCACTGGAAAGTATGCGGTCGATGGGTCCAAGGTCACGAGATTAGATAAAGTAGCTGCACAGAAGGCAAAGTGGTTGCGAGATCAGCTTGGAAGATGAGGAAGTGATGAGGGTGACTCGGGGCGGAAGAGGGTGTAAACCTTAACTGGGAGCACCTTTACTCCGAGAATGGACTCTTTGTTCTTTCACTGTGATAATTAAAATCTCTTTAAATGGTAAGAGACTATTTTTGCTTTGTTCTGCTTATCCACGGCCAACGGGAGGGAGGGAGCCGCTTTCCCAAAACCTGACATTACCATAATCCAGCCGTATCTGGATCGGAACTGGGGTCAAAGCCGAGTTAGCAGTCATGGCTACAACGTTCCATTTTATCTTGGCTTGATATGGGCTGAAGGAGCCCACACTTGAGAGATCTAGCATTTTTACATATGTTTGCATATGCAACAGACCTGAAAAGCAGCACATGGGTTGAGATTGATGACACGGCACAGGCATGCGCACTGTGAGGAAATGCATTTGACCACTGACCAAAAAAAAAGCTAGCCTTTATTTTAGGAAAAAGAAAAAGGAAGAGAAACCTAGTGGCCGACCCAAATCGCTGGCATTTGACACAAACATTATGGTAACACACTGAGTAAATGCCAGGAAATTGCATCTCTCCCCACCTCCTCTTCCAAATAAAAGCTAATTTTTCATCAGCAAAGTTAGATGCAACAGCAATATTTTCTCTGAGCATGCATGCGTGGCCATGTGTCACTGAGCTCAGCCCATGTGCTGTTTCACAGGTCTGCTGCATATGCAAACATATGTTTTTGAAAAAACCTATGTTAAAAAGTATTGAGGCTTTTTACAATCAAGCGGGATATAAATCTTGTGAGATGAAATAAAATGCTATGTGTAGATTTGCACTGATTGTCACATATCTGCAACAACAGGGGGGAAACCAACCCAAGTTCAGCCCACACCAGCCAGGAGAAAATGGAAACCATGGACAGTGCTAGCTCTGCCCCCGATTTCCTTCCAAATACTATTATATTTAACATCTCAAAACCTACGCAAGCTCGAAAACAGAAATGTCAACTCTAAACATAAGGCAATAAGGTCACATGATAGAGAGCTGGTGGTGTAACATGCTGATTAAATGTGCAAAAAAAAGTCCTTCCTGGTTTAAATATTTCCAAGTCTCTGTGTTTAAACCTCTCGGTATGTTACCATAACTTTTGGGGTAAATGCCAGGAATTTGGGTAAGCTGCTGGATTGGTCAGTGTCAGTGCCGGATTTACGTATGAGCTAAACAAGCTATAGCTTAGGGCCCCACTCTCTTGAAAAAACAAAACAAAACCTGGATGTACATTTCCAAAATATAAGATACAAAACAAATAAAATAAAACCGACATACAGCAACAGTGTTTTGTGTTGTGTAGGCTCCTTTGATGTAAATAATGGGCCCCGCCTGCTCCCTAAAATATCACTGTTTGCCCATTTCTATATATAGGGTGCCTACATTCTGCATGTGCAAATGGCTTTAGATACCTATTAGGTCCATAAATTACCACATAGCATATATTCAACACAAAAGTCAGCGACAATTTGTTGTTGACAAAGGACAGCTGGACATATAAAGGGCCCCATTACCTTCAGTAGCTGAGGGCCTCATCAAACCTCAATCCGGCCCTGGGTGTGCTGCAATGTGTGAACGCTGCCTGTGGATTTGCACCCATTGCCACAGACCTGCAAACAAACACTCCACGCTGGATCTCCCAATGATCCTTCAGCCTGTATCAAGCCAAGATCAAGTGGAAACTTATAGCCATGAATGCTATAACTCTGCTTACCCCAATTCCTATCCAGATACTGAGGCATCAGATCAAGGTCTGCATTTTAAAATGAGCTTAAAAAATATATTTGCAAATGTTTGTATGTTTTATGCCAGGCATAAAGCAGCTGGCTGGGTGCTTTGGCAGATGTTTATCTTCCTAAACAGGGCCCCTCTGATCTATAGCAGTGCCTCAGGGTTGTAAAAGGAAATTACAGGCTGGGAGCAAAAGGTCATGTTGACCATACAAATTACAAAATACAATCAAGCTGCAAAAACACAATTAAGAGTTGGTAAATAGTGAGATTTATTGTTTAACAGAAATACCATGTGCCTCCCATCAGACTCGAGCCACATCTTCCTAAGGTTAAAGGGCAAGAGCTAATAGCAACAGCAGCTGGCTTGAAAGGGGGGTGTAAATTTAAGGGGTTGCTTTTGGAAACTGTTTTTACTAAGTTCCTTTGAAAAGGCCTTTCCTTCTAAAAATCTATCTATGTTATGTATGAAATATATTGGCTTAAATGTAATTATGCAAAGGATTTAGAAAGTAAGAAATGTTAGATTCTTATGTTAGATTCTTATTTCATTGATGGTGTGTGAGAAGGTGAACCCAAGATCTCTGTTTAAGATAAAATTAAAACCATTAGCCATCTGTTTTGGAGTGAATAGGGCAATAGGGCAATAGGGCAAAGATGATCTGATAATTAAGGTGCCTGGTCGAGGCAAATGTAAGATATATGGCTACTTGTCTGCCATTTATGGATAGAAGGAAATATAGCTCTTTGTCTCCCATAAAAGGTAATAGGAAATGGGTGTATCTTTTATGATTGGTTCTAGCAAACAGCCAATAGGAATTTCAACCAGGCTGATTGGACAGAGGCAGCCAAAGGAGGAGCAAGGGGGCTGGGCTGAGGAGATATAAGTGCTGGCCATCAGGGCTGGAGTGGGCAGAGCTTTGGTAACCATATACCACTGTGTCTCTCATTTATTTGTCTGACAAATAAATTATTATTTTAATTTCTCTATTGCTGCGTTGAATATTTCATTCCAGCTAAGCGTTAACCACAAGCAGGGTGCTACAATACCATCATATTTATTAAAAAACAGACAAACCCTGAAACCCCACACTCGAAACAGAAACATCCACTCCGTGTTTATTTATTTGATTTGACCTTTTATCACAAAGCCACACAATAAAACGCACCAAAGGAAACTGCTATAAATGTAAAGCAAAACAAAAAAACAACAACAAAAAACCAGGATGAAAGCGATGGAAAACAATTCCACATATAATGGCAGTTGAAAATATAGAAAATATAAAGGTATCCATTTGAGAGACCTGTTGAAAGAGGAAGACCAGAGGACCCCAAGTGGTCATAGGCCAGCATCATTACTAAAAGCAGTGCTTTTTTCTGGGGGGGACGCATACCCCTAAACATTTTGGGAATCTCTATACTTTTGTCCATTTACTCTATTTATTTCCCCCAATTTGAACTATAAAGTGGTGGTTTTCTTGAGTCAAAATGAGAGTACCCCTAAACATTATTATTTTAGAAAAAAAAGCGCTGACTAAAAGTGTGAGTGAGAAAGTCCCTCCTGATCCAAACTTCCCTCTTGTGTGTTAAATATTAACTAATACTTAAAATCAGAAGGTGGCTGCCCCATACCTCACCTGCAGATTTCTGGTAATAAGAGAAGAGGCTTTCCTCTCTCCTTGCCACCCCATAAGTTGTTGGCAAGCTTATCATAGTGACATTTGAATCTGGGGCTGTTTGCCCACTCTCCAGCTGCCATCCTGCCCTATGAATGCCATTACTTGGGAGCAAGTTCATTCAATGGGAGTCCCATTGAACTACACAGAAGTCACTGTTTTGTTCTGATTATGGAGAAATAGAGCTGAATGTCATTGGCAAATTGGGGGCACCTCAGTGCCCCCAATGGCTGCTTCCAATGGCTTTGTGCAGAAGATATTAGACGGTACTGGGGATAAGAGGGTCTTTGGATGGTTTTGTGTGCTTTTTAATATTGCTTTTTAACATTAATAATACTTTCAGTCATTGCAACCTAGGGGACCTCAGGGGTACAAGGCAGACAATACACTCCAATCATGAGTTATTTTAATTGTACTAGGGGAGAAATGGGCAGATCTTTTTGTTTTGCAGCAATATTCCTGCAATTTTAAAAAAAGTTTCAGTAAATTTTATTTCATTGCCTTTGGTTATTTTCACGTATGTGTGTCCTTTTAATGCTAGCATGGCCCGCTGATTTCAGCTAGAGGGAGCACTTTTTTAGGAATAACGTGTGAACGAACGCCCACGTGTCACGGGAAACACGCGGTTTTCGCCGCCCGCCCCGGACTGAAGGAGCCGCTCGAGTTCCCTCAGCGAACTCGCACAAACGCGGGGCCATCCAATCGCAAACGCCGGATCAGGCCACGTGACACTGAAACTCTTTTCGCCCAGCTCGCCTTCTTTCAATGCTATCCCTTCGCACGACCCGCCTTCAAACATACATACGCATGCGCACCTTTGCGTCGGGCAATCGGGCGGGGCTCCGGGATGCTCCTCCTTCCTGCTTGCTCGGGCCGTAATCGGAACGAACGTCACCGGCTTCAGCTAGGGGAGGACCCATTTTCGAGCGCGCAACCGGAAGTGGGGAAAGGGGGACTCTTTTGAAGGTGGCGCCCCTCGCCGGAAGTGCCTGTATTTGTGTTTTCGCCGCGTTTCTCCTCAGCTGGTTCCGCCATGGCTGCGGCGGCAGGGCCGGCCTTGCTGGACGTGCCGCCTCAGGGTGAGGGGAAAGACAGGGGTAGGCGGTGTGTGTGGTGGTGGTGGGGGGTGCTCTTCGCCGGCTTCCACTAACGCGGGACCTTCTCTTTCCTTTCGCCTCTGCCAGAATGCCCCGGCACCGGCAGCGACCAGGCGGGCAAGGCCGAGGCCTGCCAGGGGTGCCCCAACCAGGGCGTGTGCTCCTCCAGGGGGCCCGTGGGACCCGACCCAGGTAAGGATCGCATGGAACCGTGGAGTTGGGAGGGGTCCCGGGGGTCATCTAGTCTGACCCCCTTGCATCGAAGGAGCCTGGTATGTTTAGCCTGGGAGGGAGTAGGCTGAGAGGAGATAGGAGAGCCCTCTTCCAATATCTCAAGGGCTGCCCCACGGAAGACGGGGCAGGCTAGTTTTCTCCCGCTCCAGAGGGTAGGACTCGAACCCATGGCCCCAAGAAAGGAGGCTAAGGCTCAACATCTTTCTGGCAGTAACAGCTGTTTCGGCAGGGTAATGGTCTCCCTCGGGAGGTGGTGGGCTCTCCTTCCTTGGAGGGTTTTTAAAGCAGAGGTTGAATGGCTGTCTGTCATAATAATAAAAAATAAAAAAAATTTATTTATATCCCGCCCTCCGTAGCCGAAGCCGGGCTCAGAGCGGCTAACAACAATAAAGTAACACAGCATTCTAAAATCAATTCATTCTAAAATCAATTCAAAATCAAATTAATGGCAACCATTGGGCTATGAGGATTACCAAAGGAGGGGGTCAGACTGTGCTTTGGCCAAAGGCCTGGTGGAACAGCTCAGTCTTGCAGGCCCTGCGGAAAGATGTCAAGTCCTGCTTGAGGCTTTAGCTAAGATTCCTGCATTGCAGGGGGTGGGCTGGATTACCCTTGGGGGTCCCTCCTGACTACGATTCTATGATTCTGCAGTGCAGAAATCTCAACTAAAGCATATCATCTCAAGGGGGGAGGGAGGCACTGCCAGGCTGCTTCAGTCACAGGTTTTATTCTAAATTCCTTTCCTAATAAACCTCTCTCCCGGCCCTATTTACTAAAAAACCCAAATGTTGTAACCTTTTCTCTCATAGGAGAGCCACACCATCCCACTTGGATCATGTACTTCTTCACACAGCACTTAGTTAAGCTGTGGAACTCCCTCCCACATAGGTGATGGCCACAAACTAGAGGATTAGACAGATTCATGGAGGAGGATAAGGTTATCAGTGGGTGCTAGCTGCAGTGGCTTGGCTATGCTGTGCCTCAGGGGTTGGAAGCACAGGTGCTTCTGAACACCACTTGCTGAAGTCCACAGCAGGGCAGGGGAGAGTGCTGTTGTGCCTGAATCCTGCTTGCTAGCTTCCCATTCTGTGAGAACAGAATGCTGGACTAGATGGGCCATTGGCCTCATCCAGCAGGCTCTTAATGTTCTTATTTTGGTTTCCCTTTTCTGAACATTGTTTTCCCATTGTACAAATGTGGCAATGGGCAAAGCTTCACCTGCAGACTTTATTTGTATCCCATGACTTGTTCAGGCAGGTATTAGAGCTGTAGCATTAGGAATATCTTTTAGCAGAAAGTAATCTGCAAACCTGGTTATGTAGTTGATAGAGCTCCCTAGGAACTGGGCACCTTCATGCTGCATGAGGGAACAGATTCTGTTTAGAATGGCTTCTTTCCCACGCAAATTCTGTGCTTTGCCTTTTCCCCCTGTCTAAGCTATTGAGGAAATCAAGGAGAAAATGAAAGCTGTGAAACACAAACTGCTGGTGTTGTCTGGGAAAGGAGGCGTAGGGAAGAGCACATTCAGTGCTCACTTGGCGCATGGCTTGGCTGAAGATGAAACCAAACAGGTGAGTGTGATCCTGTTTATAACTTTTGTTTGTTTTTGAAGCCCATATTATTCAATTGTAAATGGTGACAAAGAAGACAATTCATCTCTAAACTATATTAAATATAGTTACAGAAATAATTTAGCTTGGGTTTAAAATGAACAAATACTGTATTTTTCTAGGGTGAAACAATTTATTATGTTGTTTTAGAATATATTTGTTTTGTGTTGCAGAGGGCATAGTAAATGATCCTCCCAACCCCTTTTTAAAATCCTTACCTTGTGAGAGGGGTTAAGCTGAGGGGGTATTACTAGCCCCTAGTGAGCCTCACAGTTGAGTGGTGATATGGTTTGAAATCTCCCCATTCCTTGTTAATGCTTCAACCACTACTCCACCCTGGCTCTTAAATAGTTCATTTTGCTAATAGCGATAATGGATGTACCTGTAGGAACTAATGGAAAATATTCCAGAAAGTAGATGAACAGTGAGCAGTTATTCATATGTTGTATTAAGAATATTGCACAAGTTTTTCCTTGCGCTATGTATGTGATATGACAGCCAAACGTAACTTTGGAAAGTAGACACAGGTGTTAGGAACTTTTGGCCCTCCAGATGTTCCTGAACTACAGTTCCTATCATCCCTAATCATTGGCCGTGATTGTTAGGGCTGCTGGGAGTTGTAGTTCTGCGACATCTGGAGGGCAAGAGTTTTTTCACATCTAGTCTACATTTTAGAATAAAGTTTACAGCCTTTGAATAACTACATGCATGTGTGTTTGTGCAATTTTACCCTGATGAGGAGCATATCTCTGTCTACTCGCATATACTACACTAAAATAAATAGATCAAATAAACATAACTGGGACTGGACTTCACATCTCTTCGCTGTAATTCACTTTGCTATTCCTAGCATTTGGAATTTTTCTGTGTGTAGTGTTCCAACATGCATACCAGGGATGGGTAACCTTTAGTCCTCCAGATATTGGGCCCCCAACTCCCCATCAGCCACAGCCAGCATGACCAGTGGGGCAGGGATGATGGGAGGTGACTGAATAGCATCTGGAGAGCCACAGGTTCTCTATTCCTGATATGTAATCATGGCAAGGTCATGCATCAAGTGCCAGGCCTTATGTAGCCAGAAATGGCACCGTTCATCACAAGAGGGAAATGCCAGGAGGCTTGGAGGAATCCCTAGGTTTGCAGTACAAAAAATACTTTGGGGAGGAAAGCCTTAAAGGCGGGGGGGTTACCTCAAAACAGCCCAATGAGCATACTTAGTGATCACAGTGTGCTGACTTACTGCTAGGGAGAAGGGGACAAAAAATGTCAGCTCTGAAAAACCCCGGACAGACATTTTGCAAGTCCTGCTTGCTCACTTCTAACTTCCCCTTCCTCAACTTACTTCCAACTCCCTCCAGGTTGCTGTGCTGGACATTGACATCTGTGGTCCATCCATCCCTAAAATCATGGGCCTGGAAGGGGAACAGGTATGATATGACTACATAAATGGAAGAAAACGTTGTGGGACCACTGCCACATCTGATTTGCCTGGTCAGATGTTTCTTTAGGGTTTGTTAGACTTGAAGCGCATCTGCCCTGTAGCTGTCTTCAGCGATAGGTACCACTGCGGCGGGAAGGCAAACAGTGTTTCCATGCACTGGCACTCATCACATTCTGTTGCACCAGAAGCAGTTTAGTCCTGCTGACCACATGACACAGAAAGCTGTCTTTGGACAAACGCCAGCTTCCTTGGCCTGAAACAAGATGAGCGCCACACTCCATAGTTGCCTTTGACTGGACTTCACCATCCAGGGGTCATTTACCTTACCTTTATACAAATTTTTAAGCCAAGATTTTGGCTGAATGAGCATAGGGCTCCCTTTCAGCTTTGCTTCAATTGTTCTTTCAGCAGGGAACAGCTGCTTAGACTGCACAAAATTGGTGATAAACCACTACCATTTAGGTTCTGCTAAAAAGCTCGAAAATGAAAAATGACTTGGGAGGAATCTTGATGAGTCTCTGTGCAGGCTTTGGCTCACCAGGAGCCTTTGTTAGAAAGAAAAAATGTGGTTTATGTGGGGGAGAGTATGTGTTTCTGTTACTAGGGTTGTCTACACATAGTGTCTACCATGTTTATGAACAGGTGCTGCAGGTCTCTGGCTCTCTTTCTTTGTCAGGTATATTGTGTTGCAAATATCCAGGCCTGGAGCGAGCCTCAGGGAGTTTACATGTTACGTTCTGTATTACCACCTACCTTTCCCCCCCAGTAATGTTTTAAAAATTCCCTGTCACAAATTGTGAGCAGCAGCAGGGTATTGAGGTTCTTATTAGATAACTGGTGTGCTTGTTCTATGTATACTAGCTGTTTGTGCTGTTGGGGGGAGGCCAGAGGTAGAGGAGGAGGAGGACAGTTGGGGATGGGAGCCAAAAGGGATTTATTTTTATAAAAGTATTTCCAACTGGATTAATAGTGTGTTTTTTTTAAAAAAAACAGCTCTGAGCTGTGTATGGAAACAATATCAAGTAAAATTAAAATTCAGCCTAAAACTAAGAAAACAATGTAAAAGCAAGTAAAACAGATTCAAGTGGGCTTACGCACATAATAAAGGGTCCAGTCTTATAGTCAGGGATAGCCTGGGCAAAAAGAGAAGTCTTTGAAGACATCTCAAGCAACTGCTTCAGGTACGGCAGAGGGAAGGGCATTCCGTGGAACGGGGCAATAGCAGAGAATGCCACTAGGGGGTTCACCACCCTGTGATATTCTGTAGGATATGGTGCCGCAAACAGAATTTGCCCAGCTGATCTTACAGGTCTATACAGTAGCAGGCAATCTTTCATGTAACCTGCTAAAAGTGGTTAAGGGGGTTATATTTTAACAACATGGCCTTGAATGTAGCCCAGGAGCTGATGGGAAACCAGTGCAGTCCCCCTTCATAGCCGTGGAATACGTGTGTGTATCCACATGCTCCTTTCAGAAAAACTGATTGCAGCATTCTGCACCAGCTGCAGCTTCTGGACCAGTCCCAAGGGAAGCCCTACGTAGAGCGCTTTAGAGTACAGCCACAAGGTTCGCAATCCAGCTGTGGTAAAGCCCTCTGCAAGCAGTCTGTCCAGACCCCTGGCAAAAGCAATGTGCCCCACTCTTGGCAGCCCACTATGTGGGGAGAGGGAGGGAGTAAAAAGGGGTGGCCTCATCCATTAGTGCTATTATTTGTTTATTTGATTTCTCTACCACCCTTCGTCTGAGAATCACAGGGCAGTTTACAGTATAAAAACAGGAAAAAGAAGTGCATACAAAAATAACAAAAACAAAATAATCCCCGCACACCCTCAGTTGTTATTTTGCTAGTTTTGCCTCCACCCAACACTGTCATGCAGCCCCTAAAAGGAGATCCCTGATGGAATGCAGCCCTCGACAGAAACCTGCTCCCCGGACATACACTAACATAAAATGTTAACTTTTTCAGGTTCACCAAAGTGGTTCTGGATGGTCTCCAGTGGTGAGTTGTTTTTTAAAAAAATCATGTGAATACGCTTCCTGGTTCATGGAGGCAATGATAACAGCACCTTTCAAAAAAAAAAAAAAGAGTGTTGGGGGAGGGCAGGGGAAATATTATTGTTACACGCAGTGCCTCACCTGTGTTGGAAAGTATTTTGATGCTGAACTTCCTGAAGCTGCCTACTGGCTGGTTGTATGCCAAGTGATTTGCATCAGGCAAACTAGTCTAGGTACCAGAAAGTTCAAGTTTTCACATATCTATGCTAGAAGCGGTAAGACAACCACAGCTGCTTGTTCAGAAGCAGCAATAATTTATTTAATCTACATTGTCCGTTTTGCCAAACACGTATGTGCTTTTGTTTGTAGTATGTTGAAGAAAACTTAGGAGTCATGTCAGTGGGATTCTTACTCGGCAGCCCTGATGATGCCGTTATTTGGAGAGGACCCAAAAAAAATGGTGTGTATCTCACAATGATCAGTACCAACAAAGACTTGCCTCGTAGAATGCAAGGGACTGAAATTCAATTAGCTCAGTGGTTATTTTTTAAAGCCTTAGTTCATAACATTTTAAGTTACTTTCACTGTTTGATAGGAACTGGCAACATTTCTGGTGCTTTGCTTGAGGGGGTGGTCACACAGAAAAGAAGTAAAGAGGGATTGTGAAGCTGCAATGTAGAGTCACACTTGATAAAATCTGACTTCTGTCAGCTCGTGGTAGAGATGAGTTGGGGCTAATAGCATTGTGGCTTTAAGGGTATTTTTTATTTCTTTTAATTTATGAATAGCATATCTTGAGACAGGCTTTCAACAGAGTTCACAAGTAGCTGACACACACAAAAAGTTTTAAAACCAACCAAAGCATCTTCAAACTAGAAATCAAAGTAACTTAAGCAACTGTTGCATTATCTGTTCTACGAAGTAAAAAAACCACTAACCCTGTTTCAGAATTCAGCATTTTCTAGTCATTGGATCTTAGCTCCACCGATTACCAGCTGAGAACATGCATCATCTGCCTTCGTCTGTTTGCTTACGCACACTGCTCCAGTGCTTCTTAAATCACTCCAGAAACCGGAGGGGGGAGGAAATCAGATGTTGTTTCCAGACCACCTCAAGCATGCTTGTCAGAATTGAACTGTGTAGTTCTGAGTTCAGATCCCTCCCCCACGTATATTTTTTTGCTAGTGCATGTTACACATGCTCTTAGACCTCTAATGGAGACAGCAAACAATGCTGAGACACAATTCTCATTTGAGCCATAGAAATGGTGGCAGCTGGATACAGTTTCAGGGAGCGAAATATAAACACCCAACTTTAATCATGCGTGTTATGTTTCCAGGAATGATTAAGCAGTTTCTCCGTGATGTGGACTGGGGCGAAGTCGACTACCTTATTGTAGATACACCTCCAGGAACATCAGATGAGCACTTATCTATAGTGCAGTACCTAAGTGCCGCCAACATAGACGGGGCAGTGGTAATCACCACCCCTCAGGTAAGGTACACAACTCTAGGAGTTAAAACTCAGAGATTTAGCTGAGTAGGAGACTCACAGTGCGTCCAAACTTCCACTTGTCCTGTGCCCAGCAAGTGTGGGTCTGAGTGGTTTTCCACTTGTCCCAGGCATGGATATGAGTGGTTTTGCCTTTGCCCCAATGCTTTCCCCTGGAAAACACACTCTTTAGCGCTAAATCGGAACCAGCAGCAATCTGCAGAAAACCCAGTTGCCACTTGTTCCAATTCAGTGATAAAGATTGGGCTTCCCCAGGGGGAAAGCAGTGGGGCAAATAGAGGTGGGGATAAGCCCTAACTAAATGACTTTTGCTCAGCTCCGCCCGTCTCATTTTCTTTTCTTTTTTGGAAGCTTCAATAGGAGGGAATACTTTGATTTCACTGTATAAAAACTGTTTTCCTCACCTTATGGTTCTGATTTATGGGCTACTACTAAAATGAGGCTGCATTTTCAATTGTATTTTAACCCATATTTTAACCCATATTTTAATTAACTGTTTTTTTTCTTCTTCTTTTCCCCCCCTTTCCTATTACTTTTTATTGTAATTTTATTGGTGTTAGCCGCCCTGAGCCCAGTTCTGATCCGGGAGGACGGGCTGTAAATAAATTATTATTATTATTATTATTATTATTACTAGTAGGCCCCTAATTGGCATGTTCTAATTGAAGGATTTGGGCAGGCAACCCTGCCCTGCAGCCAGCCGGATTCTAAGTGGCTGGGCTGGAGGTGGTGGCTATTTTGGCTGCTGGGGATGGCGGCTGACCGGCTAGAGGCCACAAGCACCACCCACCCAGAAAGAGAGTAATCGACCATTCTCTGTAATCTCAAATATGGAGAATATTGGAGATGACCAATATGCTCTGTTAAATGCATCGGGGCTTGTGGGCAAACAGATTGCAGCCTGAGTTTATCCAAGGGGAGGCTGTAGGGCAGTTGTCCTCTGGGAAAGCCTCTCTACGGAGGGGAGGTGTTGTGAGCGAGGTATAACCAAGCCCCTGTGTCATTGAACCCTGTACCTGCGTCACGCCCCCCAGCTGGCCAGTCCGGCTGGGGGGGGTGGTTTTTGCCGTTCAAAACGGCCGCAGGCTCATGGGCTCCTCCTCCTTGTTCCTGGCTTTGTCATTTGGCTCCCCTTTAACTGCGCAAAAAAGGGCCTTTCAATGAACTGTACAGCATCCCTGTGAAGAAATAGGCTCTGCTGTCTCATTATAATAAACGGGGGGGGGGGAGTATCAAACAGATCTGGGGAACCTGAATTAACATTCTGTTGGGTTACTGTTCTGTTTTTAAATAGGAAGTCGCTCTTCAGGACGTTCGGAAAGAGATAAACTTCTGCCGTAAGGTGAAGCTGCCAATCATAGGAGTAGTTGAAAATATGAGTGGCTTCATTTGCCCGAAATGTAAGGTAATATTTCTTGCATACATTTAAGCATGAGAATTATTCTTGCTCTACCAGGTCATTAAGCATCAGAAGAATGTCCCCCTTAAGCTGTTTTGATGAGATGCTACCCTGCATTATCACGACTGTCACACAAATTATTGGTGTATTAATTCACGGTTCCTTCCACCTTCTGACAGGGTTTGGATCCGTATTTCCCAGGAGTTTTGTGGCCCCTCCTCAAGGCTCATTGAGACAAACTTGAGTTGGTCCCTAATACCAAGGATGTTTCAAAATATGCCCCAGTTTCCGTCTGGCTGAGCACTTTGAGTGGCAGGACTGCAGCCCTATCGATATAGGAGTGGGAAGTGTTAGGAAGACAGGAAGCTGCCTTATACGAAGTCAGATCATTGGCCCGTCTAACTCAGTACAGTGGTACCTCGGGTTACATACGCTTCAGGTTACATACGCTTCAGATTACACACTCCACTAACCCAGAAATAGTGCCTCAGGTTAAGAACTTTGCTTCAGGATGAGAACAAATCATGCTCCGGTGGCGCGGCAGCAGCGGGAGGCCCCATTAGCTAAAGTGGTGCTTCAGGTTAAGAACACTTTCAGGTTAAGAACGAATCTCCGGAACGAATTAAGTACTTAACCCGAGGTACCACTGTACTGAGGATTGTAATTTAGATGGAGTTCTGGACTTGAAGTGTACCAGGCATTATAAGACTCACATCTGCTGACCGCAAGCTTACAACCAATCTCTCTTACTTTTTGTATCTGCTGGGTTCATGTTCAATGGCATCTTCATCTTACAGAACGAGTCGCAGATATTCCCCCCAACAACTGGTGGCGCAGAGGCCATGTGCCACAGTTTGAACGTGCCTCTCCTGGGCAAGGTGCCCCTGGACCCACAAATAGGTAATGCCGCACATTGAAGCACCTTCCGAGCTTGCTCACGGTCTCGGTACACTGTTTATATTCAGTGGGATTTAAGTTGCACACAAACAAACAGTGCAAATCTCTTTAATGCAGGGATAATGAACCTGTGGCCCTCCAGAAGTTATCAGGGTCCAGTTCCCATCAGGCCAAGCTAACATGGCCAGGGGTCTCAGGGAATTGTAGTTTAATGGGTCTGGCGGTAGCAGCTGGCATAGAGTCAGCGGCTGTAAATGGGGCGAGAGGCTGATGTATGCCACTTACTATCATTTAGTGGGAAAAGATCTTCCAGCTACATCTGGAGGTCTTTCAAATTTCCCATCCCTCTTGCGCTGGGTTCTTTGGAACATAAATGCAAGTGTGGGGTAGGAGAAAGACTGTATTGAGCCAAACACTGGCATCCATATTTGTGTCCTTTGACTGGGGTTTGCTTGTTTCTTCTGCCGGGCTAGGAAAAAGCTGTGATGCGGGACACTCGTTCTTGTCCGAGGTACCGAATTCTCCAGCTACGTTATCCTACAGGAATATCATTCAGAGTAAGTACAGTATCCAGGAAAGGGTCTGCAACCGAGAAACTTTTGCACTCCTCCATATTTTTAAGGTGCACCCACAAGCGACTCTTGGTAGCTCCGAATGGATGCTTTCCACGTTTACCATGTTGGCCTAGCCAGCCAAGTCCGTTACTGAAGACAGCTTGTGGCTTGTAGATTCATATGAATAGCTGGGAGCCTTAGTTCTTTTCTAACGGCATGTCCAGGATTCTGAGCACATTTAACTAGAAGTGACTCATACCTAGCCTGAAAGTTGTTAAACACCTAACCGAGTAAATCACGAGTTACTAGGTGTTCAGTTCTAGATCTGATTCTTCCCCCACTGCCAGTTCCTGATGTCCCCGCTTTGAGAACTAAAGAGTCATACTTGACCTTGTGCAAAGTCATACTTCTGTTTCAAAATGAGCTGACATCAGTGGAGGCAGCTGTCCCATGATGGCAGGTGACCGCTGCAGTGAACTCTGCAGCTAAGGATGGGCAGAGTGAAGGGGTACCGTATTTTTCTGTGTATTAGACAAGGTTTTTTTTTTACTGAAAAATCATGTCAAAAAACTAGGGTCATCTTATACACGGATAGTGGGGGGGGGGGAAGCTGCGCACCGTCAGCCAGCTGGTTGGGCGCGCAATTCCCCCTCCATGCCGCTGCAGGATGCGCACGCTCTAGGGAGCATTTCCCACAGCAGCGTGGAGGCGAAGCCGCCAGCCAGCTGGTTGGTGGCCCGCGCTCTAGGGAGCTTCCCGCCTGCAGTGGGGGGGGGGAGCGGCTGCCCACTTTGCCAACCCCCAGCAACAGCCCTGCAGGGGTGATGGCGCTTGTGCAATTCCCCCTTTAAAAAGCTCAACAACTTTGGGCCACCTTTCCCCCAAAATAGGGGGTGTCTTATATACGGAAAAATACGGTACATTAATGCTGGGGCCTAGGAAATTCTCCAGGGCAATCCTCTTCTGGTCAAACATGGCTTGCGGTGGAGAATGCCAGTGAATTGTGCTGCTGCATGCACAGAGAGCTTGCATTTCCAGCCTCCAGTGCAAAAACCTGAGGCAGCATTTTGATTCATCTTGCATTGTGTCTTTCTGCAGGAATCCAAGACTTCTGTAGCCACAACCACCCGCAGGAAGAAAACAGTACTTGAACAGCAAACTATGGAAGGGTCCTTAGGAAAGCGTTGATCGCCTTAAGCCTCTCCGAATAGGAATATATAAAGCCTTTGTTTTGCAAGCAAATAAATTTTTTGAATAATGTCCCTCTCTGTCTCTCCTCCCTTTTGGACAGCGGCACAGTATTCCTGTTTCAGAATGTATACATTGAGCACATGTTGCAAGTCTGCTTCTGATTGCTAGATTACCCTTAAGGGCTGTTACCTTCATCAGCAAAAGTCCTTGAACGTTTATTTATTTAATAAAACCTATACACCACCTGGCTGTAAAAAAAAAAAGCCCTCGAAAGCCATTTACAAAGAACATAATAACGTTATTGGTAAAAACCAGTTTTAAAACTACTATTTAAAATAAGCTAAACTAAAATTAAAACACACATATCTCGGTAGAAAGTTCTTTTATTTAGAAACGTACATCTCTCTCTTTAAGGAGAGTTTCTCACAGTCATTTCTGCTTCTGCCTCAGTTTTGTTTTCAGTAATTGCCGATGAATAAAGTTGTTGGGGATGATCCATATTTAGACCGCAAGTTCTCTTGACTGCCAGTCTTTCTCCGTGAAGGATCTGGAAGATCAGAATACATTTAAGAGTTATAATTTAAATAGCAAATGGTTAGTGTTTGTTTAGGGGGTGGACTAGCTGCATTGTTTCTTAGTCTGGCTGTGAACTGAAACACTGCCACATTAAAGAGTAGGGAACCCCAGGCCCATGAGCAAAGTCTGCCCCCTCCCTGTCTACTAGTTCCCAGGAACACAGGAAATTGTACAGAGTCAGACCAACAGTCCTTCAAACTTGGTATTATCTGCATGGACCAGAAGCAGCTCTTCAGGATGGAAGATACGTCTCTCCTAGTCATGCCTCGAAATGCCAGGGATTTATGCAATGTATGCTCTACCACTGACATCTGCCTCTAGAATTACCGTATTTTTTGCTCTATAAGACTCTTTCCCTCCTAAAAAGGGGAAATGTGTGTGCGTCTTATGGAGCGAATGCAGGCTGCGCAGCCATCCCAGAAGCCAGAACCGCAAGAGGGATTGCTGCTTTCACTGCGCAGCGATCCCTCTTGCTGTTCTGGCTTCTGAGATTCAGAATAATTTTTTTCTTGTTTTCCTCCTCCAAAAACTAGGTGTGTCTTGTGGTCTGGTGCGTCTTATAGAGCGAAAAATACGGTAAATATTCTAGTCCGCATGGATTCTGAAGAAAGGGCTTAAGGAAAGAGGAAAGTTGCCTCTCACAGATTGATGCCATTGGGCCACTTTGTTTGGTACTGTCTACTCTAACTGCCAGGGGCTTTCCAAGGTTCCAGGCAGGAAACCTTGCCGATTGGATAACTAATTAGCGCTCCCAACTACCTCTCCCTCTAAGCGCAAGAAAAAGGTGGTGCCAAAGTGCATACACTTGTTGGTGAACCAATGCCCCATCGAAAAGCAGCAATGGGGTCCCACACTCCCAATTCTTTGAAGAAGTAAGCTGGCCAGTGGGAACATGACTGACTAGGAAATGAAATCTGAATTGGACTGAATCCCTATACCATGGGTAGGCAAACTAAGGCCCGGGGGCCGGATCTGGCCCAATCACCTAAATCCGGCCTGCAGACGGTCCGGGAATCAGCGTGTTTTTACATGAGTAGAATGTGTCCTTTTATTTAGAATGCATCTCTGGGTTATTTTTGGGGCATAGGAATTTGTTCATTTTCCCCCTCCAAAATATAGTCCGCCCAAAATATAGTCTGAGGGACAGTGGACCGGCCCCCTGCTGAAAAAGTTTGCTGACCCCTACCCTATACAATGCTCTGGCTCTACTTAGGGGGGTCTGTTGAAAGTGTGGGTCAACAGCGCCCTTTGGAATTGGCAGAGCCCATGGGGCAGACGAGCCTTGACTGATGGCTCCCGAGGCTGGTTGTGGAAGGGGTTGTTTCAGTTCCTCCTCCGCAACCAAAGTTGCCAACTTTTGTGCTAGGGATGAGTTGGACAGAGGGGAATACCAGAATCTCTAATAGAGGAAGAGACGAGAATAGCTTGCAAAAGAGGGGAGGTGACAGGGACTCGGTGGGTGGGTGGTGCCACTGAGTGCAACAGATAGGAGGTGGGAGATGGTGTTGCATCTGGGCTTTTCAAACAAAAAGCTGATGGTCTTTAGCACCAGAACAGTGCTATCAAATTGTTCCTACCGGTAATCAGTTTTTCCCACTTCTTTCTGCTCTTAATGGTTTCGTGTTCCCATGCCCTTCAGGACGGTCTTCTGAAAATCCTCTGGCATATCCTGCAACATACATAAAATGTCTTGCATCTTTGTCAGGCAGCCCAAGCCCCCTTCAGATGTCTCTGTTAGATTGCATCAACTAGTCGCGCTCAGTCCCCGAAAACTGAAGAACGCTGCAGCTACTGCTTTTCCTCTTCTATCCAGCCTTGCTTGTTAGTCTTGACTATACAGTCGTACCTTGGAAGTCGAACAGAATCCGTCCCGGAAGTCCGTTTGACTTCCGAAACGTTCGGAAACGAAAGCACGGCTTCTGATTGGCTGCAGGAAGGTCCTGCAGCCAATCAGAAGCCGTGGAAGCCCCGTCGGACGTTCGGGTTCCAAAGAACGTTTGCAAACAGGAACACTCCTGGGTTTCCGGCGTTTGGGAGCCAAAACGTTCGACTTGCAAGGTGTTCAGGATCCAAGGTATGATGGTATATCCCTTTGTGTTCAGGCTGTATTGATTGAGAAAAGGAGAGCGAGAGACTGCCCTCTTCCGTCCTGGGCCTTTTTAGAAGGAATGCTACACATTCTATTCTATTCTATTCTATTCTATTCTATTCTATTCTATTCTATTCTATTCATATCTTTTGGGATGCTGATGAAGACACTTAAAGGTAAAGGACCCCTGACAGTTAAGTCTAGTCGCAGATGACTCTGGGGTTGCGGCACTCATCTTGCTTTAAAGGCCGAGGGAGCTGGCATTTGTCCGCAGACAGTTTTTCCAGGTCATGTGGCCAGCATGACTAAACTGCTTCTGGCGAAACCAGAGCAGCGCATGGAAACGCCGTTTACCTTCCCGCCGGAGCGGTACCTATTTAACTATTTGCATTTTTGGTGTGCTTTCAAACTGCTAGGTTGGCAGGAGCTGGGAACGAGCAATGGGAGCTCACCCCATCGCGGGGATTCGAACCACCGACCTTCTGATCGACTAGCCCAAGAGGCTCAGTGGTTTAGACCACAGCGCCACCCGCGTCCCTTAAGAACACTTAAGCGGCTATCTAAGATCATTGACTTGCAAAGAAACTTGACTGACCAAATCGGCAACCTCCTCTCTTGGATGCTAACCCTCACTGGGTACAGGAGCCCAAGAATTGGAAGGGACTCGAGGTATCATGCAAACTCAACCCCAACAACCCACAGCAATGTTGTCCGTCTATTTAACCTTGACATATCAAAATTGCAATCTGCATTTCCATTCCTTTGTGGTGTTGGACATGGACCAGCCGTCCCTCACCTTGACTCAAGCCAGCACTAACTCACCCTCTGGAACATCTGTTGCGCGGGGAATCTCGAGGTGACTTTGTGGATGCTTTGCGAGCCTCCTAATTTGCAGTGGACGTAGCCGTAGAGGTTGGCAGCTTGGAGGCAGATGCCAGCTATCACGAGAGCCTGCAACAAACAGCAAACAGAAGCAGGTTGGGACGTTTACCAGCAAGTGTGTTGGCAGTGCACAGAATGCACCACTGAGTGTGCACTTAATATTAATAATAATAATAATAATAATAATAATTAATAATAATAGAGACAGAGAAGTAGGTACACCACTTTGAGCTCCTTGGAGGAAAAGGTGGGACAGAAATGCAAAAAACAAATTATCTTCTCGGATATTCTGTTGGGAGTTACTTATCCATCTTGACTAGAGATGGATAGATCAGTCAATTTCGGCTCTCTCAGTTTTTCCGTTTTCCAATATGAAATTCAGTTCTCCACATTTTGCAGAAATTTGCAAAAGTATATGAAATCCTTGTGAAAATTCCAGCAGCATTTTGTCGTGAATTTCTCCTAACAAATACAAATGCAGTTTTGACGAATGCACCCATTTTTGCAAGCAATTTCCCCTAACGTAAAGCATTTTTCTCTGTGTTATTATTAATACTATTATTAATTAGAATTATATACTGCCCTTCATCATAAGATCTCAGGACGGTTCACAGAATCATATCTATAATATTCATGAATATCTTTCTCTTCATGTATGCTTTCCCCTAATATCAATGCCTTCTTGTAAATGTTAATTGGACAACTGCATTGCAAAATTCAGATAGGCACAAATTTCAGCTGTGTTCTAGGTCAGTGCGAATTTGATAAATTGTCTATAATTGTGTACTGTCAATTTTTTTCTCCACCCCTAACCTTGGCTACCTTCCTAGATTGAAGAGACTTCTGTGACTCTATTGCTTTTTTCCTTAATGTGGATCCCCAAGTTTTTCTATCAGAAGCTAGGTGGCGTGTTATGACTGTTCTTCCACGTGCCACGACATGGGTAGGCAAACTAAGGCCCGGGGGCCAGATCCGGCCCAATCACCTTCCAAATCCGGCCCGCAGGCGGTCTGAGAATCAGCGTGTTTTCACATGAGTAGAATGTGTCCTTTTATTTAAAAGCATCTCTGGGTTATTTGTGGGGCCTGCCTGGTGTTTTTACATGAGTAGAATGTGTGCTTTTATTTAAAATGCATCTCTGGGTTATTTGTGGGGCATAGGAATTTGTTCATTCCCCCCCCCCAAAAAAATATATAGTTTGGCCCCCCACTAGGTCTGAGGGACAGTGGACCAGCCCCCTGCTGAAAAAGTTTGCTGACCCCTGTGCTATGATCTGGGTGTGAAGAGCTATAGCCAATATTATTTATTGCATCCTTATAGGCTTGTATCCAACAGAGATGTCCCATTGGTGCAAGGACTTCTGCCTGTGCAACAGGCCTTCCTCTCCCTCCATGCCCCATCTCTGCCCCCTGGGCTCTTGCAAACTTTTGTCCAACCTTACCAGCCATTTCAGCTTCAAGGAAAACAAGGTGCTGAAGAAAAAAAGGGTCCAGATGACCGGGCAGATAATCAGGCCCAGCCAGAATATCCGGGCTTCAACTTCGGTGGGGGCAGCTACAGTTGACTGGACCTACGGAGGAGGAAAGCGGGGGAAAGAGAGGGGTGGGTTACCATCAGCTGAAATCTCTGCAAAAATGACGCAGAATTAAACAGAAATGGGAACTTCTGCCATATATCATCTGATTCTAGGAAAACAGATTCATTTCCTCATTATTGGCAATAAACTTCCTTAAAATTTGGTATCGTTTGGTGGATATGTTGATCCCATGCATTTAAAAAAAGGCCTTTTTTTTTGTTTAGTCAAGAAATACTGGCCACGTCATTGTAATGGTCACTGCGGAATTGCATTTTATCTTCATTTTACAGTTTGATACACATTGCCTTCATTTGCACATGGCTTTGGGTTTTTAAAACAAAAAAACTAAGCAGTATTTTAAATGAAAAACTGCAATAGATTTCCAGACCCCCCACACCTGGAATCACTTGGCATCAGGTGTGGGACAGATGAGCGTGGTTTGGGGGAAATGGCCTCTGTCACCAAATGTGTAAGCAGGCAGAGGGTAGGGTTGCCATTTTTCAAAAAGCAAAAACCAGGACACCCCAAAAGTTGTTGAGCAGATTTGGCATTTAGAAAACATCTAGTGGCAGCCCTGTTCAGGGAAGTTTTTAGTGGTTGATGTTTTATTGTATTATATTTAATATTAAATGTTAATATTTTGTTGGGAGTGGCTGGGGCAACCCAGTCCAGTCAGATGGGTGGCATATAAATAATAAATTTATTATAAAATTATCATTATGTGGACCACCCTTGCTATACACATAGTAAAGGTAAAGGGACCCCTGACCATTAGGTCCAGTCATGACCGACTCTTGGGTTGTGGCGCTCATCTGTGGCCGAGGGAGCCGGCGTACAGCTTCCGGGTCATGTGACCAGCATGACTAAGCCGCTTCTGGTGAATCAGAGCAGCGCACGGAAACACCATTTAGCTTCCCGCCGGAGCGGTACCTCTTTATCTACTTGCACTTTGACGTGCTTTCGAACTGCTAGGTTGGCAGGAGCAGGGACCAAACAACAGGAGCTCACCCCGTCACAGGGATTTGAACCACCGACCTTCTGATCAGCAAGTCCTAGGCTCTGTGGTTTAACCCACAGCGCCACCCGCGTCCCTGCTATACACATAAGCTGGCATAAAAATTCCAGGCCTAAATGAGGCAACTGTTGCTTGGTTTTCCTCATTTCGGATGGCTTGTGTGCATCCAACAGTGGTGTAGTCAAAAACTTAATTGCATATTATTTGAATAAGTCCTTTCTTCTGTCTACCATCTATTGGAGGACTCTGAACAATATTGTAGGAGGGAGGAGAAAAAAATTATCTCCATCCACTTCCCCCCTCCCCATTCTTGACATTACAAACCACTTCCTGCGCTTTCCCTGTATGTTTTAGACCAGTGGTTCCCCAAGTGGGAAGTAACTTGGCATTAGCTAGGATTACAATAGAACCTTGGTTCTCAAACTTAATCCATTCCGGGAGTCCGTTCGACTCCCGAAACCATTCAGAAACCAAGGCATGGTTTCTGATTGGCTGCTGAGCTTCCTTCACTCAAGCGGAAGCTGCGTTGGACGTTCAGCTTCCAAAGAACGTTCAAAAACCAGAACACTCACCTCTGGGTTTTGGGTACTCAGGAGCTGATTTGTTCGTCAACTAAGCCGTTCGAGAACCAAGGTACCACTGTACCTTGCTAAGAGGCAAGGGGGCAGCAGGGGGCTGCTGGAGATGTAAAAGGCTGGTATCACTGGATCACATTTATCAATTTTGTCAAATTAATCAAACTAAATGGTCTTAATTGGATTGTGAATAAATGTGCACTTAATTGTTTCTGTTTTGATTTCTGCTGTGTTGTTATCTTCCTTAGGGGGTTGTGTGAGCCACTACAGACGTACCTTGGCTGTTGAACACTTCTATGTTTCGGCTCCCGAATGATCAAAGCCCTGGAGTGAGTGTTCCAGTTTTTGAACGGCTTTTTTGGAAGCCGAACGTCCGATGCGGCTTCCGCTATTGTTTCCAGTGCGCCTGCACATTCGGAACGCATTCTGTTCGAAAACCAAGGTACGACTGTATTCCGAATTATGCTTTTTAATAGGGTGTAGGGGGGCACTGCTGATGTGTTTATGGAACCGAGGGAGGGGTCTGAAAAAAGTTTGGGAACCACTTGGAATAATAGAATTGTAGACTTGGAAAGGACCATGAGGGTCATCTGGTCCAACCCTCTGCAATGCAGGAATCTTTGGCTCAACGTGAGGCTCGAAGCCCCAACCCTGGGAGATTAAGAGTCTCAGGATCTACCGACTGAGATATTGGCCGCTACAACACATGGTCCACCGGCAAGGGCCCTTCTATGCTCTGCGGAAGACAATGTAAAGGAATACCTTTTTCGCTTCGTACACCCAGTGGCTCTTCCCATCCTCATCAATCTGGTTCCACCATCGCAAACCGACCAGCAGCCTTCCAGTGACGTTCTAAATGAGAGGGTGAAAGCCAGCCAGCTAGAGAGGTCTGTATTTTTGTTTTTTTACAATCATTTTTATTTGATTTCACAAGTGTAAAGTTGCAACAATACCAAATACATATCCATATTTAGAGATTTCCCGGAATCTCCAGACTTCTCCCCATCCCCTCCACGGGTCCTATTGTCAACTTTTTCAACTGCATATTATTTCATAATCTGTATTTTGTATCTGCCAATATTGTCCACAGTGTTTGTTTTCATCTGCTTATAGTGGTCTCCTAAATAAATGAAAAATGTTTTCCATTCTTTCCTGGTTCCTGAGCTTTTGGGGTTTTTTAAATAAAAGTTATTTTAAACATTTTTTCAGTTCATTATATATCATTTCCTAGAATGTTTTTATTACCTTACACAACCACCACATATGATGAAAGGTACCTTCTTTTTCTTTACATTTCCAGCAGGTATTTGTACTTGCATTTTTGCTAACTTACTAGGAGTTAAATACCACTGGTACACCATTTCCATAGAGAGATCTGTATTTTTGGATCAGGATGCCAGGCTAACTGGGCCACTGGCCTGATCCATCTTTGGGGCTCTTATGTACTTATGCCACGACGAAAGCAGTGTTGGATGGTGCCCATTGGGACTGGTAGAGGGCAGAAGGCAGGAGGACCAACAGTAGGTGGCGCCAGAGTTAATGCCTGACGGTGCCAATGGAGTCTGCTTTTCTCCCTATCCTCCTTCTCCCTGCGGAGCATTACAAGGGCAACACTGAGACTAAGGGGAGGGGAGATGGCAGACTGTTTCATTCCATTGGATAAAAGACAAAATGGCGCAAGGTGGCATAACGTTAGAGTTGTGAGATGCCCAGAGCGTCCTTACCTTCACAGACCAGAAGTCGAAGGACAGGAGGAGGAGAATGAGGACGAAACAGGCAATGAAACTCTTGCTGAACCAGTCGCAGACTAGGTAGGTCACGATGGCACTCACTCGGAAAAAGAGGTGGAAGAAGGTGGCCAGAGGATGCCTAGAAGAGAACGATCCGGACCATATGCTAAGCTGTTTTGTGTTGCCCCCAGAAGTCAAGACCCAAGTTTGGGGCAAGTACTCTCTGGTGAGAGAATCCCAGCAGACAGTTAAAATCACAAAATATGCAGCAAAGTAAAGCATGGAAGTATAGGCGTAAAACCTTTTAAATGCACCTTTCCAGTGAATTACCATATTTTTCACTCCATAAGACACACTTTTTTCCTCCTAAAAAGTAAGAGGAAATGTCTGTGCGTCTTATGAAGCGAATGCTGCGTGGAGGAGTTACGTGTAAGCGGCTCCTGTCCGCTTTGCTGCTTTTTTTTTTTTTAATGATATTTATTAAAATTTCAAAAGAAAAAGATTACATTAATAAGAAAATTAACAATAAAAAGGAAAAATACAAAATACAAAAAAGAAAAAACAGTTAAAAACAATTCCATCTTTTCATCACTTCTTTTACATCTACTTGTTTCCCGGACCTCCTCATACCTCCCTCTTTTGTATTCCAATTCAATTTGTTAGTCCAGCGATTCCTTTCCCTCCTTTTTAATCCTGATCTTTAATCTTGATATATTATAACATTAAATTTTTAGATATTAAAAACCAATTTTTCCATATTCTTTTATACCATTACCGCTAGAAACCGCTTAACTTCAATCCGTCATCATTCTAACATTCATTAATTTTACAATATTTCTGTAAGTAGTCTTTAAATTTCTTCCAATCTTCTTCCACCGACTCTTCTCCCTGGTCTCGGATTCTGCCAGTCATTTCCGCCAATTCCATATAGTCCATCATTTTCATCTGCCATTCCTCCAGTGTGGGTAGATCTTGTGTCTTCCAATGCTTTGCAATAAGTATTCTTGCTGCTGTTGTAGCATACATAAAGAAAGTTCTGTCCTTCTTTAACACCGATTGGCCGACTATGCCCAGGAGAAAGGCCTCTGGTTTCTTCAAGAAGGTATATTTAAATACCTTTTTTAATTCATCTCCCAGAAAACCTTAATCCTTGGGCACGTCCACCAAAGGTGAAAGAATGTACTTTCAGTTTCTTTACATTTCCAACATTTGTTATCGGGCAGATGGTAGATTTTTGCAAGCTTGACTGGGGTTATGTACCACCTGTATATCATTTTCATAATATTCTCTCTTAGGGCATTACATGCCGTAAACTTCATACCTGTGGTCCCGCTTTGCTGCTTTAAAGCGAGCCATAGAGGAGGAAGGGAAGGAGAGCCATGGCTCCCGTCCGTCCCTCCTCCGTGGTTCGCTTTAAAGCAGCAAAGCAGACAGGAGTTGCCCACTTTGCTGCTTTAAATAGTTTAGTACAACATTTGATTCAAAATATTTTTTTCATCTTTTCCTCCTCTAAAAACTAGGTGCGTCTTATGGTCAGGTGTATCTTATGGAGCGAAAAATACGGTACGTATTGGTTCCATCTTAGTCATTCGAACCACTTCTATTGCATTTAATGGGCTCTTTGGGCAAGCTGCTTGAGTTTGTTCTTAAAAAGGGATTGGAATGTAATTTCAAAAAAATTAAAAATGATGATGCATGGAAACATTTAAAAACTCTACTTGCAGACAACTTGCAGCAGCCACACTTGAGATCCCTTTGCTGTAAAGAGACAGTAGCAATGGGTCTCTCATTTCCTCATAGATCTGTATGTTCTGTCTGGTGTTGTTTTTAACAGAAGCCTGGGGTTCCCCTTTGTGGATTATGGTAAAAAATGAAGTTGCACGTGGAGTCGTATTAGTAGCTGTGGTTTAACAACAACACAACAGAAAAGTCCCAAACTTCTCAGCTTTCTATGTACATTGAAACGTGCAGCCGAGGTTTCAAAAATGGAGCATCTTTTCTGAAGTTCTTATAGTTCATTTAGTGCAGAGTCTCCCCAGTTCCACCGTTGTGAGACTCTTCGAGACTTGAGAAGTTGGCGTGTTCCTGGGGACAGAGCCATCTTTTCCACAGCCTCCCATATCCAGATTCAAATTTCACTAACAAGGCAACCGAATGCTGTTGTTGTTGTTTAGTCATTTAGTCGTGTCCGACTCTTCGTGACCCTATGGACCAGAGCACGCCAGGCACTTCTGTCCTCCACTGCCTCCCGCAGTTTGTTCAAACTCATGCTGGTAGCTTCGAGAACACCATCCAACCATCTCATCCTCTGTTGTCCCCTTCTCCTTGTGCCCTCCATCTTTCCCAACATCAGGGTCTTTTCCAGGGAGTCTTCTCTTCTCAGGAGGTGGCCAAAGTATTGGCGCCTCAGCTTCAGGATCTGTCCTTCCAGTGAGCACTCAGGGCTGATTTCCTTCAGAATCGATAGGTTTGATCTTCTTGCAGTCCATGGGACTCTCAAGAGTCTCCTCCAGCACCATAATTCAAAAGCATCAATTCTTCGGCGATCAGCCTTCTTGATGGTCCAGCTCTCACTTCCATACATCACTACTGGGAAAACCATAGCTTTTACTATACGGACCTTTGTTGGCAAGGTGATGTCTCTACTTTTCAAGATGCTGTCTAGGTTTGTCATTGCTTTTCTCCCAAGAAGCAGGCGTCTTTTAATTTTGTGACTGCTGTCACCATCTGCAGTGATCATGGAGCCCACGAAAGTAAAATCTCTTACTGCCTCCATTTCTTCCCCTTCTATTTGTCAGGAGGTGATGGGACCAGAGGCCATGATCTTCGTTTTTTTGATGTTGAGCTTCAGACCATATTTTGCGCTCTCCTATTTCACCCTCAATAAAAGGTTCTTCAATTCCTCCTCACTTTCTGCCATCAAGGTTGTGTCATCTGCATATCTGAGGTTGTTGATATTTCTTCCGGCAATCTTAATTTCGGCTTCGGATTCATCCAGCCCAGCCTTTCGCATGATGAATTCTGCATATAAGTTAAATAAGCAGGGAGACAATATACAGGCTTGCCGTACTCCTTTCCCAATTTTGAACCAATCAGTTGTTCCATATCCAGTTCTAACTGTAGCTTCTTGTCCCACATAGAGATTTCTCAGGAGACAGATGAGGTGATCAGGCACTCCCATTTCTTTAAGAACTTGCCATAGTTTGCTGTGGTCGACACAGTCAAAGGCTTTTGCATAGTCAATGAAGCAGAAGTAGATGTCTTTCTGGAACTCTCTAGCTTTCTCCATAATCCAGCGCATGTTTGCAATTTGGTCTCTGGTTCCTCTGCCCCTTCGAAATCCAGCTTGCACTTCTGGGAGTTCTCGGTCCACATACTGCTTAAGCCTGCCTTTTAGAATTTTAAGCATAACCTTGCTAGCGTGTGAAATGAGTGCAATTGTGCGGTAGTTGGAGCATTCTTTGGCACTGCCCTTCTTTGGGATTGGGATGTAGACTGATCTTCTCCAATCCTCTGGCCACTGCTGAGTTTTCCAAATTTGCTGGCATATTGAGTGTAGCACCTTAACAGCATCATCTTTTAAAATTTTAAATAGTTCAGCTGGAATATCATCACTTCCACTGGCCTTGTTATTAGCAGTGCTTTCTAAGGCCCATTTGACTTCACTCTCCAGGATGTTAGGCTCAAGGTCAGCAACCACACTACCTGGGGTGTACGAGACATCCGTATCTTTCTGGTATAATTCCTCTGTGTATTCTTGCCACCTCTTCTTGATGTCTTCTGCTTCTGTGAGGTCCTTTCCACTTTTGTCTTTTGTCTTTTATTATGGTAAACCGAATGCTGGTTGTAGCCAAACAGAATAGTATAAGCAGAAAATATACATAATAATTGCACATGAAAAGAAAATGCTTGGCCTATGCAATAAATAAAGCAAGCGTTTAAAAAAACCACAAAAACATAAAATCTTAAATTTTGAGGGTGACCAGGTTGTCTAGGTTGGGAAAGCTCCCCTGTGAATTTAGCTGTATTAAGCATTATGGGCCTGTCCAACAGATATGAAATCATATTGATGTCACTGAGGGTAGAAAATTTTCTCCAGATATTTTTGGTTAGGTGTTTCACACAATTTACAGAATAGCATATAATGCGTAGCATCCTCTGCCCAGGGTCAAGTGCATATGCAAAACCACTGATCCCTGCGGATTTTCTTAAATTGCCCTTCAAAAAAATGGACTTGATAGTGTGAAAACGCAGGGCTACAACATCTTTGAGGAGGAACGCTGGCTCCCTCGGCCTGAAAGTGAGATGAGCGCCGAAACCCCATAGTTGCCTTTGACCGAACTTAACCATCCAGGGGTCCTTTACCTTTACCTATCAAACAGGCTTCAGCGATACTACTGCTTAGTAGGGTATTGCTAGGGATTCAGCACAGCTCAATCGTAATTGAAATTGCAGTAATTAAGAGTTTTGCACTGAACACACTTCCGGGAAGTGATTTTTGGATAAGTTTGCACTGAAACGCTGGTGAGTTTTCAGGAGGACTCAAACAGAAATCCACAAAAGGATACAGAAACGTGAAATGAACTTGGAAAGCGAGAAACTGACCCATTGGCCCATCCCTACCTATCGCGAATAATTATGACCTATGAACACACATTTCTGCAATTGAATTTTGGAGGGGTGGTGTAGAGGTTAGAGTGTCGGCCTGGGGCCTGGAAGACCTGGGTTCAAATCCCCACTCGGTCATGAAGCTCACCTTGGAGTCAGTCTCTGTCTCTTAGCCAAACCTACCTCACAGAGTCGTTGTGGGGATTAAATGAGGAGCAGGAGAACGACTTACATCACCTTTGGATGAGGGACGTTGCAATATAAATTCAAATTGTAAAATCGATAAATACAGACCCTCCAATGACCCTATTTCCCAGGTACATCCCTAATTTATAGAAGCAGTCCCGGTTTCTGATTTGATCCCGGAATGTCCCGCTTTTCCTTAGGATGTCCCTAATTCCACTGGAGAAATGTTGGAGGGTGTTGAGTTATCTGACCCCTGAGCAATCTGAAGGCAATCCTCTACAGTGGTACCTCAGGTTAAGTACTTAATTCATTCTGGAGGTCCGTTCTTAACCTAAAACTGTTCTTAACCTGAGGTACCACTTTAGCTAATGGGGCCTCCTGCTGCTGCCGCGCCACCGGAGCACGATTTCTGTTCACATCCTGAAGCAAAGTTCTTAACCTGAAGCACTATTTCTGGGTTAGCGGAGTCTGTAACCTGAAGCGTATGTAACCTGAAGCGTATGTAACCCGAGGTACCACTGTATAAGGAAGGGTTTTTTTTAATGTTTAATGTTTTATTATGTTTTTATATATGCTGGAAGCTGCCCAGAGTGGCTTGGCCAACCCAATAAGATGTGTGGGGTATAAATACCGTAGTAAAATTATCATTGTGGAATGGGACGTCCCTATTTTCATCGGAGAAATGTTGGAGGGCATGTAAATAATAAAATTAATTTACTTCATTTACCTGATCTTTGCTTTCCTTAAGGCCAATTCCTCTTCGTTTCCGAAGTCAAGAGACACGTCTTCAGTGTCGTCTGCTAAAGTCTGGAAAAGACACACGAGCACACATGCGTTTTTTGTTTTTTTTAAAAGTACTGATCAAAGGAAGGATGTAGTGGAAATTCCTTCCTTCCTTTGCGGTTGATGTCATGCATGAGCCTCTTTCCCCAAAGACCAGAAGTCCACCATACAGAATCAATTGAATCAGGAAGTGGGATGTGATTCATCCCCCCAGAAGGCAGTGATAGCCGCCAATCTAGATGGCTTCAAAAAGAATTATATGACATAGAATGAATTGAAAAATATGTTTAAAATAATGTCTGTAAAAACAACCACCCAGAAGCTTTCCTTTAGGGAATTATAGGGACAGAACTACCCAAAGTGTATTGAAATTTATTCATGTATGCGACTACAGTGGCAAGAATGTTACTTGCCCAAAAATGGAAAGAAGAGAAATCCCAGCGAAAAAAGAACGGATGCAAAAAATTATGGCGAATACGCAGAAGTGGCGAAACTTACCGGAAAAATACGAAAACAAGATAACAAACTTTTTATAAAAGAATGGAAATGGTTTATTGAATATTTACAAAACAAACTGTAAACGGATAAGAACATTGGCAGGATTATTGTAATAAGCTGCAGTTTTATAGGGGTGTATATTTAAAGCAGATGAATAAATGAGCAAATTAAGAGTTAATTTGGATTTGCAGAAAATATTTTTTAAAAAATTAAAGAACCACAGAAAGAGGGGGAAGGAAGTCAAGTTTGAAATGTTAAAATGATTGTAAAATTATTGAAATGTATAAAACAGAAAATCTATATCTATATATCTATATCTATATCTGGCCACCTCATGAGAAGAGAAGACTCCCTGGAAAAGACCCTGATGCTGGGAAAGATGGAGGGCACAAGGAGAAGGGGACGACAGAGGACGAGATGGCTGGACAGTGTTCTCAAAGCTACCGACATGAGTTTGACCAAACTGCGGGAGGCAGTGGAAGACAGGAGTGCCTGGCGTGCTCTGGTCCAGGGGGTCACGAAGAGTCGGACACGACTAAACGACTCAACAACAACAACAATATATCTATATCTATGAATTAAAGAAAGTCATGGAGGAAAGGGCTAGCGGTGGCTACTAGCCACATTGGCTTTGCTCTGTCTCCATACAGTGGTACCTCAGGTTAAGAACTTAATTCGGTCTGGAGGTCCGTTCTTAACCTGAGACTGTTCTTAACCTGAGGTACCACTTTAGCTAATGGGGCCTCCTGCTGCCGCCGCACCGCCGCTGTGTGATTTGTGTTCTCATTCTGAAGCAAAGTTCTTAACCCGAGGTACTATTTCTGGGTTAGCGGAGTCTGTAACCTGAACCGTATGTAACCTAAAGCGTCTGTATCCCGAGGTACCAATGTAGCTGGTGGCTGCCAGGCCTCTGAATACCAGTTACTGGAAACCACATGAAAGGAGAATGCTCTCATGCTCCTATTCTGCTTGCTGGTTTCCCACAAGTATCTGGTTGGCCACTGTGAAAATAGGATGTTGGACTTGTTGGGCCATTGGCCTGATCCAGTAGGCTCTCCTTATGAAACTGCCTGCAGGAAAGCATTTACTCAAGCAGCTTCAATGTGTGAAAAAGAAATACAGTGGTACCTCGGGTTAAGAACTTAATTCGTTCTGGAGGTCCGTTCTTAACCTGAAACTGTTCTTAACCTGAGGTACCACTTTAGCTAATGGGGCCTCCCGCTGCTGCCTCACAATTTCTGTTCTCACCCTGAGGTAAACTTCTTAACCCGAGGTACTATTTCTGGGTTAGCGGAGTCTGTAACCTGAAGCGTCTATAACCTGAAGAGTCTGTAACCCGAGGTACCACTGTACACCCAAGCGCCGTTCACGCACATCCAGTAATTCAGTAGCTGGGAATCTACAAGCAGAACCAGGAAGGCCAATTACTCACACCCAAAAGAATTCACTTGGCTTCCAGCTGGAAATCTGAACCTCCGGGGGAATTAGGAAAGGCGTTTGCTACATTGGGAGTGGCTGAAATGAATCTGAAAGTTGCATGGCCACAGGAGGTCCAGTTCGGGGGGAAAGTCCAGCCAGGCATGGGATGTCATCTCTGAGGAATGTTTTTCCCAGCAAACGGGGGAATTATCTTTCCAAATGTGGGGGAGGGAGGGAGGTTAAAAGAAGGCAGCACGCAGCCTGTGTGAACCCCCGGAACATTCCCCCATCGTGTTTTGGCACAAAGCAGATGGGAAGCTTAAAATGGTTGGGTGGTGGGCGACTTTAGGAGGAAATGGAAGCCAGTAAGTTGAAGGGGACCAAACGATGGTCACGAACAACGATGATCGGTTGCTCTAGTCTAGGGCATGTGGTAAGGAATCCTGGACCTGCCAGACATTGCTGAACCACAACTCCCATCATCCTTAGACATTGGTCACACTTGCTGGGGCTGATGGGAGTTGTAGTTCAGCAGAAGCTCAACATCAAAAAAAAAAGGAAGATCATGGCCACTGGGCCCATCACCTCCTGCAAACAGAAGGGGAAGAAATGGAGGCAGTGAGAGATTTTACTTTCTTGGGCTCCATGATCACTGCAGATGGTGACAGCAGTCACAAAATTAAAAGACGCCTGCTTCTTGGGAGAAAAGCAATGACAAACCTAGAGAGCATCTTAAAAAGCAGAGACATCACCTTGCCAACAAAGGTCCGTATAGTCCGTATAGTTAAAGCTATGCTTTTCCCAGTAGTGATGTATGGAAGTGAGAGCTGGACCATAAAGAAGGCTGATCGCCGAAGAATTGAGGCTTTTGAATTATGGTGCTGGAGGAGACTCTTGAGAGTCCCATGGAAGATCAAACCTATCCATTCTGAAGGAAATCAGCCCTGAGTGCTCACTGGAAGGACAGATCCTGAAGCTGAGACTCCAATACTTTGGCCACCTCAGGAGAAGAGAAGACTGTCTGGAAAAGACCCTGATGTTGGGAAAGATGGAGGGCACAAGGAGAAGGGGATGACAGAGGACGAGATGGTTGGACAGTGTTCTCGAAGCTACCAGCATGAGTTTGACCAAACTGCGGGAGGCAGTGGAAGACAGGAGTGCCTGGCGTGCTCTGGTCCATGAGGTCACGAAGAGTCAGACACGACTAAACGACTAAACAACAACATTTTCATCAGAGAAATGTTGGTGGGCATGCAATGGCCAACAGTGGGAAGATCACAAGCAGGACTTGAGTTCAAAAAGTACTCTCCTCTCTTGCGGCTTCTAGCAACTCATATAATTCTTTTAAATAAACTGCTTCCCCACATCTAGCCTAGCTCAACCAATCAAAAGAATAGAAGAGCAGCTTGCTGGATCAAGCTGAAGACCCATCAAGTCCAATATCCTGTTCTCAGAGCAGCCAACCAGATGTGTATTATGGGAAACGCGCAAGCGGGAACAGAGCTCAAGAGCACTCTGCGCTCCTATGGTTTCCATGAGAATTGAAGAAAAGCCCTGTGGGCCAAGCCAATGGCCCATATAGTCCAGCATCCTGTTATCACAGAGGCTGACCAGGTATTCACAAGAGAAACCCGTGAGCAGGATCCGAGCACAAAAGCACTCCCCCCCCCCCCCGCGATTTCCAGCAAACCAATATTCAGAAGCATGGCTGCCACTTTTTGTAGAGAGACACAGACTTCTTGCGGTTAGGAAAGTGACAGGAAATGGGTTGAGACGTGGTGTGGGGTGAGCAAACAATTAACAGGAAGATTTATGAACTGCAAAAAAAAAAAAAGCCTGAGGAGTTTTATGGGTTTTTTTAGCATGGGTTTGTCATGCCAGCGAAACCGAGCTCTTCAAACCGCTTCAGTTGCGCAAAGCTAAATTTCCAGGAGGACCTTGAGTTCCTTCTGCAAAGTGGAGGTGACCAAAGTTAAAATATTTAAAGAGGCAGCCCAACAGCTGTTTCACAATGTAAGTAGTTTTACAAAGAGACAACTAAGAAAGGTGTGCAGATTTTTTTAATAAAAAAAATATATCATGGCCGTTCCACAGCAAAAGCGACACAAATTGGAATTTGGCTGGTCTTCCTGTCAGAAATTAGAACTATTTAAAGGCAACTTAGGCTTCTTATAGCCGGTTTGTTTAAAGCACACTCACCCAGTCAAAAAAAAAGAACCATGGGAGTTGTGGTTAACCCCTAGCAGTGCTACAAATCCCAGCACCTGGAACAAACTACAGTTCCCAGGATTCTTGGGGTGGGGTGTATGCTGCAAATGTATGTCATGTACACAGCCTTATTCCCAAATGAGGCTGCCCTCCTCTTCACACCGAATGCCTTGCCAGCTCACACCAAACATTTCCACACTGACTGAGGCCCCACAGCTTCACTGTCACACCTATGCACCCTGTAGGCCCATTGACAACAACAACCCATAATACTCCCCTCCCCATTTGACACTCTCCTGCCCACGGCCCCCTGCAGCTTGCGGCATTTCTCCTTCCCCTCACCTGCTTCATCATCGCAGCCTGGGCTCCTTCCCTCCCTTCCTCTTCTCTGTGGCTCTGCGGATGTGATGTGATGCTCAAGGCACCTTCTCCTTCCTGGCCGGTTGCTATGGAGACGGGAGTGCAGTGATGCAGTGAGATGCAGGAGAAGAAGGCAGGCTGGGCAGGCTGATGGACGTAGCCAAGCTGGGTTGCAGGGAGGGGCAGATGCCCTCCCTAAATCAATAAAAATAGATAGCCAGCTGAGGTTCGGCCTCCCCCCCATGAAAGGCCTGCCCCCCCCCCAAATCCTGGCTACGCCCATGAAGGCTGATGGGAGAAGAGGAGAGATGGAAGGAAGGTGTTGTGCTGGGAGGAAGGGACAACTTGAGAGCAGAGTAGGAGGGTTTGCTTGGATTTGTGGGGGGGGGGGGTGAGGTAGGGGAGTTAACTGTCATCAGATTAAGAGCAGCTTTGTGAAAGGGCAGATTTGGGGACTGTATACTGCTGACAGGTGCCTCTAATTTTAAAGGGCTTTAAAAAAAACACACCAGTCCATTAAGTTCTTATAAGTATCTTTATTAGGTTGCGGCCAACAGCAGTCCTACTCAGAGTAGCCCCCTTGGAAATGATAGACATGGGTCCCACAGGGTCATTGATTTCTGATTACAGGTAGGTAGCCGTGTTGGTCTGCCGTAGTTGAAACAAAATAAAAAAAAAATCCTTCCAGTAGTAGCACCTTAGAGACCAACTAAGTTTGTTATTGGTATGAGCTTTCGTGCGCATGCACACTTCTTCAGATACCTTCTTATACTTCTTATCTGAAGAATAATCCAGAGAATGCTCCTCTTTTTCAAGAGACACTGCACAGAGATATTCCTCAGCACATTAACAAAAAAGCATTGCGATTACTCATTTATTTATTGGCTGTCCTTCACCCTAAGGTCCCAGAGAGGGCTAGAAACAATGAGAACACCATGGTGTTGATTTTAAAAAAGGGGGAGGTTCAAAAAAGGAAATATAAACATAACCCCCTCATAAAGAGAAGCTTCCCTCCCCAAGAATATAGAGTTCCAGATTTTCAAATGTGAGTCCGCTGGTTGCCACTGAGCTGGATGTTCTGCGGAGCATGCGATGAAGGGGTACCATGTGTGTATTAAAATCATCCTCGTCTCTCTCTCTCTCTCTCCAGCAAAAGCTTTCTCTTCCTTGGTCAGCTTTCCTGAGGGCGCCTAAAGAATTGAAGTGATCTCCCTGGGGCACAAGCCTGGGCAGTGTGTTTGGAGATCCTGGGCTCCTCAGATAGCAAGACACCCGCATCCTGTCACCCTCACTGATGGGGTCCAAAGGAAAGCAGAACAAGATGTTTGGCCCCAGCATGGCTTTAGGAGTTGCTGGAAGGAGGCGGACAAGGTGCCACCCAACTGTCTTAAGGACTCCACTCTGGATTTGTGTAGGATTTACTCCTGAGCCGAATGGAGAATGAAACTGATGGACTATGCAGAATTAGATAAACTAACAGGAAGGATTCGAAACCTGCGGGACCAGAGATTCTCAGAAGACTGGAGTAAATTTACGGACTATTTGAAAAGTAACTGTGATGAACAGATTATGCTAGTAGGTCTGCAAGAAGTTTTGTAAGGTGAATTATTTGAAATATTGCAAAAAAGACAATGAGGAGAATTATTAGTTAAAGATAATTAAAGGTAATATGAAATTAAGAAATGCATAATAAATGATAAGAACGAAAAATCATCAGGGGTGTTGACGGAAGTCCAAAAAATATTGTATAAGATGAGAAGTTCTGTTGTATGAATGTTAATTAATATGTTAAAAACTAATAAAAATGCTTTTTAAAAAAAGGATTTATTCCTGAGCCTTTTCTTCTTCCGAAGATATCTGACAAGGTAGCGGAGATTTAGGACCAGAGTTCAAACTCATTTAGGACCAGAGTTCAAACAGAGTTCAAACTTATTATTTATATCCCCCCAAAAAATATCTGGCTGGGTTAACAAGCCACTCATGGGCGGCTCCCAACAGAATATGCATGGGCAAGCTTCCCAGCTTGTGGAGCCCCATCTGCCCATAAATCAGGATGAATGCTCAACAAATAAATAACCTGGGACAGCGGCAGAGGAAGCCGCTCAGGCGCCTGGGGCGATGTGCTCAAGGGCAGGGCGATCTGCCCATAAGCGCGGGGTGAGGGTGGGGTCTCGGAACAGGTCTCTGTTTCGATTTCTGGGAATGGAGTTGAGAGATGACCTAACCTGGGGAGAAAACAGTAAACACCTCATGAAGAAAGCACAGCAGAGGTTATATTTTCTGAGAATCCTCCGGAAAAATAATCTCTCAAAGGACCTGTTGATGGCTTTTTACCATTGTACTGTTGAGAGTGTATTAACTTATGGTCTGTGTGTGTGGTTTGGGAGCTGCATGGTCAGGGAAAAAACAATGCTGTCCAGAGTTGTAAAGACTGCAGAGAAAATAATTGGGTGCATTCTTCCCACTCTGGATCAAATCTATGCTTCCAGGTGTCATAAGAAAGCTGCAGAGATAGCGCAGGATAGTACGCACCCCGGAAATGATCTCTTTCAGCTTCTGCCTTCTGGAAGAAGGTACAGGGTTATAAAGACTAGGACTAGCCGCCTGAGAAACAGTTTTTATCCAAATGCGATTTTGGTTTTAAACACAGTGTAAGGTAGTCTCTAGGGATGCGGGTGCCACTGTGGGTTAAACCACAGAGCCTAGGTCTTGCCGATCAGAAGGTCGGCGGTTCGAATGCCCGCGATGGGGTGAGCTCTCGTTGCTTCGTTCCTGCTCCTGCCAACCTAGCAGTTCGAAAGCACGTCAAAGTGCAAGTAGATAAATAGGTACCGCTCCAGTGGGAAGGTAAACAGTGTTTCCGTGCACTGCTCTGGTTCGCTAGAAGCAGCTTAGTTATGCTGGCCACATGACCCGGAAGCTGTACGCCAGCTCCCTCGGCCAGTAAAGCGAGATGAGCGCCGCAAACCCAGAGTCGGCCACGACTGGACCTAATGATCAGGGGTCCCTTTACCTTTAAGGTAGTCTCTGTGGGAGTATATTGTATCTAATTATGGGCTATCAGAGTTTTTAGGGAGCTAACCAGGCTGGGATAGCTGGGACAGCAGGCTTGTTGGTTTTGAATGTCTGATGTAGATTTTTCCAATTTCATTGTTCTATATGGGACAATGACAACATTATCGTATCGTATAAGGGTGGGGCGCACCGTGGGGCCTCTGGAGTCCGCCTGCCTCCTCCCTCTCAGCCACCCTATAGCTGGGGGAGGGGAGGCAGTGGGCGGACAGTTTGGGCAACGTGGAGCCTGCGTGCGCCCAAGCCACTGTGTCTCTCCCAGGAGAGACGCGTGGCTCAGGCGCGCTGCAGACCCCGCAGTGAGTGTTGCCCGCCATTTTGTCACCCCCATCAGTGTTGACACCCAGGGTGGACGACATCCACCGCACCCACTTCCTCCACTCCTGACCTGGGAGAGTCTCTGGTAGTGTTGTGCACCAAAAGTCTCTTAAGTTCAAAGAGAGACAGAAGGCAAGGGAAGGAGAGAGTTTATGATTTGGAAGCTTGAAATCAGATATTCTGCTCCTAAGGTTAGGGATGGGTAAATCTGCAGGGCGTAGTCCAACCACCATATAAGGTTAAAAGGTAAAGGACCCCTGGAGGGTTAAGTCCAGTCACAGGCGACTACGGGGTTGCAGCGCTCATCTCGCTTTCAGGCTGAGGGAGCCGGTGTTTGTCCGCAGACAGCTTTCTGGGTCATGTGGCCAGCAGGACTAATCCACTTCTGGAGCAACGGGACACCGTGATGGAAACCAGAGCGCACAGAAACGCCGTTTACCTTCCCGCAGCAGTGGTACCTATTTATCTACTTGCGCTGGTGTGCTTTTGAACTGCTAGGTTGGCAGAAGCTGGGACAGAGCAACAGGAGCTCACCCCGTGGTGGGGATTCAAACCGCCGACCTTCTGATCGTCAAGCCCTAGAGGCTCAGTGGTTTAGATCACAGCGCCGCCTGCGTCCATATAATAGGGTTCCCCAACATCCAGAATTTCCTGGACATAGCCGGGATCCGGCCGTCGGAAACAGTGTAAAGTCTGGGAAAATCCAGACGTATGACAACCCATGTCAGAAGTGTAGAATTTGGTGGATTTTCTTCAAAGATTTTGCAAAAAAAAGAAAAGCTGGATTTTCACCTTTTGAAATATGGCAACCCTACTATGTAAGCTTTCTGCTACCAAATCAGGATGAATGCTGAATAAACAGGTCATCTGCGGGAACCCCTATTTTTTATATTGCATTACATTAAGGGGGAGGATTGTGGCTCAGTGGTGGAGCGTCTGCCTTGCACACAGAAGGTTCCAGGTTCAATCCCTGGCGTCTCCAGGCAGGGCTGGGAGAGACACGCTGCCTGAAACCCTGGAGAGATGCTGCCAGTCAGTGTAGACAATGCTGAACTGGATGGACCACTAGCCCAGCTCAGTCTGAGGCGGCTTCCTGTGTTCTTATGTTCAAGCTGATGTATTCATGCTGCTTGTTGAGGCCAGGTCCCCAAAACAGCGTACCAGGAAAAAGACACAAATATTTATTCTCCAACATTTCTCTAATTAAAATAGGGATGTATAATAATAATAATAATAATAATAATAATAATAATAATAATAAATTATTATTTTTATCCCCCCCAAAAAATATCTGGCTGGGTTAACAAGCCACTCATGGGCGGCTCACAACAGAATATTAAAAACAAAATAAAACAGCAAACACTAAAAATTTCCCTAAACAAGGTTGCCTTCAGATGTCTTCTAAAAGTCAGATAGTTGTTTATTTCCTTGACATCTGATGGGAGGGCACCACCACCGAGAAGGCCCTGTGCCTGGTTCCCTGTAGCTCCACTTCTCACAGTGAGGGAACTGCCAGAAGGCCCTCGGAGCTGGACGTTAGTGTCCGGGGTGAACGATGGGGGTGGAGACACTCTTTCAGGTATACTGGAAAAAGCAGGATATTCCAGGATCAAATCAGAAACCAGGACAGCTTCTGTAAATCTGGGATTGTCCTGGGAAAATAGGGACACTTGGAAGGTCTGAACAAATAGGTAATAAAACACAGCAGAAGTCAAACCAGTCCAAAACTAGCCATTGCCCTTGATGATTTAATTTCAGAAAGACAGGCTTGCTCCTGAATCAGGCTCACTGCTATGCTGGACAGAGTGCAGCAATTTTCCAATGAGTCTCCCTGTTCAGAGAATCTGGTTGTTAGTTACTCAAGCGTAGGATAAGGACAACATGCATACAAACCCACATTTCACAAAAATAACTTCACTGTTCTTTAAGGGATGGGCGGAATAATAGCTGAGCTGCCTCCGCCCACTAGGTTGTTTCGGTTTTTAAAAGGTCTTTTTGCTTTCTGATTATTTGCAAGATCTGTTCGCTTACAGTCATAGAATTGTAGAGTTGGAAGGAACCACGAGAGTCATCTAGTTGAACCCTCTGCAATGCAGGAATGTTTTGCCTAATCTTTTGCTTGAACATATAACTCTTAGATTATAAATCTCGTTCATTACTGACTGAGCAACACACAGGGCTTCTTGACATATTTTAATCGCTGACCTCTGAAGCCGAAACTTGCCTTCTATGTTTATCCAAGCGGTTGCCATGCAAGCATTAACCTGTTGATCTGGGAGGGAAGCGTTTTGTAGAAAACAGAGTGGAAAAATCACGTGACTTCTGAGAACTCAGGCCCGTTGTCTAACAGAAGGCAATATACTGTAGACGAAAGGAAATCTTTATGGCAGTTACCTCTGGCAACCTCCCAGTTTCAGAAAGCTTAAGAAGTTAACCATGTCAAAGTTGCCTCTGAGCAAGGAAGGAGGAGGGAGTCCATTCATTTTGCACTGGAAGCTGAACCTCCTTAAACAGTATGAGAACCAAAACATAGCCGTCGTATGCATACCTTCCAACATTTCTCCGATGAAAATAGGGACGTCCTATTCAATGATGATGATGATAATATTAATAATAATAATAATTTCATTTTTTATACCCCACCAGTCGGGCCAGGATCAGTGCAATATGCTCAAACCTTCTTGCCCCGTGAGGAAGCTGGCTGCTGAATTCTGCACCAGTTGACGCTTCCTAACCACCTTCAGAGACAGCCCAATGTATAACACGTCGCAGTAATCTATCCTAGAGGGTACCAGAGCATAGGCAGCAGTTTTTGAGCAGAATTCAAAGTGTTGCTGCTGACCTTTAAAGCTCTAAAGGTCAGTAGGCTTTGTAGACCAGAAGGTGTGTCTCCACCCCCATCATTCAGCCCAGACACTGAGGTCCGGCTTTGAGGGCCTTCTGGTGGTTCCGTCACTGCGAGAAGTGAGGTTACAGGGAACCAGGCAGAGGGCCTTCTTGGTAGTGGCGCCTGCCCTGTGGAACGCCCTCCCAGCAGATGTCAAGGAAATAAGCAACTATCTGATTTTTAGAAGACAGCTGATGGCAGCCCTGTTTAGGGAAGTTTTTAATGTTTCGTGTTTTATTGTGTTTTTAATATTCTGTTGGGAGCTGCTCCCAGATGGGCGGGGTTGAAATAATGAAGAAGAAGAAGAAGAAGAAGAAGAAGAAGAAGAAGGTGCACAGCTGGGCTACCAGCCAAAGCTGATGGAAGGCACTCTGTACCACTGAGGCCACCTGAGCCTCAAGCAACAGCAAAGGATCCAGATGTTACCTCCAAGCTACATACCTGCTCCTTCAGAGGGAGTGCAACTCTATCACTATAGATCTAACTATATCTGGCCCTGGTGCCTCAAAGCTTCAAAATCCTGCCAGTCCAGCAGGCCAACAACCTCTCTCTCGCCCCTTCTGGTTTCATGCCACTTTAAGCAATCATGGTGCCAGGAGTGCATGCAGGAGCCAGGCCCTGTGACCAATAGGACTTTGCAGGACTGGAGCCTTCCTGAGTTTGTTCTGAAGGGGCAAGGCACGGCCACACAGGTGAGGCCGACTGGTAACTCACAGCACCTGGTGGCAAGAGTCAGGAAGGGATATAAGGTCAGCATTTCCCTTGGGCTCTTCACACGTTTCCTGCCTTGCTGTGTTTGGCTCCTTGACCCCTTGCTTCTTGATCCTCGGACCCTTGACTTTGTGACTCCTTGCTTCCTGACCCTCGGACCCTTGGACCCTTGGCTTCTTGAATCCTGGCTTCTGGACCCCTGTTCCTGCTCCCACCCCGCCATCTTGCCCCCGGTCCCGATGTCCCCAGCCGGGACTTCGGTTGCCCATGAACCGGACCGTGACACATGGCTTCTTCCCCCAAAGAATCCTGGAAGTGTAGTCCATTAAGGGAGTCCTGAGTTGTTTGGAGAGACCCCTGTTCCCTTCCCAGAGTGGCTTAGGAATCAATCCCTCTTCCCAAGGGATGCGTGGAATTGTAGCTTGGATAGGGGGCCTCCCTAGGACTCTCAGCACCCTTAAGAAACGATGGCTCCCATAATTCTTTGGGGGGTTACTATGACTCTGAATGTGGCCTAAATGTGGTCTCAGCACACCATAGATATTGGCAGTTTTCTTTGCAACAGCTTTCCTCCATGGTCTGTGGTCTTCTCACGAGCATCTGCTTGGTCACTGTGAGACCAGGATGGGGAACCAGATGGACCCTGAATTCTTCTTCATAGGTGCCACACATGGTTTGAAGATATTTTGTGCTGCGCTAGCATTAAATCAAAACATTGTGGTTAGATTTAGTTGGTAGTCACATTCATAACTTCAATTAAATGAGGAAATGCACTTGCAAGAGTCCTGAGAAACTGTTGCTGCAGCTCTCTTTTTCACTTCAACTTTTTGCGTGTTTTCTTTTACATGCATACACAACAAGTGTCAACAATCTGGAGTCTGTCTCAAATTCTCTTCACACCGTTGATGTCCCCGGCATGGATCTCTTTGGGAAGATCTTGCCAGCAGTCAGAGGAATTGTCTGTGACGCGTCTTCCACCCAGATTCAGGTGCTTTTAGACCTCATGTTGGAAGGAGGAGTCATATCCAAGGAATACTACCAGACGTTGCTCCACGAAAGGGACAGAGAGGATCTAGCAAGGAAGATTTCGTTGACCTTGGTGGAAAAATCGGCCATGCAACTGAGCCAACAAGGTGCTGCATCAGCTAGAAACATGAGTAGTAAGTTTGCTTTTTCTTCCTTTATCATACACTTGCTCGACATTTTCAGTGCAGAAATTCTGCCGTCCATCCATTCTCAGTTCTGCGAGTGATGGGATGCACTATGTGTCTTAATTATCAATGGACAGTCCTCTATTTCAAAGGCATTTCTGGGGAAAGGAGCCTTTTATTTTAAGGGCTACCCAGTCCAGTAAAGGAAAATGACCAAATACTTAGCAGGCTGTCACATGGATGATGGAGCAAGCTTGTTTTCGGCTGCTCCAGAGGGTAGGACTCTGCAGGAATTGCATTTCCTGGCATGTAAGACACTTGAATGAGTCCTTTCTGAATACTCTCTTGCACATTGTAACTTAATCTGCAAGTATTTGGTTCTTTGCTTGCAACTCTCTGAGTTCAGCAAAGCCAAACAGGATCTATTGTCTTGATACACCTGTATAGGACATTTCACAGAAACTCTGATGTCCTGAAACCGTTGCATCAACCATTCACAATCCATGAGTGAAAATGACAGGGCATTGAGTTCTGCTTCACAGGAACTTAGGCTTACTGTCGTCTGCTTTTTGCACAGCCAGTCAAACAGACAGTGGCTGTACATGTAGCACACTCCAGAAGTGCTGGTACCATCCGTGGTTTCACTTCCAAAACTAGCATCTGCAAAGATTTCAAGACATCCAGTCTTCTGACTTGTGAACCTCAGTCTGTAGTGCAAAGTCCCCTTCAAATAGTGGGCTATGCGCTTCAGAGCTTTCCAATCCTGAACAGTAGGATTGTTGGCATGTCTGCACCAATGGATTCAAGTGACAAGAAAGGGGATTGCGGGGGAAAAACATTAGGAAGAAGTTCCTGGTGATAAAAGCCATTTGACAGTGGAATGTGGATTCCTTCGGAAGGTGGTGGACTGTCCTTCATTGAAGGTTTTTAAACAGAGGTTGGATGGCCATCTGCCCAGGATTCTTTCATTGTGAGCCCTGTATTGCAATGAGTCAGAATAGAGAACCCTTAGGGGTTTTATGACCCTAAGAAGAGAGAGCAGGGACTTTGAGGTTGCACATCAATGTTTAGCACCTGGAGAGCAGGTGCAGAAGGCAATAGGGGCGGGTGAATCTATCAATTTCCTTCAGTTTCTCCTTTTCCCAATCCTAAATTCAGTTCTCTCCATTTCCGCACCAGGTTACGATTTACTGATTTTTAAAGTTCTCTTGAAAATTCATCATCAGATCCCTCCTGATCCACGCAAGTCTGTGTTCAGATTTCACCTACACCACCCACATTTTTGCAAAGCAATCTTCTCTCGCTTTTCACAAATAGATGCGTTTTGTACGCATTTTACCTGAGCATCACATGCATTTCCTTTGAGCTTGTTTGGCACTTCGGCATTTGGAGAAGTCCGGATGCCGGGGGATTGGCTGTGTTTTGGTTCCTGTATTGTTTCAGAAAGCTCAGATTAGGGGCAGTTTGCTTTCGGATCCAAACTGAATCAGATCACTTCCCCATCCCTTGCAGCCACGACCCCTTTAGCCACAGCAGTGATCTGGGCACAGAGTTGGGTGCTGTAGGGACATCAGATATGGAACCACGTCTGGGTCAGGGCTCAGAGCTGGCTGCAGAAGATGGGAAGATGTTGTGCCTGAGGCAGTTGAGCTATAACTCCCAGAGGAACCTCCTAGACCAGGGATCAGCAAACCTTTTCAGCAGGGGGCCGGTCCACTGTCCCTCAGACCTTGTGGGGGGGCTAGACTATATTGGGGGGAATGAACAAATTCCTATGCCCCACAAATAACCCAGAGATGCATTTTAAATTAAAGCACATATTCTACTCATGTAAAAACACGCTGATTCCCGGACCATCTGCCGACCGGATTTAGAAGGCAATTGGGCCGGATCCGGCCCCCGGGCCTTAGTTTGCCCACTCATGTCCTAGACCACCTTCTTCTTTGGCAATCCCTCGTAGCCGAGTAAGATTGTCTTCCATAAACACGGTTTTAACAATGAGTCCGTAAGTGACTGTGGAGGCCAATTCTGGGCCCACACGTCCTTCCACAGTGGGGACATTAGGACCTCAATGGCCAGAGCCTGGTGAATAAGATTCATGGAGGAGAGTGCTATTGGTGGCTTCTAGTCTATGCTTCAGCTCCACAGCTGCAGGCAGCAATGCTTCTGAATACCAGTAATAATAAAAATAATAATTTATTATTTATACCCCGCCCATCTGGCTGAGTTTCCCCAGCCACTCTGGGCGGCTCCCAATCGAGTGTTAAAAACAATACATAATTAAATATTAAAAACTTCCCTAAACAGGGCTGCCTTCAGATGTCTTTTAAAGATAAGATAACTGCTTATTTCCTTCACATCTGATGGGAGGGCGTTCCACAGGGCGGGCACCGCTTGCAACAAACCACAAAAATAATGTTCTGAGTTGGGTGTTAAGCTGGGTACCAGACCCATCTCATCTCTAGAACCAGGCAGTGTTAGAAATTAATCAAAGCTTCTCATTCTTGGACTAGCCAGGATAGCCTGAGGGCGACTGGCAGGGTGATAATAATAATAGTAATAATAACAACAACAATAATAATAATATAATTTTTATTTACACACAACACGAAATCAAACAATTAGTTGAAAATACAATTTGAATCACATTTAAAATCAAAATAAAATTAAGTGGGAACCTGCGAATCATAACCGTAGGGGTAGGGAATTAAAAGTTCACTAGGCCCGGCCACTCGCGCTGGTCCCATATGGGCCGATAGAAAGAGTCATGGAGGCCACTTACATAAAGGGTCCCATAGAAATTATGGGCCATTAAGGAGGACTAAGGGGCATGGTGCAAGACTGCAAATGGGGCCCCCCTCCCTTGAGAAATAAAGCCAGAGTTTAGAATAGGGAGTTTTAGAGGGGTTGATGTGACTTAGAAGTGAAGCAGCAAGCTGGAGAGAGAGTCGAGCAGAGAGTCAGAGGTAATGTTTGATTTCTGCTTTGAATCAAAGCCTGTGGCTTTGGGAGAAACAAGACCGTATTGCGGTGTTCATAATGCTATGGAAACCCTCCATTGTAGGCTCAGGTTGCAAATAGATGTGTAAATAAGCAAAATATCCTAAAGATATCACAGGCTCTGCTGTGCCTCATTCCCAAAAGGAAACGTGAACACTGGCAGGCAGGTGTGGGAGATTCCTGGTCCTGAATGAGGTAACTGTGCCCCTAAAGGAACAAGTGTGCAACCTGGGAGTCATTTTGGACCCACAGCTGTCCATGAAGTCACAGGTTAATTCGGCTTCCAAGGTGGCTGTCTACCAGCTCTATCTGGTATTCTTGCTGAGACCCTACCTGCCTGCGCACTGTCTCACCAGAGTGGTGCATGCTCTGGTTATCCCCTGCTTTGACTACTGCAACACACCTTTGGCTCGGAAACTACAACTAATCCAGAATGCAGCAGCCAGACTAGTGATTGGGAGCTGCCACCGGGACCATATAACACCAATCCTGAAAGACCTACATTGGCTCCCAGTACGTTTCCAAGCACAATTCAAAGTGTTGGCGCTGACCTTGAAAGCCCTAAACGGCCTCAGCCCAGTATACCTGAAGGAGCATCTCCACCCCCATCGTTCAGCCCGGACACTGAGGTCCAGCTCCAAGGGCCTTCTGGCAGTTCCTTCACTGCGAGAAGTGAGGTTACAGGGAACCAGGCAGAGGGCCTTCTCGGTAGTGGCACCCGCTTTGTGGAACGTCTTCCCATCAGATGTCAAGGAGATAAAGAACCTTCTGACTTTTAGAAGACATCTGAAGGCAGCCTTGTTTAGGGAAGTTTTTAATGTTTGATGTCTTACTGTGTTTTAGTTTGCTGGGAGCTGCCCAGAGTGACGGGGGAAAACCAGTCAGATGGGTGATACATAAATTATTATTATTATTATTACTATTATTACTATTATTATTATTTATTACATCACTTGGAGGCAGGGGTGGTATGCAGCAATAATAATTAGTCATTCTGTTGGAGTTAATGTGGGAGTGTACCGCAGGCTTCCTGAACAAAGTATGGCAAGATAAATTTGGATCACAAGCAAGAAAATAGGACCGAAAGTGAAAATAAAGCACACTCCTGCGTACTTTCACTTCTGCTCTCATGAGCTGCATGGACGGTAAACAGAAGGTCTCATGTGGTGGTCTCTTTTTATTCCTGGGGTGGGACTGAGGCTGAGGTTTCGTGTGCTGTCTTGGCATCCAAGGGGGAAGAGCAGAGGACTCTCCCAGCGCCCGGTAAGTTTCTGGCTTTGCAAGGTCTCCTTGCGGGAAAGACTGTGGGTTTGTTTATTTCTTTTGCAGCGAGGCAGATTAGGAAACTAAATGGGGCTGCCTTCAAAGTTGGGCAACAGGTGGCACAGTTAATGTGTGCAGCAGGGAGGAGGATGCTTCCTGCTCTTGACCGGTGGTGCCAGAATAAAAGGGGATTTCCTATTTTGTCCCCTTTCCGGGATTTCCCCAGTATTGTGATGGCCAGTCCCAAACTCCCCACTTCTGGGTTGTGCAGAGAGAGAGAGAGAGAGGGAGGGAGGGAGGGAGGGAGAGGGATCAGAGAGATCACTTTAATTAGTTCCTCTTCTGTTACACGACTGAGCTGCTGCTTGAGCATCTCAGTTGTAAAACCTGCACCTTGCAGATTTTCGGAATGGGACCATTTGACAGTCAGCTTCTCCAAGGTCAGTTTTCTTCCTCTTTCTCATCCTCTCCACATGGTTTTCTTTCTCAAGAGCATCACCTCCTTTTCTCCTCCTGTTCCCTGCTTTGCCTACTGGAAAATCTTGGGGTGCAGGGCAGTGCTTTCCACGGTTTGGGGGTTGGTTTGTTTTTCATTGCCTCCTCTGGGAAAGTCTATTTGAGCCACAGCAGATCCAAACAGCTGTTACTTTGCTTTCTTGTCCTCACCTGGGAAATGGCTCTCTTTATTTTGCACCCAGGGTTTTTCTGCTCTCAGAGGCACGGTTGCCTTATTATGTGGTTTTCTAGATTTGTCTTTGTTCCGGGCCTGCAGGCAGGGGCTCAGTGCTGTGGTCCTGTTGCTTAGATACTGCAAATGAGGCGTTGGCAACTGGGTGGGGTTCTTTTGGTAAGCTCGTTGGCAAGGCCTGCACCAGCCTTCAGGAGCTTGGCATGATGCCAACAGTGGGACTCACACACATGCCCCCTCTGGCCAGGTCAGGACTTGGTCTGATCTCAGCAGCTGTGAGCGCCACTTGTTTCCTCTGCTGCCACCACTAGGGGCAGCATTGCTCTGTGCCCTCCATTGGGGCCCCAGACATACTTCAACTATAGATGGGTAGCAGTGCTCTCGAGTGCTCTGCTTGCATCCAGAGACCCAGTGGGAGGATGAAGGGCACCACAAATGAGTCAGGCTGGTGAAGGGGCTCCCGTGCCCCTCCCCCAGACCCTTGATCTGGCTGACTTGCTGGTGCCAGGCCTACTTATCAGGTTCACCCTGGGGGAAAGGGTTAAATCCACTATAACAGAAGGAAGGGAAATACAGGAGGGCGTTTTCATGCCAACGGCGTTGTGCAAACACTGTGTAAATCTTGCACGGGTGGAGGGAGCGCTGGTTGCTGAATGAGCATCCATCTGGAAGGCTCCCTGCTGCTTTTCAGGTGTCTCTGATATGTTCTTCTCAGAGTAGGGTGAGGATCAAGGGTATGCTAACATGACTTAGAGCTCAGCTCCCTCCTCTTAAATTTCTGGCTCCATGCTTATCCCCTTCACCTATGGGAACCCTCAGTTCCTGTTTCCCAAAGGTTGTGAGTAGGGATATGATCATAGCTGTCAAGTGTCCCTTATTTGAAGGGACAATCCCTTATTCCAGTGCCATGTCCCGCTGCTGTCCCTTATTGATGGATGTCCCTTAAATGTCCCTTAAATGATGTTCCTTAAATTTCAAAGGAAGCAGCTCCTCTCCCTCCCTCCCTGCCGGCCAGAGAGGAGGGACAGGGAGGAGGGAAGCTCCAACTGTGTTGCTTGGCTGTGTTGCTCACCCAATAAGAAGTCTAAGAATGACTGGGGGGTGGAGCTTGCATGCCTTGTGTGTGGCTAGTTAATGCAAGCTGAGGAGGTTTTTGAATGCTGGACGCCATTTTGTTGCACGTGCTGCTGCAAACTTTGCAGTGCAAAGCCAGGCCGGGGGCCATCTTAAGTTGAGGCTGCATAGGCCTTGTGGTGCATGTGATTCAGATTCTATTCAGTTGAACCTCTGGTTACAAAGTTGGTTAGACAGTGTTCTCGAAGCTACCAGCATGAGTTTGACCAGACTGCAGGAGGACAGGAAGACTGGAGTGCCTGGAACAGGTGAGGCCGCAGGTCCCTTATTTTGGCTGCTGGTCCCTTATTTTCAAGGCTGCTGGTCCCTTATTTTCAAATCTGTAAGTTGACAGCTATGGATATGATTTGGCTAAATGTATGGGGAGTCAGAGGGATGCGGGTGGCGCTGTGGGTTAAACCACAGAGCCTAGGACTTGCCAATCAGAAGGTCGGCAGTTCGAATCCCTGCGACGGGGTGAGCTCCTGTTGTTCGGTCCCTGCTCCTGCCAACCTAGCAGTTCAAAAGCACGTCAAAGTGCAAGTAGATAAATAGGTACCGCTCCAGCAGGAAGGTAAACAGCGTTTCCGTGCGCTGCTCTGGTTCGCCACATGCTGGCCACATGACCTGGAAGCTGTACGCCGGCTCCCTCAGCCAGTAAAGAGAGATGAGCGCCGCAACCCCAGAGTCAGTCATGACTGGACCTAATGGTCAGGGGTTCCTTTACCTTTTTATAGGGAGTCAGAGAGTGCTTGTGGGTTTCCTTAAAGCACCCACCAATAATTTGAGTACCATCGTGCCTATTGATGTTGCACTAACCGAGGCCAGTCCTTTGTTGTGTTTCCCTCCCCCCCCCTCCTGGCGGTGAGCCAATGAGTCATTTACCGTGATAACAAAGCTTCAGGTGCTCTTATGATTCAGCAAAATGGCATTCAGAGCTATGGGCGCCCTGCTGATAAGGAAAAGTTGGGTTTGATTGGGTTTGTTGCCTGTTGTGGGGTTTGGGGAGTGGGGCAACAATATGGGCTGAAAGCAAACAGTGGGGCGGGGCGGAATTGGGGTGAGCACATCCCAGGGGTCCACCACCAAAACCCCAGGTATTCAATTTTCTTTTAAAAAGGGGGGGGGGGCATAAAGAAGAGCATGCAAGGGGGATTCTAAGCCCAATTTCTCAGTGTGTGGTGCCCAGTTTACAGTGGAGAGGTCCAGCCTTTGGGATGGGAAGGACATTGGATTCATTTTGCATTTGAAGGCAGGTTTCCACTCAGGGTCGTCTTTAGCATATGTGGCGCCGGGGTGCAAAGATCCTCCCAGAGCCCCCAAATTTAGGGTGGCCTGGAGGGAGGGAAGCCTGTACTGTGGTGGGTGGCGGGTTCCCTGGGCGGGAAAGGAGCATGCACGTGGCCGGCGGAGCTGACATCCCTGGCGCCAGGGGAGAGGTTATGTCCATCTGTTGGGCTTGGCCTAAGGCACTGCCACAGCTGCGAGAGGTGGTGACGCCCCCCGCTGCCGCCCCTTGTCCTTCTTCGCAGGAGCCGCCCTGTTGCCCGCTTCTTCCTGCAGGAGCACTGCAGCAGCCGCCCGTCCAGCTCCACCGCGCGTGCCTCCCCGCCGCTGCAGATGCTTTCCCCCACCTCCTTCCTCATCCTCCTTCCCCAGGCAGGGCTATGCTGGGCCCAGGGGCAACCCATGAAACGCTGTCCAGGACCGGTCCAGAACCCAAAGGTTCCGCTAGGAGTCAGTCCGACAGGGCCAAGGCAGGACACGAGGCAGGAAACCAGGCAAGGACAGGTACAGGATCTCTGGCATACAGCAATGTTGCTCCCGCAACCTGGGGCGAGGTCTGACAGCCTTTTATCTTTGTTGGGGTAGCGGCCGGTCCTGATCCCCCGGCGACTCACCTCCCTGTTTCGCCCAAAGGCAAACACTCCTCCTGCAAGTACTCAGGACTCTCCTTCTCTCAGACCTGAGTCTCCGCAGCTCGGGAGACATCAGTGGGTTACTAGACCCAGGGTCTGCCTCAGCCTCCCCTGACCCAACCGGTAGTGGAGCAGCTGTAAGTGATGGCCCAGCTGAAGGCAACAAGGTAATCCCCACATCTGGAGCCAGGGCAGGCTCAGGCCCCTGACTCGGCCCAGCTGGTGCTTGTTGCAGGGGAACCTGCGCAGACAGGGGCTCTTCAGGATCAGGCCTCAGACTTGGTTCAGATGATGCCTGGGGCAAAGGATACGGTGCGGACTGAGACTCCTCTGGTTCCGAGTCCGAGCCCAAGTCCCAGGCCATCACAAGGGCTCTTGGCAGTGGCGGCGGCAGTGGCCAGGCACACATTCTAAGCATGGAAAAACACCAGGCAGGCCCCACAAATAACCCAGAGATGCATTTTAAATTAAAGGACACATTCTACTCATGTAAAAACACGCTGATTCCGGGACCGTCTGCGGGCCGGACTGAGAAGGCGATTGGACCGGATCCGGCCCCCGGGCCTTAGCTTGCCTACCCATGCACTAGTTAAACTGCAAAATGTCCCAGTTAGATCTCTCCAGCATTCAGAATGCGACTGAATATAGATACATTTCAAATCAGAGGAGACATCGAAACGGTGTGGGGTTTTTTTGCACACACCCCTTCTGCTTTTTCCATGTAAGCTGAGATCTGTGGTTTAACGTGCTCTCTTTAATTCTGGTGGTTTGGTTTTGTTCTTCAGTAGATTTACAAAAAGAAAAACACACATCAAGGTATAAATTAGCCACAGAAAGGGGCAATCTTGTTGTTTACAGTAGGACCTCGGGTTACAGACGCTTCAGGTTACAAACTCCGCTAACCCAGAATTATTACCTTGGGTTAAGAACTTTACTTCAGGATGAGAACAGAAATCTTGCTCCGGCGGCGCAGTGGCAGCAGGAGGCCCCATTAGCTAAAGTGGTGCTTCAGGCTAAGAACAGTTTCAGGTTAAGAATGGACCTCCGGAACGAATTAAGTACTTAACCTGAGGTACAACTGTATTTTTTAAAAAATCAAGGCTTCTTGCCCTCTGCTCTGCTCCCCCTTTCTTCCCACCCAGGGCAGCTCTGCCTTCTGCCCGCATCTCAGTGATACAGTGGTACCTCGAGTTAAGTATTTAATTTGTTCCGGAGGTCCGTTCTTAACCTGAAACTGTTCTTAACCTGAAGCACCACTTTAGCTAATGGGGCCTCCTGCTGCTGCCACGCCGCCGGAGCACAATTTCTGTTCTCATCCTGAAGCAAAGTTCTTAACCCAAGGTACTATTTCTGGGTGAGCAGAGTCTGTAACCTGAAGCGTATGTAACCTGAAGCCTATGTAACCTGAGGTACCACTGTAGTGCCATTGGCAGTTCGGGGTTCTTATCTTGTACTTTCCAGCATAATTTTATTGCTGCTAATTGACTCTTTTGGTAGTCAAGCTAACCCTTGGACTAACTCTTCTCTGCTGCAAGAATGAGCTCGTCTGTGTTTACCTTCTTGCTTTGCTATCAGCTAATTGGCTTGCTTTGATGCTGTGCTAAGCATCTGTGAGCTTGGGGTGCTTGGCCTATTGGCCTAGGGAAGGGAGCTATCTGTAAGACTTGGATGCCTGCCACCTGCATTGGCCAGGTGGACCAATGGGAGGTTCTGGCCAAAGAGACATGTGCCAGTTTCTGTATGAGTAATGCGTTGAGACGCTTGCTAAGGCGCAGAGAAGTCACAATAAAGGCTTGCTGTTTTGGCATCCATCCCTAGTCTTTAACAGCATCAAGGTTCTGCAAGCCCCCTTTTAAGTTCTCACCTTCTTCTAACGGACCGCTCTGCTGTTTTTGACATCCTTCTTTGGCGCCCCTGCACCAAACCATCTGCACAGACCCTCCTCTTTGGGCCAGTGGACCAGGGAACCCGTGTCCGAGACACAAGGAAACCACTGCTCTCCCCTCAACCTGGCAGGGTCTTATCGCATGCACAGCACTGTCATGGGCCTCCGAGGACACAAACGCCGTTTGTGGAACAGTACCTTCATTGAAAAACTGAAATGACTTAGAAGTTAAATATAATTAAATAGGCGTTTTGTGCTTCTGAGTGGGGTGGGGTTGTGGAATATTGATGGCTGCTTCCTGTGTGTGTGTAGATGTAGGGAAAGATTGAAGGCACAAGGAGAAGGGGACGACATGGTTGGACAGTGTTCTCAAAGCTACCAGCATGAGTTTGACCAAACTGCGGGAGGCAGTGGAAGACAGGAGTGCCTGGTGTGCTCTGGTCCATGGGGTCACGAAGAGTCGGACACCACTAAACGACTAAACAACAACAACAACAATGTATATGTGTATATATATATATATATATATATATATATTAATAATATTTATTAAAGTTTCAAAAAAAAATACATGAAAATACAGATTAAAAAAAAGAGTATAAAGAGAAACATACAAAATAAAACAATTAAAAACACATTAATTTTCCATAGCCTATCTTCCTTACACTTATTTCCCCGAACCTCCTCATACCTCCCTTCTTTGTATTCCAGTTCAGTTTGTTGGTTCAGCAAATCCTTACCATTAAACTTTTACCCAATTGTTAACCTTTTTTTTTTCATATCTCTTAAAGCATTACAGCTAAAAACCTCTTAGTTTCTATCCAACAACCTTCTAAGATTCCTTAATTTTGCAATATTTCTGTAAATAGTCTTTGAATTTCTTCCAGTCTTCTTTCACCGACTCTTCTCCCTGGTCTCGGATTCTGCCAGTCATTTCCGCCAATTCCATGTAGTCAATCACCTTCATCTGCCATTCTTCCAAAGTGGGTAAATCTTGTGTCTTCCAATACTTTGCGATGAGTATTCTTGCTGCTGTTGTAGCATACATAAAAAAGGTTCTATCCTTCTTTGGCACCGATTGGCCGACAATGCCCAGAAGAAAGGCCTCTGGTTTCTTCAGAAAAGTATATTTAAATACCTTTTTCAGTTCATTATATATCATTTCCCAGAAAGCCTTAATCTTTGGGCACGTCCACCAAAGGTGAAAGAATGTACCTTCAGTTTCTTTACATTTCCAACATTTATTATCGGGCAAATGATAAATTTTTGCAAGCTTGACTGGGGTCATGTACCAACTATATATCATTATCATAATATTCTCTCTTAAGGCATTACATGCCGTAAACTTCATACCTGTGGTCCATAACTGTTCCCAGTCAGCAAACATAATATTATTTCCAACATCTTGTGCCCATTTAATCATAGCAGATTTCACCGTTTCATCCTGAGTATTCCATTTCAATAGCAAGTTATACATTCTTGACAGATTTTTAGTTTTGGGTTCTAACAATTCTGTTTCTAATTTTGACTTTTCCACCTGGAAGCCTATTTTCTTATCCAAATTATATGCCTCCATTATCTGATAGTAATGAAGCCAATCTCTCACTTTATTTTTTAGTTTTTCAAAACTCTGCAGTCTCAATTTATCTCCTTCTTGCTCCAAAATTTCCCAATATGTCGGCCAACAATGTATATGTATATACATATACGCACAGTGCTTTTTTCCTTAAAAAAATGTTAAGGGTACTCTCATTTTTTTACTCATATTGAAATACTGCCCCTCAATGAGGCCAAACTTAGATTCACAAAATGTTTAGGGGTATGCGTACCCCAGAAAAAAGATAGATAGATGATAGATAGATAGATAGATAGATAGATGATAGATAGATAGATAGATAGATAGATAGAAAGATAGATAGATAGATATAGATGATAGATATAGATGCGGAACCGGAACCAATAAAAGATTTGGGGAAGTGGGGAGGACACCACCAGACGCATACCCTCCAACATTCCTCAGATGAAAATAGGGATATTTCTCACTCTGTCCCCCAACTGAATCTCCCCACCCCCATTTTTGTCTCCCTCACCCACAGAACATTTCCACCACCGCTATATCAGTAGGACAAAGCACACAGACCCTCCAGCATCTGAGAAAACCCCTTAATCCTGGATTTATTTTTTTCTTTGGTAGATTTACAAAAAGAAAAACACATACCAAAGAATAAATTAGTCACAGGGGTGGCGCCATCGGTAATGGCGGACTCCCTCTGATCTGGAGGGATCAGCTCCACGGGAAACGGGTCTTTTCCGCTACGGCGAAGCGGGGACCCTTTCAAAAATCACAGGCAGATGAAGCCTGTGACCATGGGACTCGGCGGGCACCTTTAGCGCCCCCCCAACCCGCAAAGGAACCCACTAACGGGCTCCGGAGCGAAGAGGGGGAAGTGGCGCGGTGCTGAGAGTCAACTGCTTCTTCCGTGGAGCGAAGCCGCACAGCCGTTGCCGGAGAGCGCTGCCTTCTTCCTGGGACAATTTGGCTTTTAAAATAATCACCCGTGAGTACTTAAATTTCGGACAATTGGACTTTAAATAAGGACTTGCGAGCAGAAAGGAAAATTGGACTTAAAAGTTTATTTCAATTTGGCACTGAAACGGGAAGGTCTAAACAGGAAGTCAGCCTTCCGTTTCTTTGTAGATAGATTAAAGCAAAGACATGGCAAACTAGAGCTCAGAAAATCGCTTGTAAAAGATTAACTTTCATCATTTAAAATTGTTGAACCCCCTTCGGAAGCAGGAGAAGAGGGGGGATTTTTTCCGGACTGTTTAAACCTGCAGAAGTGAGTGTAAAGTAAAGTAACTTTCCACCGTCTTGATCCTGGAGCGGGGTGTCAGGACTGACGTTTTTTGAAGCTCATTGACCAGAGACAAACGTTTTTGACAGATAGCTAAAAGAAGAGAAACATAGTGATTCCATTGTTCCCCTTCGCATTTTAAAGGAACAAATATTGACAAAATATCTGAAAAAGGAAACTTTGTTGTTAGATTTGTCTTTAAAAGAAAAGAACAAATAGAAGTTTTCCCCCTAGAGGGAGCCTGTGAAACTGTAACCAATTCTGAATCGGGGAGCTTGCAGCTGTTACAGATTACGATCGTGGGAATAGACTTCTGACCTTGCAGGACAATGTATTCAGAAGCTCTGTTGTGTGCTCTCTGTAAAACAAGTGCCCTACTGGAACAGCTACATGAGAAGACGGACTTGATGACTGATGCGATCAGAAATTTTGAACAGGCAGTGGGAAATTATATGGAGCCCACCCAGGAATTAAATCAGGAGTGTGCCCTGACAGAACAGATGAGGGAAGAGGATGTCGCTGAATCTTGGGCGCCAGAGATGGAGGGAGCTGTGGCCCAGCAGGAACATGAGCTCTTGGATTTGACAAATGAACTTGGAAAAAGCCAGATTTGGAAAGATAAAGCTTGGTCTGGTTTGGAAATGGGGGGTTGGATAGACCCCCCTATGCAGGGATGTTTGGACTTTTCAAGTCTGGCAATGGGCCGTGAGATGTTTGGGGTTGTGGGGGCTCTTAATTTTGGAGGGACTTTGAAACATGTTCTTAAATACCACATGGAGTTTAGTGTGGACTATGGAAAAGGGGCTGATTTGTCGAGAAGGGTCAAAAACATTGTTAAGCTGGAGTTCCCACGAGTGAAAGGAGCAGGAGACAAAGGAAAATACAGCTATAAATATGAAGAAGAGCTGCGGAAGGGACATGGAAGGGACTTAAGGGCCTCGGATATAAGATTACCAGGTTAATGCGCTAGATTGATGGGATAAAAAGGACTGACAAAACCCGGGACCAGGAGGAAGGGACGCTGGATGAAGATTGGATTTTTTTTTTCTTTTTTTATTACTAGGATTGTTTTATAAAATTGATGAATGTTAGAAAAATGTTGGAACGAAATTATTTGGCTTTAGCAAAAATGTTTAAAGAATTATGTAAGAATATTATGGTTATGAGAAGTTGGTAAAAATAAGATTTAAGTTTTAAGCTTTATTTTATAGTAAGATAAGATTAAAATAGATTAAGGTAATGTAATGACAGAATATTATGAAATATGGAAAGGATTTGCTGCGACAATTAACAACTAGGATACAAAAAAAGGGAGGAGGAGGAGGTCAAAGAAAGGTAATGACAGTTAAGGATTTGAGAATATTGGATTTGTTTTTAAATGTTTGTGGTATATTTTTGTTTTTTGAATTTGTATTGTTTGATGTGATTTGTTTTTTCTTTGTTTTTTCTTTCTCTTTTTCTACTTTGTTTTCTTTCGTAATTCTAAAAAAATTTCAATAAATAACATTTAAAAAAAAATAGTCACAGAAAGGGGCAATGTTGTTGTTGTTTTAAAAATAAATAAATAAATAAATAAATAAAATTCAAGGCTTCTTGGCCCCTGCTCCACTCCCCCTTTCTTCCCACCCAGGGCGGCTCTGCTTTCTACCTGCATTTCAGAGCTATACAACAAAGGTAATCCCCCTGTGTTGCAAAAACAGAAAACTCTGAACAACCGCAAGCAATATGCGGCTAATACTACACTGTTAAGTGATTGCTGATCCATTGCTATTTGAAGTACCTGTAGGGACAACTTATTTGCTGACGAAGAATCAGTTCGTTATCTGGAAAAACTATTCGGCGCCCCTATCACCGCACATCTGCAAGATTTTGACTGTTGAAATGCACTTTGCCTTCATTTCAGTGTTCTTTGATATTGACAGACGCTTTCCAATTCGGTTCATGGAACATTTGTTTGATTCCTATTATTTGTGACTTGATGCAAGGATTATAGATATTCTGCTTATGAATGGTGGAACAATATAATGTTATAAATATTTTGTTAGCGCATTATTAGCCGCGTGTTGCTTGTAGATGCATCTCAGAGCTGGCGAATCACACAGTGGTGGCAGCCTCACCTTCTCCTTGCTTGCTCTGCAGCAGCCACTATGCGCTGCCCAATAATAATAATAATAATAATAATAATTTATTACTTACACCTCGCACATCTGGCCAGGTCTCCCCAGCCACTCTGGGCAGCTCCCAACAGAATATTAAAAACACGATAAAACATCAAACAATAAAATCTTCCCTGTTACAGGGCTGCGTTCAGATGTCTTCTAAAAGTCAGATAGTTGTCTATTTCCTTGACATCTGATGGGAAGGCGTTCCACAGGGTGGGCGCCACTACCAAGAAGGCCCTCTGCCTGGTTCCCTGTAGCCTTGCTTCCTGCAGTGAGGAAACCGCCAGAAGGCCCTTGGTGCTGGACCTCAGTGTCCACGCTGAATAATGGGGTGGAGACACTCCTTCAGGTATACTGGGCCGAGGCTGTTTAGGGCTTTAAAGGTCAGCACCAACACTTTGAATTGTGCTCTGAAACGTACTGGGAGCCAATGTAGGTCCTTCAGGACTGGTGTTATGTGGTCTTGGCAGCCACTCCCAGTCACCAGTTTAGCTGCCACATTCCGGATTAGTTGTAGTACCTTCAAAGGTAGCCCCACTTAGACTTCCGGGTCAGCGCCATTGGTGAATGGCGGAGTTCCTCCGACCGGAGGAACGGGCTCCGTGGAAACTGGGTCTTCCCGCCGCGGCGAAGGTGGGGACCCGCTAGAAATCCCAGGCAGAGGAAGCCTGGGAACGTGGGGTTCGGCAGGGCACCAGAAGCGCCCCCCTACTCGCGGGGAATCCCATTTAGGGGCTCCGGAGCGAAGTGGGGTGAGAAGCGCGGTGCTGCGAACTGACTGCTACTTTCACGGAGTGAAGCCGCACAGCCATTGCCAGAGAGCGCTGACTTTTTCCTGTGGACAATTGGACTTAAAACAAGTACCCGTGAGTAGAAACGGAAAATTGGATCAAGAAATTGCTTAATTTGGTATCGAAGCGGGAAGGTGCAAAACAGGAAGTCCGCCTTCCGCTTTTTGTATATAGACTAAAGCAAAAATTTTGTGAGCTAAAGCTGGGAAAGCTGTCAAAAAGCCTAAATTTCCTTCATTTAGAATCACTGAAACCCCCCTTGGAAGCAAGAGAAAAGGGGGGGGACTCTGTTTAACCCTAGCAGGAGAGGGAGTGAAGAAGGATAAGTTTCCACCGTCTCTAACCTGGGAACGGGGTGTCAGAGACAGAAACTGTTGGAGAGGTTCATTGACTGTGAATGGAATACTTTGACAGATAGCTAATGAAGAGAGACAAGTTGATTCTAATGTTGCCTTTTGCATTTTAAAGAAACAAAATATCTGAAAAACATCTGAAATATCTGGAAAATGAAAGTAACTTTCCTTTGCCTTAAAAAAAAAAATGGATACAAACAGAAATTGTCTCCTCTAGAGGGAGCTTGTTAAATTGTTGCTGCAGTATGCTTGAGGACCCAACATCTGTGAGATTAAGATCGTGGGAACAGTCTTTTTTTGACCTTTACCAAAGATGAGCTGGGAGGAAGATTGGGTGCTTGCTTTATGCAAAACAAATGCCTTGCTGGAACAGATGCACGAGAAGATGGACTTGATGAATGAGAAAATGGATTTGACTGTTGTGGTTAATAACTGTGGACAAACAGGGAACATTGATACAGAAATCATCCAGGGACCAACCTATGATTCTTTACTGACTGGGCAAGTGCAGATGACAATGAAGGAAGATGCGGTTGCACTTCAAATAATACAAATGGAGAGACCCGAGGCCCTACAGGAGCATAAGCCGCTGTCATTGAAGATTGAAGTTGAAGTGGGCCAGGGGGAGTTTGGAGATGAGGAGATTTCTAACTTTGGAGAGACCTTGAAATATGACATTAAATACTTTTTGGATTATATCGAGGACTGTGGGGAGTGGGACTGTGGGGAATGGGCGGGCTGGATGAAGGGAGATGGAGACAATTTTGGGTTGGAATCCCCCAGAGACCTACTCCTCAATGAGAAAGGAAAGAAATTAAGAAAGAGACCAACAAAAGACAAGGAAAAGGGCAAGTATAAACAAGAAGAAGAAGAACTGCAGAAGGGACATGGAAGAGACTTAAGGGCCTCGGACATAAGGCTTCCAGGTTGATGGACTAGATGGAATGGACAGTAAGGACTGACACGATCCGAGACCAGGAAGAAGAGACGCTGGATGATGATTGGAAGAAAATTTATAAAGGAAACTTTTTATTTAGAATTAGCTTAATGAATATTAGGGAAAATGTTGGAATGAAACTATATGACTCTAGCAGAAATGATATCAGGAGCTATGTATATTTGAAAACTAAGATTTAAGCTTTAAGGTATTTTGGGGTAAGATAAGGTTAAATAAATTAAGGTAATTTGAATAACAGAATATGGGGAAAGATGGAAAGGATTTGTTGAGTTAATTATTAGGTTAAATTGTTAAGATATATTTTTTAACAAAAATTGAGAAAGATGGAAAGAATTTGCTGAAATAATTAATTAAACTAGAATACAAAAAGGGAGGTGTGAGGAGGTCAATGAAACAAGCAAATGGAAATTATAGATATGCAATTTGGGATTTGTGTCTTTTTCCCCCCTTCTTTTTATTTTTCTTTTGCTGTATTGTTGTATTGGTTTTTATGTTCTGTGTTTTTCTCTCTTTTTGTATTGAAGTGTTGTTCTTCATTTTGTCTTTTTTTTTGCAATTGTGAAATTATTAATAAATATTATTTAAAAAAAACAAAAACAAAGGTAGCCCCACTTAGAGCGCATTGCAGTAGTCCAAGCGGGAGATAACCAGAGCATGCACCACTCTGGCGAGACAGTCCGTGGGCAGGTAGGATCTCATCCTGCGTACCAGATGCAGCTGGTAGACACCTGGTCACAGACTTGACCTGCGCCTCCATGGACAGCTGTGAGTCCAAAATGACTCCCAGGCTGCGCACCTGGTCCTTCAGGGGCACAGTTACCCCATTCAGGACCAGGGAGTCTTCCCTACCCACCTGCAAAGGAAGAGGGGACTTTGAGCTCACTTAGCATCCTGCTTCCTGTTATACCAGTCCTAAGTCCCGCATTTGGATCCAAGAAGCTGCTTAGGGGGTGATTCTCCAGAAGGAATTTCTTTCTCGTCTTATTTGGAGCCAACTGCCATGCAAGCTACGCTACCAAAACAATACTCAAATCGAAACGCAGAAAGTTGTTCCTGTTAACAGCAGCAGTTTGTCTGTGGGCTGGGAGAAGGGAAATGTCTAAGGAGGGAGGGGGACCGTCAAAGTGGTTTCCGTCTAGTCTGGCATCCTCTTCCCCCACAGCGGCCTGCCAGATGCCGCCAAAGCTCATGCAGGGAGGCGGACCACATGTTGTGACCACAAGCAGGGCATGGTCAGGAGGCAAAGGGCGCCACCTCCACGCTAATGTTTTCAGCGTCCTCCTACAATTTAGGATTAAATGGGCACGGCATTTCATTCTTCTGAAAAGCAAAACGTGAAGCTAGCTAATGCGTCGGTTTTGCTCAAGACCGATTAGCAAACTGCCAGGGCTTCAAGGCTAGTTGGCCGCTGTTTGCACCTCGACTGACAGTTAAATGCAAAGCCAGCTCTCAGACCCTCCAAGTCTCCCTGTTTTCCAGGGACATCCCTCAGCCTGATCTTTTATTTCCCTTCCCTCCCCTCCCCTTCCCCTTTTATGAAGATCACCCACTCTGAGACCCCACGGCTAATTCTCCCCGGTCTCCTCGCTGGCCCAAGTAGGACCAATTCAGCCAGCTAGCCCTGGGGATTATCTAATGCTTATTTCCCCTTAATTGATTTCAGAATTTTATTGTTATTCATGTTTTTATACTGTATTTTATGCTGCTTTTATAATTAAGTGTTTTAAATTTGTTGTTAGCCACCCTGAGCCTGGTTTTTAAACCAGGAAGGGCGGGGTATAAATAAAAAAATATTATTATTATTTGGAGAAGCTGTCCCAGTTTCTGATTAAATCCTGGAATGTCCCACTTTTCCTTAGGACGTCCCTATTTTCATCGGAGAAATGTTGGAGGGTATGGCGTTATCTGACTCCCAAGCCTTTTGAAGGCAATCCTGTATAGGGAAGGTTTCTATGTTTAATGTTTTATTATGTTTTTATATATGTTGGAAGCTGCCTAGAGTGGCTGGGGCAACCCCAATAAGATGTGGGGGGCGGGTATAAATAGTAAAATTACCATTATGGAATGGGACATCCCTATTTTCATCGGAGAAATGTTGGAGGGTATGAGCTCTCAAATGGAGAGCAAGAGAGATTGCCATATTTCTTTGTTTTTAAAAGAAATTTAACTTGGAAAGGCTTCTTCATTGTTGGATCCCAGCCAATCAGGGATCCTGCTGTGAATGTGAGGTTGTGACAGATTACTGCTGAGGCAGTGCAGTGCAGTGATCAGAGTGCTGAAAAGTTGCAGGTTCAAATTCCCCCTCAGCTATGAGCATCGTTAGCTGACACTGAGCCCAAACACTCTCATTGTCAGATAAACCTACCTTACAGGGTTGCCGTGAGGTGAAAGGGGGCAGGAGAACCATGCAGATTTCTCTTTGGATGAAGGCTATCTATTAAATTATCCATGTCAATGAGACCAAGTTGCACGCATTTAACATACCCACATATGTGTGTATATATATATATATATATATCCTGTTTTTGAGCACTGGGGGGGGGGCATTTCCCTTTAAAACACTGAGAACTGAGGCACATCAGCACCTGCGTTTTAAAAATGCACACAAATTCACACCTTTTTGTACAATTTTGACCCATGCTAGAAAAAAACACACGTCCCCAGATGTGGGCATTTTTTGAGGCGTGAGAAAAACACGAGCTAAACACGAGCAAGTCCTAACTGGTTTCAGCACTAATATAGAGGAAATGAAACAAGTTTTATTAAGCAAAGGTCGGTGTGTGTGTGTGTGTGTGTGTGTGTGTGTGGACGGGTGCGGGAATTTGGAAGTGTGTGGAGCGGAAGGGGACCTGTGAGCCGGGCAAATGCCAGAAGCGGCTGAATCATACATCTTCCATTTTACTGATGATGGTGGCGATGCTTTCAGGTGACACCATGGACCCAGGAGTCCTGACTGGGAAGAGCTACTTGGACCTCCTGTTCAGTGACGTCGACATTCCGGTTCTGTATAAGGAGGTGGTGGAAACAGGTGAGTCCCCGTCCCCCCCGGGCGTCGTGAAGAATAATCCCTTGCTTGTTTTGTTTTCTCATCTGCCTGCCACCCCATAATTTTTTTTATTGTGAAAGCTGCAAAAGACACGTCAAGAGTCAGATAACCAAGGGGACAAGATGAAAGCGCAGAAACAATGGAAGAAGCCTTTCCAGGGCAGTTCTGCCTGTCTGCATCTAGGAAATAAAACCTGACTTGGGGTACATTGCAGCTGCTGCCCACATCAATACTCATCCTTGCTTTCACAGTCCTTCTGCACTGACCAGTCTTCTTCATCCTCTATTTTGGACTGGTCAATGGCTGCACAGGAAGTACCGTACTTTCCCGTGTATAAGACGCCCCCAAGTATAAGACGCCCCCAAAAGAGTTTTGGGGGACTCAAAATTAAGAAAATGGGGGGAGGGTTTGGCCTGACTTGTTGAGCTTTTTTGGGGGGGAGGATCGCTCACCCGTCTGAGCAACGCTGACAATAACACACGTCACAGAGGCCAAAAATTGCCTGCCCGCTCGCCGCCAGCAGCCGCCAATCGCCCACCCAATTGCCGCAACGACAGCCAATCAACAGCAGCCCTTGCCGCAGCCACCAATCACCAGAACGATAGCGGCTGACAATCTCCTACTTGCGGCAGCAACCAATCACGCGTCACCACACTGAACTACCCACATATAAGACAACCCCAATTTTTAAACATTATTTTTGCAGGGAAAAACCTCGTCTTATACAGTGGTACCTCGGGTTAAGAACTTAATTCATTCTGGAGGTCCGTTATTAACCTGAAACTGTTCTTAACCTGAAGCACCACTTTAGCTAATGGGGCCTCCTTCTGCTGCTGCCGCGCGATTTCTGTTCTCATCCTGAAGCAAAGTTCTTAACCTGAGGTATTATTCCTGGGTTAGTGGAGTTTATAACCTGAAGCATCTGTAACCCGAGGTACCACTGTACACGGAAAAGCACAGTACTTTCTGGGAGCCAGAAATCCAAAGTATTCTCTGAGGGCAACCTCTGGCCAAATCAGATATTTTTGAGCTGTTTTTTCCAACTGGCTTCTTAAAGAAAAAAAAAGGAATAAGCAAACAACAACAAAGACTTTAAAGCGAAATTACAAGAGCAATGGTAGGAACTGGGTGGAAGAGGGGTGTTGAAGGAAGGTGTATTTAAACCTCTGCCTTGACCCGTTTTCCTAAATGCCCCCCCCCCAAAGCAGCAATGGGTCAAGAAAACAGTGGGGCTTAAGCAGGTACTCTGCCAGCAGGGATGGATGAGAAATTCGGTTCAGCTTAAACCGACCCAATTTGCATTTTCTGAGATGTTCCGCAAACTGAAACACAGCCAGCCTTTGAAACTTTAACTTCTCTGAATTTTGCAATGCAGTTGTCCCGCCAAGAAATATATATTAAAATGCATATACAAGGGTAAGGTGTGTGCGACAATACATATACTAATGAATGTTACGTACAGAAATGCGTTATATCAGGGGGGAATCCTTTGCAGAAATGTGTATATTCAGGGAAATTATATGCAAAAGTGTGCCTATTAGGTGAAATTTGCCCCTGCGTGTAAAACAGCCCACCTGTCAATTGTGTGATGTTCTAGTGGCATCTGTGATTGGCAGGTGAATTGCCCCACCCACCTTTCCATGCTGACCCACAGGGTGTTGCCAGATAAAGATCTGGTCCTGGGAGCCAGAAAAGTTTCTGATTTCTATGGGTTTTGCAGGTATTTAAGGTGTTTCTGCAGTTGATGCTTTGTGTAGTAAGATAAAAGTTGCATAGATGTTTTTGTGCACTATTAATGCCTCTTTCATTTTATTTTTTTAACTCTAGAACCTGACGATCAGGAAAACAACCCTGATGTCTTTTACACAGTGGAAAGTAATGAGAGTGGAGAGCAAGTCTGCCTGTGTGCGGACACTGGAGAGGCCTATGATAAAATAGGTAGGAAGCTGGAATTTCGAGGTTGGAGAGGAGCTGAGTGAGGTCCGGCTTGTTTCTTTGTTTGTTAGATATTATTAAATTTGTATACCACCCTATACCCCAAAGTCTCAGGGTGGTTCACAACATAAAATCACAATCAATGAATGAATGAATCTTTATTTGCGTCAGCCATCGGCCATAGCAATAAAACAACAATACAGTATACAAAGAATAAAAATAAAAAGTCAATTATATAAAATACATTTTAGGGTTTTGAATCAATAGTCAAATAGTGGATCTTATTCTAATTGCCCCAGCTAAAAACCTTGCAACCTTTGCTGTCGCCTGCTCACCTTGATCTGCCAAGAGAAAGGACACTGTGGCAGTGGCTGGGCGACCCGGAATGGACAATAAAAGAGGGGTGATAACCTCATTCCCCAAGTCTTTATAAAGAGTGCAAGCCAGAAGGGCATGCACCACTGATTTGGTACTGCCATCTCCACAGGGACATAGGTTTCTTCGTGTGGAATCTGTTGGAATTGTCCCTCAAGTTCAGCCAAGGGCAAGACATTCAATCTTGCGAGAGCAAAAGCGCATCTATATTTCAGATTCGCTACATAAAATCACAAAATACATAGTAAAGAAAAAGACAAGAGGGGTCAGCAAACTTTTTCAGCCGGGGGCCGGTCCACTGTCCCTCAGACCTTGTGGGGGCCAGACTATATATTTTTTGGGGGGGAAATGAACAAATTCCTATGCCCCACAAATAACCCAGAGATGCATTTTAAATAAAAGGACACATTCTACTCATGTAAAAACACGCTGATTCCTGGACCGTCCACAGGCCAGATTTAGAAGGCGATTGGGCCGGATCCGGCCCCCGGGCCTTAGTTTGCCTACCCATGGACAAGACCTTTTCCTTTTAGATCTTCTTGTTAGGATGTCTTGCAGTCAAAGACTTTTAAAACGGCGGTGTGGTTTTTAATAAACAAACCAACAATGCAAATATTACGGTTGCACAAACTACTTCTTCCCTCTGACCCAGGGATCAATGGCCACAGATCTGGGCTCAAATCTTTCAGGGGGAAGACCTGGTGTATATTTGGGGTTTAGCCTTAATTAAACATAGGGTCAGAGGAAAGAGAGGTAGCTGACCAAGAGCGTTTGGTGGCAGGGTTTAATCCTGCGGGGCTCTTCCTTCGGAAGCATCTTGCCTGTCACAAAGGAGCTGGGATTTTATTGACTACATCGCTGCATTGGTACTCCACACAGCTCAAACCTTCTTTTGGGAAGAGAGAGCCAATTCGGCAGGCCTCTCCTAAACCTTTTCACTGCTTTTTCTTTCTTTTCCCACTTGACCTCTTCTTCTTCCTCAGCAATGGCTGCTTCTCCTTTTGCCTGACAGACCCAGATCGCTCTGAGGCCCCCAATGCAACCCATGATGATCTGGGAGTGTCTCCACCCAGCTCGGGTGGCACCCTGTCCATCCCCTTTCCAGGCCTTCAGCTCAAATTCAAATATCTTTAATACGGCCAATGACCAGCAAGCAATTTATAAAATAAAATATGGCAATATAAGTACTATTGTACTACAGATAACAGTGGAGATATGGGCAAATCACAAAGTTGGTACTTATGTTTGTGACCAAGTTTCGACTTTTAAGGTTTTAAGGATTCAATTCAAATGTCACTACTGTTTATTATCGTTCCTTCGATGTTTGCAATTTGAACTCCGTTGTTGTCATCATTGCTCGTCTTATTCTTGTTGCAATGTAACAGTACTTCGCCACAGGCCTCTTGATTTCGGGGTCTTTGTCAGCTAAGAGGTGTCTGATATAGATGTCGTCTGTACTACGAGGTATTTTCCTCAGAATCGGCTCGATCACAGGCCTTCAGCTGAATCTAATGCACAAGCTTAGTTGATATGTTTTGTACCTTCTTTTTTAACATAACAAAACAAAACAAAACAAAACCTTACTTTTCTGCATTTGCAAGCCAAGCAGTGTACAGAAGCCTCAGGTGCTGATTGGACGAGCTGCTCTTACATCACAGAAGGGTCTCTGGTGCCCTCCAGGTTTTGTTGGACTATAACACCACCTCTGCTCCCAGAACCCCTGATGCTTGGCTATGCTTGCTGAGGCCAATGTGCAGGGATGCTGGGAGTTGTAGTTCAGCAGCTCCCAGAGGGCCAAAGGTTCTCTACATCTGCGGGGAAGGTTTGAGCTTTTATTTGTAGAAGAATTCACCTGTACAGCTTCTCACTTTGCATTCTTCCCCTCTTTTTTTTTTAAAAAAATTTAGCTTCCTTGGCTGAATACGTGCTAAAAGACCAGCAAGAAAAACCTGAGGAAGATCTGTTCGGTAAGATTCTTGTGTGCCCCAGAAAAGCGTTGCATTTGAGATGCCCTCATGGCAGTCTATTTCACAACAGACTTCAGTACGCACAGCCTCTAAAGGTTTTGATGCGGCCTTGTCTAATCACGAATAAACAGCCTGTTCTTCCCTTTCTTATTTCAAACCAAACAGGAAACCTGGTTCTAGATGAGACAGCGGCTGAAACCCCAGAGGAGGCCAAGAAACGGGGTGAGCAGGAGGTGAATCGGTGGGGTTCGCGCGGCAGCCGAGGGCGGAACATCTTGCAGTTCCTTGTTTATTTTAGGCTTTTATTTTAGGCATTTATAACCAGCCTTATGCAAATAGCCTCAAGGCAGCTTACAAAAGCAGAAGAGAATGTATGAAAACGCATGAAAGCAAGACGTTATAACAGGAGACAAAAATAATATTTATTTGTTTGTTTGTTTGTTTGTTTGTTTGTACCCCGCCCATCTGGCTGGGTTTCCCTAGCCACTCTGGGCGGCTTCCAACAAAAGACCGAAAATACACTAAGATGTCACACATTTAAAACTTCCCTGAACCTCACTATAGTTATTTTTAAAACAGGTGTAAGGAACCTTTGACCTTCAAGCTGTTTGCTTACTTCATAAGTCTCTAGGGGAAAGGAAGGGCTCTCAGAATCTGTCCTGGCATCAGTCCTCACCCAATAGGAATGTAATTTAAAAGCACACAGAAATCTGCAAATATCAGGGATTCTCCCAGCTGTGTGGCTACTTCCATCCCTGCTGTTCTGGCAGAGAGGAGTCACACCTACTGAAGTCATTGTGCAAGGCGCTGGGCCTTCATCTTCCTTTCTTTCCACCCCCAGGCAGCTGCTCTGATGCTCCAGAGCCCAAACGCAGGAAACTCGGTGAGTTGGGGGTTGCGTCGATAGCTGGGCTCCACAGCGAGATAGATGTACCTAGCCAGGGCAGTGTAAAACAGCTTGCTTCTCCATTGGACGTACACAATGGGACTTGCCTCTCCAAATCTACGTCCTCTCTGCAAATAAACGCACACACAATGTTCTTATCTCGTTTTGCTGTCGCAATTATACTTGCAAATGGCGGGTGACTAAGTCGTGGGATAGGAGAGCTGAAAATAATGCCAATATTGGTAAAGGGAAAAGGGAAAGGACCCCTGGACGGTTAAGTCCAGTCAAAGGCGGCTATGGGGTTGCGGCGCTCATCTCGCTTTTAGGCCGAGGTAGCCTGAGTTTGTTCACAGACAGCTTTCTGGGTCATGTGGCCAGCAGGACTAAAATGCTTCTGGCGCAACGGAACACCGTGACGGAAACCAGAGCGCATGGAAATGCTGTTTACCTTCCTGCCACAGTGGTACCTATTTATCTACTTGCACTGGCGTGCTTTCGAACGGCTAGGTTGGCAGGAGCTGCGACAGAGCTCACTCCGTCACGGGGATTCGAACCGCCGACCTTCTGATCAGCAAGCCGAAGAGGCTCAGTGGTTTAGACCACAGCGCCACCTGCGTCCCTTTAATGCACATATATTTCACATCTGACAACCAATGCGCTCCTTTGGTTTCAGAAAGTACATGGGTAAATGAGTCTGAAAAGCCTGGGACACGTTTTCACGGCCCTCCAGCCGCTATGGTGGCTCATTTACCAGAAGTCATATATTGAGCGTTAACGCTGGAAGTGTGTACCCTATTCTGATCAAACTGAGCCTCCTGATGCATATTGCGCTCATGTACACGATTGTGCATGAGCATGCATAAGTGGCGGAGAGGAGGGAGATGCCTGTGTTGTCATAAACTGGCTGTGATACATTTTTTATGATACAAACATTTTTAAAAATAAATAAATACATAAGCCAGTCCTGAGCCTGATAGTAGCCTGGAGATGAAGTCACACCAAAACTGCCTCCCCGTGACATCGCTCTGCTTTTGCTTCCTCACTCAGGGCATCCACCGGCTCTCTGCGTCGTCAGCGGCAATTGCATCACCATCCCTCTGAGCTGCTCCCCAGCCAACACCCTCTCATCGCCCGACTTCCACATGGAGTTTTCGGTGACCACCATCAGCCCTGCCTTCGGTATGAGAAGCGATACTTGTGGGTTTGCGTTCTGCACCCTTTGGGATTATCAGTACAGTGGTACCTCGGGTTAAGAACTTAATTTGTTCTGCAGGTCCGTTCTTAACCTGAAACTGTTCTTAACCTGAAGCACCACTTTAGCTAATGGGGCCTCCCGCCACTGCCATGCGATTTCTGTTCTCATCCTGAAGCAAAGTTCTTGACCTGAGGCACTATTTCTGGGTTAGTCTGTAACCTGAAGCGTCTGTAATCTGAAGCGTCTGTAACCCGAGGTACCACTGTACAGTGGTATCTTGGTTCTCAAACGCCTTGGTACTCAAACAACTTGGAACCCAAACACTGCAAACCCGGAAGTAAGTGTTCCAGTTTGCGAACTTTTTTGGGAAGCTGAACATGCTCCGTTTTAAGTGTTACGCTTCTGTTTTGAGTGCCACATTTCCATTTTGAGTGTTACTCTGAGGTCTGTCTATTTTTGCTGTTTATTTTGCATTTTTGTTCTTGCGGCTCTTTTTTTGGTGACTATGTGGAACCCAGTTCAGCTACTGCTTGATTGATTGTGTGACTACAGTACATTGTTTATGGCTTTCATTTTAAGGATCAATGGTCTCGTTAGTCTGGAACGGATGAACCCATTTTGCATTGCTTTCTATGGGAAAGCGTGACTTAGGTTTTGGAACGCTTGGGTTTTGAAACAGACTTCCGGAATGGATTAAGTTTGAGAATCAATGTACCACTGTATTTTAAAAAAGAAACCCACAACTGCATAAGACATGCCAAAAATAATCGAAAGCAACAATAAGCTCAAAAGGCAACCAAACACACATGTCAGCGTTCTACGTGCTTGCCTAAACAAAAGTGTTTTTAGAAGGCAGGGAGTTGCATCGTGCAGTTGCAGCCATGCTAAAAAAAAAAAAAATCTTGCAAATGTGGAACGAAGATTTTGTGGCATTTCTAACAGTTCCAGTTCCGCAGATTGAAGTGGTTGAGTGGGTATATATTGGGTAAGGAGCTCTATAGTAAATAGGAACTACAGATTCCTATGGAGAAATCATCACTGACACAGGATGTAAGTAAGGAGCAAAACACAGTTTTGTGTTCATCTGGCTTTTTTTCTAGGTGTTTGATGGGGAATTTGATGGTTTTGATGGATGTTTGATGGGGAATTTGTGCAGCTGGAAAAAAAATCTGCTTAACAAAAACCCTGGTGTGATGGCCTGGGATTTGGTCTTGGAGGCTGAACCCGAGGAATCCCAGCCTGCACAGGATTCCCCGCCTCCAGAACCAGCTGAGCCAGGGCTGGGGCATGAGCCTGAAGGGTCCTCACCTGTGCTAGGTCCTCAGGTGCAGGCATCAGCTGAGTCTGCTCTGGCTCCTAAGGTGATGGAGGACCCATTGCCTGCAGGTGCTCCACTCTCAGCCCCGTCAGGGGAAGAGGAGGTTGCCTCTGGGTCCGGTAACCCTCCAGCCTCTCCTGAGCTGCAGAGGCTCAGGACAGAGTGGCGGAGGGAACTAAGGTCCCGCAGGAGGAGTGCTCACCTCCAGGCCAGGAGAGGCGAGTCACCTGTGGACCGGGGCCACCCAATGCCTCGGGGCAGATAAAAGCCAGCCAGCCCAGTCCCAAGTTGTGGGAGCAACGTTGTTGGTAGCCTGTTCCTGCCTGCACCCTGTCTTGCCTCTCTGCCAGAGCTCCTGACCTCACCCGACTCCCTACCTTGGACCCAGCTTCAGCTTTGACAGACTGCCTCCCTACTGCACCCTCAACCTCGGACTGGACTCGGACCTCTCCTCACGGTTAACCCTCGGGACCAGCATACCTGGTGACTTAGAGTGGTGTGTGTATATTTTACATGGCAATAAGCATCTCTCTTGCATTCTGCAGCCTCCCCAGATGCCTTCATCTCCTGATTTATAAAATTTCCATGGGCGGAGTTACATCATCGCTTCTTCCCCTGGGCTTTAACTGAAGTGCAGGAAGCCAGGGAGGCTGACTACCGAGTGCCTAAGACCAGTGCACTCACTGACCTTGTTTTTAAGGAAGGCCCTTTCATTTTAACTTAAATCAGCAGTTCTCAACCTGTGGGTCCCCAGATGTTGTTGGACTACAACTCCCATCATCCCTGAGCTCTGGCCTTGCTAGCTAGGGGTGGTGGGAGTTGTAGTTCAACAACATCTGGGGACACACAGGTTGAGAAAGGCTGACTTAAAATATATATATAATTTTTCCGCTGATCGTGTCTTAGGGCTTTCTGGAAGTGTGGGCACCCAGGGAGGCTGCAGGGTGCAGGCCACCCGAGAGATTATCTGCAGAATGGGGGGGGGGGGAACGACTCTCCCAGACATCCCTTGGCCACCTCATTTTTTTTTTTAATGATATTTATTAAAGTTTCAAAAAAAGGATACATAAATAAAAAAAGAGAAAAATAGAAAAAAGAAAAATACAAAATACAAAAAAAAATTTAAAAACAATTCCATCTTTTTATCATTTCTCTTTCATTTACATGTTTCCCGGACCTCCTCATACCCCCTGTAGTAAAGCTAGTATTATTTAGAAGCTGTTCCTTGGTCAAGCAATGAGAGTGAGGCCTTGTGGGTAACCAACAAGCCACAAGGACCATGGGAAATAAGTTCTGTCCCTTTAACCCCAGACTAACAGGCACCCAGGGTGTGAAAGTTTTATTATGGGAGAGGAAACCCTGATTTAATGGAAGGCTTGACACCTGGGTCCAAGTTCTGCGCATTCCGTTAGTGATGTTATCTGGCCTTAATGGCCTGGGAATGTGCATCTGCAGAGGCGCCAAGGAAGGGAGGACAACCTTTGATTGAGGCTCTGGGTTCTTAATTGGCCCAGCTGCCAGAAGTTAGATTGATTAGTCCACAAGCCGGTCATTGGAGAATTTAAAAATAATCAAGAGTTATGATTGGTTTTGGGGGTTCCGACGCCACGTGTGAATCAGGGTTAAAAGACCTGGGAAATGGCTGAGAAAGTGCGCTCTGCAATCCGCAAATCGCCCGGCTGCTAATGTTCCATCTAAGTAGCTGTCTTTGCATCCTTTGTGTTGGAGATCTGCGAAAGCCTTTGAACTGCGGAACCTTGAAAGGACTCTATCTATTTCTTTTGTACTTTAGTTGTGAGTATGCAAGCTAGCTAGATTTCACAATGTTTTTATTTTTCTTGTCTGTAACTTACTAAAGATGTGCCTGCTATTTTAGCATGTTTTCTTATGTTCTTTTAAAATAAATTTTAAATAAGAAACTGTTTTGGTTTGTGTGCCTTCCCGGGGGGAAAGTCTAAGTCCTAGCCTTACGCTTAGTTACGCTCTACCGTAAAACTTCTGTCTGCAAGTTTGTGGATTCAACTTGTGGAGTGGGGATAACCAGTAACAACAGGGTACAGCCTACTCCCTGGGTTGTGACTCTAGGTTTCCCGGAACAGAGGGAGTGGTGGCAGCTCTACCGGTGTGATTTTGTCCTGCTTCTGTATAACGTAACGTTGCCTGCCTGCCCTGCTCAAGAAACCTGATCTGGCCGGAGAGCAAAGACAGGTGAGGGAGGAGCGAGCGGCTGGGGGTAACTTTACTACATGGTGGCAGCGGTGGGATCGAACTTCCCTACGGAAAGGCACTTTGAATTCTTTTAAATTGGCACGTATCTTTTGGGAGTTACAGGTAGTTTATTTTTTTTGGCTAGAAATAGTTAGGAGATGGATGCCGCGTCGTCGCAGGAAAACACCATGCAGACATTAGACCAGTGGGGATTGGTGGGAGGAAGCAGTTCCCTTCCTGTGGAGACCAATCCCCCCCAAGCTTTAAGTCCCGGAGCGGAATCCGCCTCCTGGTTTTCAGAAGACCCTGAAACAGAGGGGGAGCTGGTGGATGCCAGCGAGTTAAGTACTGTCCGGAGGGGTCGGCGAGAGTCCTGTATTGCGGAAAGAGCAAGGGGCACGCCAGTTACCCAACCCCCATCGCCTCGTGAGGAAGTGGATGCCTCCACACGTCCGAGGGGGAACTATCTTGTTTACACAGAGCCTAAAGAGATGGATTTCTCAGAAGGTTATGATGTGGAGTGGATGCGAGATCCGGTGGATGGTGGATTCCGTTGCCGAGAGAAACATCCAAAAGTCGGCCAATCCATTCTGATGGGGCCAAGAGTCAGCCGGATGGCGTATGACTACAAAGAACTGCCGCACCAGCTGCAGGAGGTGACTGTGGGAGACTGCCGCCGAGAAGCGGGCGCGCCCGACGTCCGCCGGATGGAGAGACAGCGGTCACTCAGTCCGGGTAGAGTCTACTCGCCAGTCAGAGCTCAAGAGGTGTACGTGCCGGTGCGACGGTATGTGGCAGAGGAAGAGGAGGAGTTTTTTCAGCGACCCAAGCGTGGATTCGCAACGGCAGCTGAACCGGTACGCCCGGACGGGCCGGCGCTTCAAAACCCTGCGCCGAGGTATGAACTTGTTCCAGTGAGGGGGGGAAATCACCGCCAACAGTCCCCTCCAGGACTGTCTTTGAGTACTCTTAATTGGAGGGTCTTCCCGAAATATCAGCCCCCCACTGACGTTCTGAGTTATCTGACTCTTTTTGAAGTAACTTGCAAGGACATGGGAGTTGCTCCAACTATGTATATGGCTGTTCTGCGCCCCTAGTTTGTGGTGACCTGGCAGAGCTTATGGGTCACCTCCCCTCATCTGAACTCAATGACTATGAAAGTTTCAAAAAGTTAGTCATGCAGAGGCATGGATTGCACCCCGAGAATTATCGAAAGGCTTTTCGAAAAGTAGAGAAGTCGGGGCTCAGTGATAATATTGCAGTTTTCTCAGCAAAAATGGCTCAAAACTTCGAACTGTGGCTTGCCGCTGAAGGGGTGGGGGACTTTGAAGGATTCAAACAGCTTATATTAATTGAACAACTGATGCGTTCCCTGCCCTCAGAAATTGCTAGTCTGGTTGCAGACCAAAAGCCACGAACTCTAACGGAAGCCACCACCTTTGCTGAGTCTTTTAGGCTTAACCGCTCCCATTGGACCAACAAGGGACCAAGTAATGTGTGTAAACCAGCAGTTTCAATGGGGAAGTCTGCTCCCCCCATTAAGGAACAAAGCAAAGGTTTCCTGACGTCTGCAAAAGACTCTGTTGTAGGGGGAGAACGTACCAAATTGTCCCCAACCTCTGGACTGTGTTTCTTTTGTAAACAACCGGGGCATGTAAAAGCGGCTTGCCCCCAGCTGGGTAGCCAAAAGCCTCCTATTCTCACTTCCACCCCTGCCGTGCACCTGATTCAGCGGCAGGAAGAGGACTGGGAAGGGGAACAACAAAAGCCGGAGCTGGGGAAACCCCGATCCTGGATGGGAAGGGTGTGGCAGCTCCTGACGTTATGGCTCCTGGAACAGCTGAAGCCACTTCTAATGCTGTTATAGTGGGACCTGTGGGTACCAGTGCTGATCCAAATGCGCCGCATGTGAAGTGGGCTATTTCGAAGTTTACAGCGCCCATTGAAGTCAACGGGATTGCTGTGAACTCTTTCAGAGACACAGGGTCAGATATTACCAGTGTGTCCCGTGATTTGGTTATGCCTATACAAATGCAGGATAAACCCATGAAAATTAGTCCCTATGGGGTGAAAGAGATTTTTCAACCTACTGCTATTATTCCAATTTCGTATATGGGTTTTCAAGGAAAAATGTTAGTTATAGTGCATGACCCGAAGATGTGTAAAAGTCCTGTCCTGGTTGGTAATGATTTGGGATACCGGGTTCACCAGCAACAACATACAGTCAACATTTGTTCCATTAAGGTTTCACCCACCCAGGTACAGGGGATGGAGAACTGGGGAACAACACCTCAAGGTTTGAGGGCTGAGGAGAATCTTGTCCCGGATGGGGAAGGTGGAAGTCTAGCGCCTGATGCTATAACTCCCGAAACTACTGGGACTGTTGAGACTGCAGTATCTGAGAAATTGGTTGGGAGGAGGGTTGGCTTAATACGCACTGCCACTCCCTGTGTTAATTGGCCCTGCTCAGCGTCTGACGTAATCCCCAGGGTTCATCGAGTTGTTGTGCCTTCTTTTCAAAGTATGGACTCTGTTACCGGGACTTTACCAAAAGACTCAGTTTTGTCCCAATGGAACCAGCCTGACTTCCAGAAGAGTAATCCTGGTGGTGGAATTTAATTCCCCAACCTGCAACTGCTGATGTGCTTACCTCCAAGGATTGTATGGGGGATCCTTTTGTTCCAGTTCTTGAACCCCAAGTTAGTGCAAATTTCATTGTGGGGGGAAATGCTTTGAAATCTGCAGTTCCGTTGCAGCAGCTTGCAGCAAACCTAGTAGCAGAGACTGTGAACTATGCAAGCGGTCCCTATCAACCAAAAGCTGAGAGGCAAGCAGAAGGAGGGGGGTCAGCCCAGCCCAGTCAAGCCGCTGTAGGAAGTTTTGAGTTTTTTGGTCATTCTCTCCTAGGTTGCCGGGAAGCTGCAGATACTCACACTGGTGAGACTGAATTGATCTCTGTTGGGGCTGACAAAGAATTTCTTTACCCACAGCTCAAGGACTTTAAAGACCCTGATGATGTGTTTATTGCTTTTCAAAAGATGTTTTATGATGCAAATGTTTGTGTAAAGAAGAAATTGAATTTGGTGGGTCTTTTACAGAATCTCAGTCCTAGGAAACAGGATGATGATGTTATGAGCAAAAATGTTTTCAGGTTTGCTTGGAATTCCATGTTGCCCAATCCCTGTGTTCAAAATCTGTTGGGAGTTTTGGTTGAAATCTACTCAAGGAATTCAGAGTTTGTGTTGGGTTTTGGCAAACCCCTAGAAGATTCTTTGGGTATGCTCAGAGGAAAATGGGAGGGATTGGAAGAAGTTAAGTTGATTCTTTCTGATTTGTGGCCAAAACACCTTAAGCATGTGCAGAGTGTCTTGGCTCGAGTGCAAGATCCAAACCTGACCAGAAAGAAACATAAATGTCAGTTTGCTCAAGGAGAAGTGATTCCCTTGGAATTCAGGGTGGGGTCAGGAAACGTCAAATCTCTAGAGGCCAAGGTGCAATACATTCAAGATTGGCCCCGCCCCGTGGTGGAACAAGATGTGCAGTCGTTCATAGGGTTGGTAAATTATTATAGGAAGGGTGTCAATCAGTTTGCCACATTAGCTGCTCCTCTTACCAACCGTTGTGAGAAATCTTTGCCAGTGAAAGTAGATTGGACTGAAGAGTGTCAACGGGCTTTTGATCTGTTAAAACATGCCCTTGTGAGTTCCCAGGTTATGTTGGCCCCAGATCAGAGACGTCCGTTTGTGGTGCAAACTGATGCCAGTCAGACCGGGCTGGGAGCAGTTTTGCTCCAAGAAGATCAAGAGGGAAATTGGCGTCCCGTGGTTTACCTGAGTAAAAAACTGATAACCCGGGAGCAAAATTATTCAGCCATTGAGAAAGAGTGTTTTGCTTTGGTCGGGGCTCTGACCAAACTGCGTCCTTATCTGTGGGGCAACACCTTTGAAGTTCAAACGGATCACTCCCCACTTTGTTGGCTGGAGAGAGTAAAGGCATCCAACCAGAAATTGCTTCGGTGGAGTCTAGCCTTACAGGACTTCCAGTTTAACGTCACACATATTGCTGGGAAGGACAATGTGGTTGCTGATACCTTGTCTAGGATGTATCAATCTGTTAAATGAAGTATTAAGGTGTATTTTGCCTGAATCCTCAGCTGGAAAAAACTATTGGTGATTATTGTTCTTGTAACTGTGTAAATATCAGACTGGGGGATGGTGCTAATGATTTTGGGAGCTGCTGCCCCCCCAGACTGGTCCAACTACCTCAATGTATATATTTTGTTGGATGAAATTGCGGGACTTAACCCTGTAATTTCATCTTAGGGGGGAGGGTGTAGTAAAGCTAGTATCATTTAGAAGCTGTTCCTTGGTCAAGCAATGAGAGTGAGGCCTTGTGGGTAACCAACAAGCCACAAGGACCATGGGAAATAAGTTCTGTCCCTTTAACCCCAGACTAACAGGCACCCAGGGTGTGAAAGTTTTATTATGGGAGAGGAACCCCTGATTTAATGGAAGGCTTGACACCTGGGTCCAAGTTCTGCGCATTCCGTTAGTGATGTTATCTGGCCTTAATGGCCTGGGAATGTGCATCTGCAGAGGCGCCAAGGAAGGGAGGACAACCTTTGATTGAGGCTCTGGGTTCTTAATTGGCCCAGCTGCCAGAAGTTAGATTGATTAGTCCACAAGCCGGTCATTGGAGAATTTAAAAATAATCAAGAGTTATGATTGGTTTTGGGGGTTCCGACGCCACGTGTGAATCAGGGTTAAAAGACCTGGGAAATGGCTGAGAAAGTGCGCTCTGCAATCCGCAAATCGCCCGGCTGCTAATGTTCCATCTAAGTAGCTGTCTTTGCATCCTTTGTGTTGGAGATCTGCGAAAGCCTTTGAACTGCGGAACCTTGAAAGGACTCTATCTATTTCTTTTGTACTTTAGTTGTGAGTATGCAAGCTAGCTAGATTTCACAATGTTTTTATTTTTCTTGTCTGTAACTTACTAAAGATGTGCCTGCTATTTTAGCATGTTTTCTTATGTTCTTTTAAAATAAATTTTAAATAAGAAACTGTTTTGGTTTGTGTGCCTTTCCGGGGGGAAAGTCTAAGTCCTAGCCTTACGCTTAGTTACGCTCTACCGTAAAACTTCTGTCTGCAAGTTTGTGGATTCAACTTGTGGAGTGGGGATAACCAGTAACAACAGGGTACAGCCTACTCCCTGGGTTGTGACTCTAGGTTTCCCGGAACAGAGGGAGTGGTGGCAGCTCTACCGGTGTGATTTTGTCCTGCTTCTGTATAACGTAACTTTGCCTGCCAGCCCTGCTCAAGAAACCTGATCTGGCCGGAGAGCAAAGACAGGTGAGGGAGGAGCGAGCGGCTGGGGGCAACTTTACTACACCCCCCTTTTTTGTATTCCAGTTCAATTTATTTAGTCCCGCAATTCCTTTCCCTCCTTTTTAATCCTGATCTTTAATCTTAATATATTATAGCATTAGGTTTTTACGTATTGAAAATCCAATTTTTCCATATTCTTTTATACCATTAAAGCTAGAAACCACTTAACTTCAATCCAACATCATTCTAACATTCATTAATTTTACAATATTTCTGTAAGTAGTCTTTAAATTTCTTCTTGGTATCTTGGCCACCTCTTCTTGGCAACTTCTTGGCCTCCTCAAAAGTAAGGTAAGCAGCACAAGAAAAACTTGGCACTCCCATCTCTGGGGATATCACTGAGATTTTCTCTCCATTCTAACCATTGCTGAATGCAGTTTCTGTCTCCGTTAAGTGATGGAGGTGTTTTTGGCACGGCACGGGTTTCGTCACAGCATGCTGAAGCTGTGCATGGACCTGTGGAAGAGTTTGGAAACTGGAGTTCCAGCATCAGTTTGGGATTAGAGTTACAGCGTCATGTAAGGGGTGGGGGGTTGGGGGACACTTTGCTTGGAGAACTGGTCCCTGTTGGCACCAGCCCAAGCGTGTGTTATCCGGATGGCGAGAACAAATATCCAAGTGAGGCCGATGCAGAAGCGTAAAGGCTGCAGGAGATCAGGTTGCATAGGAAGCTGCCTTCTCCGGAATCAGAGAATGTAGCTCAGTGTCAGATACACTTGGCCTGAAAGCGAGATGAGCACCACAACCCCATAGCCGCTGAAATATACTCGGAGTCGAGTGTGAATTTCATGCTCTTTATAATAGCAATGAATGAAACTTTCCCCAAAACTTCTAGCTATATATACATTATTTACACAATGGGCCCTGTGTGATTGGCCAATCAGCTTGCGGATTCACCTGCTCCAGAAGCCTAATTGGCTGCTCCTGCTTTTCTGAGATTGTTAATTTGGGGTTTTCATCAGCTGTACTCCATAATCAACACAATTATAACAAATAAAGGCTTGACATATCTCACTTTGCATGTCATGAGTCTATCTCATATATTAGTTTCACCTTTTCCCCCCACGATATTCTAATTTTTCAAGTTTCACCTGTATCTTTGTGGTGGGGCATTAAGAGTGTTTAAGCTCAGGGAGGGGTTGTTTTTTTTTATATATAAGATATTTATTAAGGTTTTTTGACATATTACAGTAAAAATGAAAAAGAAAAGAGAAAAGTACAAAATAAAAACAATTAAAAAACACACATATTTTCAGTTACTTATTTTCCTTTAGCTTGTTTCCCGGACCTCCTCGTACCTCCCCCTTTTGCATTCCACTTCAATTTATTGGTTCAGCAAATCCTTACCATTAGATTTTAACCCATTTATAACCCTTTTTTCATATTCTCTTAAAGCATTACAGCTAGAAACCGCTTAATTACTATCCAACATCATTCTATCATTCATTAATTTTACAATATTTCTGTAAATAGTCTTTAAATTTCTTCCAATCTTCTTCCACCGACTCTTCTCCCTGGTCTCGGATTCTGCCAGTCATTTCTGCCAATTCCATATAGTCCATCACCTTCATCTGCCATTCTTCCAAAGTGGGTAGATCTTGTGTCTTCCAATACTTTGCAATGAGTATTCTTGCTGCTGTTGTAGCATACCTAAAAAAAGTTCTGTCCTTCTTTGGCACCAATTGGCCGACAATGCCCAGAAGAAAGGCCTCTGGTTTCTTCAAGAAGGTATATTTAAATACCTTTTTTCAGTTCATATATATCATTTCCCAGAAAGCCTTAATCCTTGGGCACGTCCACCAAAGGTGAAAGAATGTACCTTCAGTTTCTTTACATTTCCAACATTTATTATCGGGCAAATGATAGATTTTTGCAAGCTTGACTGGGGTCATGTACCACCTGTATATCATTTTCATAATATTCTCTCTTAGGGCATTACATGCCGTAAACTTCATACCTGTGGTCCATAACTGTTCCCAGTCAGCAAACATAATATTAGGTCCAACATCTTGTGCCCATTTAATCATAGCAGATTTCACCGTTTCATCCTGAGTATTCCATTTCAACAGCAAGTTATACATTCTTGACAAATTCTTAGTTTTGGGTTCTAACAGTTCTGTTTCTAGTTTTGATTTTTCCACCTGGAAGCCAATTTTCTTATCCAAATTATATGCCTCCATTATCTGATAATAATGAAGCCAATCTCTCACTTTGTTTTTTAGTTTCTCGAAACTCTGCAATTTCAATTTGTCTCCTTCTTGTTCCAAAATTTCCCAATATTTCAGCCATTTGGCCTCCATATTGAGCCTTTTCAGAGCTTTCGCTTCCATCGGTGACAACCACCTTGGGGTTTTATTTTCCAATAAATCCTTGTATCTTATCCAAACATTAAACAGTGCTTTTCTGACAATATGATTTTTAAATGCTTTATGTGCTTTGACCTTATCATACCATAAATATGCATGCCATCCAAATATGTTGTTAATTCCACTGAACGGCATTCCTTGTCTAGGGGCAGTCCGTTCCCAGGTTTTAAGCAGCAAATTTTAGCTTCCTTTCCCCCTTTTCTTTGCAGGTAAATACAACTCAAACCTTCCCCCCTCCTCTCCTGCAATCCGGAGGGGAGACCACTTTCCAGATGTTAAGATTTAAGTCTTTTTTCCGAACGTCTCTCTATGTTTCCGTTTTACAGTCTCTTTGCTTTGAACTATTTACAAGAAAGGAAGGCAGACGTCCTGGTTATACCTTCCCGCTTCGGTGCCGAATTAGCTGTTTTTTCTCCTTTCAAATCCAATTTAATCCTACTCACGGGTAGTTGCTTTCGAAATCCAATTATCCCAGGAAAAAGTCAGCGCTCTCTGTTAACGGCTGTGCGGCTTCACTCCGCGGAAGAAGCAGTCGACTCTCAGCACCGCGCCGCTCACCCCGTCCCGCTCCAGAGCCCTTGAAAGGGTCCCTTTGCAACTTGGGGGGGCGCAAATGGTGCCCGCCGAGTCCCCACGTTCACAGGCTTCCCCCGCCTGTGATTTTTAAAGGGTCTCCGCTTTGCCGCAGCGGTAAGACCCGATCCCGCGGAGCTGGTCCCTCCGAGAATCAGAGGGAATCCGCCATTAGCGATGGCGCTGACCCGGAAGTCTAGGGAGGGGTTTTGGAATGGTATTGGAACACTCTTGCAGGCCCCACAGCCTCCTCCGGCACTGGAACAGCCACACAGCATTCCCAGGAAGGGGTCCTGGTGTTCTGGGACTCACAGCTGCTCTCTTGTGAACACCCTGTAAAGGTAAAGGGACCCCTGACCATTAGGTCCAGTCGTGGCCGACTCTGGGGTTGCGGCGCTCATTTCGCTTTATTGGCTGAGGAAGCCGGCATACAGCTTCCGGGTCATGTGGCCAGCATGACTAAGCCGCTTCTGGCGAACCAGAGCAGTGCACGGAAATGCTGTTTATCTTCCTGCTGGAGCGGTACCTATTTATCTACTTGCACTTTGACATGCTTTCGAACTGCTAGGTTGGCAGGAGCAGGGACCGAGCAATGGGAGCTCACCCCGTCGCAGGGATTCACACCGCCGACCTTCTGATCGGCAAGTCCTAGGCTCTGTGGTTTAACCCACAGCGCCACCCGCGGTCCGAGCACCCAGTATAGCAGAGTAAAAGCAGCGCAGACGGCGTTGAGGAGGTATCTGGGCATACCTACTTTATTTCTACTAATTACAGATTAAAGAACGTAACAAACACGTATGAGAGGAGCAGGCCTCATACAGACATCATGTCTCGTCACAAGACAGAGCAGAAAGAAAAAGTACAATAGTATCAGAGACGGAAGTCACACAGACTGGCTTCCTTTCTCACGGAACAGAAAATAAACAAGAATCAGATGGTCCTTGCAATGGGAGGAGTTAATTGCTAACAAACACCACATGCCTCCTTGCTTGCTCCTCTGGAAAAGCAGAACCTCAGATCACCCTGGGACCTTCAAGTAAGGTATCTCAGGGCACCAAGGATGTTTAGAAGTGTTTTGTCTTCAGTCTGGTGGACTTCTACTTTTCACCTAGCTGCTTTTTTGTTTATGTAAATGATTTTTGTCCCCATCTCTGGGTCCGAAGTCTGCTACCTGCAAACAGTATCAGGCAATAAAGCAGCCCGTTAACGCGATAACCGAAAACGGCTCAAGAAAACAAACAAAGCAATGGGCAGCATCAGAGAAACAGGAACTGAAATCCTGCTGAAACTATGTGGGGCTGGATGTTATTATTCAGCTTGGGGTTGGTGCCAAGAGTTAGACTCAGAAGCTCATGGAATTGTAGGTTGGTGGTATTTAACACCAGTCAGATTAAATCAGATGAACAAGGAATATTCGGTGTTATGTTGGAGGGGATGCCAGGAAACAGGGAATTATGTGGTGGGGGTGTAAATAGTTACATTATTTTATTTATTTATTTATTTATCTGGCAAAGGGTGTTTAAGGAGATAACAGAAATCACTGGGTTAAAGCTGACCAAAAGTCCAGAGGTAGCATTATTATCAATTTACGAAGGGGTGGAAGGCTATGAAGGACTCACTCACAAATTTATTGACAGCTGCATGAATTATTATAAGCTAGGAAGTGGAAGGGGCAAGCAGAATATAAAATGGAAGAATGGTATAAAGAGGTGTGGGATATAGCTATTAATGATAAATGAACATGTGCCATTAAGGTAAGACGGGGAATATGCAGGAGGAATGATTTTGAGGAGATATGGAGGGCCTTTGTAGAATTTGTACTGTTAAAATGGAAAGTGGTTGAAACCATCACAAGAGGTGTAGAAATTTCTGGAGGTTGGGTAGTTACAATGGAACAGTCTCTGTGGCGCAGTGCACATTTTTATTCTTATTTATGGTTATTACTTTGTCAAAATAAAATAAAATAAAAAATTGTAGGTTCGAAGGGACCTTGAGGGTCATCTGGTCAAACTCTCCAGCCCACAACCATCACTCAGTGGCCTCGAACCACCAAGCTCCTGCTTAACAACCAGACGCCCTCACCTGTTGCACCACCTGAGGCAGTGAAAGCACGCAGATATACAGTCTGCATTTCCAAGCAACCTGCAATTTAGGTTCTGCCATTTGCTCCAATTCAGTGCCACTCTCCCAACTTTCAGCTCTACGTACTTTCAGGGTAGCCACCCTGAAGGCCAAGGGGGTAAGCGAGTGAGTGGGGCCTCATGAGCACCCAAGGGAGACTTCAGGGGCGCCACTGCACTCACAGTCACCCCATTGGCACCCTCTGCTTTCCACACTGCAATGCCAACCCACTGCAAGGCGGGCTTCATTCAGAACCCCATGTTGCGGCTGAGGAGCTGGACTGCATATTGCTTTAAGGCCTCCTTGCCAAATGCACAATGAAAGGGAGATTACTTCACAGTTCCCAGCTGACAGTCTCAGCTACTCCAGTGTAGCAGCTCTCCTCCTGCTGTTCTGGGCAGCTCCCCACCACACAGATGGAGAGGGCCAATGATCCTTGCAAGGCGGGCCCTGTGTTAACAAAGAAAGAAGAAAGAAGATTCCACCTACAAGAAAGTAACTACAAGAAAGAGGATTCCACCTAAACATTAGGAAGAACTTCCTGACAGTAAGAGCTGTTCGACAGTGGAATTTGCTGCCAAGGAGTGTGGTGGAGTCTCCTTCTTTGGAGGTCTTTAAGCAGAGGCTTGACAACCATATGTCAGGAGTGCTCTGATGGTGTTTCCTGCTTGGCAGGGGGTTGGACTCGATGGCCCTTGTGGTCTCTTCCAACTCTATGATTCTATGAAAGTCACTCTGGAGTCCAGAGGGAAAGGAAATCCTGAAAGCACTTGGTTGAGGAAATGGGACAAATCAGTGTATAATTTGAGTGGAAACAAACAGAGCGGCAGCCTTGCCTTCCTTCCTTCCTTCTTCCTTCCTCCCTTCCTTCCTTCCGGCCTTGTAAATGGCAGGAAGACATGCAATCAAACATACAGGAAGTGTGTGTGTAGAAACTCCCTCAGAACTACACTGCAAATCAGAGCACGGGAAGATCCTGCCAGCCTGCCTGGTTGCTAGTTGATTTTCACGCTAATGGAATTAACCCTTGAGTTACAAACAGAATGAGCCCTGCTGTTGCAGTTGTATCAACAGGGGCAATGGGTTGCTTCTTGCTGAGCCGATGTTGATGATCAAACCCCTCTCTCCTCATTTGCAGAGCCTCTTGCAAGCCCCAACCTGTACTACTGCCCACTCGACGTGGAAGATATTCAGGTAGTCTTTGCCTTCGAGCCTCTCAATCAGTGCGTGAATATTCTTGCTGAGCCAGAAGGTGCCATCATTAATGCCTGTCCTGGTAAGCGTCATCATTTTTGCTGCAATTGTCCATAATCTGCACCCCTCTCTTCCCTTGTTATTCTCCCCAGGATGAGAACTGCTCTTGGTCGCAATATCAGCTTCTGGACTTGGGGTGGGACGTGACTCTTGTTGGGAGAATTGCATGGGAAGCTAGGGTTAAATGCCCTTCCATTGGGGCTGTGGCCCTGGTCTCTAAAATAAAATTTAAAGTCCTCCCCGCTTGCAAATGCAAAGGCATGATTAAGGTAAAGTTCCCTTTGGCTCTTGGAAGACATTCATCGGGCACAGAGATCTTAGAATATTTTTGCAATCCTGCTGGGAGAATCGGCTCCGCTTTCCTCACTCTCTGCTGCCCCCGGAGGTTTAGTGCTGTGGTAACGTAGAAGGCAAGGGACGCAGGTGGCGCTGTGGGTTAAACCACAGAGCCTAGGACTTGCTGATCAGAAGGTCGGCGGTTCGAATCCCCGCAACAGGGTGAGCTCCCGTTGCTTGGTCCCAGCTCCTGCCCACCTAGCAGTCTGAAAGCACATCAAAGTACAATTAGATAAATAGGTACCGCTCTGGCAGAAAGGTAAACGGCGTTTCTGTGCGCTGCTCTGGTTCGCCAGAAGCGGCTTAGTCATGCTGGCCACATGACCCGGAAGCTGTACGCTGGCTCCCTCAGCCAATAAAGCGAGATGAGTGCTGCAACCCCAGAGTCGGCCACGACTGGACCTAATGGTCAGGGGTCCCTTTACCTTTACCTTTTAATGTAGAAGACAAAGCTTGAAGGTAAGATTACGATGCAAGCCAGGAATGAGCTTAAGGTGAAGCCTCGACCGCTGGCCAGCTTTGGGCAGGCTGCCCTAGTGCCTCCTGGTTACTGGGATGTTTGCAAAGCACCCTGGGCTAGTTGGACCCTCATCTCTTCCAGCAAGGTGCTCCTTCAGTTTGATAACAAGTGCGAACCCACAGGCTAGCTGTTCTCTTTCCCTGCTGACAGCCCCCATGCCCTATTGGTTTATCAGTCAAAAATGCATCCAGTGGACTATGGGATTCCAGTAAAAAGAATGAGTGGTTCATATCAGATTTTTGCTTGTGCATTTAAAATCCTTTGCTATTGCAATGCGAACATGGGTGCAAGGTGCAATCATAGAATCGTCGAGCTGGAAGGGTCAAGCAGCTCAGACCTCTTTACACACTGAGCTTCTCAAGTAGATGGAGATACAGCAAGGTAAACAGGTAAAGGACCCCTGGACGGTTAAGTCCAGTCAAAGGTGACTATGGGGTTGCGGCACTCATCTCGCTTTCAGGCTGAGGGAGCCGGCGTTTGTCCGCAGACAGCTTTCCGAGTCATGTGGCCAGCAGGACTAAACAGCTACTGGCACACTGTAACGGAAGCCAGAGCGCACAGAAACACTGTTTACCTTCCTGCCCGAGTGGTACCTGTTTATCTACTTGCACTTTAAAGTGCTTTTGAACTACTAGGTTGGCAGGAACTGGGACAGAGCAATGGGAGCTCATTCTGTTTCGGGGATTCGAACCACCGACCTTCTGATCGGCAAGCCCAAGAGGCTCAGTGGTTGCGTCCTGTCACCAAGGTGAGGGGGAATGACCTAGCTAAGCCTGGCAGGACAGCTTACTCTATGACATTAACCCCTTCATGCATTAATTAGGCTTAAGCAAGTTAGACTTAAGGCTGGTTATCGCACGGTTGGGGGACGTTACAGGGGGTTTACAGGCCTGCTGTGTTTCAGTATGCTCCCCTTTGTCTCATAGATGTGGCTGTGGCTGACAAAGGACCTGAAGCCCCACCTGTTCATTCAGAGCGAGCTCACAAACGACTAGGTGAGTGTCGCTGCTTTTTAACCTGTTTCAGTGCTGAGGGCTGGTGCTGCAAGCCAGGTAATTTGAGAGTAGGAGTGGCTCACCTGTGGCCACAGATCCCTCATCCCTGTTTTTGAGGAGTGCCTCTAGAAGTTCCATTATTCACATCAAAACCACGCACCCTCCAAAACCTGAGAGGCCAAAAGATGGGCAAAAAAAGCACCCACACTGAGGTGTTTTTCCTGCTGCCGGTCTGGTTCATTCAGAATTTCAGAAAGCCAGATTTCCCACCTTAAGAATGACAAAGAATGAATGAAAGGAAGATAAAAGAAGAGCGCTTGCAAAACGATGGTGGACGCCCTGTTGAAAAACTGCGCACGTAAGGTCCATCTGGAAAGATTTTGTGCCTCTTGGGATGTTTTTTATGCAGCTGTTGAAATACTTGGCAAGTTCATTTAAAAAATAATAATTAATTGCAGTTTTGGTTGACCCCTTCCAAAAAGGGATTATCATATTTTTCCGTGTATAACACGCCTCCTTGGATAAGATGCCCCCTGGTTTTTTTTTACAAAGGTTATTTTAAACATCTTTTTCATTTCATTGTATATCATTTCCCAGTGAGCTTTAACCTTACTACAAGACCACCACATATGATAAAAATAACCTTCTTTTCTTTTTAATCTTAGGCCCTGTGGACGCATTTTGCAGGAGGCTAAAAGACCACTTCTGGGAGACGTGCCAATTTGTGCCCATGGAGCGAGAGTTTGCCCTGGACCGCCTTTACATCGAACGCGACATGGCGCTGTGCCTTGTGGAAAGCAAGAACACTGGGAAAAATGCCGACCTGAGGCCCTGCAACCTCAGAGAGAAAGGGAAGGTTGCGGTGAGGAGCAGCCAGCTCTTTCAGCTGCCGTGGAAGAACAACCTGGGAACCAAAGTCGTCGTCATCTTGGGGAAAGCCGGAATGGGGAAAAGTCTGCTGGTCCAAAAGATCTGCCTGGACTGGTCCAGAGGACATTTGCCCAATTACGGCTTCCTTTTCCGATTCGATTGCTGGATGCTGAGCCTCCTCCCTGAAAACCGCTACAGCCTCAAGCAGCTGCTATTTGAGCTCTCCGCTGGGCCTCAAGATGGTGGTGACGACATCTACAGGCATGTTCTGCGGTACCCAGAAAAGGTCCTCCTCATTTTTGATGGTTTTGAAGAACTGAAGGACCGGGATGGCTTAACATCTGGTGTAGACAGCCTGCCCCACAAGGAGCCCTTGGGAATTGGAGGCATCCTGGCCAGAATCTTCCAGAAGAAGATTCTCAGCGGCTGCACGGTGCTTCTAACCTCCCGCCCCAAGGACAAGTTGCAGCAGCATTTATCGAAGATGGACGCGACGCTCGAACTGGCAGGGTTCTCCACGCAGCAAGCTGAGTCGTACATTGCTCAGTACTTTGAAGGATCGCCCTGCAGTGGCGAGGCGGTGGCTTGGATCAGGAAATGCCCTTACCTCTTCAGCCATTGCTACACTCCTGACCTGTGTCGTTTCGTTTGCGAGGCCGTGTCTGAAGCGGGGTGCAAGGAACTGCCTTCCACGCTTACCGGCCTGTTGGCCAAGTTCCTCCTCCAAAAACTGATGCGTTCGTCAACGCAGAGATCTTCCCCTAAGCACCAGAATATCGCCGCTTTAGCTCAGGTGGCCTGGTCTTCCGGACAGGACCACCGGAACACACTCATGAGCTACAACTTTCCATCCATGGAAGTGAAGGAGTTTGCTCTCAGCTGCGGACTGGTGGTCCCCCTCGCATTCCCAAAAGACTCGAGCAGCGGGAAAGAGGAATGTGGCTACGTGTTCCCTAGCTTCGTGGTCCAAAATTTCCTGGTTGCCCTACATTTGGTGCTGGCTAAAGAGATCAAGGACAAAACTCTCACCAAATACCTTCGGCTGCTCACCAAATCCAAGAAGTTTCTCTTCTCTTGGAGCTTGGTACCTTGTTTTTTGTCCGGCTTGCTATTTTTAGGGGGCAAACTGAGATCCTCTGTCCTTTTCAGAGAGGAGGGAGAGATGGACACCAAGAGAATGGCCGGCAAGAAGCAGAGAAGCTTCTCAAACTACGTCCGGAAACTCATGGAGCGTGATTTCCCTCCGGACAAGCTCCTTGATTTTCTCCACTGTCTCTATGAAACGGGAGATCGTTGCCTTTTGAAGGAAATGGCTTTAGAACTCAAGTGTGACATCTCTTTCTTGGGGTTTGCTCTTACCCCACCCAATGTCTACATTCTCCACTCTGTCATCAAACAAGCCAAAAGGAAGTTTGCTTTAGATTTGAGAGGGAGCGCCATTGACTCAGAAGGATTCAGACAGCTGGTCACCCTGAAGAATGTTACATCATTCAGGTATGTTTGGGGTGGTGATGTCTGTGGGTGTTGCACCTCAGCGACGGCCAAGCTCCAGGTCATGGGGCCCAGGGACCCATTGAAATCTGTGGGGTGGATTGCCGGAGGTTCCCATCTTCCGCAAAGACACTCTCAAACTCAGTGTGGCATGTTGATTCTCTGCAGGGCATCCCTCAGCGATGCCGTCCGGCTCTGGAGGCAGTTGTGGGAAGCCAAAGAAAGAGACCAACTGCAATCCGCCATTGAGAAGTTTATTGTTGTTCCGTTCAAAGCCAAGACGATGAGGGACATTGACGACCTCTGTGCTCTTGTCGACATGCAGGAGAAAATGACCCAAAGGTAGGAGGGTTTGTTCCTGTTATAGGAATTCTAAGGTCTTATATTTATAAAATAAATGTTCGTAAATGTACAAGGCAAGCACATACATAAGTATATAAACCACGTATCTGAAATGGTGCAGGAGAAAAATCCTGAAGCCATTTTGACTCTCCCAAATTGACCTCAAATATTTCTCTGCAAGGAGGAAGGAAATGGGGAAAGCTTTCCAATGGTCTTTGGACTGTAGGGGCTTGCACCTCCCTGTAAATACAGCCTGGCAAGTATCTGTTAAGCTGAGCACACTATCCATATGCCTAAGAGATTCAAGAACTAAGTACCGGTATTTACCATCTCAAAGGAATGGCCAGGCTACCCAGAAAAGGAAATCAGATAAGGCATTATCAGGTATCCTGGCAGACAGGAGAGAAGCAACACACTCAAATTTCTGCCGGGGACCACCTCTTTCTGTGATGTATGTATGATGTTTTTGGGGGTGGTTTGAGCTACACGGTGGGCAGTTTCAAAAGTCTCTGTAACAGCTTGCACACCAATATTCTGGGTTCCTCTCCTCCCTCCAAAGTGAGGACCCTGTTGCAACGGTTTAATGAAGATCAGGCTTACTAGCTGCTTTGCTTCTCAATATTCTCTGGTTGGCCTCTGTTATTTTCTCCTACCGATAGAGAACCTACATAAGGACTATATACGGGCTCTTGGATACCCCATAAGGGGGAAAGGAGCAGTTTTTTCTTATAACATTCTTTTTTTGTCAGTATCACTGTATCTAAATGTATATTACTGTCAGGGACTGGACATTGAAGGAGGAATGGTGGAGACTGCGTCCCCCTTCTCCTGGACCTTCCCGAGGAGAGGAGGACAGTATAGATTTAGAACAGTGGTTTGCAGAAGGTCATGACTCTTAAGACAGAAGAGGGACATAGCTGGGAGATAATGGAAGAAAGGGAGGGGAAGCAGCAGAGCGGGCTGTTTCTGGGGGGGGGGAGGGAGCTGCGCCGCTTTGCCAGCAGCCTTCCTCCCTTCCCTCTTCCTTTTGACAGCTCGGGGGAAGCTCCCCCCCCCCGGAAGCAGCCTGGGAGTGGGGGGCAACGGCACGCTGCCCACCCACAACTCCCAAGCCTCCCCCGAGCTGTCAAATCAAAGGGGGGAAGGGGGAAAGGCTGCCGGCAAAGCGGTGCAGCTCCCCCCTTCCCCCGACGGCTCGAGGTAGGCTTGGGAGTCGCAGGAGGGCGGGTGATGACACCCGGGGCGGACCGCCTCCAACACCCCCCTTCCTCCACCCCTTCCCCTAGGACCCGGAAGGCATTGAAAGTAGGGGAACAGATAGCTCAGAGGCAGAAAGCACAGATCAGCCAACACAGTGATGACGTATCATAGGAGAGACGGAGGGGGTGGAGTTTTACTCGGAGGAGTGCCATTGTCCTAGAGACAGCATCCTACGTCTCTCTCTGTGATTACTGAATAAAACGCCTTGGTAAGAGCTTCCTGTTTTTCCATTACTGGCAGCCTGCCGTGAGGGAGGGGGGCCGCATTCCCTGAAGCCTGACAATTACATTCACGGCCTAGGACCCTCCTACCTACAGGACCGCCTCTCCCGGTATGCCCCATGGAGGACCTTAAGGTCCATAAATAGCAACACCCTAGAGGTCCCGGGCCCTAAGGAAGTCAGATTAGCCTCAGCCAGAGCCAGGGGCTTCTCAACACTGGCCCCGGCTTGGTGGAACTCTCTGTCTCATGAGACCAGGGCCCTGCAGGATCTGATTTCTTTCCACAGGACCTGTAAGACAGAGTTGTTCCGCCTGGCCTTTGGCTTGGAATCAACTTGATCCCCTCCCACTCTTCTTTTTTCCTTTCTCCTTCTGTGATGGAACTCCTACTTGGGGACTTCCCTGGCTTTTTTCTGGCCCACGTAAGACCAGTCTGGATAGTTAGCCTTGGTGAAGACTTGACGTTTTCGTCCCCAAAAAAGTTTTTGAGTTTCTGCTGAAATGAGGCTGCATTTTAATGTTGTATTTTAATCTTGTTTTTGAAGTTGTATTTCAATCAATTGTTTTATATCTGGTGTTAGCCGCCCTGAGCCCGATCTTGGCTGGGGAAGACGGGGTATAAATAAAATTTATTATTATTATTATTATTATTATTATTATTATTATTATTACTACATGCAGAAGAGGGGCCAAGACAGATAGAGTAAGGGAACTGGAGTCCAGCAACAGCCTTGCCCTACAGTTCAGCCTATAAATTAGTCCCTGTAGTGGAGGGATCACCAACATAGTGGATGAAAGGTCAGACAAGGACCTGGAAGAGAGCAGGGTTCGAATCCCCACTCGGCCATGACCTACGTCTCAGGGTTGTTGTGGGGGTTAAATGAGGCGTGGAGGAGATTCGTGTATGCCGCTTTGAACTCCTCGAAGAAAACACGCAGGATATAAATGCGATAAATAAACGCAATCCATAGCAGGGTACAACATACCTGCAATTTCTCCTGAGACGCATGGCTTACACCCTAGAAGAAATAAGTTCTGGGGTCGGGGTTGTGTCATCTTCATCTTTTTCGAAAATTTTAAGCCCTGATCTAACCAAATTCTTATTGTTGTTTTGTTCAGCGAGGCAGATTCAGCTGGTGGTAGCGCCCGCCTCATCCCAGCCGTCGCAGAGCTTAAACAATTAGAATTCACGTAAGTAAGAGAGGGTTTTTTAAATGGATCTTTTGGTGGGTGTAAATATGTACATTTTTTTGTGGTGAAGGGTGTTTAAGAAGATAACAGAAATCACTGGGTTAAAGCTGACTAAAAGTCCAGAGGTAGTACTATTATCAATTTACGACGGGGCGGAAGGTTCGCAGGATATGAAGGCCAAGCTCACAAATTTATTGACAGCTGCACAAATGATTATAGCTAGGAAGTGGAAGGGGAAAGCAGAATATAAAATGGAAGAATGGTATAAAGATGTGTGGGATATAGCTATTAATGATAAATTAGCATGTGCCATTATGGTAAGACGGGGAATATGCAGGAGAAATGATTTTGAGTAGATATGGAAGCCGTTTGTAGAATTTGTACTGTTAAAACGGAAAGGGGTCAAACCATGAGTAGGCAAACTAAGGCCCGGGGGCCGGATCCGGCCCAATCGCCTTCTAAATCCGGCCCGCGGACAGTCCGGGAATCAGCGTGTTTTTACATGAGTAGAATGTGTCCTTTTATTTAAAATGCATCTCTAGGTTATTTGTGAGGCATAGGAATTTGTTGATTTTTTTTCCTTCAAAATATAGTCCTGCCCCCCAAAAGGTCTGTGGCAAAGTGGACCGGCCCCCTACTGAAAAAGCTTGCTGACACCTGGGTCAAACCATTGCAAGTGGCGTCGAAATTTTGGGAGGTTGGGTAGTTACAGTGGAATGGTCTCAGTGGTGGGGTGCACATTTTTATTCTTATTTACCGTATTTTTTGCTCTATAAGATGCACCAGACCATAAGACGCACCTAGTTTTTGGAGGAGGAAAATAAGAAGAAAAAAATTCTGAATCTCAGAAGCCAGAACAGCAAGAGGGATCGCTGCACAGCGAAAGCAGCAATCCCTCTTGCTGTTCTGGCTTCTGGGATAGCTGCGCATCCTGCATTTGCTCCATAAGACGCACACACATTTCCCCTTACTTTTTAGGAGAGAAAAAGTGAGTCTTATAGAGCAAAAAATACGGTATTTATGGTTATTACTTTTTCAAAATAATAAATAATGATAATAAAAATGGATCTTTAAAAACCAGTTGAGGAGATGGGTCTCTTAGCAGATATTGGTGAAAAGTGAAACCTCCATATGCTAAGGCAGTGTACCGTTGAGTTCCAGATTAACCCACAGGAGAGGGCAGTTGCCTTTGAGCTCTGCACCTCAGCCTTCATCTAGCTGTGCTACAGATGATGGGGAATGCAAATCTTGTTAAAACCTTGGTCTGGCGCAGTTCTTTAAAAGCTGCAGGAATAACTCTTTGTCGGTGTTTTTTGGGACCAATTTATCTGAACTGAGTCCTGTCCCCCCCGCCCCCCCACTCATGGAACAAGGGAACAGGGTTGTAGATCAATGTTAGAACACCTGCTCTGCATGCAGAAGGACCCAGGAAAGGTTATTATTATTAATATTATTAATTAAAGTTGTATATCGCCCTTCATCTATAGATCTCAGGGCATAAAGTTGCCATATTAAAAACACCAAATACATAGTGAAAATAAGAACAAAAACAAAACAATAATCCCCACCTCCCACGACACATTTCAAAGAGCATCAGGTGTCAATAATAATAATAATAATAAATTTTTATTTATACCCTGCCCTCCGCAGCCAGAGCCAGGTTCAGGGCGGCTAACACCAGTAAAATCAGCCAAAGGCCTGGTTTAAGTACATAAATTAACACTGAATCCATGGTGGAGGGGCACATTTCACCTTGCATATAACCACACTGAGGGTGGATCTACACACAGGGGGAAAACCCCCCGCTATAAATAAGTCAGAACTCAAATTGTTATAACGGGGGGGGGGGGGGGGAACCACTATGGAAAATCGCATAGAATTTTCTTTTTGCTCTCCAGCGCCATCTAATGCTGCATGTTTATAACGCATTCAAAATGCTACTTTTGGCTAATGTAGCTGAGTCCTGAGACGCTTACTTTAAGAACATAAGAAAGCTAACTTTATTGCAGGAAATACCTGCTTAAAAGGGGTGGGGGTGGGGAATCCTAGTTCAGCTAAGGTTCTTGCTCTTGCATCTCAGCAGCAGAGACACCAACGATGTTGCTTCTCAAAAGGGAGGCCTTGAGAACGAAGGGGAAGTGAGGTCAGCAGCCCTAAGTGTATCTGTCTAGCAATGAAGGAATTTCAGCAAATCAGCCCAGGGAGATTGGGAGATTCCAATCTCCCCATCCCATGAAGGATGGCTGAAATCTCCAGAGAGCCATTGCCAGGCAGTGTAGAAAATGAATGAATGAATTTTATTATTATTATTGTCACAGACCAGTTCCGGCTCACTTATAGTATCAGGAAAATCATAAAACACAACAGGAATACATTGAATTGCAATTGGGAAAATACAGTGGTACCTCGGTTTACGAACTTTATCCTTTCCGGACTTCCGTTCTTAAACCAAAACCATTCTTAAACCGAGGCGCGCTTTCCTGAAGGAGGCCTCCCGGTGCCCTTCCACCATTTGGCTTCCATTCGTAGACTGAGGTAAAGTTCGCAAACCGGGACACTACCTCTGGTTTTGCGGAGTTCTTAAACCGAATTGTACGTAAACAGGGCTGTTCTTAAACCGAGGCACCACTCTACTGAGTTAGAGGAACTGATGGTCCGATGTGGTTGAAAGATACTGTTTCCCCTTCTCCCACCCCTCTCCAGACATGTTTGGGGACGGGACTTGACTCAGCCCCTTGGAAAAGGCAGAAACAAACTTTGTCGGCTGTGCTTTGAGACATCTTGGAGGGGCAGGAGAAGCCAACAAGTTGTTTTCTTCTTTGCTGTGCAGATTGGGTCGTGTCTGTGGCTTGACAGGCTTCCGAAAGCTGGTGGGGATCCTGGGCACGTTTCCTGCGCTGCAACATTTGGAGTGAGTGGCAAAGCGGTGGGGAGGGGTGAATGGGAGCCATGCCTCCGGTTGACACAGATGGAAATCAAGACATACCCAGATATCGATAAAAGACAAAAAAGCTGTCGCAACTCCCTCTATATCACCACAATATTGTTGTAAAATTTAGGGTGAAATGAATAAATGCTAGGATTTGGGCTATGGACGTAAAATGCAAGCTTGCAAATGAATTTCTGGGCTAGCTGATGCAAAGCAACCTGGCTGAGCTATCAAAAGAATAATTGAGGGACACTAATTCCATACAAGGGAACTGCTACCCCCTTGCCCCAGGTGTCAGCAGAAACTGGGTATTTGGAAGGTTGCCAGGGTAACTGCTGGGGGGGGCAGCAAGGGTTGCTGGGAGGAAGAAGGAGCGAGAAGGGCATATTTGGGGGAGGCTGGATGCTGGTGCTGCTGCCTCTGAAACGACCATGCTATAAGATCTGGACGGACTCCATACAGACGGAAGGTGTAAATAGGTGAAGAAACCCTATTTCTTAAAGCCACAACAGTCTCCGATGTGTCTTCTAATCTCCAAAAGGACACAGACCCCCATGTAGGTGCCTGGGACGCGGGTGGCGCTGTGGTCTAAACCACTGAGCCTCTTGGGCTTGCCGATCGGAAGTTCGGCGGTTCAAATCCCCGCGACGGGGTGAGCTCCCGTTGCTCGGTCCCTGCTCCTGCCAACCTAGCAGTTCGAAAGCACACCAGTGCAAGTAGATAAATAGGTACCACTGCAGCAGGAAGGTAAACAGCGTTTCCATGTGCTCTAGTTTCCGTCACGGTGTCCCATTGTGCCAGATGCGGTTTAGTCCTGCTGGCCACATGACCCAGAAAGCTGTCTGCGTACAAACACCGGCTCCCTTGGCCTGAAAGCGAGATGAGCACCGCACCCCATAGCCGCTTTTGACTGGACTTAACCGTCCAGAGGTCCTTTCCCTTTTCCCTTTACCAATATTGACATTATTTTCAGCTCTCCTACCCCACGACTTAGTTACCCGCCATTTGCAAGTCCCTTACCTTTACCACAGGTGCCTGGTACCCAGTGGGCTCTTGCCAACGCTCAGTCACCCAGCTTTGGTGACCATCTTTCCCTGTCATTTTTGCAGCTTGGATTCTCCCAACGAGAACGAGATCGGAGACGAAGGAGTGACTAGCCTCAGCAGCGTCCTTCCTCACTTGTCCTACCTGGAAATGTTAAAGTAAGCAGCCTGGTTTAAGGCGGGAGAAATGCCATCCTCGCCGTCACCCTTGTCCCCAAAGGAACTGAGCGCAGGTCCTCAACTTTGCAATGCTTTCTTCCTAGCCTGTCGGGGAACAAAATAACAGACCTGGGGGCAGAGAAATTAGCCAAAGCGCTTCCGTCGCTGCGTTCGCTGAAGACACTAAGGTGAGTGCTGCTCTTTTCATCTTTAGCATGTCCATACCAACAAAGGTCCGTATAGTTAAAGCTATGGTTTTCCCATTTATGTGCATTTATGTTTCACAGGGTGCAAAAGAAGGGCTTTGCACCTTGCCTGGCAGAGAAACCAAGCGCCTTGCGCCCCTCCTGGGCAGCGCCCGCTTGCCCGTGACTCCCGAGCCTCTGTCAAAACAAAGGGGGAAGGGGGCAGGAGATCTGTACTGCCAGACATCCCTGGTTCCCCTTCGGCAGCGAGCAGCTCCTGAAGCCAGCCAGAGCCAACTGCGCTACCAGGCTGGCTCCGGGCTGCAGAGGCTGCCACTGCCACATTTCCCGGGGACAGATTTGCAAATCCGGGGACTGTCCCCGGGAACCGGGGACGTCTAGTAACCCTACTCTAAGGTGCCACAAGAGTTTCTCCTGTTTTTGTTCTTTTGGAGTAGGGGCTGGAATCACTTGTCTGTGCTTGTCATAGGCTCTGGCGCCACCTAGTGTTGGGCTCCCTGGCTCCTGCCTTACCCGTTCCAAAGGGCACCAGCCTCCACCGTCCTTTTGACGATGGGAATTATAGTGCAACAGTTTCAGGAGGGCTACAGTTTCTCCATCCGCGACCTAATCCTTTTTCCAAACATCTCTGACCTTCTTTATTTAAAAATGTCAGCTCCCTTGGGCAAGCCAGACTGTGTTTGCATGATTTGTTACTTGAAGATGGATGGAGGCTTTTGGATGGGTCAAAAACACACGTACGAGCAGAACTTTCTTGTAAAGCGATGCTCTGCCCTGCTTCTCATACGGATCCATGGTCACACTTGCCTTTGTTTCCTGCAGCTTATACAATAACAACATTGGAGATGCGGGGGCAGAACATTTTGCCAGAGTGCTCCCAGAGACAGCTTCTTTGAGAGTGCTTGAGTGAGTATAAAACATTTGGCCATGAAGACTTAGGGCACGTAACTCCCACAAAGAGCCAGGTTCAAGGTGCTTTCACAATGGTTGACTGGTGTCTGTTTATAATGGCTTTTTAGTGGTTTTATTGCTGTAAACAGCTTTGGTATTTCCCCCCATGATATATATATATTTTAATATTTTTATTGGTTTTTAACATACAAAATTATAAAACATACCACACAATTTATCACAAATACATTCTTACTGGACTTCCATCAGCACCTCTGATAATCCTCCGTTTTAATCACCTCTTACGCATTTCCTAACTTAATATTGCCTTTACATCTCTTAACATATCACGTCTCCTTCTCCATTTTTGCAATATTTCTAATATTATTCCTCACAGAACTTTTTCAAACCTATAAACGTCGTCTGGTCGTCACAAATACTTTTCAAATAATCCGTAAATTTACTCCAGTCCTTGGTAAACTTCTGGTCCCGCCGGTTTCGGATCCTTCCCATTAGTTTATCAAGTTCCGCATAATCCATTAATTTCATCCTCCAGGTATTTCCCCCCATGATATAATGGTATGCAAATATTTTCATAAATAAATACTGCAAGGTGCTCTGTGTGGGGTTTCCCTTCCTTCCTTCTATACTCCTTTCTTCCTCCCCCACCAGAACCTGCCCAAGCCACCCAAACCAAAACCTCACTTCGGGGATGCCCTTCTTTCTGCCCTACATGAGATGTGGGTGGGGCTGTGGTCTAAACCACTGAGGCTCTTGGGCTTGCCGATTGCAAGGTCGGCAGTTCAAATCCCCGCGACAGAGTGAGCTCCTGTTGCTCTGTCCCAGGTTTTGCCAGCCTAGAAGTTTGAAAGCACACCAGGGTGAGTAGATAAATAGGTACCGCAGCAACGGGAAGGTAAACGGCGTTTCCGTGCGCTCTGGCACTCATCACAGTTCTCTGTGCGCCAGTAGTGGTTTAGTCCAGCTGGCCACATGACCCGGAAAACTGTCTGTGGACAAACGCCAGCTCCCTCGGCCTGAAAGCAAGATGAGCGCCGCAACCCCAGAGTCGCCTTTGACTGGACTTAACCATCCAGGGGTCCTTTACCTTTTACCCTTTTTTTACATGAATCACAAACCATCATTTGCTGCAGACATCTTGTAAGGCTGTATCTTTCTGTCTCGGCTTTCCCTGTTGCATGAAATCAGGCCCCTGCTTCTTTCTGAACAATTCCCCTCCATTACATTTTTATTTATATGTATGTTTGTGTGTGTGTGTGTGTGTGTGTGTGTGTGTATACACACACACACACATATACACACATATACATACACACACACACACACACACACACACACAATATACACACACACACACACACACACACACACAGAGTGGTACCTCGGGTTAAGAACTTAATTCGTTCTGTAGGTAAAGTTCTTAACCCAAGGTACTACTTCCGGGTTAGCGGAGTCTAACCTGAAGCATTTGTAACCTGAGGTACCACTGTATATATATAAACACACACACACACACACACACACACACACACACATATATATAAATATTTATATATAAATGTGTTTTTGACTACTGTTATTGATTTCTTTAACTTATACCCCACCTTTTCCACCAAGGAGCTCAAGGTGGCGCTCCAGATGCCTTAGCTGAGATTCCCAGAGAGCAGGGGGTTGGGCTAGATGACCCTTAAGGTCCCTTCCAGCTCTACAATTCTATGATCCTCCCCCTCCTCATTTACTGGTGGTGGTTTTGCTTTCATGGCGCTGTTTGTTGTTTTTATGTTGTGAAATGCTTAGGGTTGAAAAACTGGGAAATCTGGGGGTGGGGGAGAAATGAAGAGTGTGTGTGTTTTCGTTAAATGTTTTAAATATTTAAAGCAAATGAAGTAAGGAAACTCAGGACCACCCTGCTACTGCTGAGGTTTAGCAAAGCAGAGGCAGCTCCTTTAGGCTAACAGCTGGTACGCTCGTTTCTTTCCAGCATCCATTGCAACAAGATAACGGCTGCTGGAGCTCAGTACCTGACGGACAGCTTGAGGAAATGTCCCCGCGTCCAGAGTGTGGCGTAAGTCTTTGGCTGGCTTGATATCCCACCTTGATCACGCAAATGCTCTCAGCTGGGTGCTGTCCCTGGTCGTATCCAAACCATGCATTTTGAGCCGTATGATACCCCTTTGAACAGTCATGGCTTCCCCAATGCATCCAGTAGACCACACGGGTAGCGTTGTGGTCTAAACCACTTGGGCTTGCCGATCAGAAGGTCGGCGGTTCGAATCCCCGTGATGGAGTGAGCTCCCATTGCTCTGTCCCAGCTCCTGCCAACCTACCAGTTCGAAAGCACACCAGTGCAAGTAGATAAATAGGTACCACTGCGGTGCAAAGGTAAACGGCGTTTCCGTGCACTCTGGTTTCCGCCAAGGTATTCCGTTGTGCCAGAAGCGGCTTAGTCCTGCTGGCCAAATGACCCGGAAAGCTGTCTGTGGACAAACGCTGGCTCCCTCGGCCTGAAAACGAGATCAGTGCCTTATGTTTCCCTCCCCTTATGGTTTTGATCTATGGGCTACTTTTAAAATGAGACTGCATTTTTAATTACATTTTAACCTGTATCTTAAATTGGTTTTTCTCCCCTCCTATTATGTTTTTACTGCAATTTTACTGGTGTTAGCCACCCTGAGCCTGGCTCTGGCCAAGGAGGGCAGGGTATAAATAAAATTAATTTATTATTATTATTATTATTAACCCCATAGTCGCCTTTGACTGGACTTAACCGTCCAGGGGTCCTTTACCTTTACCATTAATACACAAAACCCATGATTGTGAATCTTTTCTCTATATTATCTGGATTCCCATTCCCTTCTACCATGGTCTCTTCCATTATTTGCATATCTTACCTATATGTGCGTGTGTGTAATTTTACTAATAATGGTGGGGGAGAAATACAATGCAGTTAAACATCTGAAAGGTGAACACACTTGGCAAATTGCATGAACTGAAACACAGCCGTTTTTGAAATCTTTGCTTCTCCAAATTTTGCAATGTGGTGCCAAGTAATGTGCAGAAAGATGCATGCACCAGGATAAATGTACATAAGAATGCATATTAGTGAAAAATAACATTAAAAATACATTGCATTGGGAGGAAATGCCTTGCGAAAACGTCTGTATTGGGGCAACAGGGCATGCAAAGCTGTTTGTATTAGGAGAAATTTGTACTGAAATGCTGATATTTAATGAAGACTTTGAAAGAAATGCAAACTTACATGGAAATGAAGAGATTTGAAAATTGTAAATACAAAAAATTGAGAGAAACTGAAATCCACAGATTTGTATATCCTTGCTCAAGATAAGGGGCTTCAACAAAGCAAATTTCCTTATTCTGTTTTCTTTTCTTCAACCCCCCTTTTTCAGGCTATGGAACCCCACTATTCCCCATGGACTTCTAGATCATCTGCAGCAGCTGGATTCTCGAATCAGATTACTCTAGATCCAGCAAAACCAGGGTCAAACAAGGTTGGGATTTTGAAATGCGTAAGTATTTTGAATCAGTATTTAGGATGCTCTTGGCTCCTGCATTCTGCTCTCCTGTAAAAAGTGATAGTCCCTCTTAATGAAATATTCCTGCTGATTTCCAACCCCCCCTCAAATGACCATGCCTTTATCAGGAGTTCAATATGTGGAGCTGGAATTGTCTGCCAGCCATCTCAGATACTGTGATCAGATATTAAAATCCCCAGATTCTGCCGCTAGAATAAATTGCGTCCGTATATGTAGTTTAAATGTTATTTATGCTTATATAGACCTGTGTCTGAATTCTGCTAGCACTGATCTAAGGTACAATTTGCTCTATACATTTAAAGCAGTATTATGCCACTTTAAATTGTCATGGCTTCGCCCAAAGAATCCTGGGAAATGTAGTTAGTTAGGGCCTTGTTCGGAGACCCCTGTTCCCTCCAGGGAGCTACAATTCCCAGAGTTCCCTGGGAAGAGGGAATGACTGCTAAACCAACCTGGGAAATGTAGGTCTGTGAAGGGAACAGGGGCTTCTTCACATTGCTCAGCACCCATTGCTCAGCAATCTACACTTCCCAAGATTCTCTGGGAGAAGCTGTTCCTGCTTAAAGTGGTAAGGTAAAGGTAAAGGTACCCCTGCCTGTACGGGCCAGTCTTGTCAGACTCTAGGGTTGTGCGCTCATCTCACTCTAGAGGCCGGGGGCCAGCGCTGTCCGGAGACACTTCCGGGTCACGCGGCCAGCGTGACGAAGCTGCTCTGGCGAGCCAGCACCAGCGCAGCACACGGACCGCCGTTTACCTTCCCACTATAAAGCGGTACCTATTTAGCTACTTGCACTTAATGGTGCTTTCGAACTGCTAGGTGGGCAGGAGCTGGGACCGAAAGACGGGAGCTCACCCCGCCGCGGGGATTCGAACCGCCGATCATACGGTCGGCAAGTCCTAGGCACTGTGGTTTTACCCACAGCGCCACCCGCGTCAGCTTAAAGTGGTATCGTGTTTCAAATGTACAGCGCTGAAGGGACCTGAACGCCGAATAAATTTTAAATGGGTATGAAAGCAGATCAACTAAAATGAAAATACATTATTATTATTATTATTATTATTATTATTATTAATAATAATAATTATTATTATTTTAAAAAACGGTTCAAGGTATCATTCCACCTATTGAAATGTGCAGTGCAGATGGGCTCTGCCTATCATTGGCTCTGGTGCCACCTACAGTTGGAAGGCAAGGTTGGAAATTGATTCTGTTGCCCCACCCATTTTCCCTTTTAACCCAGTACAGGCATTCAGTTCCCAGGAGGCTTCCCAGGAAGGAATGCCTCTCGCTGGCTACTGCAGGTCTAATCCAGCTCTTTCTATGTCCTCTTGGCCCGCTTGAGAGGTCTTAGCAGGAAAGTGTGTTTGAGTTGTACTCAGCTAGCTTTTGCTCAGAACAAACCCATTGAAAGCAACGGACCTAGCTTAGCCATGTCCATTTATTTCTATGGGTCTGCTCCGGGTTACTGTTAATTGGGAGACCACCCTTAAGTCTTTGCATTGCTTAGCACCGCAGGGAGAAGATCGCGTGAAAACGTTGGCTTCAGAATGCAGACTAGGGGGCTTTAAAAGAGGATTAATGGAGGAGACGCGGGTGGCGCTGTGGGTTAAACCACAGAGCCTAGGACTTGCTGATCAGAAGGTTGGCGGTTCGAATCCCCGCGATGGAGTGAGCTCCCGTTGCTCGGTCCCAGCTCCTGCCAACCTAGCAGTTTGAAAGCACGTCAAAGTGCAAGTAGATAAATAGGCACAGCTCCGGTGGGAAGGTAAATGGCATTTCCGTGCACTGCTCTGGTTCGCCAGAAGCAGCTTAGTCCTGCTGGCCACATGACCCGGAAGCTGTACGCCGGCTCCCTTGGCCAATAAAGCGAGATGAGCGCCGCAACCCCAGTGTTGTCCGTGACTGGACCTAATGGTCAGGGGTCCTTTACCTTTTAATGGATGAGAGGGCTACCGATGGCTACTAGCCCCAAAGGCTTAATCTACTGCCATCATGGCTGGAGGCAGTGATGCTCCCAGATAAATGCCAGATGCTGCAAACCACAGGAGAGGAGTGTGGCTCTTGCACTCGGGTCCTGCATGGAGGTTTCCCATCGGGACGTCTGAGTGGCCACTGTGAAATCAGGGTGCAAGACTCTTCTGATGTTACACCCTTAATAAAAGCAAGCCAGAAAAGATGTGTGTGTTTATGACTTGACAGGCACATCCTTCCGAACGGTGGATGAAGGAGCTGACATTTTGCATGGGATGCTTCATGCATGAAAATCAGAAATCGACAACATCCGGCTACGGGAGGCCTCTGTCCTGGAGGCATGGATTTGGGAAATAGCTTGACACGGTTTTGAGAAGCCACAAGAGAATGCAAAGCGCAGTTTCTGCAAAATGATCTTTAGCAGCTGAATAGACTGTGGAGCAGTGCAAGGTCTTTTTGTGTATACAGTGGTACCTTGGTTCTCAAACTTAATGCATCCCGGAAGTCCGTTCCAAAACCAAAGCATTCCATAAAGGGTTAAATTTCCATCATTTAAAATTACTAAACCCCCCTTGGAAGCAGGAGAAGAGGGGGGAATCTTTTTAAACTGTTTAAACCTGCAGAAGAGAGAGTAAAGAAAGATAAATTTCCAATGTCTTGAACCTGGGAGCGGGGTGTCAGGACGGACGCTTTGGGGAAGTTCATTGACTGTGGACAAACGTTTTTGACAGATAGTTAAAAAAGAGAAACATATTGATTCCAATGTTCCCTCTTGCATTTAAAAGAAACAAAATATCTGAAAAAGGAAAGGAACTTTGTTGCTAGATCTGCTTAAAAAGACGGATACAAATAGAAATTGTTTCCCCTAGAGGGAGCTTGTGAAACTGTTATTAGAGTAGATCTGGGGAGCTTTGCAGCTGTAGAGATTAAAGATCGTGGGACCAGACTTTGACCTTGAACAAGAATGTGCCTAGAAGAAGCGTTAGTGCTTGCTCTTTGCAGGACAAGTGCTTTACTGGAACAGCTACATGAGAAGATGGATTTGATGACTGTTGCAGTCGGAAATTTTGGACAAACAGTGAATACCTATATAGAACCCACTCAGAAATTAATCCAGGAATGTGCTTTGACAGATCAAGTGGTGAAGAAGATAAAGGAGGAGGTTGTTGCTGAACCTCAAGTAGCAGAAATGGAGAGAGCAGCGGCCCTGCAGGAACATAAGTTGTTGGATCTGACGAATGAATCTGGAGAAAGTCAGATTTGGAGAGATGGAGTTCTGTTTGGCTTGGAGATGGGGGGCTGGATGGATCCCCCTATGCAGGGATGTTTTGACATTTCGAATTTGGCTTTGGGCCAGGGGGAGTTGTGAGTTGTGGGGGCCCTTAACTTTGGAGGGACTTTGAAACATGCCTCTAAATATCATATGGATTTCAGTGTCGACTATGGAGAATGGGCTTACTTGTCGAGAAGGGACAAAGATATTGTCAAGTTGGAGTCTCCCCGAGAGAAAGGAAGGAAATTAAGAATAAGATCAGCAGAAGACAAAGTAACCAAGGCGCGCTTTGCCATAGAAAGTAATGCAAAATGGATTAATCCATTCTAGACTTTTAAAAACATCCCCTAAAACAGCAATTTAACATGAATTTTACTATCTAACGAGACTATTGATCCATATAATGAAAGCAATAAACAATGTACTGCAGTCACAAAATCAATCAATCAATCAGTAGCTGAACTGGGTTCCACACAGTCACAAAAACAAACAAAAACAAAAACAAACAAAAACAAAAACAAACAAAAAAGAGCCGCAAAAACAAAAGCACTAAATAAATAGGAAAAACATCATATGAAGTATGAAGTTTACGGCATGTAATGCCTTAAGAGAGAATATTATGAAAATGATATACAGGTGGTACATAACCCCAGTTAAGCTTGCAAAAATCTACCATTTGCCTGATAATAAATATTGGAAATGTAAAGAAACTGAAGGTACATTTTTTCACCTTTGGTGGACGTGCCCAAAGATTAAGGCTTTCTGGGAGATGATATATAATGAATTAAAAAAGGTATTTAAATATACCTTCTTGAAGAAACCAGAGGCCTTTCTCCTGGGCATAGTCGGCCAACTGGTGTTAAAAAAGGATAGAACTTTCTTCATGTATGCTACAACAGCAGCAAGAATACTCATCGCAAAGTATTGGAAGACACAAGAGCTACCCACACTGGAGGAATGGCAGATGAAAATGATGGACTACATGGAATTGGCGGAAATGACTGGCAGAATCCGTGACCAGGGAGAAGAGTCGGTGGAAGAAGATTGGAAGAAATTTAAAGATTATTTACAGAAATATTGCAAAATTAATGAATTTTAGAGTGATTTTGGATTGAAATTAAGTGGCTTCTAGCTGTATAGGCTTTAAAGCTATAAACAGATTAAGATTAAGGATTAGGATTAAAAAGGTTAAAAGAATGGAAAATTGGTTTTTAATAGGTAAAAATTTAATGTTATATTATATTAAGATTAAGGACTGGGATTAAAAAGGAGGGAAAGGAATTGCTGGACTAACAAACTGAATTGGAATACAAAAGAGGGAGGTATGAGGAGGTCCGGGAAACAAGTAAATGTAAAAGTAGTGATGAAAAGAAGGAATTGTTTTTAACTGTTTTTTTCTTTTTTCTTTTTGTATTTTGTTTGTGTACTTTTCTTTATATTCTTGAATTTTTCTTTTTTGTTGATGTGATTTTTTCTTTGTGAAACTTTAATAAATATCATTTAAAAAAAAAATAGGAAAAACAGACACTCCAAATGGAATTTTAAATTGTATTTTTAACCTGTATTTTAAATTGCCCCCCCCCTTATGTTTTTATTGTAATTTTACTGGTGTTAGCCGCCCTGAGCCCGGCTCTGGCTGGGGAGGGCGGGGTATAAATAAAAATTTATTATTATTAAGTGTGTAACACTCAAAACAGAAGCGTAACACTCAAATTGGAAGCATAACACTCAAAACAGAACATGTTCGGCTTCCAAAAAAAGTTCGCAAACTGAAACACTTACTTCCAGGTTTGCAGTGTTTGGGTTCCAAGTTGTTTGAGTACCAAGGCGTTTGAGAACCAAGATACCACTGTACACACATTTCTTATTAGACCATTGTAGATTTCCCACGCCCCCTCCCTGTCTCTGTCTGTGTGCCATTTGAACACGGTTTTACCGTGTGTGCAACCTTCAGTAAATATGCATATAATCTTCAATAAATGTGTGTTAAATCTTTTAGTTAACCTCTTTGCAAGCGCCTTCTTTGATGGTTGCAGAGAGGGCTATTTATCCTAGAAACATAGCTGGGGCTGCAAATCCAACCGCAGGCAGAATGCAGCAGATCTACTGCTATCCAAGCTCAGCTTAAAAGCCTCTAATGGAGGAGGCAGCGCCTTTCAAGGTTTCTTCTCAACAATTCTGCTTGTCATTGGAGCACAATGGCTTGGGTCCTGCTGTCTGGCGCGACACAAGATAACCGCAAGAAGACATGGGAACTGAAACCGCTTCACAGATAAATGAATGAGCAACACTCTCGATCAGTTGACCTGCATACTTGTGTATTTGAAAGAGGCTGGTTATCAATATATTGCTTTTTACATTATTATTTTTTTAAACATAAGAACTGCATTTCAACACTAGGCAAAATAACGTGGGAATTAACAAGACCCCCTTCCTTTCCCAAAATTACAAAAATACTTACAAAAGCAATTCTTTCCCGTAACACTGTGTGGCAGACGCACCGACTCCCTGCAATTCTCTTCATTTTTTTATTCTTTAAAAGGCGACGTTTTGAGGGTTATGAAATGAGTTCCTGAAGCTTAATGGGATTAGGGTGGGGTTTTTTCCCCCTTTCAGAAAAGTGTGACCTGTTCTATAGCTCATCAACAGCAAATGCAGATTGTTGGCTGGGAGGTTATGATGATGGCAGAGTAGATCCTGCACATTTTAGGAAGGGTGCAACTGCAGTCCCTGTGGGCTAGTAACAACTCCAGATGCAAGTGTTCCCACATCAAACTCTCCCTTGCTTGTAGAAATCTAACATGTCAGGGAGAAGGCTCCTTTAACGACACGCAAACTTTCCATACACAAACATTGACATGGCAGAGATTTTTTAAAGCAACCACTCACATGCATTGCAGAGTTGTACTGGTGATACACAAGGAATGCACCAGGTCCTGAACCGAAGGTGGCTACCCTTATGAGACCGGTCTGTGCAAACTGGGCCCAGGACCGCATGCAAGGTTGTGGGGACGGCCAAAACAAACCCTCAAACTGTGTGCAGACGGTGCAATAATGTGCCGGTGCTCTCTTGCAATACTTCTTGAGATCTCATGGCGGTTTTTCCAGCCCCCCTTAAAAAAACAGGGAGTGGGAGCCTTCCAGATGTGGTTCAGTGCCAACTCCCGTCAGCCCCCAGCCAGCATGGTTGATGCTCAGGGATGGTGGTAGTTGTAGTTCAGAAATATCTGGATAATTGTAAGTCTCCCCCACCATGTAAAACCATGCCCCATCCTGCTCCATCAACCACTTTATCAGGCGTGGGGAAAATCTTTGGCCCTCCAGATTTTGCTGAACTGCAGCTCCCATCATCCCTGGGCTTTGGCCGTGCTTGCTGGGGCTGATAGGATCTGTGGTTCAGCAATATCTGGTCCCCCTCTCACCACATACCTGCTCTCAGCTTCTTATCCTGACAGTACCACCTAGCTCAACATATCGGCATCGACTTCTCCGTTCCCTGGAAGTTTGTGAGGTGTGATTGGCAGCCCGGCTCACCGTTAAAAATGACCCGGCAGTGTTTCCCGTGACTTGGAAGCCCTTCTGGAATCTCTAAGCAAATTCTGATAGCTGTGCATAATCAGGTTCCTGCAGAATCATGGCAAATCCCTGAAAAACAAGCAAATGCTGAGGACATCCTCAGCCAGGCTGTTAGGAAGCCCACGTTGCTCTGGAAGCCGTTTCCTCTCGCAGAGATGCAAGTTCACGACCGTGCCGTCTTGCCCCGTAATCTGGTGCTCCCAGCTTCTTTTTCACATGTGCAGAAAACGTGTGCAAATCTGGATTTCAAAAAAGGAAAAGGAAACGTTACACAAGAGAAAAGCACGCCCAGGGAGAGGACAGAGCTGGATGAAATTAAGCAGGAAGCAGGAAGTGATTTCCCTCCCTGTTTCAGCATGCTCAAACCCTGATGGGTTGCATCTCAATGTCAGTCCCGTTCAGAGTAGATCTATTGGAATTAATGGAGACTACTAACACAGGCAGGGACACGGGTGGCGCTGTGGGTTAAACCACAAAGCCTAAGGCTTGCCGATCAGAAGGTCAACGGTTCGAATGCCCGCGACGGAGTGAGCTCCCGTGGCTTAGTCCCTGCTCCTGCCAACCTAGCAGTTCGAAAGCACACCAGTGCAAGTAGATAAATAGGTACCGCTCTGGTGGGAAGGTAAACGGTGTTTCCGTGCGCTGCTCTGGTTCGCCAGAAGCGGCTTAGTCATGCTGGCCACATGACCCGGAAGCTGTACGCCGGCTCCCTTGGCCAGTACAGCGAGATGAGCACCACAACCCAAGTTGTCCATGACTGGTCAGGGGTCCCTTTACCTTTACCTTTACTAACACAGGCATCTGGTTGGAGACTGAAAACAGGATGCTGAATTAGAAAGCCTTAGCTCCAATTGAGTCGGGCTCTTCTTACTTTCCTAATACACGTTTGTCTCTTAGGAGTAAAAGAAGCTGCCTTATACTGAGTCAGAGTAGAGAATTGTGGGGTTGGAAGGGACCCTGAGGGTCATCTAGTCCAACCCCGTGCAACGAAGGAATCTCAACTCAAGCATCCTTGACAGATAGTCATCTGACCCCCAAGGAAGGAGAGTCTACCACCTCTTGTGGGAGTCTGTTCCACCGTCAAACAGCTCTTACTGTCCGAAAGTTCACCCTGATGTTTAGTAGGAATCTCCTTTCTTGTGACTTGAAGCCATGGGTTCAGGTCCTACCCTCTGAGTAGCTCCTAGTGTTACCTACACTGACTGGCAGGGTATCAGGCAGGGGTCCCTCCCAGCTGTATGTGGAGATGCTGGAATTTGAACCTGGGACCTCCTTCATCTGAAGCAGATGTTCCACACCCCAGATTGATGGCCATTCCCCAGATATTGCAAGATCCTACAAAAACCAGGGCGTGCCATTTTAGGGTCTGAAACATAAATGTTTGCACATTTCTGCAGTGAGGTGGTCTTAAAAACACGTTTTTGGGTGTGAGGAATTCAAACCTGCTATTATTTTTGTGACTGGACAATACTTAGCTTGGTGTAAGAAGCACATAAACTGCTTTTGGAAAACCAAAGAAATTTAATTATTGATTGATTGATTGAATTTATATACCACCCTATACCCAGGGGGGTCTCAGGGTGGTTCACAGAATAAAATCAAGATATAAAACCATAAAATGCCTAGTAAAAATAAAAACACCAACCCAATACCCCCCCACAAAATACCCACATTATTATTATTATTATTATTATTATTATTATTATTATTATTTATTTTACCTTCTGGAAATGCCAGGTATCATCATCATCATCATCATCATCATCATCTACCATTTGTATTGATTTCTATGCAGTTTTACACACATTTTACTTAACAAGAAAAACTAAATTATATTAATTTAACCAAATCATCTTTTGAATCTCCAAGTCCTGTTACAACTTCTTAGCACCCCTCATTTTTTGAATTTGAAAGTTAAGCTATTCAACACGCCCTGATCCTGCATGGTTCTGGAAAAAAGGTTGAAATAGGAAGTTAGGAAACTCTCCTTTATCGAGTCAGACAATGGGTCCAACTATCCCAGAACTGACTGGTAGCACCTCTCCAGATTTTCAGACAGGACTCTTTCTCCACACCCTATTTGGAGATACTGAGGATCAAACCTGGGACCTTCTGCATGCAAAGCAGGTGTCCTACCCACTGAGCTACAACCCTTCCCCAAGGCTGATGCCAATTATCACAGGTAATGCAAGCAGGAGGGACACGGGTGGCGCTGTGGGTTAAACCACAGAGCCTAGGACTTGCCGATCAGAAGGTTGGCGGTTCGAATCCCCACGACGGGGTGAGCTCCCGTTGCTCAGTCCCTGCTCCTGCCAACCTAGCAGTTTGAAAGCACGTCAAAGTGCAAGTAGATAAATAGGTACCACTCCGGTGGGAAGGTAAACGGTGTTTCCATGCGCTGCTCTGGTTCGCCAGAAAAGGCTTAGTCATGCTGGCCACATGCTGTATGCCGGCTCCCTCGGCCAATAAAGCGAGATGAGCGCCGCAACCCCAGAGTCGTCCACGACTGGACCTAATGGTCAGGGGTCCCTTTACCTAATGAAAGCAGGTATTATTATGTATTGTTTTCCTATTCTGCTGTTCCTACCGCAGGAACCCATAAACCGTTTTACCCAGCTTTCCTGGAAGCTGAGTGGTCAATAACATCTTCTGTTTTGAAACCGGATCATCTCCTGCGCTTGCTAAATCTGTATGACATTGATGGATTCCCGAGGCGCAGGCAGTGCCAAGCCAAAGCCGCTTGCTTTTTATATACCCTGCATTGCAACAATTGCCACAGCTTTGGGCAGCGACAGATTCCTTTTAATGCTTTCCGTCTGGCCACCGTCTTTCTGCAAAGTCAGTGCATTGACGGTATTTCGGCTCAAGTGGCCAAAAGTGCACTTTGCGACTCAGGACAAAGGGAGGGGGTGCTTTGGGGGACTTGTGAAGAGGAACCAAATGCTCTCGTGGAGGAAATGTGATGGTCTGCTCCCAGCCTCACCCCACACCAGGAGCACAGAGTTGTTCTGTTCAGACAGTGCCGGATTTACGTATAAGCTAAACAAGCGATAGCTTAGGGCCCCACTTTCTTGGGGGCCCCCAAAAAAAATTAAAGGGAAAAAAACCTGGATGTACATTTCCAAAATATAAGATAAAAAAACAAATAAAATAAAACCTACATACAGCAACTGTGTTTTGTGTTGTGTAGGCTCCTATGATGTAAGTAATGGGCCCCACCTGCTAGCCTGCTCCCTAAAATATCACTGGTTTGCTCATTTCTATGTATAGGGTGGTGCTGTGGGTTAAATCACAGAGCCTAGGACTTGCCGATCAGAAGGTCAGCGGTTTGAATCCCCGTGACAGGGTGAGTTCCCGTTGCTCGGTCCCTGCTCCTGCCAACCTAGCAGTTCGAAAGCACGTCAAACTGCAAGTAAATAAATAGGTACCGCTCTGGCAGGAAGGTAAACGGCGTTTCCGTGCGCTGCTCTGGTTCGCCAGAAGCGGCTTAGTCATGCTGGCTACATGCTCCCTCAGCCAGTAAAGCGAGATGAGCGCCGCAACTCCAGAGTTGGTCACGACTGGACCTAATGGTCAGGGGTCCCTTTACCTTTACCTTTATGTATAGGGTGCCTACATTCTGCATGGACTGGTTGTAACACTTACTTGGATAAAATACATGTTAACATGTAAATGGCTTTAGATACCTATTAGGTCTGTAAATTACCATATAGCATATATTCAACACAAAAACTAGAGACAACTTGTTATTGACGAAGGACAGCTGGACATATAAAGGGCCCCATTGCCTTCAGTAGCTTAGGGCCTCATCAAACCTAAATCCATAGCTGTCAACTTTTCCCTTTTCTTGCGAGGAATCCTATTCGGAATAAGGGAATTTCCCTTAAAAAAAGGGAAATGTTGACAGCTATGTCTAAATCCGGCCCTGAGTTCAGACCTAGGCAAACCATCTGAGGAAGGGGGCAAGTTTGTGACCCATCTGCACTACACATTCAAAGCAGTATCTTACCACTTTAATTAAGCATGGCTTCTCCCAGTGAATCCTGGGAACTGTAGTTTAAAGGTGCCAGAGACGCAGCATGGGGGGGGGGGGAGGCTACCAAGGTGATCGCGCTGGGTGCAACCATTTTTAGGGGGGAGCCTCTGCAGCTGCTGCCCCGACTGGAGGTGCTCCCCGTTCTGCCCGCCTCACCGAAGCAGCACACTGAGCAAGAAGTGGGGAGGATAGGCCAGTGGTGGTCAAACTCTCCCCTCTAGCTGTTTTGGGACTACAATTCCCATCATCCCTGACCACTGGTCCTGTTAGCTAGGGATGATGGGAGTTGTAGTCCATAAACAGCTGGAGGGCCAAGTTTGGCCACCACTGGGGTAGGCCCTTGCGTCCCCCACCAGTGGTGGAGGCGGGCAGAGGGCAAGGCTCACAGCGGTGGCAGCGCCCCAGCCTGAGGAGGTGCACACACATGTCCCACTGCTGCTCTGCAGCTTTGTCCAGCAGCAGCAGCAGTGCTGCAAGGAGGCATAATAATTTCCTTGCCCTGGGCTCTGGCAACCCATGCTACACCACCGATATGGCTTGACAGGGCCGTCTCAGGACATTTTGCTGCCTGAGGCAAAATGGACAGATTGCCACTGAAGGGTGCTGAAAGTCGTTAGGACTCTCACGGAGCTCCCATTCCCAGAGCTCCCTGGGGGGAGGAAAGCGACTGGGAAACCACTCTGAGAACTGTAGTGGCATGGAATAGAGGCCTCCCAGCAACTCACAGCTCTTGAACTATAGTTCCCAGGGTTCTTTAGCGGAAGCCATGACTGTTTCCATTGGTATGGTGCTGCTTTAAACCAGCGGTTCTCAACCTGTGGGTCCCCAGATGTTGTTGGACTACAACTCCCATCATCCCTGAGCTCTGGCCTTGCTAGCTAGGGGTGATGGGAGTTGTAGTTCAACAACATCTTAGGACCCACAGGTTGAGAAAGGCTGGAATATACAGTCAGAGGGGCATTGTATTGGCAAGTTAACCCTTTCTCCCCTTTGGTGTAACCTTTGTTGGGGGCGGGCACCCATGCAAGTGGTGGGCGGGGCCAGAGGCAAATAATGGGCGGAGCAACAGGTGTAACTTTTGCCTCTGCTACATTCCAGCCTCACAACACTCAGAGGCATCTTCAAGCCTCTATCCAGGCAGGCAAGGATCTTCCCAGTTCAAGGACAACATCCCAGCCAGTTTAATGGACTTGAGGAGTGTCCATTGCAGGGGCAATGAGGGGGTTAGCCCAGGTTTGCCAAGCCAAGCTCACGGGCAGCACCAATGGTTTTGGGGCACCTCTGCTGGTCTGCAAAGAGGGAAAAGTTCCTTCGCAAACACGACTTGCATCCCCTGCAAAGGGGTTTCATATAAACCCCAACCAGCCAATAGGCACCCCTTTGTAATTGTCCCCTGCGTCAATGTGGTGGTGGTGGGGAGGATGGTCAGGATCTGGCCTATGGGCCAAATAACAGAAGTGACAGCCAGCGTGGTTTTCTATCTGACCTGGGTCCAGAGAACTCCATTTCCTGGTTATGTATTCATGACAACGCTCAATACAAATCAGTGTGTTTAAAAATATATATATCATGATGGTGATAGCTGCATATGGGAGATCTGAACCTCATTCGTTTAAGGCTTAAACTGCTTTCGCTGACATTTTAAATGGCTCCTCTCTCCGTATTCTGGAGAGATACCAAGAAATGCGATAATATAACTCAAGTTTAAAGGGAAGGGTGAGGGAGCTGAGGGACGGCAAGCGAGGAGGTTGGGAGGGTTAACAGAGAGCAACCCTCCCCAAAAAAGGCAATGAAAGCAGGTGCTCAGGCAAGAAGTCCCTTCTGGGTCCTGATATGCATTATCCCACCAGCACCACCTTGCTTTGATCTGCTGCAGCTGCTTAGGATGTGCTTTAGCAGCACTCGGTCTTCCCGTCTGTGAAATGGGAGCAACAGAGGTCTACCTTGTAGATCTGGTTGGTGCAGGTGCTTAAGATATGGGGCTTAATTGCAGTTACTAAATGAATAAATAGCAAGCACCGCGCTACAACTACGTCCATTTCAGCTGAGGGAGCAGATACTGAGCAACTAACAGTGCCGGCCTGAGGGTAAGGTAAGTTTTTCACGCCATCTGAAACTGCTACCCGGAGTCAAGTGCAACTCATATGAGCCAGCTGGGTAGCAAAGGGAGAGAGAAAACAGAACTCCTTTTGCCTTGACTAGATAGAAACATCTGGCAGGTGTATAAGATCAGATCCAAGGTGTTTGGTCTTTTACTTCAATCTGAATTTAATCTTGCCTCTCTCGACATGGCACCCTCTGGACTACAACTCCCATAAAGCCCAGCCACCATGTCGTCTGTGCCAGGGCCACAGCTCAGAGCATCTACTTTGCATGAAGGTCTCAGGCCCATAGCTGTCAAGTGTCCCTTATTTGGCGGGACAGTCCCTCATCCCAGAGCCATGTCCCACTGCTGTCCCTTATTGATGATGTCCCTTAAATAAGCTACTGAAGGTAATGGGGCCCTTTCTATGTCCAGCTGTCCTTTGTCAACAACAAATTGTTGCTGTTTTTTGTGTGTTGAATATATGCTATATGGTAATTTATGGACCTGATAGGTATCTAAAGCCATTTGCATGCAACAAAATATGTATTTTATCAAAGTAATTGTTGATCCCTTATTTTGGCTGCTGATCCCTTATTTTCGAGGCTGCTGGTCCCTTATTTTCAAATCTGTAAGTTGACAGCTATGCTCAGGCCCCATCCACTCTCTCTGCATAATACTCATTCTTCATTTGCAAGAAACCACACTTTGAGTACCAACTGTGGTAGAATGTCAGATGAAGACGATGGATTTTTCGGAGCTAGCAGACCTGACCGGAAGAGTCCGCGACCAAGAGGAGGAGGAGTATCAGGAAGAATGGACAAAATTTAATGACTATTTAGTTAAATATGCTAAGTTAAATTAATTGGAAAAAGCTTGCAATTACCAGATAGGCTTAGGATTTAAATATGTAATGTGATGAATTAATATGTTTAATGCTGAATCGTTAAGAAAGATGTTAAGTGATTAAGTTAAGTTTATAAGAATTTTGATTTGGAAAACCGTTAAAATGATTTGCACTGAAATTCAACTAGGGGAAGTCACTTAATGTTAATAAGATTAGTTTTAATAAGGTTATGATTTATGTTTGTTTGCTTGTATGTTTGTGTGTCTATAATTTTGTGGAAATCAATAAAAAAATTTGAAGAAAAAAAAGAAATCACACTTTGGAACTCCCTGCCTGTTGAGGGCAGGCAGGCACCTTCACCGCACTCTTGGCACCTGCTGAAAGCTTTTTCGTTCAGGTAAACATGACTTCCCCCTAGAGAATCCTGGAAAGCGTAGTTTCACCACACCAAAGCTACATATCCCCAGAAACCTTAACGAACTACAGGTCCCAGAATTCTTTGGGAGAAAGCCACACACTTTTTAAGGATGTGCGAAATGCATGGTGCAGATCTGAACTATGCACACAAAATACCCTTGCCGAATGTGTTGGGAGGAGACGGGGTTTTGCAGAAATGGGTGCCCCAGCCCCATCTTATGGGTGGGTTAGGAATGAGTGAAACTGCGCAAGCAGCCTTGGGGGGGGGGGGTTCATTGCATTTTCATGGCTGGTGTTCATGTCAGATTAGAGGCATCACATAGCGGAGAGTGCTCAGTGCTAAACATGTGTTAGACAGAAGGTCGCAGGTTCAATCCAGGGATTGTCCCCACTCTACAACCCTGGAACGCTACAGCCGGCCAGTGTAGACAATACTGACCTCAATCTGACTCTGTATAAGGCAGCCTTTTATACCGAATCGCGAGGAATGGGATTCTGTAGAATCGTAGAGTTGGAAGGGAATCCTGCCCACAGCCATCCCAGGGTGGGCTTGAACCACCAACCTCCTAGTTAACAGCCAGACACAGGGACTCATTGCACCACGAGGCTTCTTACTTTGTATCTAGGGATAGGGCTGGCAGCCCAGTCAATGTGGAGCGCCGCTGCCAGTCCGAGTCGACAATACTGAGCTAGATGGACCAACAATCTTACCCTTTCTGTGTTCCACTGCCGTTTGGGGGGAGCACCTAGCAGTCCCTTCTACCTGTGCGAGTTTTGAACCTGCTCTGCCAACGGGGAAAGGGGAAGGTAGATAAAAGCAACCGCTTGGATCGTCATAGATGCATGCCAATATGTACAAGAGCCTCTGCCCAACAGGCGTTGCGAACTACAACTCCCATCACACACACCCCAGCCAACGCACCTGTTGTTGGGAGTCGTAGTACAAAACCTGGAGGGCGCCAGCTTGGCAGAACTCTGATATAGGATCAAACCCCCACGCCAGACGTGCAACTTCTTCCCCTCTGCACAGCTGGATCAAACTGTAAAAGGCCACTTACTTCAGTGCCCCGAAGGGACCCTGTCCGTCCGTGCCAACTCTGGCTCCCTCTTCCTGCCTCGTCGCTGTCTTGCCCGCCTTTAGCATGGCACCCCCAAAAGTCGGTGGCCTTCTCCCCAGTCTTTCCAGCTCAAGCAGAAAACCCACGACTGGGGCAGGCGGGGCAGAGGGCTTCCTGGCACCTTCCCAGCTGGTCTGTCCCTGTGCCCCCATCGCAGTCTACAAAGGGTCCGTCCAGCTGTGCCCACATCTGGATGCAGCGACGCTCCTCTTCCCAGCCCGTGCCAGTTGCTCTTTCGGGGAGGGGGCCCGAGTTATTCCCAGTAGCCGTCCAGCACTTCCACCTCGCTGTCCAGCTCGTAGAGTCCCAGAGCCGGGTCGGAGACCACCCCGAGATCCACCAGGGCCTGGTCCATGTCCTCGGGCAGGAAGACGATGCCGACGTTGAGGGCGATGTACTCCAGCAGGAAAGCGTAGTAGAGAATCAGCAGGTTGACGAAGAACAAGCCCACGTAGAACATAGAGGGCGGCAGCGGGGGCGGCGCATGGGGGGCCCACGGCTCCAGCTGGGTGCAGGCGGCAGAGGGCATCCAGCGTGGAGGAGGCCCGGGCCCAGCGGAGGCTGGAGACTGGGGGAGGGCAGCAGCAGGAGCAGCCAGAGGAGATCTCCAGGAATCAAAGAGAGCCCAGCACCTTCGCCTGCCTGCCTGCCTGCCTACCTACCTGCCTACCCACCCCTCCCTGCAGCAGTCTGCAAACGGAAGAGGGCGCCCCCCAGCGATGCCCTTGCTGTCCTCAGCCCACCCCCCATGCCAGCGCGCCCTCCTTCTCCTTTCCAGCCTCTGCAAATCTCTACATCCAGAAGCGGGCGGTGCAAGCGAGCAACTTCGCCCTGCGGCCCCCCTCCATGCAACTGGCTCCCCCCCCTCACTTTTCAGGCCTCAGATGCGCCGCAAGAGGGGAAAGGCTTTGCAGAGGCGCCTCTTCCAGCCCCCCACCCCACCCCTCCGGTCTTCAAAGAAGCAAAAGCTCGCTCCCGCCCCGTTTTTTAATGCAAGGGGCTCGCTGCTCCTCCCCGCTCAGCGCAGCCCCCCTTTTCTTCCAAGGGACGCCCCCCCCTCCTCCTTCCTCTCTTTCTGCATCCACACTCCTCAGACGCATCACTTCCCTCCGCGTAGCAGAAGCAGCTGTTCCCCGCAAGTGCCAGGGGCCCGCCTCTCCCGAGCGCGGATTGGCTGGCGCCGGGGAGGGTGAGTGACAGCCGCGGGGTGGGGGGGAGAGCTTGGAGGTGGTGGGGTTCCCAGTGGGTTGCGGCCAGTCCTGTTAGGTAGGCGCCTGGACAGAAGGGTAGAATTGGAAGGGACCCCCAGAGTCATGTAGTCCAGCCCTCTGCAATGCAGGTATCTTTTGCCCAACCTGGGACTCGAACCCACAACCCGGAGATCCCACAGTCTCATACTTTGCCGATTGAGCAATCCCGGATCAATTGTGCGCTTCGTCACATTGCGCTCGCCGGGACTGACTTCCAAGTCAATGTGTCTGATTGCTGATTCCTTGCTTCCCTTGACAGGACCTGGGTTTGTTTACTTAAATCATTTATGGATTGCTTTCCTATGATAGTGCCAGATTTATGTATAAGCTAAACAAGCTAGAAGCTATACCCTCTTTTTTTTTTATAAGATATTTATTAGGATTTTCAAAATATTACAAAATAGAAAAAGAAAAAAGAAAGATACAAAATAAAAATAGTTAAAAACAATTCAGTCTTTCAATCACTTATCTTTCATTTGCTTGTTTCCCAGACCTCCTCGCGCCTCCTTTTTCTGTATTCCACTTCAATTGTTAGTTTAGCAAATCCCTCCCCTCTTTGTTTATCCTAGTCTTCGGTCTTAAAATATTGTAACATTAAATTTTTACCTATTAATAGTCCATTTTTTCATAATCCCTTATAATATTACAGCTAAAAACCACTTAGTTTCTATCCAACATCATTCTAACATTCATCAATTTTACAATATTTCTGTAAATAGTCTTTGAACTTTTTCCAGTCTTCTTCCACCGACTCTTCTCCCTGGTCTCGGATTCTGCCAGTCATTTCCGCCAATTCCATATAGTCCATCACCTTCATCTGCCATTCTTCCAGAGTGGGTAGGTCTTGTGTCTTCCAATACTTTGCAATGAGTATTCTTGCTGCTGTTGTGGCATACATAAAGAAAGTTCTATCCTTCTTTAGCACCAATTGGCCGACTATGCCCAACAGAAAGGCCTCTGGTTTCTTTAGAAAGGTATATTTAAATACCTTTTTCAATTCATTATAGATCATCTCCCAGAAAGCCTTAATCTTTGGGCACGTCCACCAAAGGTGAAAGAATGTACCTTCGTTTTCTTTACATTTCCAACATTTATTATCGGGCAAATGATAGATTTTTGCAAGCTTGACTGGTGTCATGTACCACCTGTATATCATTTTCATAATATTCTCTCTTAGGGCATTGCATGCCGTAAATTTCATACCTGTGGTCCACAACTGTTCCCAGTCAGCAAACATAATATTATGTCCAACATCTTGTGCCCATCTAATCATAGCAGATTTCACCGTTTCATCCTGAGTATTCCATTTCAACAGCAAGTTATACATCTTTGACAAAATCTTAGTTTTGGGTTCTAACAGTTCTGTTTCTAGTTTTGATTTTTCCACCTGGAAGCCAATTTTCTTATCCAAATTATATGCCTCCATTATCTGATAATAATGAAGCCAGTCTCGCACTTTATCTTTTAATTTCTCAAAACTCTGCAATTTCAATTTCAATTTGTCTCCTTCTTGTTCCAAAATTTCCCAATATTTCGGCCATTTGGCCTCCATATTGAGCCTAGAAGCTATACCCTCTTGCCCCCCCCCAAATAAATTACAGGAAAAAACAACAACTGGATGTACATTTCCAAAATATAAGAGAAAAAACAAATAAAATAAAACCCGCATACAGGTTGTATGTATAGGCTCCTGTGATGTAAATAATGGGTCCTGCCTGCTCCCTAAAATATCACTGGTTTGCTCATTTCTGTATATAGGGTGCCTACATTCCACATGGACTGGTTGCATGGCAACATGTGCAAATGGCTTTAGAGACCTATTTGTTGTTGTTGCTTAATCATTTAGTCGTGTCCGACTCTTTGTGACCCCATGGACCAGATACCTATTAGGTCCATAAATTACCATATAGCATATATTCAACACAAAAAAACTGCGACAATTTGTTGTTGACAAAGGACAGCTGGACATATAAAGGGCCCCATTACCTTCAGTAGCTTAGGGCCTTATCACACCTAAATCCGGCAGTGTTCCTATCCCCAGCATTTCCCAGTGTGGAGATAAAGCGATGGGAAAGATGTCTTCTTGCTTAACTTTTTGAGTGTCTGGTTGGTATTTGCTTGTGGCTCTCTAGGCTGAGAGTGAGTGACTGGCCCAAGGTCACCCAGGGAGCTTCATGGTTGAGTGGGGATTTGAACCCTGGTCTCCCAGATCCTAATCCAAACCTCTAACCACTAAACCACACTGTTAACAGTAGTTATTAAGGCAGCAAAGTCCTCCCCTGCTTTAAGGTTTCTGTGACAGGCTGCTGTTGAAGATTTAAAGCAGAGCTGAGGGCCTCCTGCTATCCTTCCCAGGTGTTGCTAGACTTCAGCTCCCATCAGCCTCCAACAAATTTGGCCATAATCATAGAATCACAAAGTTGGAAGGGACCCAGAGGGTCATCTCGTCCAAACTCCTGAAAAGCAGGAATTTTTCTCCCAATGGGGCTTGAACCCACAACCCTGAGAGATTAAGAGTCTCATGCTCTGTGGACTGAGCTATTCAGGCGTGGCTGGGGCTGAAGGGAGTTGGAGTCCAGCAATATCTGGGAAGGTGAATGGGGTCTCCAGCTGTCTCTCGGTCTAACCTACATTGCAGGATTGTTGTGGGGATTAAATGAGAAGGATGGGGGAGAACCATGTGTGCTGCCTTGAGCTCCCTGGAGGCAAAAGGTGGAATGCAAATTATATATAGTCCCCCTCAAGAATCCTGGGAACTGTAGTTTATCCCTCACGTGGCTGCAAGGCCCAGGACCCTTCATAAACCACAGGGCCCAGGATATTATTTTAATTTTGTGTGTGGGGATACAGTGTGCTTTAAATGTATTGTGTGTGCACATCAACCATCTTTTGCAAACCACTTGGAGGATTTCTTAAAATCAAACAGTATATAAGTTTTGTTAAATCAATCAGTAAACCCTTCCTGATTTAAAAGTCCTGGAGCAGGGTCAGGAAAAGGAAAAGTGTCAATTCATCGCCTTTCTTTAAAAAGAAAATGTAATGGCTAATATACCGTATTTTTCGCTCTATAAGACGCACCAGACCACAAGACGGACCTAGTTTTTGAAGGAGGAAAACAAGGGGGAAAAAATTCTGAATCTCAGAAGCCAGAACAGCAAGAGGGATCGCTGCGCAGTGAAAGCAGCAATCCCTCTTGCTGTTCTGGCCTCTGGGATAAGATGCATTCGCTCCATAAGACACACACACATTTCCCCTTTTTAGGAGGGAAAAAGTGGGTCTTATAGAGCAAAACATACGGTATGTCATTTTGCACCTTCTGCTGTAGAAGGAAGTAAGGGGCAGATGAGGCTTGTCGACCTGGGAAGGCAACCCATCTAGGAGAAGGACAACTCTGATCCTATACCTCTGCTGTCTCGCGGGACATCTTCAGGAGAAGAAAAGGCTCAGAAGTAAACCCTACACAAATCCAGTGGGGTCCCTAAGACAGTTGGATGGCGCCTTGTGCGCCTCCTTCCAGCAACTCCTGCAGCCAAGCTGGCGCCAAACGTCTTGTTTTCCTTTCCTGTGGACGGAGAGGGGAGTCTTGTCGTCTGGGCGGCCCAGATCCTCCATGCACACTCTGCCCAGGGCATGTATCCCAGGGAGACCACTACTAATGCAGCAGTTTGACTTCACCCCCAGGTGCTCAAGAGACAGATGCCAACCCCTCAAGGTGGTGCCCAAATAAAGAATAATTGCAAATAAAATAACAAAAACCAGACAATTGATTACGAACCGGTATTTATGTCATAGAGTCGTAGAGCTGAAAGGAACCCCAGGGTCAGCTAGTCCAGGTATAGGCAAACTCGGCCCTCCATACGTTTTAGGACTACAACTCCCATCATCCCTAGCTAACAGGGCTAGTGGTCAGGGATGATGGGAATTGTAGTCTCAAAAAACATCTGGAGGCCGAGTTTGCCTATGCCTGATCTAGTCCTTGCTATGCAGGAATCTTTTGCCCAACGATTAAGCGTCTCCCTCCAAATCACAGCAAATAAGGTTATTCTTGCACTACCAATTGCGAATCATTCCAAACAAAACCACTGCATTGCTTTCCGAATTAATTCCGAATTATTTCCAAAGATCCGCACCGCTAACAATTCATTTCCTATGGGGGAAGAACCCTCCTCCGCCCCTCCCTCACCTGCTTTGAAGGCCCCGCCCCTCGAGCAGGTCACAAAGACCCGCCCCCTGCACTGCGCCGGGGACGCAACCTTCCTCGCCCCTCCCACTTCCGGGTTCCCACCTCCCACCTCCGCGCGGGGCACGCTGGGACTCGCAGTCCCCTGGCTCTACTTCTACGTATGCCTTGGCCAGAGCAGCTGCAGGCCGAGGAAAACTACTTTTCCCGGCGTGCCCCGCGCCGCGGCTCCGCTGCCGGGTCTGTGCCGTCGCCTCCGCCGGGGCGGAATGTCCGAGGGTGCGGGCGTGGGGGCGGGGAGGGCGCTGGGTCTCCTTCCGCCTGAGAGGAAGAGGAGGAGGAGGAAGAGGATGGCGGCGGCCGAGAAGGAGGATGAGGCGGCGGCGGCGGCAGCCGAGGCCGTGAGGCGGTAGCGAGCGAGAGAGAGAGAGCTGAGAGCGTGTGTCCGAGCGCGGCCCTCCCTCCCTCCGTCCGTCCGTTTTTCTCCCCTCAGGATGTTCGGGCGGTCGCGCAGCTGGGGAGGCGGCGGGCACGGCAAGGCCTCGCGGAACATCCACTCGCTCGACCACCTCAAGTGAGTGTTCAGGGCGGGAGGAGGCTGTGAGGGAATCACACGCCGGAGGGGGGAGGGGCCTCCAGGCAGGTGGGCTCAGGTGGACGCCCCTCCCCCACTCGCCTCCCAACTGCCTCGGGGGCTCCTCTCACGCGGGACCCGCTATACGCCCCCCCCCAGGTCCTCGCTTATACGAACGCCAGGAGTTAGTCCCATAATTCAGGTATCTGGGCTGTGAGCAGGGCCGGATTTAGGTTTGATGAGGCCCTAAGCGACTGAAGGTAATGGGGCCCTTTTTATGTCCAGCTGTCCTTTGTCAACAACAAAGTGCCGCTGGTTTTTGTGTTGAATATTTGCCCTATGGTAATTTATGGACCTAATAGGTATCTAAAGCCATTTGCACATAACAAATAGGAGCCTACACAACACTGTTGCTGTATGTAGGTTTTATTCTATTCGTTTTTTAACTTATAGTTTGGAAATGTACATCCAGTTTTTCCCCCCTTTAAATTTTTGGGGGGCCCCAAGAGAGTGGGGCCCTAAGCCATAGCTTGTTTAGCTTATACTGTATGTAAATCCAGCACTTATGGTGTGCACAAGCAAGGTTCCTGCAATGCGGGGGGGTGGTGAAGTGGGCTAGATTGAAATTGAAATACTTTACTGTCACTTGTACAATTTGTATACAGTGAGATTACACAGATTATACAGTGAGATGACCCCCGGAGGGTCCCCTTTCCACTCTAGGATTCTGCGATTCCATGAGCAGCCTTATAAGTGAACCTCGCTGTTTTGTGTTCGCTTTTCTGGCAGCCGCTTGGCCAGGAAGGGAGATCAGACAAGTGGAGGAGCGTTTTTTCACTTGCCTGCTTTTCTTCTTCTTCTTCTTCGGTTTCCCTGGGTTCCACACACCCTGATCCTTTTGAAGTCAAGGTTGTGTTGGTCGGGAACTTGTTGGAAATTTCCACATAGGAATCAGTTATGCAAACGCTCACCTAAGGAGCAATTCTCTGACAGCACATTGTATTCAGACGGCAGGACCTGTGTGCGTGTTTATGTATTGGTTTATTTATTGCATTTCATATCCCGTTTCTCCCAACGACCTCAAGGTGGTGTATGTGGTGACTGGCCCCCAAAGTCGCACCAAGTGGTCTTGTATATCTTTCCGTATAAATATTTTTGTGTGAGAGAGAGAGGCTTTAAGAGAGAGAGAGAGAGAGAGGACACTTGAGGAAGTAACGAGGGAGAGTAATGTGCAATGCATATGCAATCACCTTTTATTAGTATTTATAGCCAGTGACCATTAACAATATCAGCACAAATTCTTACATGTAAAAGCACCAGTGGTCCAATAAGGCAAAGATAAACCTCTGGAATACAAATAGGATTTAAAGCATTCATTTGGCTTCTACAGATACAAAATTAGATATAAAAGATTTTAAAAATAGCAGATAATGAATCCATTCAGATAGCATGTACATAAATATGTGTCAGTGCTAGTATATCCTGTATGTGTTATGTTTAATATTGGTAAATATGTATTGCATTATTCCCACCTTTTTCTCCAAGGAGTTGAAGGTGGAGTACATAAGGTCTTTTCTCCCCTCTTAATTTTATCCTCACAACAACAAGCTTGTGAGGTAGGTGAGGCTGGGCTTGAGCTTCATGACTGAGTGGGTGAGCTCTAGCTACTACTATCCATGGGTGTAGAAGAGGCCTGCTGAAGGAAAAAGTTGTATTGGGAGCTCCTTTTTTTAGCTTGGGGGAAAGTGAGTAAGGAAGGGCTATATGATGATGGTGTATAAATCATGCATGGCATGGAGATAGTGGATAGAGAACAGTTTTTCTCGATCTCCAGTCACATTGTAACTTGTGGAAATCCAGTGGAGTTGAATGATGGAAGATTCAAGGCAGATAAACAAAGGACTTTTTCACATTGCACATAGTTTAACTATGGAACCCGTTTCCACAGGAGGCAGTGGCAGTCACCAACTTAGAATGCTTTGAAAGAGGATTAACCAAATTCATGGTGGACAAGGTAATCAATCTGTCTGCCCTCAGGGCCCATCCATACCTCAGCTTAATGCACATTGTTGTTGTTGTTTAGTCGTGTCCCAACTCTTCGTGACCCCATGGACCAGAGCACGCCAGGCCCTCCTGTCTTCCACTGCCTCCTGCAGTTTGGTCAGACTCATGTTTGTAGCTTCGAGAACACTGTCCAACCATTTCGTCCTCTGTCGTCCCCTTCTCCTTGTGCCCTCTATCTTTCCCAACATCAAGGTCTTTTCCAGGGAGTCTTCTCTTCTCATGAGGTGGCCAAAGTTTTGGAGCCTCAGCTTCACGATCTGTCCTTCCAGTGAGCACTCAGGGCTGATTTCCTTAAGAATGGATACGTTTGATCTTCTTGCAGTCCATGGGACTCTCAAGAGTCTCCTCCAGCACCATAATTCAAAAGCATCAATTCTTCGGCGATCAGCCTTCTTTATGGTCCAGCTCTCACTTCCATACACCACTACTGGGAAGACCATGGCTTTAACTATACGGACCTTTGTTGGCAAGGTGACAAAGACAATAATGCACATTGTAGACCTCTAAAGTGACTCCTTTAATTCCCCCTTGTCCATGAGGCTTTCTCCTCCAACAATGGCTGTCCCGCGATTTCTGCTCCCTAAATCTGGAGATTGCCCTATGTTTTGTTAATCCAAATAGAAGAGCTCCATCAACTGCATAGAGAATCTCCAGATTTTGGGAGGAGAAAGTATGGGACAGCCATTGCCGGAGGAGAAAGCCTCATGGACGGGGTGGGTGGGAATTAAAGGAGGCACAATCTACATTAAACCAAGGTACGGACGAGTCCTTAATGCCACTTGCCGGGAAGATAGAGAGAATGCTGTTGTGTTCAGGTTCTTCCTACTATCTTCCCAGGGGCATCTGGATGGCCACTGTGAGTTCTGAAGTAGATGCACTTTTGGCCTGATCCAGCGGGCTCTTCTTACGTTCTTATGGATGGATGGACTGACTGACTGGAGTGACATGATTTGTATTAAGTTTATGAGGTGCCTGATTAAAAATCAAATTCTCTTGATGATGTAGACAGTAAAGGAGGCCAAATTAAAAGGAAACCATGCAACAGTTCAATAAAACCATAAATCAATAAAACCAACCCAGCAATAGGCAAGATCTAGCCATAAAGTGCATCATAGCCAGTTGCAAATTAAAACGCCAGCAGCCAATTCAGCTAAACACAGCACAGGTTGCCAGTCCAATTGCCAGTACTGTATTCTGCAGAGGCAAAACTAATATGAATGATGTTAAAGGAAAGGTGCCCATCATATCAGTGACCCATCATCCAGTGGCCTGTGGGAAACCCACAAGTAGAACCTGAAAAATATTTCATAGCATTTTGCTTTCCTCATATTTATTTACCTATTTAATTTATAGAGCTGCCACATAGCAGAAGTACTCTAGGAAGCCAGCGATGTGGTGCTAGAGTAGGACTTGGGAGATCAAGGCTCAATTCCTCACCCAGTCATGACCTGGGTGACCTTGGAGTCAGTCACAGCCTCTTAACCTACCTCACAGGGTTGCTGTAGGGATTAACTGAGGAGGGGGATGAAAGGAAAAGGTGGGATCTAAATGCAATAAATAAGCTCTTCTGCTTACCTGCTTTAGAAAGCTGGAAGGCCAGCCAGATGGAGAGGTCAGTCAGTCACCAACCTGGCATACAGAGATCTCCACAGGGTCACAACTGGACCTGCAAAATGTGTCTAACATGGAGAGGTGCACCACCTCTGATACTGGAGGGATTATATGGCTATCATGACTGATAGCCTTCTCTAATCCTCTTTTAAACCATCTTAGTTGGCATCCCTCACCATATCTTGTGGGAGAGAATTCCATAGTTTATGTACCATGTGAGGAAGAATTAACTTTTGTCTGCCCTAAATCTTCCAATGTTTAGCTTCACTGAATGTCCCCCATTGGATTCTAGTATGTAACTTTTTTTGAATAAGGAAAGTAGAATACAGTTTACTGTTTTGTATTGAGAACACAACACATTGTGTGTGTGTATGTGTGCATGCGTGCATGTACACATATATTTGCATGTTTGTATATACACACATACACACACACACACGTGTGTAGTGGTTAAAGTGTTGGGGAGACTGTGGTTCAAATCCCCATTCAGTCACGAACCTCACTTGGCGACCTTCATCAGTCAGTCTTACTCAGCTTAACCTACCTCGCAAGGTTGTCGCAAGGGGGGAAAAAGGGAGAGGATCCAGCTATATATCCAGTCTTCAGATCCTGGAAGGAAAGCTGGGATAGGAATGTAATGTAATGAACATAATTCTATTGCATTCAGCTAAGTCCTACTCAGAGCAGAGCAGAGCAGAGCAGAGCAGACCACTGAAATTAATGGACCTAAGTTGATTAGGCCTGTTAACTTCTATGGGTTGACTCTACCATCCATTTTCACAGCACTTTACAAAGTAGGAGAGGGCATCTCACTGACCTAAAAACAGTTACAGGGAAGATGAGTGTTCAGGGATGGAGGTGGAGGCAAGGGTAAATTGAGAAATGTTAAGAGTTCTACTTCAGTAGCAAACAACAGGCCAGTGCCATGAGAACCTTCCAGTTTAAAATTTGACACAATGAAGAGGGAGGAGACGGGAAATAGAGACAAGGATGCATGTTTCATTAAATGTAATTATAATGTTGCATGTGAGACAGAGGAGTGTGTATGTGCACACTCCATGATGACCTTGTGCATGTGACAGGCTTGTTCTGATGTTTGTTTCCTTTTATTTGTGGTGGGTGTTGGGTAATACATACATCTAACTAAACAGTGTTAAGTCTCTTGCCTTGCTGGTTGTTTATTTACACACTCTCTGATATGTAGGCAATATGTTGACACTTTGTATGTTCATTTGTATTTAAAAGATTCCCTCCCCCCCCTTAGAATTAAAAAAACACCCCATAATAGCTTACAAAATTAGATTAAGACAAAAATAGCAATATGTCAATCTGGTAAAACCCTACCAGGAATAACAACCGCAAACCAAGGAATGGTGTGTGCAATTATGGTCACACATACATAGATGTGTGCATTCTCCTGGACTGTTTTTATATCGATAGGCAAGTGTGTGCGTGCACACACAAACTCTCTCTTTCACTCTACATAAATACTTCATATTATTATTATTAATTTATTACCTGCCCTTCACCTTAAGGTCCTAGGGCAGGTTGCAAAAATTAAAACACAATATTAAAAGCAGTTCAAAACAACTTGCAACCACAGAAATAAAGTGGACCCTAAAAATATGCATCTTGAATGTCAGAAGCCAAGGTAAAGAGGTGCTTCTTCAACATTCCCCAAAAGCTGTATCATGAAGGTGGTAGGCGTACTTCTGTTTGTGTGTACAGACACAGAGTATATTAGATATAATAGCCTTTTTTTTAAAAAAGCAGCTGATAAAACAGAAGCAACTTGAAATTATTTAGTTGTTTTGGTGCCTGCCTTAGCCTGTAGTATGACCGATAAGAAACACAAATGGATTCCCTTCCAGGTTCTGGGAATCAAGGTGGTGTCAGTCACACCACTGGATTCCAAAGCAGCGACAGATGATGAAGTGTTTACTTTTGAGCTCCTCTCTCTTTTGACATGCCGATTTTTGAAACCAATTCCATCTTGATAGGCCTTAGAACCTATCTGAAAGCAGCTTTGCTGAATTGTCATCTACATGAAATCTGTGTGTGGATTTCCAGGTTCGGTCCAGTGGGGATAAGGAGATTGATGCCTTGTGTATGTGGTGTGCACTCAGGAGGAAAATATATACCCAGGATTTGACCATCTGTGATCATGAGGGTTCTGTTTTGCATGGGTTGTATGTGGTGTTCAGTATAGAATATTTGTGTATGTCTTTGTTTAGGACTGTAGAGTTTAGCCACCTGGCATGGTGAGACTCATACTTGATTGTGAGTGTTGTAGAAGGCTGAAAAGCCACAGAGAGTCCTGTAGGGTGAAAATAAGGAGGGTGAGCACATGCGGATTGATGATGTGGGTGCAGAGTTTGGGCATGTAAGGCTATGAGCTATTTCTTTCTAGGCAAGATTCGGAAAACAATTCTGACACAAAATTGTGCTGGGCACATTGCTGACTCTTGGCCTCAGTTTTCCTTCTCTGTGAAAAAAGAGCGCCGACCCATATCCCTTTTCTAAGGCCTTAGTGAGGTTGAATGACTTGCCTTGCAAGCTTGTGAGTCTCCTTTACGTGGGCATTGATTCACTGGGGTTTACCACTAAGAAAATATGCCTGGGGATTGCAGCCTCGTATTATCTTGATGCAGGAGAAGTTCTTCAGAGCATTCCAGAAGCATTTTAAATAACTCCTAGTGCAGTTGTTTGTTTAAGGTGCTTCTTGATTCATCAGAGTCGACTGACTGGTTCCCAGATAGCTATGGCTGGCTGCACCAGTGTATTGAAGAAGCCTAAAAAAAAAAATTGAACTGTTCGTAGACAATGGACAGTTGGAAGCACTTCACACAAGAGAGAATGAGCTCCACTGTCTTTGAGATGTAGGGATGGGAACCAACTTTGAAAGCTTTGAAAAGGACTGGACAGATTTGTCATGATAGCTGAGTGGAACTTTCCATGTTCAGAGGCGGTATACTTTGCATCTCAGATGCTGAGGACAAACTAAGGGGAAAAGCCATGTCCTGCTTGCGATCTTCCCAGAAGCATCTGCCTAGCCACTATAGAAACAGGATACTGGGCCAGGTACAGCGGTACCTCGGGTTACATACGCTTCAGGTTACAGACGCTTCAGGTTACAGACTCCGCTAACCCAGAAATAGTACCTCGGGTTAAGAACTTTGCTTCAGGATGAGAACAGAAATCGTGCTCTGGCGGCGCGGCGGCAGCGGGAGGCCCCATTAGCTAAAGTGGTGCTTCAGGTTAAGAACAGTTTCAGGTTAAGAACGGACCTCTGGAACGAATTAAGTACTTAACCCGAGGTACCACTGTACATCCTTGGCCTGATCTATCTGTCATAATCTACATACTTATAAGTTTTACTAAGGCTTTGGATAAATCTAATTTATTATTTTGTTCAGTGTCTTAGCAATGGAAGCTTGGAGCTTGTGTAAGAAATGTAGCCTGCATCTTTGTAATAAAGTGGATTAGAAGTTCCACAGAAATGAAAAGGGCTAAAAATAGTGTCATGGTTAGTGCTGCAGGAGGTGTGGTTAAATCTGGTTAAGTAGAATCATCTGGTGCAGTTCTCTTAATTTGTCATATGAAATACTGGAACTGATTTTCTAAATTAAAAAGATCAGCATGTTGTGTAGACATCCTCCTAAATAACACTTTTTGCCTGAAATAGATTTGCCAAAGCATGGAGTACAGATTTCTTGAGTCTTTAGGGCACAATCAACATCTGAATTGTGATTGGAAAACCATACTGTGGTTGGTGTGGTCCATTATATGGGACCTGTTGCTGTGAGCAGCAGGCTTTGAAAGCGCAATTCTTTGGCAGACAAGTATGTATGGGACAGGCTCCCTAAAAGTAGAATGTTTGTACCATATTTAGTTTAGTTTAATAGCTGATGTTGTATCAGTTATTGTTAATTTTTATTTGCTGGAAATGGGCTGCTCTTTCCACCTGGAAACCATCTTAAAACAGGATACGCAATTGTTTTTGCAAAATAGTGTTTCATAAGCAGGGGTGGAGAACCTTCAGCCCTCTGGATGTTGCTGAACTACATTTCCCATCAAGCCCAGCCAGCATGGCCAGATGCAAATTGAAGTCCCAACAGCACAGGGAGTGCCTTTGTTCATTTGCAAGTAAAGTAGCAGAGCCATTTCAAATGGCCGCACTTCAACACGCTTGTTGCAATCAGTGTTTTCATATCTTTTTTCTCGTTTGCTTGTCTTTCAGGTATATGTATCATGTTCTGACCAAAAATACCACTGTGACTGAACACAACCGCAACCTGTTGGTGGAGACTATTCGATCTATAACTGAGATCCTAATATGGGGAGACCAAAATGACAGTTCAGTGTTTGAGTAAGAGCTTTTAAGTGTTTGCTTTTGAATACAGAATATAACAGTATGAAATATAAGCTGATACGCCACTGATGCAAGGGAAGAAGTAAAATGAGGGTGTAAATCCTACCTATGCGTACTCAGAAAGTCAGTGGTGCTAAATCCCAAGTAAGCCCATGCTGGACTGCAACCATCGTAGCTTGATTTAAATCAGTGATGTGCAGCCCAATGCTGTGTTTACTTCTACATGGGTGGGGGAACCTATGGCCCTTCAGATGTTGATGACCACCAGCTCTCAGTAGCCCCAGCCAGCATGGCCGCAGGTTCTCAATGTCTGGTTTAAGAAGCCCCATTATGGTTTAATGAGCTACAGGCTGGATTGAGAGCTGCAGCCTCAAATTGATCACAAAAAAGGTAGTTTCTCATTGGTACCTCATGCATTTTCTAAGCTGCGGTGGACTTATAGTACAAACAGTATTGTCCTGGTTCACACGCAGTGTTAAATCATAGTTTAAATTTAAACTGTGGTTTACTAGGAATTTTCAGTGTGTTTATGCACACTGCTTAATATTGCCCTATTTGCTCCTCTTCCATTCATGTGCTTGCCACACTGGGAGGAACAAACCAGAGAACAGGCTGATTGTGTTGAACAAACCTTGGCTTCCAACAGTAGTGCATTTGGAGAAAAAACACAATTGCTGGTTCACATGAAACGCTAAGCCTTTTGTTTTACCCCATTGTGGCAAAGGCAGGAGCAAATTGCACTACTGAGCAGCGTTCACTAGCATGCTGCTCATTTGTGTTAAACCACAATTTACTTTAAATGATAGTTTAGTGTGGCATGCAAACCAGGCCTTAGTAGGCTCTGCTTCTTTCTGGTGGTTCTGCTCTATGTTTTGCATCTGTTTTTGTGTGCTATACAACTCTTCAGCATTGCCCCAAACTCATCCTTACCTCAAAGTAGTAAAACTTTTGCTCCATTCAGATGGTGTACCATTGCCTGTTTTACAGACAGCTAAGCATTTCAGAAGTGAGGCTTGACATTTACCAGTCAATTGTACCAAATGGCATCTCCTGGAGCCAAAGAGCAATTCCCTGTGCCTGTGATGACTCGCTGGCCTCCAGTTTCCAGCCCATAATATAACATGAAACCTATTTTTAAATCTTTACTTATTTTTCCCATTAAAAAAAAAACGTGGGGAAAAAAGTGCCTTAACCCAATGGCCATGGTTCAACACCAGCAATGGTCCCACATTCTTAAACAGGACTTGCTCCCTAGTAACTGCAGCTGAAATGTTTTGCAATAATCCTTTTAAGGATTGATTGATTTCCTTCATGTAACAAATAGCAAACAAATCAGTAACAACTTTCAATGTTGTTCTAGTTTTTTCTTGGAGAAGAACGTGTTTGTGTTCTTTCTGAACATTCTGCGTCAGAAGTCTGGCCGTTACGTGTGTGTGCAGCTCCTGCAGACCTTGAACATCCTTTTCGAGAACATTAGTCATGAAACGTCTCTCTGTAAGTATGCATGCCTCCATGTTGCCTTTAACGAAATCAGCATAGTTTTGATTTTGCAGTACTAAACCTTTGCTGCCTGCCTTTCTCAAGTGGGATGGGAGGAGAGGGCTAAGGGTCCATTTTCCCAGGTCAGGAACTGGAAGGTGCTACTTTGCTGTTCTGAAGATTATGAGTTTGCAACTTGCACTGGATGGTTGTTGTGTGTCAGCTGGGCTACAAATTAGGGCCCTGTTGGTAGAGGTAGGGATGGCAACCAAGGCATGGAGCAATCCATAGCCGTAATCCTATGGAAATGGCTATGGCTCACTTAATATTATTAAATTGCTCTCCTTGACAGTTTATTGGGCTACACATTTCACCTCCTTCACCTCCTTCCTACTCATTCTAAATCTGATAAAGATAACTTGGTTTTCATAGACCTTCTAGGTTCCTGTGGTCCAGACAAACAAACAAACAAACAAACAAATAAAAAGCCACCTGTCTGTTTAGAGCAGTAAACAGGAAGCCTTCATTCTGAGGAGGTAGGCGGGGAAATGGAATAGAGACACGGAACAGGGAAGGAGTCATGTGATAGAAGCATTTAAAAGTTGGTGTATGCAACAAAGGCTGCTCCTTACATTGGAGAAAAGTATGCTATTAGGGAGTTGAGGCCTATTATTTGCTATGTCTTCCCTTTAAAAGGGATCTGCTACTAGGTTGAAGTCTAGATAAGAATCTAAAACTAGAGGGGGATGAAGAAACAAGATGGCATCAAAAACTCATGTGCAGACTTTTGAATGTGCTTCTAGCAGATTGATTTTTTATTGTTCCCATTGTTGCTGTCTGGCTTCTCTTTAATCCAGCCTTTCTGAACTTGGTGCCCTCCAGATGTTTCTGAATTGTAGCTTCCATCCACCACAGACCACATGGTTGTATTGACTGGGGCTGAGCATCTTGAGGTCACTAGGTTGGCAGAGGCTGTTCTAATCGGATGCTGGAATACTTTTAGGAAACATTGCTTAATAGAACAATTTGTGTGAATCTCTTCATTTTTGTGCAATTTATAACGTTTGTACTGATTATGAATATGTTCCCCCCCTTCCCAGACTATTTGCTTTCCAACAACTACGTAAATTCTATCATTGTGCACAAATTTGACTTCTCGGATGAAGAGATTATGGCATACTACATTTCGTTCCTGAAAACGCTTTCTCTGAAGCTCAACAACCACACGGTTCATTTCTTTTACAATGAGGTAGGCAGAGGAACCCCTTTCAACTTGAAAATAAAAAGTTGCGGCTGCAGTGGATCTATGAAAATGAGGTTCTTAAATTGGCCCTGCAGCCAAGAGGGTGGTGACCAGGCAGGAGTCAAGAAGCTAAGATCTGTTTAGAAGGGTTTATTTTAAATACCCCTGCAAAATACTTACGAATGCTTTTCACTTTGTGAAAGATGTAAGTGTAGTAGCAACAAAGAGAAATCACTAGCACATTATACCTGAATGATTCTTGGGGAAGGGAGAAATAGGGAGCAATATATGAAAATATTTGTATGGCAACACAAAATGGAACATGCGTATGCGACTTAGCTATACTTCACTCGGAAAAACATATGCAGATTTAAATTAACTACAGCTTAGCTAGTGAGGGGTCAGTCTAACCTAGGACTGGGAATCTTTGGCCCCCCAGATGTTGCTGGGTTCCAACTCGTATTATCTCTGGCCATTGGCGTTGCTGGTTGGGCCTGATGGAATTTGAAATCCAATAACTTTTGAACGGCCACAGGTTTCCCCAGTCCTAATATAGCCCTGTACTGTTGATGGTCTTTAAACCCAGCACTACTGCCCAACAGACTGTGGACATTAGAAGCTATCTCCTTGGACTCAATCAAAGATCTGTCCCATGAGACACTTCTTTGGCAGTGTTGCCATGGAATGAATTTTTTTCCTGCTTTTCTTTGTCCTTTATCTGCTTCTTACCAGGAGAGGGCACCAGAGCTTAAGCAGTCTGACTTGGCATTAGATTAAATGTTTGTTTTTCTGTGGAAGAGGCAACATGTTGATCATTAGCTACAGCTGCTTTCACTCAGCAAATATAACATTGCAAGCCTGTCTTTATTGCAGGCATGGGGAATCTTCTCTGGCCAGTGGGCTAGATAATTATTGCCCTGTCCCTTGTTGGACCAAACTTGCACAGGTGAGCAGAGTTTCCCACCTGTCAAGTCACCCGATCATCACAGTTACACATCAGGTGGTGCTGTGCTTTGAAGCCCAAATGGTTGGGACCGTACATGAGTTTCGCTGAGGGGCTAGAGAGGAAGGGCTGTATTTTTTGTATGATAAAAATAATTGATTTTTCACTTTCTTTCCTTTTTTTTAATAAAAAAAGGTGCTCAATGTCTTGCGCTCCTGAGTGTTGCTGTTACCATTTATTGTTCATCATGTTGCTGTTATCATTTATTGTTCATCAGTTGCACCTTATTTTATTATGTTAGCTACCTTATTTTTCCGTCTTTAAGACGCCCCCTTGTATAATATGCCTCCTATTTTTAGGGCCTCAACATTTAGAAAATAGGGGGATTGAGCTTTTGGGGAGGACCTGCAGCAGCCCACCAGGGCAGAGCGCGTGGCTGCTCTAGCCGGAGCATGGCCGCGGAGGGGCTGCGCCGGCTTCCCATGGCTGGCAGCCCAACCAGCCGATGGATCCTGGCGAAGGGAGGCGGCTGATCAGGCCTGGAGAGAGGGAGCACAAAACAGCAAGGTACCCTCCTCCTTAAAGGGACAGCTCCCTGCCTGTCCTGGTCAAGACAAAGGACCCTGCTTACAGCCACTGTACCATTCAGGCTTGTGCCTTCCTCCCAAACTTTTGCCTCTCTGCAGGGAGCGCTTGCAAATCGCCGGGGGTCTCTGTCGGGGGACGCGGGGAACCAGTCAATCAATCTCTCCCCACCACAACATTTGGTTCCGCTTGCTTCGCAGAAACCACTATCAGCTCCCTGATCGCTGCCAGCGTGATTAATGGCGGTGATCAGGCAGCTGCAGCACAAGTGGCTGTGTGCTATGTTCTGGCGGGTGAGTGGTTTTCGGGATTCCCCCCCCCCCCCCAATCAAGCGGCCAATGCCGAAAATCGCTCACCTGCCAGAATGAAGCGTGAGCCTGAGTTTTTAAGTGGCAAATGGCCACTTGATTGTTGGGGGGGGGGAGATGTCCCCCTCAGCACTACCCATGTATAAGACGAGCCTAAATTTTGAACCTCATTTTTGAGTCAAAAAAGCTCGTCTTATACACGGAAAAATCAGGTAATCTGGAAATTATCATTATTTATGACCCGCCCTTTGCCTTAAGATCCCCAGGCAGGTTGCAGCATCAAAACACAATGTTGAAAAGAGTTTAAAACAATTTACATTTGTATTGAGGGACAGGATACAAATGCGTAAAACAAATTAATTCCTTGGACTTAACTGTCTTCTCTTTCAGCACACAAATGATTTTGCCCTGTACACTGAAGCCATTAAATTCTTCAACCACCCAGAAAGCATGGTCAGGATTGCTGTTAGAACGATAACTTTAAACGTCTACAAAGGTAGGTTTTCCTAAACCTGTAGCCTTAGAACAGCTAGTACTTGGGTGACAATTTTTTTGTAAATAGTGAGGCTTGAATGCAGAGGTGAAAATAAGACTTAACAGCTTGACAGGTTTACTAAACGAGAGAGAGAGAGCAAAACTATGAGTGTTGCCACTTTTAAAACTTTCATCTCTAAAAGAAGAGTTCTCCAGAATAGTGTCCCAGCAGTGAAAAGTATTTAAAGGGTTCTATAGAAGTTGTGCCTGTAAGCGCCACCAGAGGTCATTCTTTGCAAGATCATGCATGCATGATACATGCTGAAGAATGTGCAAATCGTTGTGCAAATGGGGAACGTTAAGTTGCATGATCAAAATCTCTTTCTTTGAATGTTGCGTGTCTCTCTTTGTTCATCAGTGAAGAAAATGTCAGTGTGCCGTAGAATAGAATTGAGCAAAATATTTCCTGTCTCAGGAAATATGAGCCATGTTTATCCGTGCAAAGTCATAAAAGATGCTAGAATCTGAGAGGGACCCATGAATTAGGAATTCATTTTGAATGCGCTGACTTGCCTATTGAGGTCCAACGACCAAGTTGCAAAGAATCAAGCGAAAGGGCAGGGGGAGTACTTAGGGCTGCCCCCCAAGCTACTTCCTCTCCTTTGGATACCAATAATAAAATAAAATGCTAATGTGCTGAAGGATATGTTAAAGACCCTGAGTGTCCAAAATACTTTAGTAGATCCTGGGTTTGTTTTTTTCTTAGACTCTATTGCACCAGCAATACAGCGCGATTTTACTGACATTTAAGTCTGCAAATTGATGCATCTCTGCAGCTCCTGCATAAACATTTGAACAATGTGAAATAACTTCCAAGCCTCTCTGGAGATTTCAATCCTGCATCTCTTCTGGTCTTGCACCTGCATTTCTCTAGGTCTTCCCTTTCCCCACCTTTCGGGAAACTCTTCAAGAATTAAGCTGGCTATTTTTAGTTTGAGCTCTAGCAGTTAACATCACTAGAAATTTCTTCTTAGAAGTGCTGCGGTTGCCCTATATGCGCGATATATGTAAACAGCACATGTTCCCAAGTTCACCAGAAGATATTTGAGGAAGGAAAAAAGAACAGCTGATGTGTAGTAAAAGGCAGGTTTTGTAATTGGGGGAACGTTTTATCCACCGGTTTGAGTGAAACAGCATAGTGGGATCAAGTTAGAGCTATAAAGACAAGGGCAGGCTTTGCATTACATGTCCTAAATACTGTAGAGCAGAGGATCAGGGATGCGGGTGGTGCTGTGGTCTAAACCACTGAGCCTCTTGGGCTTGCTGTCTGTGGAACAGTTCCAGACGGGAGCTGCTGCTAATCCCTTGCAGCTGAAACTGCAAAGGATTCGGTGGCACGTTTAAGAGCCTTAAACGTGGCCCTCCCAAGCGTCTCAGTCTGGCCCTTTGGACTCCCTCCAGCCATAGCCTCCTCTCTCCTCACCAGCCTTGCTTTGCAACCTCCTTGAGTGCTTTTGTTCAGCTGGATTGTGTCCTTGAACTCCATTAATGCCTTTTGCTTATCTGGATGGAGGATAGAGAGGGTGTTGGTGTAGAAACTAGCTCACTGTACAAATTTAAAATTTACATCTGTTGCTCTGCACACTCCAGCCTTTGGCGTGTGGCCCCTGGAAGGTTGCCTAGAAGGGAATGCGGCCCCTGGGCTGCAGTAAAAGTTTCCCCACCCCTTCTTTAAAGGCTCATGCCTTCCACTGTGGCACACACTTATGTGAACTAGAGCCTGCACTGGCAGGTAATAATAATAATAATAATAATAATAATAATAATAATAATAATAATTTTTTATTTATACCCCACCCTTCCCGGTTCAAAAACCGGGCTCAGGGCAACTAACAACAAATTTAAAACACTTTAAAACACTTAATTATAAAAAGCGCATAAAATACAGTATAAAAACACGAATAACAATAAAATTCAAAAATCAATTAGATAATCCCCAGGCCTAGCTGGCTGAATTGGCCCTACTTGGGTTACTTGCACAGGACCCCTAAACGTGGAGGCAGGTGGAGAAAATAGACCTTTATGGTTTCCTGCATTGCAGGGGGTTGGACTGGATGATTCTCAGGGTCCCGTCCAACTCTACAGTTTTATAATTCTATGATCTTCCCTTCCAGTGCTCTTCTGTAGCTGAACCCTGTGTCTGTTCCAGGGTGTGCTGCAAAGCAGCGGCAACAGTCCCTTTGACTTGGCCAGTGCCCTCAGCCAGCCAGTCCCGCCCCCGGCAGCACAAAGGGGAAACAGTGCCAGAGCCCCCACAGCAGATACATCCATGTGGAAAAGAGTTCTCTGAAGGGAGGATGTTTCTGACAACCGCTGCCCCCGAGTTGAGTTTGGAGGCTGCCATGCCATGTCACTTGGGAGGCGGGGAGTGGGCTCAAGATGGTAGCATGCACACAGCATGGTTTTCTACTGCTATCTCCTCCTAACCTCTCTCTTCTAGCCTAGATGCTTTGTGCTTTAGCTGCTGAGCCCCTTGGAGGATGTCTTGCCATCCCAGTTCCTAACCCTGTTAACCATTGTCTGTTTTTTCCCTCCCTTTCTTCACTGATGATCCTGTGTTCCTTAATGCAGTGTCATGTAAGTCTGCTAATCACTTTGACTTTCAGCCTTATTGCTTTTATTCTTTCACTTTTGTCCAGTTCTCTAGAAAGTGAGAAATGACTGGTTTCACCTGCCTGTTTTCAGAACGATGCAGGAATAACTTAAATGTCACCTTAATGGACTTGTTTAACCTCACGAGGGATGGAAAATATGATGAACTGTGATAGATAACTTAGGCATGAAATAAATCTGGTTTGGGCTTCAGCTACTGAAAGCCAGCCTATTTATTGAAAGGGATTCGTGGGTTGTATCCAATACTAATCATACTCGGAGTAAACCCATTAAATTAGTGGACATGACTGACTTAGGTCCATTAATTTCAATGTATCTGCTCTGAGTAGAATTTATTTGATTTGCATTTTACTTCTTTTTCGAAATGGATCTTTTAAAAGATTTCTCCCCTCCCTCTTAAGTGGACAACCAGCCTATGCTGCACTACATACGAGACAAAACTGCTGTCCCTTATTTCTCCAATCTCGTCTGGTTTATTGGGAGCCACGTGATTGAACTGGATAACTGCGTGCAAACGGATGAAGAGTAAGCCCTATTTTCTAACTCTTGTTGTGAGGAGGGATGTCGCCTGATCCGAGGAAGCTTAGTCCGTTGTATTAAATCTGCATACATTGGCATATGCATTAAAAGAAAACAAAATCCCAGGAGGAAAGGGGAGAAGGGAGCTTGGTGCTAGTGGCTGTTCCATTGTGGCAAATGGGGCACTGCCCCACCAGCCCCCATCTCTATTCCTCCAAGCCCACCTTTCCGGTTAACTGCAATAACGTATTTTTGGGGGGAGGTGGGGGGTAATGTATACAATTTTTTTTTGTTCTGTCCCCCCCCCCCACATAGGTACTATTTCTTTTCTTTTCATTCTGCCTTTTTGTGTCTTATTTTACTCTGTGCACTTGTAATCATGTACTTTTCAGTCTTTCAATAAGGAGCAATAATTAAAAGCCTAGCTTCCTGATTATAACCAGCCCAGCTGGTGGGAACTGCCTTCCTCCTTCTTTGTCTCAGTGTTGTTCTTGTAGAACAGGGAGGAGGATAGGGATATTTTTATTAATCATTATCACTATTATTTATGACACTTATTAGTTCCTTTTTATATTTATATTTCAGCTTAACGGCTTTGAATGGCTTCTGTTTTATTGTTTCAAATTTAGCGGGGTCCTTTTTCCCCCTTCTCCCCCTTCTGTCCAAACAGACAGAATTTCCCTTAATGTTCTAGCAATACACTAGCTAGCACCTTCTGACACTGACTCAGAATTATATATATTCCTGCTGGAAATTAGGGAGTGCCACCTCTTCCCAGCAGCTGTTGGCCCTCTGCACGGTTACTAGAGACTCTGTGCCCTTGCCCTTTGGCCATGGGGCGATTAACTGCTGCAGAGAAGCTCTGCTTACGAGGGAAGGGATGTCACTCAATGGTAGAAGCGTATTATTTGCATGCAGAATGTCCCATGTTCAATTCCTGGCACTTCCAGGCACAGCTGGGGAAGACTTTGGGCTGAATCACTGGAAAGCCACTGGCAATCAGTGTAAACAGGACTGAGCTGGATGGGCCAAGACTCAAGATTTGCATTAAGAGAGCTCCCGATGTTCCTGTGTTCCCACCAGCTGCAATTATAGGTGGGGTCACGACAATCACTTTGATCCTGTTTGAAAAGCTTTCAGTCAAGCTGACAGAGATCTTTTTTGGACTTGTCCAAGCCAGCCATCTCTTGTTCTCCCATTAAAATTCTTACAGAATGCGTTATAAAAAGCACAGCCAGCAGCATACTTACTAATTGTGAAATAAGTCGTGTGGGACCCTGTCATCTTATTTTTATTTTGTTGGACTGGATGAGCCTCTGGGTTCTTTCCAACCCGGTGATTCTATGATTCTAAGTAAGGGGCAGTTCAGGCATGTCACAGGCATAGCAAGTGAGCAAGAATCGACTTTCCACTTAACGGACAGTTTATGGGAAGAGCTCAACTTTTGCTGAGCAAAAATGTACTTCTGAATAAGCTGTAGGGATGAGCACTGATAGGTTTTTATGAGGAAAGCATGGCGGTGGCTCCAAGGGTGCACTTTTAATTCTGCTGATTGTGGAGGAACAGTTTCTCCCCAGCACTAAAAAATCTTCAAACGGAAAACTTTGCAGGAGAGTTGGGGGTTGTAGAGGTGAGAAGAGACAGCAGAATTCTTCCTTGACATCAGGCAGGCCCCTTCACTGTGTTCTTTTTGATGCCTGCTAAAAACATTTTTGTTTAGGCAAGCCTATAAGGACATGTAGAAGCCGGAATTTCAACACCTATCTTTTTAGCTGATAATTAATAATAATAATAATAATAATAATAATAATTTTTTATTTATACCCCGCCCTCCCCAGCCAAGACCGGGCTCTGGGTGGCTAACAACCAATAATAAAAACAAGTTGATTAAAATACAATTTTAAAAGATTAAAATACAACATTAAAACATTAGGATGCAGCCTCTTCACAGGAGGAGAAAAGAAAAAGAAAGAGGGGGAGGGAATCAAACTGATACTAAGCCAAAGGCCAGATGGAAGAACTCTGTCTTACAGGCCCTGTGGAAAGAAATCAGATCCCACAGGGCCCTGGTCTCATGATCCTAATTAGCTTTTGACTGTTTTTAAATACCTGCTTTTAGCAGCCTTTTATTGATAATTCTAATGTTCTATTTTTATTTTGCAAACCGCTTAGAGGTTTTTATTACAATCAACTCTCTCTTTTGCAGGCACAGAAATAGGGGGAAGCTTAGTGACCTAGTAGCCGAGCACCTTGACCATCTTCATTACCTAAACGATATCCTTATCATTAACTGTGAATTCTTAAATGAGGTGCTCACAGACCACCTGCTGAATAGCCTTTTCCTGCCTCTCTATGTCTATTCATTAGTAAATCAAGATAAGGTAAGGCATTAACTATCTTTTAACAACTGAGAGGTGTCCTTTTAATTGTTGAAAGTAGTGTTATAGGGACTTAATTGTCAGTTGCACCTTTAAGGCTGCCTGGAATAATTCTGTTGAAAGAGCATTTCTCTTAGCTCTAAAGGTATAACTGAAACCTTCTACTTCTTCTTTGCTAAACCTCGCACAGTTAGCCTTGTGTAACTGTTCCAGAGAAAGAGCTGCTGGTTCATATCTGTTACATCACCTCATTGTTTACAAGAAACCTGTTTGAACCCTTTTGCTTTTAGAGGAAAATAAAGGAGAAATGGATTCTTGGAATAAATGATTAGGAGCCATCTGCAATTTTCCCTGTGCAGAAGTTGCGACAGAATTAGTGATAGGACATGATTGCTCTTTTACCAAGAAACACTGATGAGGATGTTGTTGTTTTGTGGGCAAATACCTGGGAAGCCTCTGCTAGGAAGGTGATGCTGGCTGTTTCTTATAAAACCGCTGTGTCTTTGTTGTTGTTATTTTCCTGCTTCTTCTGAGCCTCTGGCTTTTAATTCCCCAGAGGGGCAACTGTGTGTCTGCCATAGACTTCATAGCATGCACCCAGCATTTATGGATGCTGGGGGTCAACAACAGTCACCTTGACCTGCACCTCCTGAAGGCATCTCTTTGGCTTCTGCTGGAAATTCCATTTAATAAATGAATATCCCGTCTTTGATGTTGCGGCAGGCGACCTGTTGCCCCAGGTGCTGTTGGACTTCCAGCAGCCAGTATGGGCAATGGTCAGGGTTGATGAGAGCTGCAATCCAACGCCATCAAGAGGGGAAGGGCCGTAGCTCAGCTTAGTATGCAGAAGGTCCCAAGTTCATTTCCCGGCATCTCAAGGAAGGACTGAGCTGGGACCCCTGCCTGAGAAACCTTGGAGAGCTGCTGCCAGTCAGTGCAGACAATATTGAGCTAGATTGGTGGAGGTTCCACAGCCCTCATCTAAGGGGATCAAGATTCTCTCTCCACTTTTTTTAAATTACCCCACTGGGCTGAGAGGTCTGCTTCATTGTCACCCGGGGGGCTTCACTATTTGAGCCCAAGTCTGCCCAATCTTAGTCTGAGGCTCTAGCCTTCAATACTAGAAGCAGAATGCTGGATTCAGTAAATGGTGGTTTTGATCCATCAGGGCATGCCTGAATTTTTTTAAGAGCAAGATGGAACTTCCATGTTCAGGTGCAGTCTAGCTATGGATAAAAGATGCTGGGAGCAGACAGCATTGTGGGAGGGGGTGAGCTCTGGGCTTCCTGGTGAGCTCTGGTTGGCCACTGGTAGCAATAAGGTAGTTCTTCATTCTGCATGCGATCTGGCAGGCTGTGCTCCCAAAGGACCAAATGTGGGCTTGGACACTTGTGCTGTGCTTCCCACTAAATTGTCTGAAGCAGCCAGCTATGTGCTGTACTCAGCCTAATTAGAGAAACACTCAGCCACAATCTTTCAGATGAACTGAGACAAATCTGTTGAGTGCAGCATCTGTGCACAGTATTTGCATCCTAGAGGCAGAGAGAGAGTTGTGATGGCTGAAGGGCTGGGAGTTATAGTCCAAAGCTTCCCCAAAGCAGCTTGGAGATTTTGCAGATATATATTTTTAAGTGTTTTATTTCTGCATTGTAATCTGATACTAGCTATTAATTGAACACACTCACCACTTTTCGCTTGACCCTTTTCTCCTTAGGGTGGAGAACGTCCGAAAATCAGCCTCCAGGTTTCTCTGTATCTGTTATCGCAAGTACGTCTTTAAGTATCCATAGTTGGTATTTGGGGTATTGCTGATAATTTCAGGATTTTTGCGTGTGACTCAAATTGTAGCACCAATAATACGTATGACAATTTTGTAGTTGGGTCATCCTTTGGATATTTACCATTGCTATCCCATGGATGAAAAAGGGTGAGCAGGTAGATAGACAGGGAGATCTAGACTTGGGGACAGTTTGCAGGCAGTGGAAAAGCAGTTATGGCAAGACCAGGTTTACTTGGGAAAGGCTTTGCCAAGAAGCCAACATGCAAACAGAGCATTATGGAACAGCCTGAAAAGGACTGCACCACTACGGACTGCAGGGGAGGCTTCTCTAGTGGACAAACAAGAAAGATTTCTTTCAATTACATGCTGAAAGCTGATTTCATATCTTAATGATGATAGCAATGTTCAAATGACTCCTACGCATTTAGCTTTTAAGTAAGAATATCACATGACCTCAAGGGCATTCCCCTGAAACTTATAAATAGAACAGATATTTTAAATAATTTCACCACCACCCCAGTATCATAGAATCATAAAATTGTAGAGTTGGAAGGTACCCAAGCATCTTCTAGTCCAACCCCCTGCAATGTAGGAAGCAACAGAAACAACAACAATTTTTTTCCAGGGAATATGAATGAAGCAACCAAAATGTGTACTTCATGTGTGTTGCTTAATTTTAGTTTTCATTCAGTTTTTTTGTGGGCGTCTTTCTGCTGTTGTGTGTTATTTAAGTATAGGTTCTTGTTTATGTATATATATATGAATGAATATATATATATATATATATATGTATGTATATGTGTGTGTGTGTGTATGTATATATATATATATATATATATATATATATATATATATATATATGATTCATGAAACACCCAACCCACTTTAATGGAAAGCTACCACCTTGCCAATAAGACTTCTCCTGGTGTGCTAGCTTTCCACTGCAGGGGATTATTGATTTGGAGAAGCCTTCAAATATGTGACACTTCTCTCCCTGCCCTCTCAAAAAAAAAAAAAAAAAGGTGGGGGGAGAGTAAATCTGCAACTCTGCACAGCCCTGTCCCAGGACTTCATTGTGCTCTTTTTGCATATTGGAATTGGCACCCCAAAAAATGGATCTTGAGGGGATTGATAGTGGCCACCCAGACATGTTGTCAGAAAGCTGCTTGGGGTCCTCTGAGCAGCAGTTTCTTTGTAGGTTCCATCCTGACATTCTGCTTTTCTGCTGCCTCTTCCCAGGTTTTCCTGATCATACATCATGCGCCTCTGGTCAATTCCCTGGCCGAAGTTATTCTCAACGGAGACCTGTCGGTGTTTTTTTCAAAAGCTGAGCAAGACATCCAGAAGAGTTCAGTAAGTGAAAGGAGCATGTGCGCCTTTGCATCCACAACCCCAGGGGGCCCTGGGTCAGGGTTTGTGCACCTGTTTTTGTTTAGCAAGAATCTGGGCATGCGAGGGGGCTGCTTAATTTTTGCAGCTTGTGGTATGTAACAGGTGGCCAGGCCGCTTGCGTTTGGCAGACCTTGTTCTGTTTAAAAAAGAGAGAGAAGGGGGGAAATGTTGTGAGAATGTTGACCTGATCTTGTATGTGAACTGAAATATTAAAAGAAGATATCTGTTACACATGAAAACAATCTTGTCTTCGCAGCACATTACCTCATGCTACGTCTTGCCCATTTTTCTTCAAGCGGGTTCTGTTACTAGGAAATCTGTGGTCAGAAGCTTGTGGCCTTTTTCTGCTGCAGCAGTTTTACTTCCACCAAAGCTGTTTTGCAGAATTTTCTCGGGCTTGAGGTTTTTTGTTTTAATTGATTTATTTTGAACTGCGTCTGTGTGTGGTTGGGGAAGGTGGAGGTTACGCAGGACTAAACATTGTCTTCTTCTTCTTTTTTTTAAAAAAAATAGTTTTTCTATGTAAATGTAACCGTTCAGAAAACCGAAATGTTCTATTGCTAATTCTGGATGTCCGTTTCCTATCAGGAGACGAGAGAAGAAAATGAAAAAAGATGCGCTCTGTACCTGCTTCACAATCTGGGAACTATATTGTGCACTGAGCAGCGCTTGTTAAGTAGGACAGCAGAGCCCATCGGCCCCAGCCAGCACAGTCTGGAAGGTGCTGAGTTGGCCAGGACTGCAGTACAGCCTTCATTTAGCAAACAGAAAGTGGGCTTGCTGCTGTAGGACAGCGAGTGGGAGTGGTGTGAAGTTGGACTATTAAGCACAGTGCTTCAGTAAAGTCCTTCACCCATTTCTCTGATATATATTTTCTGTATATCCTGGTGCATAATTGGAAGGGGTGAAGCTATGGCCCTGCAGAGACAAATGATGTATCCCGGGGAGGCCCAACAGGTCGATTGCGATCTACCAGTCGATCCCTAGGAGGTTTTGGTAGATCGCGGTCGATCGCTGGCTCCTCCATCCGGCCTCTCCCTGCCCTCTAGATCACTATACCGGAAGACGCAGTTCTCGCTGTGAGGCTGACTGTTTCATTAATGATCTCTTGGTGAATGCTTTTTTTAAAAAAAATGTTCCTTCACCCTGATCATCCCAAAAAACGGGATTTGCCTCCCTAAAAAAAGTTCAATAACTCTGACCTGAACCCCCCCCCCCAAAAAAAAAACCCGGACGTTCCTCCATAAAAAAAAACTCAACAACTTAGACCTGAGTAGTTGTAGATCTACTGCCAGTTTTTAATTGTGTCAGTAGATCGCAGTCTCTTGGAAGTTGGCCGTCCCTGATGTATCCCATTTACTGCATATTACTTCAGTTGCACTCTGTGTGGGCGCCCTTGAAGATGACTCAGAAACTTCAGCTGGTCTTCGGGGCCACCCCCAGATTGTTCACTGGAGGCTCAGGTGGCTGAGAGTTCCTCTTTCCAGATCTGGACCCTTTTGCTCAGAGATGCTCATGTAGTATCCAGAGCGGATTGTTGCAATGCACTCATGCACTCTACATGGGGCTGCCCTTGAAGGTGACTCGGTGGTCAAAAATGCTGCAGCCAGATTACCGGCTACGGCTCCATTTAGAACCCACGCAATCCCCATTTTAAAACAGCTGCAATGCTTTCAAGTTAGTCCCTGGGACTATTTTAAGGTGCTCACATAATATTTAAAGCATGAAACGACATAGGCCCCAAATATCTGAAAGACCACCTCCTTTCCTACAGGCCCCGTTGGCTGTTAAGATCAACGGAGGGGGACCTCTCAGCAGCTGCACTGTCCTCAGATGTTTGGTGTGTGTGCATGATCAAGCAGAGGGTATTATTTTTGGCAGCCCCTAAGATGTGCACCTCCCTCCACACTTTCACTGTATTCATTGAATACTGAAAATGCATCTCTTTACCTAGACCTCTTGTCACTTGAGCTGTATATTTGTAGGACCTACCCTCTTCTTTTTGTGATTGCAAGGGTTGAAGTTTGGGTAATTTACAATAACAACAGCAGATGCCCCCACTTCCCCCCAAAAGCTGTTTGCCTCCAAATACGAGAAACTTGTGAGAAGAAAGAGTACAGCCCGGCTAATTTTGTGTATGTGTGTGTTGTGAAACCTCTGCAGCAGGTGTGGGGAACCTCTGACTCTCCAGATGTTGTTGGATTGCAGCTGCCTTCATCTCGATAACTTTTGACTGCTGGCTAGGGCTGAACTGAGCTGGAATGAAGCAACATCTGGAGGATGACTGCTGTGCAGTTTTTGGCATTGATTCAGTGGGATGAAATGGAGCCTTCCTCACTGTAAGAACAGATGCTGCAGCTATAGGGGGGGAAAGGAGAGCAGAGAAGCAAGGAGCCAGCCCTGTCTTAACGAGAGTCTTCTGTTAGTGCGAAGGGGGTATGAGTGGCATTTACAAGCAAGGTGTCTGAGCAGCATGAGCGGTGGGCCTGGACATGAGAGGGAATGTGGAAAACAAGTACTGCATCTGTGTCTTCTTGGAGTTTTCTTTTTGAATCCTTTGTAGTGATAACAGTTTTGAGTCCAGTGGTAGAATCATTTCAGTCCAGTATATCTGAAGGAGCGTCTCCACCCCCATCTTTCTACCTGGACACTGAGGTCCAGTATCAAGGGCCTTCTGGCGGTTCCCTCACTGCGAGAAGCCAAGTTAGAGGGAGCCAGGCAGAGGGCCTTCTCAGTAGTGGCACCCGTGGAACGCCCTCCCACCAGATGTCAACTACCAGACTTTTAGAAGACATCTGAAGGCAGCCCTGTTTAGGGAAGCTTTTAATGTTTGATGCATTACTGTATTTTAATATTTTGTTGGAAGCCGCCCAGAGTGGCTGGGGAAGTGGCTGGTATAAATAAGAAATTATTATTATTATTATTATTAATTATTTTTTTATTTTATTTTATTACTATTATTATTATTATTATTATTGTCATCTGGAAGCTGCCTTACACTGACCATTGGTCCTTCTGGCTCAGTATTATTTACATGCACAGGGTGTGGCTCTCCAGGGTTCTAGACTAAAGTCTTTTACTTGGAGATGTGGTAGGATTGAACCTGGCAACTTTTGCATGCACCCTTCTTTCCCCCTGTTTTTTTTACACTTCACAGGAGCAGCTTGAGAGCCACTATTTATCCCTATGAATAGATGCTCACTTTTTATTTCCTAGTAATTTGCATAGCTCAGTTGTAGGGCACACTGGTGTGTAGAAAGCCTCATGTTCAAATCCAGTTAAGGAAATTTGGAGTAGCAATTTTATTTGTGATGCTGGAAAACCTCGGCCAGTGAGATTGGGCAGCAGATGTCTGTAGAAAAAACAGAACTCATGCATGCAACAACATTTTTAAAAAATTGCATATGTATTTCAGTCAGGTGGAAGCTTGGTGAATTGCACCCGCAACTAGCTCTTTATTTTTCTTCTTCAGAGCAGCAATAACTGTTTTCTGGTTTTGCTTGAAGTGTGCAGGTGTTGCAGAGGTGCGTGCTTGCTTTGCTATGAGATGTTTCAGAAACCTGAGAAGTGTGATTGTGTTCCCAGCAAGGGGAGGTGGCACGATGGGGTGGTCTCGCTGCCTTGCGGTTGTCTTGGGTCAGTGAGTCACGTGCCTTCACAATATACACCGCATGACGTGAGGCAGAAGTCACATTCGGCACTTACCTTCCTTCCTGTCAGAATGGTTTCCACTTGTTTCCTGCCCGAATCGGATGTGGCTGGTTCCTGCTGCTTTCTGCTTAGCCTACTTTCTCTCCTTCCTGTAACCTAGAGGTGGTACTTAGCTAGCATGGTTTGGTTTCTTATTTTCCTAGCAGGTGTCCCAGCCCAAATGTTAAAAATGCATGTTTTGGTTATACAGTGGTACCTCGGGTTACAGACGATTCAGGTTACAGACGATTCAGGTTACAGACTCCGCTTACCCAGAAATAGTACCTCGGGTTAAGAACTTTGCTTCAGGATGAGAACAGAAATTGTGTGGTGGCGGCACAGCAGCAGCGGGAGGCCCCATTAGCTAAAGTGGTACCTCAGGTTAAGAACAGTTTCATGTTAAGAACGGACCTCCGGAATGAATTAAGTTCTTAACCCGAGGTACCACTGTAATACACTATTCATTTTGTAGGCGGAATTTAGACTTTGCTTGAAACAAAACACAGCCGTGGTTAAGGGGAAACGCCAGCTGCATTTGAACATCATGCTAAACTGCAGATAGGAGAGGTAGTCAGCTGCATTTAGTTTTGCTTTCTGGCTGGTTTCAAAACAAGCCAACTTCAAACCATGGGCTGTGAAACTGGCTTGTTAAACTTAACTGCATTTGTTGTGAACCACAATCCCCAGTCTGGACCACCTAACAAGCTGAGACTCACAGAAAGCATAGCTAAGTGCTCATCAGGGATGGGGTGCACATGAGCCCATGGGTAAGGCTATCAGTAGCTACTAGCCACAATGGCTATGTTTTACCCCCAGTGTTGGAGGCTGTGTATCTCTGAATACCAGTTACTCCTTTAGACGTTGCATGGAAAGAAGCAATAGGCAGCTGCTGGATCTCAAAATTCCCTCGTCTAACCCTTGACTCCATGCTTCAGGTAAGGAGCGAGTCGCCTAAGTGCTACCACACCTCGCTGTTTTGGACTAGGAAACCTTTTTTGGTTCCAGTTGAAGTTCTAGACACAGGATGTTTCCAGATGACCTGTTCATTGAGCATTCATTCTGATGTGCTTGCAGGGCGTCTAGATGACGTCGTGTTAGAGTTATGGCACATTTCCCAGTGCATTTTTCTGTAACTTTCCCTATCACACAAGTCTGATATTTAGGGGAAGCAGGTTTGTTGCTCAAAACCTCCCAATCAGCTCTTAAGCATTCCACCTGAATTTGCTGGTATGTGATTGAACTCCACCCAGAAATAATGGCAGCCTGGATGTGTCCACAGTGCGAATTCTGGCATGGTAATGGTTTTCCCCAAGCCGAAGTTGGGCCGCTTACATGTTGCTGTGTGGCTCTGTAAGGAAACACCTGGAGTTGCTTTGCCTCCTGCTAAAGAGTAACGCTTACCTTTGTCAAACATTTTAGCTCAAGACTGGCATCAGATGCTTCATTAAACCTACGGAGACCTTAGAGAGATCCCTGGAAATTAATAAGCATAAGGGCAAGAAGAGGCTGCAGAAGAGGCCTAATTATAAGAACGTTGGGGAGGATGAAGAGGAAGAGAGGGGGCCAGAAGACGCCCAAGAAGGCACAGAGGGCCTGTCCAAAGGCATCAAGCCCACTGGGGAGAGTGAAGGTAAGCATGCCAGTAAATGAAAACCACAACCATTAATTCACCAATTCCTACTGGGGGTTTGTCTTGTGCGCATTGGAGATATATTGTGTGGCTTGATTTGCAATGGATGATTCTTCTCTGGAGAACAGAACTTGTTTCCCACACTTGGTTAATTTTGGGTTTGTTAACTCCCTATTATTTTGTCTCATGACCTGAATACTGTCAGTTGACCCTAATAAAGGGAATGCACCTTGGTAGCTCATTCAGTAGAGCATATGACTCTTAATCTCAAAGTTGTGGGTTCAAGCCCCATGTTGGGCAAAAGATTCCTGCATTGCAGGGGGTTGGACTAGATGCCCCTTGTGGTCCCTTTTAATTCTATGATTCTATGACGGATTGCCTTGTGACCAATGCTCAATATGGAATTCTGCCTCAAACACCCTTTGTTTATTGCTTGTAACACTTTTGTGAATCATCTAAGTTGAAACACTCTCTTGCAGAGCTATAAAAGGTAACATACAATTCACCTTTTGTTTTATGTACATCTATGTAAGGTGAAGTGATGTTGTACATGGTCTACTTTCCTTCTGTCTACCCCTCCTCTCTCTTTTATTAAAAAAACCTAGAATCCCTGTGAGCCATCATCATGTGTTAAGTTTATAAATCAGTAGTTAATAGGACCTCTTCACTGTTAAGATGTAACAACTCTGTTCTTAAGTGATCCTGAGTGCTCTTTCTTAAGAAAAGCATTATCAGACCAGACCAGCAGCCTTTGCAAGAATTCCAATGGGCAATAGATAAACCATTAACTTCTGACTACCCCTGCACCCTCTAACAAGTACAATCTCCCTAGAAATGTTTCTAAATGAGCTGCTGTTTCTCCACAGAAATTGAGATGGTCATCATGGACCGATGCCAGTTGTCTGTCACTGAGCAAAACATCACGGATGAGGAAAAGAGCGCAGCTGCTTCCGAAATGTCAAACTGGAACAGGTACGGGGGGAGATTTGGCACTGTCAGCCAAGCTCCTACTTGAACACTAGGTTCTCCGAATGATGCTGGGACGCCCAGCTTCCACTGTCTCTCACTCGGGCCATTCTGGCTGGGGCTGATGGGAGTCGGAGTACCACTTGTAATAATCTTTCCTGCTTTTCCTCCCTCTGCCAAGCTGCTATTTTAAGTAGTGCTGCAGCTGAAGGCCAACTTGAGGCCCACGTAATGTCCAGCACACCTTCTAGTTTGAAGTGCTGCCTCTTGCATTTAAGCAGCCTGGTGTTAAACGACGCTCCTGAGTCTCTGAATGGAGCAGTTCAGTCCCCTTCCTGGGAAATCTACGCAGTGGGGAACCTCTCCTCTTGCCCTTTGTAAAAGCATTGTGTACATTGGGGTGTGCTTTAGTTATAATTTGTAGGTGTTAGGGTCCTGATAAATGGCTTCTGGAGTGTTCCCCCCCAAAAAACACTCATCACCCCCTTTCTTCCAGGCCTTTCCTTGAGATGGTGTATAATGCCCTGGAATGTGCTGAATTTGATTACTACGCTCTCTTTGTGCTGTGCCTCCTGTACGCCATGTCTCATAACAAAGGTAAGACTGAGCCCAAGAGTGGAGTTTCAACTTCCATCAGCTCTTGCCAGCATGGCCAACCCTTGGAGTGTGATTGGAACTGTAGGCCAGCCTTTTCAGGGGTGTTGTAAAAAGCTCATGATCTGGGTTTGGTCATAATGGATTGGTCAAAGCCAGCACTTTGAATTGGACTTGGAAACTGATTGGCAGCCAGTGCAGTTGGGCCAGGATCAATGTAATAGGCTCAACCCGTCTTGCCCCGGTGAGCAAGCTGGCCGCTGAATTCTGCACCAGCTGAAGTTTCTGGACCGTCTTCAGAGGCAGCCCAACGTTGCAGTTATCTAACCTCGATGTTACTAGAGCATAGGCAGCATAAGTTAGGCTATCCTTGTCCAGATAGGAGTGCAGCTGGGCCACCAGCCCAAGCTGATGGAAGGCACTCTGCGCCGCCGAGGCCACTTGGGCCTTGAGGGACAGCAAAGGATCCAGAAGCATCCCTGCCACTTCTTTAGAGGGAGTGTAACCTCACCACTAACAGTGCCTCAGCCTTATCTGAATCGAGCTTCAGTTTGTTGGCTCTCATCCAGTCCATTACCAAGGCAAGACAACAGTTCAGCACCTCCACTGCCACACCTGCAGGCCTAAAGAAGAAGTAGAACTGTGTGTCATCAGCATTTTGCAGACAATGTAGAGAGTCACGAACACCTGAAACTATAGACTGTTGAGTCAAACCCACTGATCCATCTAGCTCAGTACTCTCTAGGCCAGTAATAGAGAGTCTGCGGCCCTCTAAATGCCTTTGGACTTCCAAATGCTCTTCAGGCACAGCCAGTTTGGTCTGTGGCCAAGGATGAAGGAAGTTGTAGTCCCCACAACACTAAAAGGATCACAGGTTCTCCATTCTGGGTCTGGCAGCTTCTCTTTGAGAGGTCTTTTACTCCTCAATCACGACCTGAGATCCTTTTTCATTGGAGACGTCTGCTGTGGAACCACAGGGTTGGCTTCCTTGGGGGACCCTTGTTGGACTATATCTTCTATCACCAGGCTTTGGCCATGGTGGGGCTAATGAAAGCTGGGATCCAAAAATCAGCCAGCAAAACACATGTCCTCTGAGCTGTGTATTGTCCTCCACAGATAGGGAGGGGCTGGCTTGATCTAATCCAGACTTTAGCTTTAGAATTCATGGTAAGTCCTGAGCTTTTGTGTGGTGAAGAGTGGTTTTGTGTGTATATTGGATTTAAAAAATCCCTGGGAATCTATGACATAATCTGTTCTTGCTTACATTTTTCCCATGGATATTATTTACAGAGTATCGTGGTAGTTGAGCTGCAGAAAAAAACAGTAGAATTTTCAGAACAGTGTAATACTCTTTTCTTGTGGGTGACCCTCTCCTGATTTTTATTTAAATAAACATATGTATAAAACATCAGTTTCACTTCATAGGTGTTCTTAAGATTGGAGCAGCCAGTCCCTCATTTGCGCAGTGTAGGTTGAAAATGATTTTACTGGCAATGCTTGGCCAGTTGAGTTCAGGATGGGTAGGCATTAAATGGAGAGGAGCAAATTGTCCTGCTTTCATGACGGAAAGATTTCTTTGGCTATGTATAACTACGACAATCAGCTTTTTGTGCACAGGGCTTAAATATTACAAAAGGTTCTTACTGTACCATGCATTGTCAAGCAAGGATGGCATTTTGAGACAGCCTCTTCTGAGAAATTGGCTTGCTGCGTTACAGGAACAGCTTGCTATATTATCTGGCTTTAAATTACTTGGAGGCACAAACAAGCCAGTAGTTCCTTCTGTCAGCTCCATTCCCCAAAATTTGTGCATGCCTACGTGCTGTGCTGCAATGGTTGTCAACCTCTTCAGGTCTCAGGACTCAATTTTCACCCCAGCCTTCTGCACAACACCCCCTTTCCCTGTTACTTCTGTCTGTCTGCTTCTTTCTCACTCACTCAACTTTCCTGATCTGGTTCCAGCCTCCATCCCCGTTTTTCTGTTTGCCCTCCCTTATCTTGTCACTTTAAAAATAAATCAATACAAAAACGGTGCTTATGCCCCCAGCAGTGTTAGAAACTCAGATATATAAGCTAGGTGCCAAATGGCTCCTTAAACCAGGGTTACAGTTGGCGAAACCGAATGTCTTGTTGCCATTTTGAGGCCAGACTGCTCGAAAGTCATATTTTTCAAGGTGATTTTTTGGCTTCTGAAATTCATTCTGTTTGTGCAGATAAAATATAACAGGTAGGATTCTACAGTCAAGATCCAAGGATCCCCTGGTAGGCACCTCCAGATGGTGGAGACGTCAGGCGCCATCCTGGTGCCCGCGCATCGTCACTTGGTCGCAAGTGGCTGATAGGCAGGTGCAAAATGTGCATGACGAATATCAAACGTTGGCCCTCAGTGTGACTCACCTGAGGTTGGCCTACAACCCATCATTGCAGCCTTGCTTAACCTTGTGTTCTGCAGACATTGGACTCCAGCTCCCATCAGCACCAGCTAGCACAGTCAATAACCAGGGATGCTGGGAGTTATAGCCCATCAACTTCCAGTTGGGAAATGCTGTGCTATTGGGGTCTGACACACCTTCTCAAGAACATAAGGAGCTGCAAGGAATAGCCATGGTTGATTCTTTCTTTCCCTGTTGTGTTTCTGCAAGGAGTGGAGAACCTTCTGGAGCGGGAAGGCTCACCAGCTGCGATCAACTTAACACAGCTCTGCTGGGAAGGGAAGATTAGGTGGGGTTGTTGGTGAGGGGCAGGGCGATATCAACAGCCTCACTTAGCAAGGGAAGGGAGGGAGGAGGCTGGAGGAGGCAGCAAGGTGGGCTGTGCAAGAGGACAGCCAAAGAGGTAGGAGCACCCCTGAAAAAAGGAGGTTGATGGGGGTTCCGGGAAGCTCCCATGCCTGCTAGGTAAGATCCCAAACCTCTCTCCAGCTTCACTCCAAAGCAGTGTCCTTAATGCCTAGTCAGGTTTCCCCTGAATGAAGGTGCAGCCACCTGGGGAAGCACCTGATGAAATTTGAGACACTAGAGGAAAAACAGGAGTTGGAAGTAGCCGTACCAGAGCTTGGGACACCACAGTATTCCTATTAGAGAAAGGAGTGGTCTAGGGCAGGGGAACCCTTCTTTCTTAGGTTAGATGCTCTTCACTGCCTTAGGTTCCTTTTCTTTTGTGTGGCCTGCCTGTCTTTGAAGTAACAGCAGCATCTCACCAAGGCTTTTATGTTGTGCTTGCCTTGTTCTGTCGAATAGCAGCCTGCCGTGCTTAAGATCAACATATACTACTGATGGTGGGGGTCGGGGTGGATTCAAGGTGCTCTAACCTCTTGGTGTGTTGAAAAGACTAGTGGATCTTGAAACTGGATCAGGGAGGCCCAGATCTAACTGGCTACTCAGTTGTGAATCTCACTGGGTGCCCTTGCTCACCCACCTCCAACTCTTGTATATCCCACATCCTCACTCCTTTTGCTGCATTGCTGGGTCAGGATAAAACAGGGTGATTCCCCGTGTACACCGCCACCCTGAGCTCTTTGCAGCAAAGGCTGAGATACAACTGTGATGAATCAGCAAGGGTTAGACCTGATCAAGCTTGTTATGCTAGTGCCGGCATCCCCAAACTTGGCCCTCCAGATGTTTTGGGACTACAGGTCCCATCATCCCTGACCACTGGTCCTGTTAGCTAGGGATGATGGGAGTTGTAGTCCCGAAACATCTGGAGGGCCAAGTTTGGGGATGCCTGTGCTAGTGGATTCTTAAACCACAAGCCCATAGGCTCGTATCCAGCTAAGCCCTACTCAGAGTTGACCCATTGCAGTTAATGGGCCTAAGTTAGTCGTGTCCGTTAACTTCAGCTTTGAGTAGGGCTAGCAGTTGGCTGCAACCCATAGACTCTGTCATGGAACTGCACTATATGATATAAACAAGCAAAGTTGTCTGTCTAGGTTCCAGCCCTGCAGCTAGACTGGATTGAAGACCTATAAACCCCAGACGATTATCTCCATTCACAAGTCTTGGCATGTTACTCAAAGTTTATACATAGATCTTCGGATAGATGAGTGAGAGCCTAGCCTTATATCAGATATAATGCCAGAATCATTCCTAAATGCAGGGAAAGAAATGCTTTCCTCTTAGCAGTTGGATTAACATGTTATTTTAGTGAGCTGCAAACAAGCATCTTGATACGTTGAGACCAGTCTTTGGCCCCCATCTGCACCATGCATTTAATAATAACAATAATTTTTTATTTATACCCTGCTCTTCCCAGTTCAGAAAACCGGGCTCAGGGTGGCTAACAACAAATTTAAAACACTTAATTGATGCAACAAAAAACAGCATAAAATACAGTATAAAACGTGAATAACAATAAATTCAGAATTCAAAAATCAAAAATCAATTTAGGGGGAGTCTCATACCTCTTCAAGTAGTTGTGGCTCCTCCCAAAGAATCCTGGGAACTGTAGCTTATCAAGGGTGCTGAGAGTTGTTAGGAGGCTCCCTGTTCCCCCTGTACAGGTGCAGTTTCCAGAGTCCCCTGGGAAGAGGGATTAATTGTTAAAGCACTCCGGAATTTGTAGCCTTGTGAGGGGAATGGGGACTCCTAACATCTCTTAGCTCTTTTAACAAACTACAGTTCCCAGGATTTGGGGGATGCCATGGCTGTTTAAAGTGGTATGCCCCTGTTTTAAATGTATAGTTCAGATGGAGCCCTAGCGGAATATGCTTTACTCAGCCTTGAAGTCTTTACTAGAGCCTGGATAGCTCATTTGTTTAGAGCATGGTGCTGATAATGCCAAGGTTGCAGTTTCGATCCCAATATGGGACAGCTGAATATTTCTGCATTGCTGGGGTTGGACTAGATGATCCTCAGGGTTCCTTTTAACTTTACACTTCTATGTTCCCATGGTTCTATTGAGAGTTCTGATCAGTCTTTGCTGGCCTAGCACAAGGCACCTTCCGCCTGTTGTGGGATTTCAACTTTCCTTCCAACTGGGTGAGATACTCTTTAGGGTTTGTTGCTGGGATCAAGACTTAGTTTGGAGGATGTGTTATCATTGCTGTTATCTGGCTTGCTAAAAGACCACCTGGGCGGAGGACAGGTGAGGCCTGATCCACTCATTCTACTCCTTTTAAAAATAGTTGCTGACCAGGCAGTGCCCATCAAGGCAGTTTTGTAACCCTGGCAGTGGTTACCAAGGTTGTTATCAAGATTTTGCTTTGGTCTTATCAACCCAGCAAAATCAGGGATTGGAAGTGTCAAGAAAGCGTGTCCCTGGGAGATCTCCGGTGCGGTTGGGTGGTTGAATTGGTGATGTTGATCAGGGCATTTTGTGCCTCTAAAGACTTATGGGGAGCGCTGGGAGGATTTCAGTTGCTTTTAACTTTTTGTTTCTCACTGCCTCCTCATCTTTCAAAATCTATGTGTGGGTAACTTGGGAAACTGGTGCTTTCCCAAGGCCTGGCTGCCTTTCTTAATTACTGGCTTCTTGGTTCCTTGGAAGTGCACTTTGGCAAACTGTCACATAGCTGCAATAAACACTTTTTCTGTCTTCATAGGAATCGAGCCAGTCACGCTGGAGAGAATTCAGCTCTCGGCACTGGATGCTGAAGAGAAGACCTCGTACAATCACGTGCTCGCTGAGAGACTCATCAGGATAATGAACTATGCCGCTCAGCCAGGTAGAGGGTTTTTGTCTCAACTGCTGCTCTTTTACTTGCGTTAAAAATGGTTGAGAACGGCAAGGGGCAATATAAAATATTTAAATAATTGAAGTAAACACCTGTTGTTGTTGTTGTTGTTGTTGTTGTTAATAATAATAATGACAACAACAACATTATTTGGCTAAAAGAGGCTCTCGGAGCTGCTCATAAATATCTGTGACAGTCCCAACCATCAGGTTCATGGTCTTAGGAGATACAGTCAAACCTCGGTTAATCTGCTCCAGAAGCCCGTTTGGCTTCCAAAAGTTCAACAACCGAGGCGCGGCTTCCAGTTGGTTGTATGGGGCTTCCTGCACCCTAGCGGAAGCCGCGTCAGACATTTGGCTTCCGAAAAACATTCAAAAAACGGAGCATTTACTTCCAGGTTTTTGGTATTTCAGGAGCCGAAGCGTTCCAAAACGGGGCCGTTCGAGAACCTAGGTTTGACTGTACAGTGGAACCTCGGTTTTCAAGCATCTCAGAAGCCAAACAATTCGGAACCTGAACGCTGAAAACCCAGAAGTAATTGCTTCCGTTTTCAAATGTGCCTCAGAAGTCAAACAGCTTCAGAGGCACGGTTTTTGTCCCCCCCCCCCCCGTTGACTTTGCAGCCAGCCCTTTGATCCTTGGTTTTCGAATGTTTTGGAAGTCGAACAGTCTTCTGGAACAGATTATGTTCGAAAACCAAGGTTCCACTGTACAACAGGGGGGAAAAAGAGATGAGGGGGGAGAATGCGGAGGCGGAGTTAAAAGCTCTTAGTTGTAATGGTCTCAGTGAATCGTTCTGTTAATCTCTAGAGAGCGCGGCTGCTTTGGCCAAATTGTGGGTTTGGGTTTTGTTTGGACTAAGCTGGATAGGCTTCCACACTACTGTAGAAGAGAAACAACAGTTCTTCCCCAGTTCTTTCCCATGCTCCAGTGTTTGTTTGAGTGCAAGAAGTGTTTTGCATTTTGTACTTAAAACATGCCACAGTGCTGAGATACTTGAATTTGACTAGTGGTGCTAAAGCGCTGGCCCGTAAAGCTGAGACGTCAGCAACTTGATCTCAACAATCTCTAACTTTTTCCTGCCCTCCCCCCCCCCCCGCCCAACATACAGATGGGAAAATTCGCCTGGCTACATTGGAACTTGGCTGCTTGCTACTGAAGCAGCTGGTGATGTCCAAACATGGTAGAATTATAAAGGATGTTCACCTTGCCTGTTTGGAGGTGAGTGTTTGCGGGGTTTGGACACCTTTTTCCTCTTAACTGCTGGTATGTAAGTGTCAAAATTTCTCTGATTGCTAACAGTCCATCTTTACGAGTAGAACCCTGTCAAGGCAGCACGCATAGTAAAAAGATGAAATGAAATTTCCAGAATACGTTCATTTTTAAAAAAATCTAAGACTTTTTTTTTTGCTAGCTGTTCTCTAAACCAGTGTCTGATTGGGCTGGAATCCATGCCTTAGTACAAGCAGAACTGAGAGCAAAGAGTTAGGAGTCGAAGAAACTGCTACAGCTCTGTCACCAGGGTGTGCCGAATCTCACTGCTTTGTTCCACATCATTCCATTGGTCTTTCTGGTCTCATCATGGTCTTGGGAAGGGAAGGGGTAATTTCCCAGTCCTGGGAAAATTTAATCAGTGATGCTAGGGATTGAGCCTGGGACTTACTTATTTTATTGTATTTATTAGATTTCTATACCGCCCTTCATCACAAGTTCTCAGGGCTGTTCACAAGATAAAAATACAGGGCAAAAGCACAAATAAAGAGTTAAAATGAAAACGACACAATGTATGAACAGCAATATGTGGGCTGTCACTGGGTTACAGTTGCTATTGGTACATGTTAGCACCTCCTTCTTAATACGGGCAACCCCCCTGTTTACACATGTCCAACTGTGTGCAACTGTGTGTACGCACATCGCACCGAACTCAGAAATGTAAATGTCACTGAAATGTTGCTAAAAGGGCAGAACGGGGTATTTGCAGGCTTTTTTGATATGTTTCAATTACCGTATTTTTCGCCCTATAGGACGCACTTTTTCCCCTCCAAAAATGAAGGGGAAATGTGTGTGCGTCCTATGGGGTGAATGCAGGCTTTCGCTGAAGCCTGGAGAGCGAGAGGGGTCAGTGCGCACCGACCCCTCTCGCTCTCCAGGCTTCAGGAAGCTATCCGCAAGCCTTGGGAGCCCGTGGGAGTTCCCGCCGGGCTCTCTAGGCTTGCGGAAAGCAGCCTGCATCCCGAAGCCTGGGGCGCGCTGAGCAGCCCCCCCCCAAAAAAAAACTAGGTGCGCCCTATAGGGCGAAAAATACGGTACATGCAATTTCACTGATGCATGTGGTGCCTTGGAACGTAACCCCCACGTAAAGGTTGGGGGCTGAACACGTTAGAACCTTTCTGAAGCAGTCTGGATTCTGCCCATCTCATCAGGTAGGGGTAGCTGACATGGCGCCCTCCATATCTTGTTGGACTCCAACTCTCGTCATCCCGATCATTGGCTGCACCGCCTAGGGCTGATGGGAATCCCGCCCCCACCAAGTTTGCCACCCCTGCACTGGAGAGTGCCGTGAGATGTCCTTCTCTTTCTTTTAACTGGCTTTCCAGGGGGGAAGCAATGGTATTGGGGAAAGACATTTGCTGCTTTTAAAGCCTTATTGAAAGCTGCCCGCCACAAAGTAGAACTGAGCTGTATCCTTTTCTTTCTAGGGCGCGAGAGAAGAAAGCGTTCACTTGGTGCGGCGTTTTTATAAGGTACAATATTCTCATGCTTTCTATGTTTCCCTAACCTCTGAATACAGGGGAAGATAGAGGGAGCAGGGAACCTTTTAAAGTACATGGTTGCCTTTTCGTAGCTTAATAAGACTAGAACCTAAGACATCACTTACTGGACAGGAATTACATGGTGCTTTCACCAGACTCTGGTAAAGCCAACATGGTGGACTCCTCTAGAAAATGTTGGACTACAACTCCCATCATTACTGGCTATCGGCCATGTTGCCTGGTGCTAATGGGAGCTGTAGTTCATCAGGGCCTACAGAGCACCATGATAGTTATCCCAATCTAGACCAAGGGTGGGCAATTCTGAGGGCCAATGAGCCACGTATAGTCAACAACACCATCTCTGTAGCCTTTGAAGTCACCTCATGCTAGCAGGTTTCTACCATAAACTATACTGGTTTATGAGCACAAAACGGAAGTGCTGCCGCTGCCTTCAGCTAAGTTTTTCTGGCCCCTGAGACCCTACCTATTTTGGTGGCGGCGGCCAGTGACTGGGGTCCTTTTGCCGCTGCCGCTGCTGCTGCCTTGTATGTGAGTCGACCCTTAGCTGACTTCCTATTTAAAGGTCTGGAAGTTTATAAACAGGAAGATCAGCAGAAACGGCCTCTTTGCCAGGCACTCAAGCCGTTTTGTGGCGATGACCCATTTCCAAAGCTGTTTTGTTTAATTGAGGCCAGGTGCCATGTTTTTCCACATGAGGCAAATCAAGCAAGGCACCCACCAGGCGTTTAGGAATCGCAGCCTTGACAGGGGGAGATAAAGAGCTGGCAGCTTATCCAGATAAAGGGAAGCTGTAGCTCTTTTCATTCCTAGTTTGGTCAAAAGTGGTCCTTGAAGAATGTGGGTAAGGTGGGAAGTTTTAAGACCATCATATAATGAGAAGCAGAGGGAATGTTTATGGAGGGGCAAATGCATTCCTCTTGTTTCCTTTTACAGGGTGAAGAAATTTTTCTGGATATGTTTGAAGATGAATACAGAAGCATGACTGTAAGTAATTCATGAGATGGCCATGTGGATGGAGAGGGGCAAAAGGGAATGTTAACATGTCTGATCTTAGAGTACCACACTTTAAAATAATAATAATCTGGAGGCTAAACAATAATTGTGTGCACACATGTGTAGAAATGTTAAAATACTCAGAACTCATAGATTTATAATGTGTGAAGTTATCAAAATTCCACAGCATTTGCTTATCATACATAACAACGTCTTAGACAAGGCATGGAATATCAGCACAGTGGTAAATATGGCAAATTATCATTTGGTCTGACCTAACAGGCTTTACAAGATGGAAAAGTTCCATGTACACAATTTTTTGTTGTCTGACGTAGTATAGTTAGCTAGTTTTTAACTATTATTATTTTAATAGTTAGCTACTTTTTAACTATTATTATTTTAACAACCTTTCCGCAGGAAGAGGGTGGGGAAATAGTATTAAAGGTACAGTTGATTTTAAGGTTGCGCTTGGGTTTATGTCACATGTTAAGTGTGAAATTCCTTTCCCAGCTTAAGCCCATGAATGTCGAGTACTTGATGATGGATGCCTCCATTCTGCTGCCGCCAACAGGAACCCCTCTCACTGGGATTGACTTTGTGAAGAGGCTGCCCTGCGGAGATGTGGAAAGAACGCGGAGGGTGAGGTTTTTTTAATTCAGCACATTTTTATCCCCCTTTCCCTCCCTCAAATGTGCTCAGAGGTGTGGGTGTGTGAAGAAGCCTTCCCCAATCTGGTGTCCTTCAGGTGGCTGGGGCTGCAGTTCCCATCAGCCCAGGTAACTACTGTTTCGTAGAATTCTTCAGTGTGGTGGGTGGATATATAATTGCTTCAAAAACCCATCTTATTTCGAATGAATATATGTAAATGAAAATATCAAATGCTGTGGAACAGTGCTCATGTAATAATGAAGAATTCTACGAAAGAGTAGTCAATATCCGGAATCACTGTTCAGTGTTGGACATCATATTGGCTGAATACACAAAGCTTCACAGCTTGCCTTTCATCGTACAAAGTCTGGTACCTCGCTTCATTTAAAGATTTTCAGAGACTTTTAGACTAAAGATTTCATTTTGGACTTGTTATGGTTTGAAGGAATTCTATAAAAGATTGTCTATTGAATAGGTACATGGTCATCGTGTTGCCTAGACATTGCTGACGTTCTCTTTGCAACACAGGGGTTTGTTTGTCACCTCTGCTTTCCAGCCTATCCTCTTAAGAGCTGGCATAGGGCAGAAAGGACTGTGGCTGCACTGCCCTTGGCATCCTTTCTTCCTGTAGAAGCTGCCATGGGGACAGGATCAAGGCAGCAAGCCTGTGTTCTCTTTCCCCCAGTAGTTTCGTTGTGTTTTTTGCAAGGCTTGGCTGGGAAAGAGCTAAGAGAGTGTTGGTAGCATTAGTCGCTGCCATGCCATGGAGTCCTGTTGATTAACCAGAAGGGAGAAAAGAAAGCCACACTTCTTACTCTCCTAGAAAGCCCCACATTTGCTACAAAATTTGGGAGCAACACATCCAGCTGTTCTGACATGGGTGTGTGTTGGGGTTGATGATTGCTGGCATTTGACTTCTTGGTGCAATCAGGCCCTAGATAAACAATAAGCCAGAGAGTTACAGAGGTGTCCTCACCACCACCTAGAGATCTTTAGAGAGGTCCCATGTTGCTCTTTGCACAACAGACAGGTTAAGCACACCATTTACATTTTCCAGTTGCTTCTTGACACCTCTCTGATAACATCCCCAGAAGTGAAGGGAGGATCTGGAGATGCTCTGAAAAAGAAAACTCTTCTGTTTGTCCTAGTAGGGTTTGTTTGTTTGTTTCTTAAGGTGTTTGCTAGATCAGCAAACCATGTTCTTCTGACTGTGAGGCTCCTGGTGAGCTGAACAACCTGTACTCAAATAACCTTCCGTTTGGAGCTCTAGCTAGGAAATTGATTTGTTTCATTTTCTGCAGAAAACACAATACCACATAGATGTGCTTGCTTCCGTTGTATTGATGGCACACTCCAGTTTAGGCCGCTTTCATCCTTTCAGCGTACATAGAATTGCTGTATCTTCAGGGAGGAAGAAATGAATTAGCGACAACATCTTTTTTTTCTTTTTGGTCTTGAGAACTTTCTTGGAAATACCAGCAATCAAGACGGCCTTTCTAAGCTCTTCTGTTTATTCTGCCTTGTCACTTCGAGACACAGGATGTATCTCTTATCTAGTTTGCTTGCACTTCTTGGAAAGCCAGGGACCCTTATTCCTAGAACAGAACTTTGATTCCTTTTGAGGCACTTCTGATTAGCTAGCAGAGTTGTTTTCTGAAGTTCAGAAACACTTTTTTTCTTCTTCTGTGTGAGCCTTGGGCCAATCCATCCTGATTTCCAAAGCTAATGCGCTTATCTTTTAAAGCAGGCAAAGCTAGACCAGCTGTTTGAAGCTTTCTCCTTTAACCTGTCATCTCTCTGCTGAAACAAGTGGTGGTGGTTGCCTTCCTCTTCATGCCCAAAATTTGTGCTTAAAAACAAAGGTTGCATTCCAAGGATTCATTTCTTTTTTTAAAAAAAATATTATTATTATTGCATTTTGTCTATAGAAAGCCACAAACCACTTCCTTCTTGTAGAGCCCTTTAGGGCTTATTGCTTTGACTGACACAGGCGAATGCTCCAGTTGCCCCCTTTCCTAAGTAAAAATGAGCCTGGCTGAGGTTATTCAGGCTCAATTTATGATGCGAGGCTTTCACCAGAAGGTTCTCGGAAACTAGAATTGGTTTCAGAGGCAACCGCCAGGCCTGTTAGCTGCAGAAAAAACAAGGTTCAATTAAAGAAAACAAACAAACAGGTTCACTGGCTGCCAATGAATTTCCAGATACTGCCAATGAATTTCTAGATACTGCTGTTGATTTTCAGAGCCCTATATATTATCTGGATACAGAAAGCATAAAAAAACTACACTCTCCTGCAAAAAATAGGAAACCTACTCATAGTTAAAGATATTCCCTGGAGTCCCTGTAGCAGGTCCCTTCAGCAGACCCTTCAAGTAAACCTCCTTTTTGGCCAGATGAAATCACCATTGGGTGATTATTTGCCTCCTCCTCTTCCACTGCTAGGGCTGCTAAAAAGAAATATTTATTTCCAGTACAACAAAGCCAGGGTAAGGAGTGATTCTCCATTCTCCATTAGCCTTCACCTGGCAGGGCCTTGTCTAAGATGGGATAGCAGCAGTGCCCCATGATTCCATGATTCTTGTAAATGTTAGAGGAGGGGGGAAAACTAGGACGGATGGTGGTCAGGAATCCCATTGCTCCCCATAGGTTGTACAGTGGCATTAAGATCTGTGTGCTATCAGCAAGCCCCACTTGCCTAGGGAACAACTGGAAGCTCTTTGCCTCTCACATGTATGATGTCGTATGATGTCAGGTGTGGGGCAGGGGGACTTGGTATGGGGGAAATGTCCTCAGTGGCCAAATTGCCTACAGGCCAGAGGTCCCTACCCTAATCTAAGGCAGGTTTAGGTTTATTATTATTATTATTATTACTATTATTACCTTTAAAAAGAAAGAATCAGCTTTTTTCACTTGTGTTTTCAGGCAATCAGAGTCTTCTTCATGATGCGGTCCCTGTCGCTGCACCTCCAGGATGAGCCAGAGACTCAGCTGCCGTTGACGAGGGAGGAGGACTTAATTAAAACTGACGACGTCCTAGACTTGAGTGAGTAAACAGTGGCACTTGGAATGAGGCCAAAAGTGCATTCTCCAAAGAAAGCCATTCAAAACCTCAGGGGGAGAAAAATAAGGATTAACAAGACAGTGCTGAACTGGAATGCCTAGCTTCTCGGTCCTGTTGGGGTTTGCTAAACCCCTCTTTTTCTTACTCAAAAAGGGAGAGAGGAGTTTTTGCAAGAATAACTTGAGTTCCCTGCTCTTCCAAAGACTGGGCCTTTGCAAAGCTGCCCACAATGCATAATAAGATCCCTATGGTTTTCCTTTGTCCCGAAGAATGTTAGGAGCCTCCTAGTTGAAGCGGTCGAGCTTAGAAGAGACTTGCAATTTTTTTTTTGGAGTGGGAACAAGTAAAGAATGTTGGGAGATCTCCACACCTCTTGGCTCTTCCACTCCTAGTCTCCACCCAACTCCCAAGAGCTTCTGGAGGTGACCACGTTGTTGAAGTCTGCCATATTATCATCCTGGCTGCCTAAGTTGGGTTCAGTGGTGATGCAAATGGCGAAGCAGTTCTTAAAGTGAGGGGTATCTGAGCTAGGAGAAGAGGGCTGGTTTCCCCTCACAAATGGGCAAGTAGGGGCATTTTTTATTTGTGAGGGTCTTTATCTTTGTTTTTGACGGGAGGGTTAAAAAAACCTGTTGCCAAAGTAACACTAACTGGAAGTCATGAATACCCAAAATAGCCATACGACATTCTGGTAATGCCCCGCTCTTTTGTTATGAAAATAAATTGCGTTTGCTGGGAAATCTAGAGTCCTTGTTTCCATCTTGGCACATGCAATACATATTAATAGAAAATGTCAGTCATATTTGGTATTTCAAAGAATTAATCTTACTGTAATGGCTGTTCTAGGCAGTTGAGCCTTAAGTCAATTCCTCTGGCCCTCCCTCGGCCAGCGACATTGAACAAGCCCAGCTGCTCCAGCTCACTTGAATAAAACAGCGATGTAGTTGTGAGAGATCTCAGTTCCACCCGCCCCACTGCACAGGCTTCTGGAAGAGGCATTGGTACTCCCAATCAAAATATCAGGATCTGTAGCCACAGTGAGCATGTGCTATTCCGAGATCAAAGTCTGCTGAAAGCTAAATTCCATGGTTGATGTTACTCGCACTTGGAAGCCGACCCATTGAAATTAATGGATCTAGATAACATTGTAGGGTAGATAACTTGAGACCGGATTACCTAAGGGGCCAGCTTGCCCCTTATATCCCCGCTTGGCAACTGCACAGCTCAGATGGGGCACTGCTGAGAGTACTGCATGTCCCAGAGGTGGGCTTAGTCTGTACTAGAAATTGGTCTCTTGGTGCTGCGGCTCCAGTCCTCTGGAATTGGTTACCAACTGGAATTAAACAGGTGCCCAGCATTGTGATGTTTGGATGCCTACTGAAGACTGTTTCACGTTTTTCCTGAGACGTGACCTAGTCATATATGAAATACTAAGTGTAAATCCACGGGAATGGTTTCCTTGTTTTAAGAATTTGTATTCTTTGTATTTTATTTTTGCTGTACATCGCTTTGGTGTCCTTTGACTTGTCAAGCAGTTCATAAATTTGTAATATAAATAAATGTCAGTCCACTGATTTCAGAGGGCCTGCTCTTGAGTATGACTTTTATCACCCCATGCCAAGAATCGCTAGGAAAGGAATAGAAAGTAAATGAAACAGCCAATGTTTTAGTTCCCATATATAACACTATGTTGCAGCTACCTTTTTAAATACTGTGTACGATTCTTGACACTGTCTCAAAAATGGCACCCTAGAATTTTTTTTAAAAAGATATTTGAAATTATCTCAGGTGGTTGGCGTACTTTCCCGGTGAGGAAAAGGGAACATGTTTAGAAAAAGTGGACAGAGAAAAGTTTTTATCCTCTCTCAGAACACTAGAACTCATGAACATGCAGTGAAGCTGAATGATGGAAGATTTAGGACAGATGAAGAAAGTCCTTCACGCAGCACATAGTTAAGCTGTGGCACTCACTCTCACAGGAGACAGTGATGGCCACCAAGTTGGATGGCTTTAAAAGAGGATTAGAAAAATTCATGGAAGAGAGGACTATCAGTGGCTTCTACCCACGATGGCTCTGCTCTGCCTCAACAGTAAAAAGTTAAAGGGACCCCTGACCACTAGGTCCAGTCGTGACCGACTCTGGGGTTGCGGTGCTCATCTCGCTTTATTGGCCAAGGGAGCCGGCGTACACCTTCCGGGTCATGTAGCCAGCATGACTGAGCCGCTTCTGGCGAACCAGAGCAGTGCACAGAAACGCCGTTTACCTTCCCGCCGGAGCGGTACCTATTTATCTACTTGCACTTTGACGTGCTTTCGAACTGCTAGGTTGGCAGGAGCAGGGACCGAGCAATGGGAGCTCACCCCATCGTGGGGATTCGAACCACCAACCTTCTGATCAGCAAGTCCTAGGCTCTGTGGTTTAACCCACAGCGCCACCCGCGTCCCACCTCTACAGTGGGAGGTAGTAAAGCTTCTGAATGCCAGGTGAGAGAGCTCTTGTGCTCCACTCCTGCTTGCAGGATATTTATAGAATTTTGCATGGTGGAAATGAAGGATAAAGAAAGAATTTTCTCCCCTCCCTCTCTCATAATTCTAGAACGTAGGTTCCTCCATTTAAATGGACTGGCAGTAGATTTAGGAGAGAGGAAAGCACTTCTTCACCCAACACAGGACGGATTCGTGGAATTTGCTACCACAAGACGTGGAAATGGGCATGAGTTTCTGCTACAAAGGGAGCGCTGAAATGTCTTGGAGTCAACACTTTGTTTTGCGATGTGCTGACAACATCTGTGCACATCTGTTAGCACAAGACGTGGAGCATGACTGTGAAATTGCTGTTTGGAGAATAGGCAACGCATTGCCAATTAGATGTTATTTAGGGAAATGTCAAGGCTGAATTGACACCATTTCTTATGGTCCTAGGAATTGTGTGCATTTGAGTTTTTAGCCTTGGTTCTGTCAGGAAATGAACTCCCTGTGCAGAATTTAAGTAAGCAGCTTGTAAGCTAACGGGAAATGTGATTATAATCTATCTGTCGGGTATTTTATATGGGTGTTCTTAAAGCAAATCAAATTGCAATATTCTTTTTTGGCTTTCAAATGTAATGGTGTCGTCGTTTCCTGCATATTGATTGTTTGATTGGTACCTGCCTCCCCCTGCTTCATTGATGCAGTTTAATGTATATTCCTGTAACCTTCCTCTGTTTTTATAGAACAATCACAATTGAGCTATGAGGCATTAAAGTGCATTTCGCAGTTCAGTTTTCCAATGTCTCTTGTCTAAACGCACACAGTTCCCCAGCCCCCTGATATTTTTGCCATTGCAAAGATTAAATATCAGATTGGTCACTTTTCCTGGAAATTCACATTATTTATAGTCTGTGGAGACTAGCCATTTTCCCCCACAGAGATTTTGCTGTAGGTTTAGATAATGGGGTGGGGGGAGAGAGATGCTTTCATTGGTCTAGCCCGGACTTTACAACACTTTACATTACTTGGGGACCAGTTGGAGATGGAGGTTTTTCTGTGGCACCTCCTACTTGTGAGCTTGCATCCCCACCCAAAAGGCTGCTCCTATACATGCAGAGCATGTTTACGGTTGCTTGGAGCACCAGATGTCCCTTAACGAGGAACAAAAAACTATGTAGTTTGGCCGGCTTACCCCTCCTTTCCAAGGAAATGGGTGTACACTTAGCTTGGTTGTATTGCAGAAGCACAAACACATTATTTCAGTCAGTATGTAATGCACCTCTCCTTAATAGGAAGGGGACGCATCAGGACATTTTGGACTTTTCAGTTAAGAACAAAAGGCAAGTAAGAGGAGACGTGATCGAGATATATAAAAATATGCATGTTGTGCAGAAACCGGACAGAGAAAAGCCTTTCTCCCTCCCTCACGGTACTAGAATTTGTGGACATCCAGGGAAGGTGAACGTTGGAAGATTCGGGGCAGACAAAAGAAACTGCTTCTTTGCAAAACACGAGTTAAACTGTGGACTTTGTTTCCACAAGTGGTAGTGCTGGCCCTCAAGGTGGATGGTTTTTAAAAGAGAACTAGACAAAGTAATGGAGGGCAAGGATCTCAGTGGCTGCTAGCCGCGATGGCTAGACTCTACCTCAACCGTCAGAGGCAGCTAGACTCTGAATACCAGTGACTGGAAATCACAGCAGGGGAGAGTGCTGTTGTGCTCAGGTTGCACTTGCTTCCAGGACAGCTAGGGCTGCTGTGTGTGGGTCTCTGCGTGGGGCCTTAACACACAAGGGATTTATTCCCAGAAAAGCATCATTGCAGCCATCCACAACCTATTGTCCACCAAATATTGTTGGATTCCAACGCCTATCATCCCTAGCATGGCAAACTGTCAAGGGATTATGGGAGTAATAACAATAATAATATATTCATATCCTGCCCATCTGGCTGGGTTTTCCCAACCACTCTGGGCGGCCCCCAACAGAATATTAAAAATATGATAAAACATCAAACATTTTAAAAGTCCCTATACAGGGCTGCCTTCAGATGTCTTACAAAAGTCAGATACTGTAGTTGTTGATTTCCTTGACATCTAATGGGAGCATGTTCCATAGGGTGGGCGCCACTACCGAGAAGGCCCTCTGCCTGGTTCCCTGTAACTTCGCTTCTCGCAGTGAGGGACTGCCAGAAGGCCCTCGGCACTGGACCTCAGTGTTGTGGTCCAGAGACATCTGGAGGGCACCAGGTTGGAGAAGGCTGTATTGAACAATGTAGCAAGAAAAAATGCGTGCAGTAGATTGGTGTAGATGTCAACAAAACTAGTTGAGAATATGAAAGCACTACAATCAAAGGTACCTCTTGAGAATATTGTTTTCTAGGAAAGTAACCAATTGCCTCTGATGATGCTTCCTCTCCCCTCCCCTCCTTTTTCCATTTCAGATAACAGTGATTTAATTGCCTGCACTGTGATCACAAAAGATGGCGGTCAAGTCCAGAGGTTTCTGGCAGTGGATATTTACCAAATGAGTTTGGTGGAGCCGGACGTTGCCCGCTTAGGCTGGGGAGTGGTGAAGTTTGCAGGTCTTCTCCAGGTGAGTGTAAAAGATGGTAAGGTTTAAAGCAGCAAGTATCATGAATCAAACCTTGTGCTCTAGGGGGATGAGGCATCAAAACAAGGTGCATCCTTGGTCACCAGTGGTGAACAAAGATTGCCTTAAGGCAGTGAGGCACAAGCCTTACTCCCAAGTTGAGCAAAACCACTCTGCCTTGCTGTGTTTCTCCTGCAAGTGGAGGGGTTTGGGGCAGACACAGGACCTTCTGAATTGTTTGCGTGGCATTCACTGAGTGGTAGAGCATCTACTTTGCATGCCGAATGCCCCAGGAAGGGCTATGAAAGACCCCTGCCTATATCCCATAAAAGCCTTTGCCAGACCAGTGTATACAATACTGTTCTTGATGGACCCAATGGTCTGGCTCAGCTTCCTGGGGTAATAGGCAGATTACTTAATTGAGGCTTGTCCCAGCAAAATGTATTTATAATATTAATAATAATTTATTATTTATACCCCGCCCATCTGGCTGGGTTTCCCCAGCCACTCTGGGCAGCTTCCAACAAAGTATTAAAACACAGTAGTCTGTTAAACATTAAATACAGTGGACTTTATGTCTTACCTTGTGTGTCGCAGAACATGTGATTTAAATACTACTACTAGGGATACATTTTCAGAACAGGGTTCTGTGAGAAAGCATTTCTGCAATGTACGGAAGTTCCTTTCTGCCACACTTCCCTCCCTGTCAGAGTAATATTCATTGCCTTTGCTGCCTTGGCTACCTTAACGGAAAACTCTTCGTTCCACATAAGTTCATTAGTAACAATGAATGCCACAAATGCGATATCAGGCATACTTAACCATTTCAAAGCTTTGTTTACTAAACACATGTAAAATGAATGTGCCAAATTAGATCACTCTCCACGGCATTAGAAAAAAATTTCCAGTGCAAACTGGACATTTTCAGGTGCAAATTGGCCCGATTTGCATAGGGATTTTTTTTCCAGGAAACCCACTGCACTGCATGCACTGCTTGACACCAGTTCTGACCCATGCAAAAGCTGCCTCCCCCCCCCCCCCGTGGGGTCAGCTGTGAGTAATGATCTGGAGACAGCACAGATTCTGAGGAGAGTTACCTATAAGACTGTACAGCAATGCTAGGAGGCTTCATGGAAACACCATCTGGTGCAGACGTTGCTGGACTCCAACTCCCATCAGCCTAGGTCAGCATGGCCAGTGCTCATGGACAATGGGATTTGTCGTATAACAACAGGGTCAAATGTTCCCCATCCCTCGTTTAGCGGATCCCAAAGAAGCTGGCGGATCCATCTCTCACAGCTCAGTCAGCTGGACTTTGAGGAGTGGTTCCCACTCAGAAAATTCCTCTTAATCCTAGGCATACTCAGCTGGGAGTTAGACTGACACAGCTAAAACAGGTCGAGTCAGGACTCATTTCATATGAGGCTTGGCTGGAACCTCAGTCTCTGTGCTGGTTGCATCTGCGCCTGTGTTTTGGCAAGGAATCTCCTCGTCCTCAATGCCCCTTCCTTTTGAGAACCTGAAATGTGAAGCAGCCTGAGCCACACCACTCAGTCTGTCTAGCCCGTCTACATTGAAAGATGCTGCTAGACAAAGGACTTGCAGGAGGGGGGTCTTACCCAGCCCTGCTATGGGAAATGCTGGTAAATGGGACCCTGACCCCCTCCTACATTGAACATTTTGAGCTCTGCCATTGAGCTGTAGTAGAGCCCATCCAGTTCTCTCATACCTTCCTAGGCTCCAACTTTATCCTTGGGTGAGCATGGTGCTGTGGCAAGAAACTGGGTCTTAATTCTATCTCTGCCATAAACATTCTTCTCTACTTTCCCACCTCCACCCCAGGATATGCAGGTGACCGGAGTTGAAGACGACAGCCGTGCCCTGAATATCATCATTCACAAGCCAGCCTCCAGCCCCCATTCCAAGCCCTTCCCCATCCTTCAGGCCACCTTCATCTTTTCGGATCACATCCGTTGCATCATTGCGAAGCAGCGCTTGGCAAAGGGCCGCATCCAGGCTCGGCGTATGAAAATGCAAAGAATAGCAGGTAACTCTCGCTCTCCGGATAAACGTACCGTGTTTCCTTGCCGCTTGTAAAGTTGCATTGCTTTACACTGGGGAAAGGGAACCTCGGGACCGGGGCCAAATGCAGCCCATCAGGCCTCTCTTCCTGGCCCTTGGGACTCTCCCTAGGTTACACCTCTCGCCAGCCCTTCTTTGCACCCTTATTGGGTGTGTGTGGTGCCTGGCTGGAATACGTCATTGAACTCTGATTATGTTGCTTTGCTCCCTGGACGGAGGGGGATAGAAAGGGTTGGGTGAGTAGAGACCTGTCTCCTTGTAGGAAAGTAAAATTTACATTCATTGTTCCGCCTGCTTTTGCTTCTGGCCTTGCCCACCACTGGCATGTGGACTCTGAAAGGTTGCACAGAAGAGAATGCTTTTGTGGGGATGAAAAAGGCCCCTTATCCCTGATTTCCGGCTTGGTAACTGAAAGCAAAGCTGCGGGAGGCACTGGAAGACAGGAGTGCCTGGCGTGCTCTGGTCCATGGGGTCACGAAGAGTCGGACACAACTAAAAAAACAACAACAATTGAAAGCAAAACAAGCATTGTATAGAAAAGGAGAACAATGTTGCGTACATGGTAAAAGTCTATACCTGTAACATCCATAGTAGTGCTCTTTTCATACCCGCAAGCTTAAGTTATTTACTCACATGCTGTTGCACAACTACATTCACTTTAGTGGGATTTGCATAAGAGGACTGCCCAGTGAACTTTGAACCTGCTCCCCGCTTGCTGTGCTGCCCTTAACAGCCCCCAAATCTGCTGCCCGGCATTCAAAAAATAAAAGTAAAAACAGCATGTACCATCATTCTACATGTCCATTAATTTCAATGGGCCTACTCTGAGTAGGACTAGCATGGGATACATGCTAGCATTGGTTGCAGCGTTAACATCATTAGTTTTGTAAACTTCCAAAAACGCTCAGCATTGATTCCCCAGTACCAAAAGACACTGCAAAATTGTCATCTTCCTCATAATCAAAAGTTGGCTTTTCCCAAAAATTTGTTCCCTCCCAATTATGTACTGTTTTGTTTGTTCTTGGCAACTGTCTTGTAGCAAATGCAAGGGTGATGCGGGAAGCCTGTGTCCCTCCAGATGTATTTTTTGGCTGGCTCCAATTCCCGTCAGCTCAGGCCAGCCTGGCTGGTGGTCAGGGATGAGCAGTGCTGTAGCCCATCCACACCTGCAGGACACCACATTCCCCATCCCAGATCGGAGTGAATTCTTCCCATCAAGTGTGATAATATCAAAACTCCCATTCCGTGGAAAGATTGCAACAATCTGAATTCGGAGAATTGCCACAGCTGCAAGGGCCATTTATTTATTTATTTATTTATCGTCTGTCTATCTATCTATCTATCTATCTATCACATCCCAAGGAATAAAACATGTGTGAAACAGTTACATATAGAAAAACAGTTAAAATACTTGCAAACACAAAAGCAGTTAAGCTTTTTTTACAGATAGAAGCTTTAAAAAACATTTAAAACAACAGCAGTACGTACGTAAAACATGTTGCAGATCTAGTGCAGAAATACCAACTGGGGGATAAAGATCTCCATTTAGAAAGCTTGTTACATTTTGGTAACCCAGGGATAGGGAGTCTGTAGTCCTCCAGATGATGTTGGACTACAACTCCCATCATCCCTAGGCACGGTTTTGACAAGCTGAGTTACCAGGTTCTTCAGCTGATGTAGATTTTGAAATGTGCCTTGTTTAAACCCAGCTCTCCTAGACCTTCCGGTCCAGCCTTCAAATGAAGTGATGGGCTTTGGACATAGCTCAGCTTCTGCATCTCAGCACCTGCCGTTCCGGTTTTACGACCAAGCCCGACGTGGCAGCTGCGACCCTACTGTACAACGCTCCGTGTTTGCGTCTGTCGACAAGGTCCCAGGTAAGCCCTTCCTGGCTGGCACACTTTAAAAAAGGTCCTCTGTCATGAGATAATCAGCACCGTGGGAGAGAGAAGCTTGTGCCAACGCAGATTAGTGGTTTGATTTCTCTTGCTGCTGCTGCTGCAAATAAATAATAAGGGTTAATATAATTTTAAACTCTAAAGCATTATAGAAATACAATGCGTTCCGCATATGGCATTTATAATCCTGCAGGATAGGCGAGTAATATGTTTCAGGTGGGAGAAGCAAAGGCAGAAAGGGAGAAACTTGCCCATGACCCTCCAAAGTTTATACCAAAAGCGAGATTCAAATTCTGCACATACTCCTTCATAGCTTAAGCCAGCTTTGCCAATCTGGTGTCACCCATGAACTCCAGCCAGCACAGTTTGAATGCTTTTCTTGATACTTTGAAGGAAGTGTATTGCAGGGCAATAAATAAAAGCTAGCTCTCGTTGCCAAAAGGAAAGCCCATCTTTATTTAGCACATCTATGGTAGGATTGCAAGAGATGGAAAAGTGTTTATCTTTAAATCTCAGCCCCAACAATTAAACCAACTCAGCCTTTAGCTTGAGTTCTTGACCAGGTAAACCAATTAAAGCTTGCAGCCCTCGCAGAAAAAAAATAGATTAAGTACTGAAGTTAGCCTAATTCAAATTCAGAACAGTTGAAGTTGTTTCCCCAAATCAGCTGCAAGTTGGCTGCGTTCATGTGTGTGTACCGAGCACATAAAATCACAAAAAAGATTGAGAACAGTACATTTGCTTATAGAGGTCACGGCAGCCATCGCGTGGAAACTGTGCCGCTCTCGGCTTTCTGCTGATTAAGTTACGACGGGGTGGAGCAACTTCTACCATCTATTTGTGATTTTATGTTGTAACCACCCTGAGACCCGCAGGTATGGTGCGGTTTACAAATTTAATTAATAATAATAATACATAATTCTTCAAAACCTTCTGGAGGCTGCCTGTCAGCAATGGGTGGGAGCAGGTGCAAACGCGGGTGGACCAAGGAGTGTGACTCTTAACCGTTCGCACAGTAGCCTACATTCCAGGCGTGCAAGCCGGCCACACACACGCCCTCTCCCCATCCTCCACCCAGGCATATAAGGGGAATTACCAGAACATTTCCCAGCCAGGGAAAAGCATTCAAAGAGAGTAACAAACAGGTTTGGCAAGGGGTTGCAGTCTAGGGAGAGGAGCACGTGGTGTGGGACGAATCTGAGGGGCCAGATAGAGAAGCCCAGAGACCCACATTTGCCTGCAAGCCTCTGGTTCTCCCACCCCTGGTTTAGGGTAAAACTTTGCCCTAAATCTTTAATCATGCCTGAGAACTGGTACAGATGAGGACGACATCCTGGATGTGTTAAGACGTGCTGGGTTTCCTTGAAGTAATAACCTCTTTCTTTCCTCCTGTGTCAATCCACCTTTTGGTTTTGTTCCCTTTACGTGCAGAATTTGTACCTAGTGCTGTGCAGCGAATTTTATTTATGTTCTAATCCCATGCGTTCATCTTCTGGTATCTCAATCCAGTAACCTCTCAAACCACATTTACTTGGGAGTTAGCCCCATTTTCTTGCGCTTGGGGGGTGGGGAGTATGCCTAGGATAGCACTGTTAGATTTCTGTCCCATTGGCACCTTATAACTCTGTGTCTCCCCCTTCCTTACTTGTTTTTTAATTCCTATTCCAGGCAAGGACTGTCATTTCTGCATTGCTACATAAACATTGCATAGTCCTGGATTAAATTTGATTTTAGCCTCGTAGCGCTAGGTTGCCAGTGCTGCAGTGCAGCCTTTGTATATTATTTGTGTATTTACCCAGGACACTATCCCTTTCTCATGCAGGGCTGCTCTTATCACCAGCTGCCCTGTTGAAAGGATCCTGGTGACATTTTATAACATTGATTTTGTTTATTTTACTTTTTTAAAGTAGCTTAACACTATTTGTAAACTGCCTTAAAAGGATTTGTATATTAAAATGCAGGATATAAATATTCTTTCCCCTGATATAAATATTTTTTATAATAAATCAAAAAGAATTTTGGTGTTGGGAGGAACCTAGAGGGTCATCGAACCTCCTGGCTGGGATGTGTCATTGTTGAGTGTGTGTGTGTGTGTGTGTGTGTGTGAATGTGTTTAGGTTAATTGAGGTGCAGACATGTGTTAGTAGATGTGGATATTGAGCGACTATACTGAGTGAACGAAATTCTGTGTTTTGGAGTTTGATATATTTTATTATTTATGGAGGTTGATCATTTCCCACACTGCATTCAATCTTTAATATATTACATAGTCTTTTTTACTTTGTAAGCTGCTTAATTATCTTTTCTGATGAAAAGGGGTGCATAAATACTTTAAATAATAATAATAAGCGTTCTTTTTATATTGTGTACGAGTATGTGGGGTTGCTTGGCATAGATCCTGGATTTGCATAATTTTGTGACATGTCCTGTGTTTCCAATCTGTATTGCATCCTGGGCAGAGTAAAAGTTTTGTAAAGGCTGTTAGGTAGGCATGGCATTGAGAAAGCGGACAGAGAGAAGTTTTATCCTTCTCTCTTGATGTTAAGAGCCCAAGACCGTCAAATGAAGCTGGTGGGAGATTCAGGAGAAGAGGAGGTTGAGGGGTGATATGATGGCCATGTTCAAATATATAAAAGGATGTCACATAGAGGAGGGAGAAAGGTTGTTTTCTGCTGCTCCAGAGAAGCGGACACGGAGCAATGGATCCAAACTACAAGAAAGAAGATTCCACCTAAACATTAGGAAGAACTTCCTGACAGTAAGAGCTGTTCGACAGTGGAATTTGCTGCCAAGGAGTGTGGTGGAGTCTCCTTCTTTGGAGGTCTTTAAGCAGAGGCTTGACAACCATATGTCAGGAGTGCTCTGATGGTGTTTCCTGCTTGGCAGGGGGTTGGACTCGATGGCCCTTGTGGTCTCTTCCAACTCTATGATTCTATGATTCTATTCTATGATTCTAAAGGATGAAGTGCACACCTGAACTGTGGAATTCACTGCCACAAGATATAGGGAATTAGGTAAAATAATGGAGCATGCAGCTATTGATGGCTACCAGTTGTGACTGCTGGCATTGGAGGCTGTATGCCTCTGTCGCTGGGGACTGCAAGCAGAAGAGGGGTATTTTCTGATATCCTGCTTGTGGGATTTCCAGAGGCCACTGGTTGGCTGCTATGGGAGCAGCTCTGGACTAAATAGGCCTTTGGTCTGATCCAGCAGGGCTCTTCCTCTTTTAAGTTCTGACTTGTTTTGCAGAAGAGGTTTCAATGTCAGCATTGCTTCCAGTGAAGCCCTACCCTGAGCTATGGTGGCACCTGGAGGAGTGATTTATACATGGTCACCTCCGTAGAAGGCCTGGTCCCTTTCTGTTCTGCTCTAGAAACATTTATTCAAGGATATGGGACTGAGAAGAGGGAGCCCACGCCCCTTTCCCCAGTGATTGGTTTTACTCCTCAGGCCAAACCTGCAGGAGAGTAAGCCAGCAACTTGCGCTTTTTAAACTTGTGCGCGTTCAGCTTTCTGTGTGTGGCATAAAATAAAATAAAAACTAAAAAAGGGGGCAGGAAAAATGACTGGCAATGCCACCTGCCATTGAACCCAACGGGTTTTGACTATACATGATTTTGGTTTTAGGCGCAATCCCAGGAATGTAACCCCCGCCTAAGTTGCTGGCCTACTGTGTCATACATCCCACAAGTTGATCCTGCAGCAAACATCTGAGTCACAGACTTGAGCTACGTTCAGGTGCAGCTGCTGTTTCAGGGCCTGCCTTGAGCCGAGAGACGCGCTGGTGTCAGGATGCCCTCTGTCCCGCCAGATCTGATGTGTAGCGAGCTGTGTGCACTGTTAGCTTCTACTGGTTTCTTTCAGCGGAAGTGACTCCGGCTCTTTTTAGGAGGAGGAATGTTGCATTAGCCAAAAATAAAAGTCAAGATTGCTGTTAACTTTTCTTCCTGCATTTGTATTCCACCTTGTCTCTAGTAAGCTCAAGGTGGTGTACATGGCTCTCCCTCCTCCATATTTATCCTCCCAACAGCCATGTGAGCTGGGATTTGGTGGTTATTCAGTGGTCTTCATGAATTGTAGAGATTGGAGACCTGGTCTCCTGGATCCACCTTCTGCTTCAGATTTGGGGTGTAACTGGAACAGGAAGTGGCAATGTCCAGCCACAGTGAGGTCTGGCCGTTCCCCACCTGCAGCGGGTCTGCTAACCCTTCACCAAGGTTAGAGTTGACCCCCCCCTTCCTGCAGCGTGCATCTCACCAGTGCTGCAACTGGTGACTTGGCACCTGCATTTTTGAAGCTCAGCTTTCCCCTAGACTTTATTTCCTCTGTGATTTCAAAACCCATCTTTTATGATCCTTTCGCTATAGAGTTTTTTTTTAGGAGGAGAGTTGTGGCATGGTGTCCACTTGGCACTGCAGGAGGGGCAGTTCTGATAAAGGCTTAGTTGTACTGCTGCTTTCTGAACCAAGGCATGTACTTCTCAGCCCTGGGTGAAAAGGACTGACAGCGTCAAACGTAATGTCTATGCTTCTGGCAAGTGCTCTTTGAGAGATAAATTAGCGTACCTGGTTAAGCTGTCAACTGAAGCCATGAGTGATGTGACACAGTGGAACCATGGAAAAAAGCGCAGAGCATGATAACTGGATGCAAAAAAATTGACTTCTTAAGAAGCCTGGGGCGGGGGGGGGGGGGTAGCAGCTCTTAAGGCTCCACAAATATGCTTGAAAATGTGTGGGCAGTGTTTGTTGAAAGAAGCCAGAGAAGCAGCTGAATCATGATTTTGGTGAACTAAGTCGTAGCAGGCGGGGTGGGTGTCTTCAGTCTCTTTGCCTTGAGACTAGCAAAACCAAACGAAATGTATGCAAACTGAAAGCTGTGCAACTTTGCAGCTCTGATACAGGCAGCAGATTTCAGTTTTTTGTCCTGGCCCAGAACTTCAACTTTAATTTGCACATCACTTGTGCACAGCCCTGACAGCAGTCAACAGCCCGGTCTAGACCCTAACCTGCCTGGCCCAACAAAACATGATTTAGGAATGGAAACAGGCAAGGTACAGTACTCTTGCACCTCTATCCTCCTCCTGCAGCCGAGCACTTTTCTCATTTGTTAAACCAAAGTTTTCCACGTTATGTCCAAAGTGATAAACCATGGTTTAAGCCCGTGGTGTGTAACCTCCAATTTCCAGTCTTGCCTATTGGTTTATTGGTTTATTTATAAGCATTGATAAACGTCTTAATACTTCAAAAATCTCCAAGTAGTCCTAAGTGGAAGAGGTCCTAATTTGGCCCATGAGGACATTTTCCACAAACCACTTGCCACCTGCCAATGTGTAAGAAGCAACGAGCCAGGACTTGGTTCGATTGCCGAAGCGTTTTGCTCTGCACTTGCTCACAGGTTTCCTCTATCAGCCTTTCAAAAGCGTGAGAGCTAAGCGTTGGCTTAAGGAAAATCCTGCGCATAAGACTTTCCATGCCACATGGCGCATGCTTTCGGCCCATATGGGAAGGTATGGTTTAGGAAGTTGTGCCATGGTCCGAGCAGATTGATTACATGAGAGTCAATCTCTTTTGCAAGCAGGGGCACAAAGGAAGAAACTTCCCAAAAGTGACCACGCCCACCATCATCACCACCACCACCACCAACACATCCGGCTTCCTTTCTGGAGGAAGAGATAGTCGAGACAACCCGCTGTTGATATTGTTGGAGGAATTCTGCAGAGTGGGAAGAATAAATAACTGTTCTTAAAAAAAAAAAAAAAACCAGAGTGGAAAATTTGATATGTACCAGAGACTTGGAACAGTGAAAAGCACAAATTGCTTTTATTAAAGGAATTGGGCAGTGGATAAAATTTGTGTGTGGGGGGGGAAGAGGTTGGGTAAAGGCAGAGATTAGAAAATACAGATATTGGGTTATAAATTGGAGGCTGGGGACAGGGACCAGATGCAGAGAACATAGGACAGAGTTGGGATGGCACATTCTGCCTGCCTTAGCATGTGTTCTGCCGCTGAGCCGTGGGTCCTAGGCATGGCATGGGGCCATTTGGCCCACACATTGTTGCCAGTTCTGAGCCCCTCTTTAACCCTGCTGTTAACGATGCGATGATTTTAAATTGTTCCGCTGTCCTGCCCTGAGGAGTACACTCACAGTGACTTGAAGACTGGCGGGGTGGGGTGGGGGGAAATTATGTAACTAAATCTGCTACTTCGCAAGAATTTACCGAGCTGCCTGCCCGGCTGGGATACTTAAAATATCCTCATTCTCATTAATTGTGATGGTGTTGCTTTTAAAGGAAAACAGTTTGAACAGGGCTGTGGCTGGGCCTGTTTTTTTTAATTGCGAACAGGAACCCTGTTGTGTTCGCAGCAGTGTTGCACAAGACTTCCACAGAAGTTATAAAAGCCACCATAATTCATCTGGCAGGTGCTTGTCAAAGTACCTTTGCACTGCCCAATCTCTACATGATATCCAAATGAGCTCTTCCGAAGAAAAGCCGGACACAGATAGAATGTTCTCTGTGTCTTTTGTGTAAGATAATAACAATTCCTGTTTCTCAATTAGCCTTGCATTTCACTAGGTTTTATAACGCTTGGCTTTATGGTGTTAGGTTGCGGCGTGCTAATCACCTTTGAAGTTAACTGAAATAGCTGCCTACGTGGTCCGTGTGTTAACAGAGGTTTATTTTTCCTAGTACCCTGGAACCCGTCTGGGCTCAATCATAAACGAACAGCGCATTAACGTGGTATTTAGCAAAGCACTTATTGATCTGCCTGGGTAAAACGCAGAGGTTAATAGACAGACAGGTCACCTGGCTCCAGTTTTCTTTCTGCCTTTCTTGTGCAAGGCCACCGTTAAAGAGCAGAAGATGGGCTGAGGCTGTCTTGAGTTGCTTGCTTTGGAACATATCTTACCCTGACACCATCATCTCACTTGGCTGCGGCCATTGCTTACTGATCTCCCGCCTGTCTTCGTTGCTGTTTTTGTAACTGGGCAGCGGCACCAAGTCAAAATTCCACTGAATCGTACAGGGAACGCTTTCGTTGGCTGCTTGGCAAAAATCGTCAATGGGAGTTTTTTCAGTGTCAGAGAAAGGTACATTTAGGCCAAAGCAGAGCAACAGGGGTAAGTGTGAAGTTGGATTACCGTCATCATTCAGACAAATGGAAATGCCAGTCCTCTGTGGTGCAGGGAAAGGAGCGTTTAAGGGAAATACTGTATTTTTCTGTGTATAAGACGATGCTTTCTGCTAAAAAAAATAAAAATAGGCAAAATTGGGTGTTGTCTTATATACACATAGTGAATGCAGAGGGGGGACGTGCGATTAATGGCAGCAGCAAGCAGGAAATTGGCAGCAGCGATTGGGCGGGTGATTGGTGGCTGCGGCAAGGCCTGCTGGCGATTGGCTGTGGCTGCGGCAATTGGGCAGGCGGTTGGCGGCTGTGGCGAGGTGGGCTGTTGGTGGCAGCGAGCAGGCAGACAATTGGCGGCTGCGGCAAGGTGTGCGATCGGCAGTGGCTGTGGCAAGCAATTGGCAGTGGTGGGAAGGCGGATGAGCAATTGGTGGAAGTGACCTCCCCCACCCCCCAAAAGCTAAACAACTTAATTTCTTAATTTGGGGTTTAAAAAAATAGGGGGTGTCTTATACATGGAAAAATACAGTATGTTCTGCTGCTTCCAGACCGTTGCTGTTTTGCGGGTAGGATTCAGTCACTACCAGCAAATTCCATCTGCACAGTTAAAGCGGATCTGGCAGGCTTGTGCAAGAAACCTACTTTCAAAAAATAAACGTAAAGTAAAGTAAAGCCCGGGAAAAATGGACTGGAAAGTGCGAGGTAGGAATTGCTTGATGTGATGTCATATAACCACCCCCTTAAATCCATAATGAACCCTCGGTCAACAGATGCCGTCATATATCCTCGGAATCGTTGTACAAACAAATCAGAATCAATGCTTAATACTTAATACTGAGGTGGTTGGGAAGCGACTTGTCTGGTGATGTGCATGAACAGAAGCGCTGAGTGGGCAGGCTCCCAGTTTCTGGGGCAGATCTTAGGGCAATGCACTGCCAAAGCCAAGGGGCTCTGTGTAGATGATTCAGGATCTGTCCCTGGAGATCCTGCCTCTGTAGGCTTGCAGCTGATAAGAAGAATTGTGCTGGAGGAAACAAAAGATGCCTTAACTCCTTATAGAAGACCATGGTGCAGATCTCCCTGCTTAGAAGAGTTCTGAACCATGTTTTATATTAGCCAAAAGCACCAAGCAGCCGTTTCAGTTCAAGGCTGCAAACTGGCACACTCCCTTTTTTAAAATTGATCTCTGCTGATGGGCCCCTCCTCAGATAGGAAGCAACAACTCTCCTTACCTACAAGCTGTCTCTGGTCCTGCAGATTCTGTCTCTCTTCCCCCACTCTGGTGCAACAGAGACCTCCTCTTGGGACCTTTGCCCTGCACCTAATGGACCCACCACCAGCTAGACTTCTGGGTGATGTTGTGCATATTTCATCCACGTAGCATCAGACTATGGCGCTGTGGTCTAAACCACTGAGCCTCTTGGTTTTGCCGATCAGAAGGTCAGTGGTTCAAATGGTGAGCTCCTGTGGCTCTGTCCCAGCTTCTGCCAACCTAGCAGTTCGAAAGCACACCACTGCAAGTAGATAAACAGGTACCGCTGTGGTGGGAAGGTAAACACTGTTTCCGTGTACTCTGGTTTCCATCACTGTGTTCCGTTGCTCCAGAAGCAGTTTAGTCATGCTGGCCACATGGCCCGGAAAGCTGTCTGTGGACCAACGCTGGCTACCTCTGCCTGAAGCAAGATGAGTACCACACCCCATAGGACTGGACTTAACGGTCCAGGGCCCTTTATCAGACTGTTCCCAAGGAGCCAGCTCTTATTTGGGAGATTCTGCTGCACCAGTCTGGAAGTTGCAGCGGCGTTGGGAGAACCCTATTCCGAGCCTTCTGCGTCTTCCTGGTGAGCCACAATGAAGGTGGCAAAGATCAGCTATCCGAAAACTACTAGAAGATGTTCTACAAGACATCTACATCTACAAGACAAGTCTGTTCCTGGAAGCAGTAAAAATAATCTGCAACAGGAGAGAAAATCTGTAAAAACACCCAAAACCACCACATACACAACCCAACTTAGAACCTTCCACATTGCTGCATTCTTGGATGTTAAAAGTTGGTGCTGTCAAGATGATTGAATGCAGAGGACCAAGCTGGCATTTAGCGCAAGAGACCAGGAGATGCCCCCCTTGGGCTCCCCTCCCATTCTTGTCAGTGAATGAACTCTTCTGAGAGTCAGCACCGCAGTGCATTTTTATGTGAGATTTAATAGGCAATTAGAGTAAAGTGATAAGGTCTAATTGCCTGCCGTTAAATTTCTTGTTTTGAGAGCCGAGGGGGTGGGAGGGGGGCATCACTTAAGCAGGAATTCCAGGGCCTATTCCAACAGCATCTTGTGTCCTCGGGATGTGACTTCCAGAACTATTCTTGCAGAAGTTATTGCCTACAATGCAGCAGGGGAAGGGCACACTCACAGACGCCACCTTTGCTGAAGGTATCCTTGCAGACTTAAGAGAACGCACAAACCTTCCCTTCTTTCCTCCATCCCATCTGCCACTGGAGAACTCCCAGCCCAGGGAGAGAGGGGGACAGCCTGAAACCCCTCTTCCAAATTTCAAACAGTCTTTGGCCTTAATTGATTTCGTAAGAACGTAATAAGAAGCCTGCTGGGTCAAGCCAAAAGGCCATGGAGCTGAGCATCCTGTTCTCACAGTGGCCAAATGGATGCTTGTGGAAAACCCATGACCAGGACCTGAGAAAAACAGCTTTCCCCCACTTGTGATTCCCAAGAAGTGTTATTCAGATGCATACTTTCTGCAGCGGTGGAGGTAACTAAAAGATGGTAGTGATGGGAGAACAGGAGTTGGAAATTATTATTATCAGTACCATGACTATTATTAAAAGGTAAAGGTACCCCTAACCATTAGGTCCAGTCGTGGCTGACTCTAGGGTTGCGGCGCTCATCTCGCTTTACTGGCCAAGGGAGCCGGCGTACAGCTTCCGGGTCATGTGGCCAGCATGACTAAGCCGCTTCTGGTGAACCAGAGCAGCGCACGGAAATGCCGTTTACCTTCCCGCCAGAGCGGTACCTATTTATCTACTTGCACTTTGATGTGCTTTTGAACTGCTAGGTTGTCAGGAGCAGGGACCGAGCAATGGGAGCTCACCCCGTCGCGGGGATTCAAACCACCGATCTTCTGATTGGCAAGTCCTAGGCTCTGTGGTTTAACCCACAGCACCACCCGCATCCCTATGACTATTATTTTATTTTAAATTTCATACATGCCCTCGACCATGATTAAAAAAACCCACAGCAATAAAACCAATTAATAAAACAAATGCCAATCAAAGGGAACAGAGTGGGGCCTAAAAATATACAGGCAACTCCCTGCTTGCACAGGAGTTGCATTCTGTGTCCTTGTGCACTTGTGTGGAATTGCATGGAATTGGAAACCCTATGAAGAAGTCTGCAAATGCCTTGCTCCACCCCTTCCTGCTCCCATTCCGGCCTGTTAGTGATGTTTCAGTGACGCCTTTATGACGTTTCTGTGCACATACCGGTTGCGCCTAAAATGGGAGTTGCCTGTGTGTCTTGAGCATCGAAGGCCCGATTTTGCATACCATGGAAGCCATAAAATGAAAGTCCCAAATGTACCCATTTGGGAAGGGAATCTCTCGGCTTAGGGGCCCCCGCAGAGAATGCCGTCTCCAGGGCTGGCAGCACCTCTTGAACTTCTGGGGGTTGTGCAGAACTACCAAGAAGGCCCTCTCTGCCAATCTGAACACCCAAGAGGGTCTGGAAGGCATCAGGCAGAGAGACGGAGAACATAGAATGGTGGTGGCTGGCAGAGCCCAAGAGAAAGACATGGCAGAGCCTTTGTCCCCTGTCCTAGCCCCAGCCAACCACTGAGGACTTGTGTCTTCCTGCTGCCTGCGATGCTCCCTAGTAGCCATGGATGCGGAGGCAGGAGGGCTTTGCAGACTGGGGAGGCTGAGGTTTCTTCTGGCTGCTCAATATTTTTCTGTTGGGGTTTGTTATTATCCCCACCCACTGCCTCCCTGATAGGCACAGTGGATGTTCCCAAGAGGAACGCGTCACTTCAGAAATATAGGCACTGGCAGATGTATGAATGAAAACCTCTTTGGCAGCCTTCCATCCCTTGTTCAGAAATGATTGTTGATATCTTAATAGAGCCAAGTCACAGGATTGTTGGGAAGCTTCTTTCAGCTTAAAAGCCTTGCAGTGCCTTTTAAAAGAGCCCTGTGAACGAGAATCTTTTTTAAAAAATGAATAAATCTGGATGTCATTGATGACTGCCTTCCTCTGGGCTTGGGCAACCAGGGTTGAAAAAAAGAAAAGTTTATGAATGAGATAGCAGCAAGTGGCAGCTTCAGAGAGGACAGCAGCCCTCTCCCTGCCGAATTTTGGTGGTTCCAGTCCCGCTTGTTACCAACCTCGCCTTGTAAAATACCCATGGGGCTCCTCGGATCCTAAATGCTGCCTGGGGGGAAACTGCCAACTATTTACAGCCCTGCTTGAAAGAACTAATGCAAACCAATCCGGTCAGTGATTAATTCCTCCCGTCAAACTAGCAGTGTTGACTAATCAAGTACAAAACTAATGCATTTTCGGGAAGGTGCCTAGCGCAATGGTGGAGCACATGCCTTCCAGGGGAAAGGTCCGAGGTACACCCTCTGGCATCTCCAGGTAGGACAGGCAGAGACTTGCTGCCTGAAACCCTGGAGAGCTGCTGCCAGTCAGTGCAGACAGTACTGAGTTAGGTGAACCAATGGTCTGGTTCAATATAAGGCAGCTTCCCATGTCCCTAAGATGGAGTGAAAGCTTCCTATTTTCCTGTGTGTGTGTGTGTATTACCTATTGGTTCTGGATGCATCTTATACCTCTACTTTCCTTATTTTTCTCGTTCCTTCTTTATTTCCTCCAAGAGCTCTTTGATGCTATTTGGGGGGGGGGGTCCCGCCCTCCATTGTTCAGCAAACACCCAATTCCAAGCTACTTTTGCAACCCCATGCTCACTTGCTCAAACCAATCCCTCCTCCTGCCACCGAGAGATTTACCTTCTTGCAAAACGTTGCTTACCATTCCAAGAAGGGGTGGTTTGGAAGATGAATTGCCCTTGCCTTTGGACAGCCTTTGCCTTCTAAACCAGGGGTAGCCAGCGGGGTTGCTGTAGATCTTGTCATCCCTGACTACTGGCCGTACTCAAAGGGGCTGGTGGGAGTTGGAGGCCGAAAACATCGGGAGTGTACCGCCGTGGCCACCCCTGCTTTAAATCACGTGCAGCACAAGGCAGGGCCCTTCGTCTTTGCATGGTTAATGGTGAGAAAGGAGCTTCAAAAGTTTTGCAACGTGTGCTTTCATGTTTTGTTAATCCAGGTGTTGTCATTCCGCTCATCAGTGTCTGGTGCTAATAGAACCAAAGCTGTTTCCTCCTTGCCGTATATTGTTTGAAAACGTTGAAAATGTACAAGTGCTTTGTTCTGAGGTTTGAACTTCCTGCTCTCAAGGCTTAGTTTGCTTCCAGTTCTTGGTTGAAACTAAGCCTCCTGTTACTGGTACCCTGTTGTCTAAAGATTCCCATTTGCCTTCCTGTAAGTTGTTAGATAAATTTGCAGCTTGTACCTTTGCCAGGAATCACTGCTTGGATTGTGGCGTGACCTCAGAACTGCGCCTCATGAGAGAGAGAGAAGATCATACAAATGTGCATCTATTCATGGAAAAAATGCTGCCTGTGTTTTAATGCTCAGAATGCAAGGTGTTTGAGGATAGACCTCGGGTGCTTGAGGGGAACCCTATTGAGTCACAAAGACACCCACATTGATCTGATTCATTATTATTTGGATTGATATTCCTCCCTATCCTGAGAGCTTAATGTACTTGTGAGCCTGTGGCTCTTCCAAAATAAGACCAGGCAAGTGAATTGCGCATTTTCAAACAAAGCAGTTGCTCTTGAAGGCATGGGTTTTTAAGGTAGAAAACAAATGCTTTTTTTCTTCTTATGGGTCACTGACTGGTATGCTTTGGAGACGGCTGGTTGGGGATGGAAGTGTGAGTTGCGGTTTCCCTGCTCATTCCCAATTTTATGTGGCTTATTCTGATGAGAAACTGGCTCATCTTGGATGATCCAATCAACATTTACGTTGCCCTTTTCCATACGTTTTCAAAGCACATCCCATGCATCAGATAACAGCCCTGAAAGGTAGGTCACTAATAGCATCCCAGAGTTAATGATGTGGTTATGATGCTGAAAGTTGTGTACCCTTAGGCAACCTAGTGAGTTATGTGGCTGTTTTCGAGTTTCTTACCCACCTTTCACCATAAGAACCCCACATGGATTGCAGCAATATTAAAATGCAATATTAAAATCAGTGCAAACAATTTACAAGCATGGGGGGAGAGGAAGCCAATAAGGCAGATGCAGAAGATTCATTTGCATAAATCAGAGTCCAGTCTTGCGGGTCTGGGAAAAAGCAGAGTATTTGGAAGAAGTCTGAAGCAACAGGTGGCTGTTGTTTCAAGTATGGCCGAGGAAGGGCATCCTATTATTATTATTATTATTATTATTATTATTATTAATCAACAACAATTCAGCAGAGCGGGGCAACAGCAGAACTGCCTGTTTTCAGGTCACTAAATCTTAGAGCTAGACCCACAGAAGATCTCTTGGCACAGTTGGCATCACCATTTTGCCCATACTGAATTGAGATGGCACGGGGTGTTCATGGCTTCCAAAGTTGGCAGCTCTGACTATATTATTATTATCAGTGCTTTTTTTCGGGGGGGGGGAATGTTTAGGGGTACTCTCATTTTCCTACTCATATTGAAATTCTGCCCCTCAATGAGGCCAAACTTAGATTCACAAAATGTTTAGGGGTATGCGTCCCCCTGCGTCCCCCAGAAAAAAGCTCTTCTTCTTCTTCTTCTTCTTCTTCTTCTTCTTCTTCTTCTTCTTCTTCTTCTTCCCCTTCTTCTTCCCAAGTTTAAAGAGCCCAGTCACTGTGGGGAGGGCAGCCTTAATTATCTGACTGCACTTCCCCAAGAGCCCAGCATCTTCCCATTTGCAGAGAAGGCTGCATTAGTGGAGATAGATATATAAGAGTTGCGACTTGAGCGTAGATGTTTGTTGAACCTTTTCAAAGTTCAGGCGTACCAGGCCTCCTGGAACTCTCTGTCCAAATTACCGTAACAGTCTAGCTCTGGGGACCGAGGGGTTTGGTTTTGGATACTCTCCGATTTTTCCGCCTGCTCTGTGTGTGGAGTGTCCTGAGATAGCATCCTCTCTAGTAATGTCAAAAAGACAACTCGGCAATCAGCAGGAATGTGGAGGCCCCCAAGGGCTCCCCCCCCCCTTATGATTTTTAAGAAAAAGGAAAGCAGAAAGGCAAGAGGCCATTTTGGCTCCCTTCCCTTCTTTTCCAAGCTCAAGCCAGCATTGCTCTAGCAAATTCTGTTCTGGAAAATGTGTTAACATTCCTGGGCCGGCTGACCACCAGCAGCCCTGCTTTCCCTCTTGGGTGCTCGAAAGCATGAGGCCTTCAGCTTAGTAGGTGGCAGGTGTGTGTTTTGCAAGGAAGGTGATATCTGTATGGGAATTCTGTGCTAAGAAAAGTTAAATTCTGTAACTGTATTAACCCAGTGCAAATTTAAAATGACACAGTTCTCTCTCCACTCACCCACCCACTTGGTTACTGTTTTGCATGATTTTATTTCCATTTTAATAGCCAAGGGAGAGAGCAAGTAGGTGTGCAATGGGCAGTAGTTCTACCCCTGACCACTGGAATCTGTGCTCTGACTCCCTGTTTGGCTTCTAAGATTTCAGCAAGTGCTGCCCACCAGAAAGTGTTTTACACGTCCTCTCAGCCACAAGGGTGGGAAGCTAGCTTGTATTCTTTTCCCCCACAAAATTCTCAGGAAGCTGAATTTCTTGCCTTGCACGCCCATGGGATTGTGGCCTGTGCACAGGCCCCTGCTCATGGTGGAGATGCAAAGCACAGAGAGTTGAGGCTGAAACATATTGTTTTATTAACCACCACAAACTTTCCACTAGGCTTCATAAGAACAGCTGACTGCACAGCTGCTCCCCTAGGGCGAGTAAGAATTTTCTCCAGAAAATGACTAGACATGGAAGCAGATGCAGATTTAGGAAGGGAGTGTGGTTGTTTCTTTTAGATTCTTGACATGGCGCAAGTGACCGGCTGAGTTACTTATTTTATTCATTAGATTTCTTACCTGGCTTTAGCCATAAGGTCCCAGGACGGGTTGCAGTATAATCATAGATATTTTTTAAAAGTAGAACAGATAACAATGATAAAGAATAAGTAAAACGGTTCCACAGAACAGAAATAAGGTGGGTGCTAAAAATACACACCTCCCTAGGTAGCTCAGTTGGTTAGAGCGTGGTGCGGATAACGCCAAGGCTGCAGTTTTGATCCCTGTACGAGACAGCTGCATATTCCTGCATCACAGAGAGTTGGACTAGATGATGATCCTCAGGGTCCCTTCCAACTCTACAATTCTACGATTCCAAGTATCAGGAGCCAGGGCAAAGAGGTGCGTCACTGTGAGCACCTTGAACTGGGTCCAGAAACAAACTGGCAACCACTTAAGTGTGGGCAGGAGAGCTAGGGGCAGTTTGTGGGCAAGTAACTTGAGTAGACTTATCATTTAGCAAACCTGCTTTGTTCTCCCTTAGTCAAGCTCTGCTTCTGTGTCCAAAATAGATTCTCAATAGCCTCAAGTGAGGGAGAAGCAGAACAGCCTCTTCCTGTGACTCTAGCAGTATAGCATTTTTAGGCTTACCTCTGAGCACATTTGGCGTTCTTCAGTTGTCCAATGATGATGATGATTTAATCAACCCTTCTTGCCAGCCACCAGCCTGCTCCACCTGATCTCGTGGCCTCCTGAAGCAACATGGTGATTTCCCCCATATTGACCCGTATCTATCTTTCTGTCAGCCACCATGAACTAATGTACACTGATGCTTTTTGTGCTCCCAAGGTCTTCCTAAACTACATGTTTGTTTGACTGCTTCAGAGAAACTGTGGTTTTTAAAAGGATGGTATTTTCTGGCAGGCCCAGGTGCTGTTTCCTGTTGCCAATATTTTTTTATAAAATAATAATAATAGATTTTGCATCTCTCTTCAAGTAATGATGGCAAAGTTTCCATTGACCCATCATTTCTGAAATACCCCCTTCTTCAGTCACAACTCACTGGGAATAAGGATTGAGGATCTTAAATCTAGGGAGGGTCGTCCTCCAGGTAGGGCTGTGGGAGGGCCTCTGCCAGTCAGTGCAGACAATACTGGGCGAGATGGACCCAGTGGTTTCCCCACTTGTTCTTGCAGAGGTTCAAGTTTGTCTTCTAATTTCTCCAGAGATGTCTGTTGCCTTGTGCAGGGTTGTAAGGCAGCAGCAATTTCTGTCCTGTGCCCTTGGTTCATTGCTGTTTCTGTTCTGCTTCCACCAAACCTACGTCGTTTGTCTTGCTGTGCAAGGATTTACATAATTAATTTTGATGCGTTTCAGTGGAAGGGACATGTCAAAAACTCACGCAGAAAATAAGCATGCAATTACGCAGGGAAACATAAAATGAAAATCAAGAATAGTCAAAATACATTGAATTTAATGTCAGGTGGGATTGCCAAAGTATTTTTTTTCTTGCCCCACCCCCCGCAGGAGCACATAACCTGAATGTACCTAAGTTAAAGGCGCGTAAGTTGCAGGCTTACTATAACATAAATATTTACCATAATTATTTTACCATACTTATTTTAGTTTGCAGACTAAACTCCCTGCCCCGACAATAGCAAATGCCACTTGTATTTTCTTGCATGATTGCCGTTCATGACCTTGCACAAACATACAAATTGCGGGAATTTCCATTTGCGACGGAATTTCCCAAGATTCCTAATCTTAGGTCAGGGTCAGTGGTTGTTTGCGATACGGAAAGGCCTCCCATTTGCTTTCCCATTCTTCCTCGAATTTGATGCCACCTTGCACATTTATACAGGGGTCAGAGCTCAGTGGCAGAGCAAATCATTTGCATGCAGAAGCCCTGGTATGTCCAGTTGTTCTTCCATCCTTTCTTTTTTAAAGGATCCAGTAGCAGGTGGGTGGAGTGGCAAAACTTTTGCTGGAGCTCCTGCCAGTTAGTGAGATCATTAAGCAACCCAAACCATTCTTGTGTGCCCTAAGTACTGGGCAGCTGCAGCGGTGGGATAAATGCCTCTGGCTGAGTGGCAAAGCCCCCATGCAGAAGGTTCCAGACTCAGTCTTGGGCTTCATAGCTTAAAAAAGGGCCTCGGGTAGCAGATCATGGGAGAGACCTTCCCCTGCCCTGAGAACAACCCACCCGTCTTGCCCCAAAGAGCCGCTGTCAGTCAGAGTAGACAGCACTAGTTTGATTAGATATGAGGGGCCTTCAGGTGTCCATATGCTGTTCCCTGTTAAGGAAAATAAGCATTTGTTCTGTTGAACAAATACTATTGAACAAATCTCCACTTCAGTAGTTTTGATTTCTGTTAGGCAACTCTCCCCCATGATCCTTCTGGTGACAACGTTTTCAGTTTCATGCATTTCATGTGTCTTGCTATTCTCCATCTCTTTATTGCTTTTATGGCTCATCACTGGGGATGCGCAGGCAGATGTAGGAGGAGCTCATGGCTACAAAAAGTAAGGATTGATTACTTGTCAGGGGGAGGTAAGCCTGTTTCTTGTGCCAAATTTTCATGGGGAGGATGTCAGTCTCTTAAAATAATATATGGCTAGGAGTATTTAAAGGTAAACTGGGTGCTCAAACACTGCATTGCTTTAAACTGCCCCCCGCCCTCCTCAAACTCTTTTTATAAAGACTCATAGACAAGCCTTCCCCAAGCTGGTGTCCTCCCAGATGCTACAATTCGCATCAGCCCCAGTGCGACCTGTCATCTGGGAAGATGGGAGTTGTAGACCAAAACATATGGAGGGCACCAGGTTGGGGAAGGCTGTTGTAAATCATGGGTGGCAGAGGCTGTAAGACATGTGTGGCACCACCATGGTCACATGCCTGACTGTGGCGTAGAGTCAGTTCCCATATGTATGCCTGCCTGCCCAGCTCATTAGACTGCAGTCCAGTTGCATCACGTTCAGGGGTAACATTCCAGAGGCATCTCATATTTGCAAAAGTCACATATAGCCCCAGATGACTTTTTTTAATAACAAACAAACACAACCTGGCTACTAGCTGGCATGGGATGGGGGGAGGCCCTCCCTGTGTCTCTGCTGCCTTGCCTTACTCCTCCACCAACAGGAGGAGAGGAGAGGGATGGAGGCAAGCAGAGAGAGTTGCAGGCAGAAGAAAAAGGCTGGAATTGATCTGGGATAGAGCTGCAGCCAAGCACCAGTTAAGTTTGTATGGATGCGACTTGACTATAGAGAATTGCATTGTGATGCCCGCCAAGGTGGCACTTTTGCATTTGACACACTTCCTATAAAAAGTTGGTCACCCCTGCCCTAACAGAGAATTGTTGGTCCTGAAAACATCACCTTGCAGGCAAACGCTGAACCTGAACAACTTCCTAGCAAGCTCACTAAGCCTTTTCCCTCACCTCCTGTGTGGCCTTCATCTCCTTTGCTTCCTGCTGGCAGTGGTGGCACTTGCCTCCCAGCTCTGACTTCCTACAGACCGAACCTGCAAGCTCGTGAGCTTCACGTTATCCTCACTTGTTCTCTGACATTGTACCCTGTTTTATTGCCATTCCCAACATCTAAACTTGGCATTCATTGAGATGTTCGGTATTGACCGAGATGCGGCTTGTATGTAGGTTTGCTTGAAACAAGAGATGTTTGGAAAGCCCCTGGCTGGTTATTATATCACATGCAAGGTGAAATGAGGCGCCATAAAATATATACTGAGCTTGTCGCTTCCTCTTAGATAAGGTTAGCTGTGACTTCATCCTAAATGAGGAAGGCTTTTGTGCAATTCAGAACCGAGCACTGTCGTTCACAAGGACAAAATTTCCCTCCTGCATCTCTTTTTGTCGCTTTCTGGGTCAGCCACACCTGCTGTAGATTAGCGTGTTGTACTTTTGCAGAACTGTGAAACCAGGCAAAGTGTGGTTCCTTTGAAAATCTCTCGGAAATTTAATCCATTTTTAAATATGTAAAGTGAAGTAGTAAGGAAGCATTTAATTGCAACTCTCTGATTCCTCTTCCTCTCCCCCACCCTACCCAATTATGTGGTCTTTTAAAGCTCCTTTTCTCAGCCCATTTGTCGTGAGTCCTGGGATTCAGACCATACCCAAAAACAAATACATATTTTCTTAAGAAAAAGAACAAGCGCCACTGTCTATAACTGCACCGCAGAGTTTATTCCAATCTGGGATAGTTTAGAGTTTGGGTTGGCTTTTGTAAACCACCAGGCGCCATTGAGCATATCCTCTGAGTTAATACCTCTACAATGGTTTTGGCTTTTTTTGTAAAAACAGTAAGAAGAAAGAAAGCATTTTTTTGCAAGTTGTTGATCTATGAATAAACAATGCCTTAATAGGGAGCAGATTCGCCAGTGTCTGCCTAGTCCACAACCCTGGAGCCATGACACTTCATTGTAAAGCATTCCTGGATGGGTTGGGCAGGATTCGGAGAACCAGGGAAGCAGTTCTTGTGATCTCTGAACAATCATATTCTGTGCAACACCAAACACGTGGTGTGGGTCTGGATTCTGAAATGGTTGGTTTTCTCATGGTTTTTATCTAAAAGCATCTGCCGTGAAACCTTTGATGTGAAGTCATAGAATCATAGAGCTGGAATAGACCACAAGGGCCATCGAGTCCAACCCCCTGCCAAGCAGGAAACACCATCAGAGCACTCCTGACATATGGTTGTCAAGCCTCTGCTTAAAGACCTCCAAAGAAGGAGACTCCACCACACTCCTTGGCAGCAAATTCCACTGTTGAACAGCTCTTACTGTCAGGAAGTTCTTCCTAATGTTTAGGTGGAATCTTCTTTCTTGTAGTTTGGATCCATTGCTCTGTGTCCGCTTCTCTGGAGCAGCAGAAAACAACCTTTCTCCCTCCTCTATATGACATCCTTTTATATATTTAAACATGGCTATCATATCACCCCTTAACCTCCTCTTCTCCAGGCTAAACATGCCCAGCTCCCTTAGCCGTTCGTCATAAGGCATCGTTTCCAGGCCTTTGACCATTTTGGTTGCCCTCCTCTGGACACGTTCCAGTTTGTCAGTGTCCTTCTTGAACTGTGGTGCCCAGAACTGGACACAGTACTCCAGGTGAGGTCTGACCAGAGCAGAATACAGTGGCACTATTACTTCCCTTGATCTAGATGCTATACTCCTATTGATGCAGCCCAGAATTGCATTGGCTTTTTAGCTGCCGCGTCACACTGTTGGCTCATGTCAAGTTTGTGGTCAACCAAGACTCCTAGATCCTTTTCACATGTACTGCTCTCAAGCCAGGTGTCACCCATCTTGTATTTGTGCCTCTCATTTTTTTTGCCCAAGTGCAATACTTTACATTTCAGTACATTTACATTTACAAGTCACTGGAGCAGAATGGAGTGACCTTCTTGATCATGCTTTAGCATCTCCCATGCTCAGTTCGTGCTTGCAGGTTTGGCATTTACCAACTTGTAAAGCCCTGCTTTACTTTTAGCTATGCATACTTAAGACCGTGAGAGCCTCTTGGATCACGTCAAAGACCCACCTAGCATCCTGCTCTCACAGGGGCCAGCCATTGCCTCTGGGAAGCCCAGGAGCAGAATCTGAGCTTAATAGCACTCCCCCAATCAATCCCCCCATTGATAGTTTTATCCTCTGTGAAGAGGTACTTTCTTTTGTCTGTCCCGATTCTTCCAGCATTCAGCAGGTATCCATGAGATCTAGAGTTCTATGAGAGGGAGAAGAGCCTTTCTCACTGCTCTTTTCTCCATACCATGCATAGTAAGAAAACACCTTCTCCTAAATTGAATCAAAGTGCTCTTAAGAAGGACCTAAAACTTGTTCCTGGCTCTATTGCCTAGGCCACTGGCATGACGAGGGCATGTCAAAGAATGGCCACATTGGCTGACTGCCTTGCAGCCGCCAGATTTTTTCTGTCTAATGAAGACTTAGCAAAGCTTGAACATATGTATTCTGCAAGATAGCACTGGGGCTAAGTGGGAAGTGAAGGGTCAAAAGAATCTATTGTATAAAGTAGCTTTCTATGTGCTTATGTGTGTGTGTTTTAAAACTCCAAGTGACGTCACACTGGCACAAGTGGTTGAATTGATTGGCTGAAGATATCTTGCTGAAGATACCCGCTTGTTCATTTCAGTGTGGCGTTTGTAGAATGCTTTGCAGGAAGTAGATTGTGTCCATTGGTCGGATTGGCCCACCTCTCCCATTCTGCCAACCCTAGTTGCTATCATTATCGCTATTAATGAACTTGGTGCTTTGCAGACTGCAAGGTGGCAGGTCCCTGCTGCAAGGAGCTGGCAATCTAAAATGCTGCTCAACTCTGTCACTCATGTTAATGGCTCCAGGAAGGGTACAGTGAGGGGTGGGGGAGTGTGATGGCAGTAAACCAACAGACTCCTGCTGCTCCTCACTACCTCCCGGTGGTCCCTGAAAGAGCCGGTGTTCTCAATTCCTTGAAGTATTCAAAAGCTAGCGGAGCAAGGACTGCCTTACAGTTCATGCCCATGTTGCTGGCAGGGCATCTGCATCTCAGTCTACAAAGGACGGGGGATATCCCTTGGCGCAGGTTCCTCGTAGAGCAGCTGTAAGCTATGGAAGAAGTGGAGACTGAGTCACAAGTCTGGATTCTCTTACGAAAATAGCAACTTGGCATGCTTTGTAGAAGCCTTCTCTGACCTGGTGCCCTCCAGATGTTTGGAACTATAACTCCCATAAGCCCCAGCCAGTGCAGTCTTGCCCATGTGATTTTCAGGCATGTGTTCATAGTCCTATGACCTACAAACAAGTTTAAAAAGCAGCAGCAGCAGCAGCTGACATTCCCAGGAACCTGAGTCCTGTACCCTGCCGTTCTCTGGAATCGCAGGAGTTGCACAAGCTCGGTCATCTCATCATGTTCCCTGGTCATTTTGGCTCCAGGCAGCTAATCATTGTTAAGCTACTCCTGTGTCATTCCTTTGGGACTCTTCAGGGGGTTTAGCAAGCTGCATTCAGCAGGATACGCCTGTAACTTACCTGAATGCACAACACTGCCTTGTAGGGAGGCAAATCGCTTTTTATTGTATTTAGCCATAAGCAAGGGGCAGGCTAGGGGCTGAACGTGGCCCTGCAAGGATCGCGTGCCTCTCTCCCTGGGCCATGCCCCTTCCTGGCCCTGCTTCATGCTCCCCTGGACTGTGTTTGCCTGTGGGAATGCATCCTTTAATTGTGATAATGCCTTTTCCTTACCTGGATGGAGGACAGAGAGGGCCTGTGTGTGTTTTCCATGGCTGGAATGCAATCCACGGTGCAAGAACTGCTTCTGTTGCTGCACTTGCCTTTGCATCTAGTTGCACCCTCTTTTGTCTTCAGCCCCACTCACCACTGGCATGCAGCTCCCAGAAGTCTGTCCATAAGGGAACGTGACCCTTGGTCTTAACAATGTTCCCCTCCTCTGCTGTAGTTCTCCAGTGGGTGCTGGTGCCCATTGGGACTGGGAGGTGGGAGCCCAACAGTAGGTGGCGCCAGAGCCGATGGCAGACAAAGCCAGCTCATTCTAGTTCTGGCCCCATCCTCCTCCTTCCTGCTGAGTTCTGTATATACATGGGTATGAAAGAGGAGGAAGCTGGCAGGCGGGGACTTGCTAAGGATGGTGGGGCAGTGCCCCATTTGCCTGAATGGAATACCCAGCACCTGCATAGGCTATTTTGGTGAAAGACTGGTCCTAGTGAATGCTGGAAGTCACTAGGGGTGCCAATGAAGCAAAACATTATCTTACACCAAGTCCAGACTCTTGGTCTATTCAGCCCAGTTTCTACAGGGTCGCAGGCAGAGGGAGGCCCCTTTTTCCATCACCAGCTGCTCCTCATCCTTTTCAACCTGAGATGCTTCCCTGAATGCAATCTGGGGCCTTCATGCAGAGCTCTGAGCTGCCAAGATATTCGGAGAGCATTTTGGGAGCTCCCACAACCAGCCGCAATTGGGAGGCACAATGCAGGGTTGGAAACTTCCCCAACTGAACAGGTGTCAATTTGGGACTCCAGCAGAGCACTGGATGATGATGATGAAGAAGAAGAGTTTGGACTTGATATCCTGCCTTTCACTACCCTAAGGAGTCTCAAAGTGGCTAACAATCTCCTTTCCCTTCCTCCCACACAACAAACACTCTGTGAGGTGAGTGAGGCTGAGAGACTTCAGAGAAGTGTGACTGGCCCAAGGTCACCCAGCAGCTGCATGTGGAGGAGCGGGGAAGTGAACCTGGTTCACCAGATTACGAGTCCACTGCTCTTAGCAACTACACCACGCTGGTTGCTTTCATATCCCATAGCCCCACCCAAGGAGCTGAGTTGGAATATATAGTTCTCCCATTTCATAAAGTGAAATGCGCTTTGTTAAAATAAATTTCCTTCATTCCGCCCCCCCCAGCCCCCGTTCAGTGTTAAGTGGCAGGGGTGGCACTGTTTCTTAAAGGGCCACCTCCCATCTTTTTAAAAAAGGAAAAGGAAGAAGGTCATGTTGCTAAAAGGATGCACCTTAAGTGTACACCTAAAGAAACATAAAACTGTGAATGCAGCTTACATCTGTTTCCACACACGATTGACGGGCGTCCCCTGCCAAGGACATACTGGTGGGTGAACCAGGCTTAACTGCTGTGTAATGTGTGGAATGGATTCAAATGTGGCAGCCTCTGAGGTTTCACAGCTAGGCTGCCCAACTCCAACCTTTGGGCATTCCTCCTGTTTGCTTGTACCTCTTCCTGGTCGGTAGGCTCAGGGATGAATGAGCAGCCTTCGTACCCAAGAATGGGAGCTTCCACTTGCTTCAATTGAAGGCTGTAGTTTGGAAAAGAACCAGGCAGTTCCCAGAGTCTTTTCAAGCTCTGCTCGAGGGAATCCTGGAATTCCTTGGAAATTTTCTCATGTCAGTCTGCATAATGGGTTCTTTCGGCGCTGTCTCCATTTATCACTCTTCATTTTCCTGTTTAACGGGATCAACAAGTTTGTTCAAGGAAAATAAAATGGGGAGTCACAAACTTAAATAAGCTACAAGTACTGTTTATTCAGGCATTTGATGACTGAAGGACACTGTTCCTGAACCCTGAGATCACTGGCTCAGAGAATGATTCTAACTGCTTTTAGAATGCTTTTAAAAAGTGTTTTGTGATTAAAGCGTTTGCCCCTCGCCTCCCTGGGCTCCTCTGGGAGGAAGGGCAGGATATCAGTTGAATAAACAAGAAATAAATAAAATTACTTTGAAATCCAATCAATCTGTGGCACCTTTCCCCTTTCTCAGCAAGGGGAGGGGGGTTTCTGCTGATCCAGACATCCCTCTTTGCTTTTGTGGAGGAGGTTAGGAAGTCAGAACAATAGCTTGAAGTGCCACAGGGAATGGGATTTACAGTATCTGTGGCTTTGCTTCTGTGGAGGAAGGGAACTGTAGCACAGTGGGTAGGAGAGAGCGTCTTCTTTGCATGCAGGTGTCCGTTCAACCCCCAGCATCTCCAGGTAGGACTGGTGAAGATTCCCTGCCTGAAGCTCTGGAGAAATGGTCCAGCTCAGGGTCAGGTAGCTCCCTGTTTTCCTCTCAGTTCATGAGGGGTAGGGAGCATCGTGTTTCATGATCTAGTCTACCCTGCAGGGCTAGTGAGAGCACTTTGGAGATAAGAGACGGGAAGCACGAGTGAATGGGGTATGTCTCTGTCTTCTGCAAAATGTAGAGGGTTCCATGTCAGATGGTGATACGGAAAGGTTTTTCCTGAAGGGAGAAACCCCCCCGATGTACTAAATCAGTGTTGTGAGCTTTCATCCTTTTCTCAGCAAAAATCATTCTTTTCCCATTTCTTTAGTAGATTAGATTCATTTCATGGAGGAAGAGGAGAGGTCTCTTCACATTTGTTAATTGTGACTTCTCTGTAGAACCTCCAGGCTCAGAGACAGTCTGCCTCTTGGCTACCAGTTGCTGGAGAGCAATGGCAGGAGAGGTGTGTTAACCTCAAGCCCTTTCTAGAGACACCTGGTTGGCCAGTACAGGCAACAGGGTGCTGGAACTTTTTGGTCTGCAGGGCTCCTGAATGAAACCTTCATGTCCAGGGGCAGTGTATCTCCCAGTGGATGCATACAACAGGAGATATTCGCTTTCCTTCCCTGTCCTGCTTTTGGGCTTCCTAGAGGCATTCGGTTATCCACTGCAGGGAGCAGGATGATGACACTAGATGGACCACTGGGCTCTTCAGATGTATCCCTTAATTTACATAACAAAGCACTGAACCTCATGCAACATTTCATGGCTTTCTCTTGTTCCTGTTGGCCAGTGTAGCTTAGTTTTTCTCATTCCAGCTGATGGCACCTGTCCACAACACATCCATTGTCCCTGTCCTTCTGTGAGGAAGTGCTTTTGTATTTCTGGCCAGCTTCCCTCTGTGTAAGCTCTTGCTTTCCCTCCCTTGCAGGTTTTGCCGTCGCCCAGTGCATCAACCAGCACAACCCCTCTCCGCTTTCATCTCCATCCCCTTCGTCCAGCGGGAGCACCGGGCGCTGTGACTCTGCCACCAGCTCCACATCGATTCCTTCCATGGTCCAGAGCCCGTCAGGTATTGAAGCCTCTTGCTCTTAGCTCCTGTAGGCTGTTTTATAAACTCTGCTTGAATCCACCTGAAGGTTTTTAAAGAGACTTCCTAATCTTAATATTTTATCTCCTGTTCTTTAAACTTGTTTTGGAAAGGGTACCCAAGGGTGGGGGGGTTCAGGTGAGTCCATGCAAAACTGGGGGACAGATTATCCGAGATTTTGTTTTTCCCTGTCGTGGCTTCAGTCCTGCAAGTCAGGCAGGTGGATGAGCTTGGCAGACCATTCCTCATCAGTCTCTTGGTTCAAATTGTATGAGACAACAATATTGCTTGCTGCAGGATCCTGCGTTAAAACGCTTTGTGCTAATGCTTAACTTCTTCGCCTGCTGGAGCTGAGACCATTCCAGAATCCACACTCCCCTGACTGAAAATCCTATTCCTACGATCCCAGATAACTTAAGATCTGGCACGGCTTCTCAGTAGTAAGACAAAGGTGCTCTGCACATGCGTAAAGGCACTGTGTGTCATTTCACACATTCCTCGGCACTGAGAACAAGTTGGACTCCTGGTTCAAATTTAAGTCAAATTTGAATTTCAAATTTAATAATAAGCTGGCCCAAAAAAAAAAATCAAAGTAATCTCTCTGTCCTTTGGCACTTGTGTTTATATCCTGGTTCTTTATTTCCATTGAAATGATCTGACTGCTAAATCTAAAGGTGTGCGTATGGGAGTGAAAACTAAATTTCAAGGTCATCTTTTAAGGAATGTTCATGGTGCCAAACAAGATGCCCACTCTAGATCTAGTTCAGGGATGGAGAACCTACAACCCTCCAAATGATGTTGAACTGCAGCTTCCATCATCCCTTACCATTGTTTCATGTTGGCTGGGGCTAATGAAGTCCAAAAATACCTTGTGGTGGGGCACAGGTTCCCCATCCTTGCTTTTTAAGGAATTGGACGTTGTTGGCTACCAGGAACAACTGCAAAATATTGCTTCATTCCTCATATCTGGTAACCTTTGCATTTTGTGTGTGTAGTTTTAACAGCCTGATCTTAGATGCAAGTCCTGCTGTATAAATTTTGAATTGTACTCTCCTCCTTTTCCCTTCTCTTCCCCTCCCACAAGTAACTTCTTTTGCAGGGATACTCTTTTTTTTTTGCAGAAAACCTCCACAGGCAGCTTGTCTGTGCCATAGTGACCTTAAACTCAGCACACCTGTATTTCATGGCTATCATAAACTCTGGAAATGTACAGGCTTGTTAAAAGCAAATGCTGGCCTGCCTTCATACAAATGCATTTGCTGACAGGCTATTGATCTTCTGTAGAGGTTTCCAAGGAAGAAGAACGAGGTGATTGTGTGTTTTTCCCCCCAGCCCTAGATACTTTTGCCTTTGTGCAGAAGTTCCTCCTCCCACCCCAGCTTTATTCTCCCCACCCACACGTGATAGACGGCACTGATTTGGACTGCCGGTGGGGTGTTTGCTCCACCACATGTTTAGCCTAGTTGTGTGGGTCTTAATTAAATTAAAGCCCCCAAATGGGAGTGGAGTCAGCTGTTCCTTGTTAAAATCTATTTCCAGCAATTACTGGCAGCTCTGTGTGACATTAGCAGTCTTTAAACATGCGGCTAACAGTTTAAATCCTAAAAAGCGGAGTAGGTGTAGTATCATTGGGAAATGAAAGCTCTGCCTTCAGAGAGAGGGTTTTGTTAAAGAACTTGTATTCCTTGGAAAACCACACACTTCACGACGAGGAGTTAACTTTCCAAGCTGGGCCCTTGCCGTGATGGATATGAGCTGCTCAGGCAATCAACCTGTTTCTTCTTCTTCTTGGTTTGAGGTCACAAATACTGATCCGCAGTATCTATCTAGTGTCCCTCCGCCCCTTGGCTGCATCATGGCAACTTTCATCCCGACTATATTTTATTTCATTATGTCAGGATTTTTTATTAACTTCTGTTATCTGTTCCACTGAGAAGCAAGGGGTCTTATTTGTAGAGTGTGGCCACACCTCCACAGTTTCACTTAAAAATGTGAAATCTGGTTCTGCTCTAATCACCTGGAACCTAAACTAATGCTGAAGGCAGCAATTCACCCTTTAATAGTACAAAACCTGGTTGAAAGCTGACTGCTGTATTGGAGAGGGGAAATAAAACCCATGGAGCTGAGAAGCACGGTTTGTGCTATGAAATTAAGGCTGTTACAGTTCTACTTTATCAACGCTTTGATTTATTTTAGGAACAAAGGTTTTTCTTCTCCAGAAGTAATTGTTTCTTATTTATTTATTTATTTATTTATACAAATATTTATCTACCGCTACTCATAACAATTGAAACTTTTAAATAACACACAAAACAATATGATAGAGAATATTTAAAAGTTACAGTCAGAAATCAGCTAAGCATTGTGGAAAGATGCATTCTTCATTGGCTGCATAATAAGCCTGTAAGGTTTGCAGCAGGTGTTTAAAAGCTGAAACAGAAGGCACACTAAGGACTCCATTTCTTGTTGTCATTAAATGAGGCTTGCCAACTCTGGAAGCAACCGGTGATGTTAGCTGACTTTAGAAGCTTTTGTCTTGGGAAGTGAGGAAAGTCCCTTCTCAGTGCAAGGATGCCATCTGCAAAGCTTAAACAGGTGTGTGTGTGTGTGTGTTTTTACGAGCACTTTCATTCAGATCAAACCACGTTCCCCAAACTACTTTTGCCATCAACGCATTTCACAATCTGGGAGCCGCTGTGCAGTCCCTTGGTTGCTAAATTAGTGAAATGGCTTTGCCTGTGGGTTAAGCAATCCTTCCTCCCCCTTGTCCGCAGCACTGTCATTGACTGTGCCTCATGCAAAAGGCACAGATGAGATAAAGCTTTCGCGTTACTTCTGACGGCAGTCGGGAGCTTGCCCAACTCATTAAATAAGCAGCCTGCAGTAATTCTGACGGGTTCTTACGTCATCCCAAAGCTTACTAAGAGCTCTTCTACACTAAATTTGACCCCTCACCTTTCCACCTTTCACCAGAAGCATTGTCCTCCAGAATCCTCCCAGCTCATCCTGCGCAATAGACGCCAAAGAACTGTTGCTAAAATGTTCAAATTAGTTGCATTCTTTGTTTCATCAGTACAGCAATATCTTCCTGCCTTCCTGCCTTCCTGCCTTCCTTCCTTTGACCTTTTGGGGCAACATGCTGCAAGTGTTATCCGTAGCTCGCATCCATGACTCAGATAAGGAGCTCAGGAAAGGGCCAGGGCGCTGTTTTTCCTTCTTCTTTTAGGGAGAAAAGTTGGTGTTTTAGGAACTTCACAGTGTTCGCATTCCACACACACACACCCTTTAAAATGCATGTGGATATGAAGAACTTCTAAGCTTCTTGCCTGTTTAAAAGGGACAGCACAGAGGAAGGCTGAGAGGGTTGTACAATGTCATGTTTGGGATGTTGTCTGAAACTTCCAACTCCTAGCAGTGCTTGATTTATAACACAGAACACAACTACTTTACAGTATGATCGTGGGACATCCAGCAAGTATAAAACAATGCAGCTACAGAAGAACATGGATCATTCCCAAAATATAATTATAAATGGGCCTCTTACATATGTACCTTAAGTATGCATATAAACTCAGTGAGATGTATGAGCTTGCTTTTGCTGGGTAATCTCGTTTATATTAGGTTTAATTTGCGACAAACAAGCTCTCATCTCCTCATCAACACAGAGAAGCCTGTCTCTTCTCTGACCTTTCATATTGAAAAACCCTCTTCACAACAACATGTCTTGGAGAACTGCAGGAAGAATAGCCAGCACTCTTGAATACTGTTTCTGGTTGTATATCCAAATTATTTGGATACCATACCATACTGCACTGAAATGTTTAAATGTTTCTTTGATCGCCCTTGAATCTTCCTGCCCCACTCTTTGAGAACCTCTGCCCTGGGGCACATGAGATGAGAATTCTGGACTGAAAAGGCACAGAGGGAGAGGATCATATTAGAGCTCTGCTGAAAATTGCTCAGCCATGAGAAAAGAAATTGCATTGCAAAACATGTCAAAGGGGAGATAAAGAAATTGGTGAAATTCTGAAGGGTGTGTGTGCCTGGTTTATATCACGCTCGCCTGCCTTTTGAGGTGGCTGAAGGTGCTTGAAAGTGCCTTTTCTTACCTCCATCTCACTGAGTGGTCTGTGCTCCGGGGGAATATTGCCAGGAGGAAACTCCTTCCACAATGCTTTTTTCAGGCAGCTTGGGGAGGTGGCAGAGTGTTGGAAAAATGTTTCCCGGGAAGGGAAAAAGAAAGAAACACGCCACCCTCTGCCACATTGCTGCAACATAGTAAGCTCAAATCCCAGCACCCACCAAGATTCTGAAGTGTCCTGAGAATGAAGGCTTTAAAAAAAGATTGTCTAGGCTTTAGGCTGTTATTAATTTATTAGTTGTTTTTTTAATCGACAATTTACCATATGGTCCCATGGTGGGTTTTATAAAGTTTGTATACTGCTGGTTTTAACCGCTCTCCACCATACGTATAGTGTTGTTTTAATGTAATATTATTGTGAGCTGACTTAGGCTGCCTTTGGAGAGGAGAGACAGGTAATAAATTTGGGGGGAAAGTTAATGTTAAACAATCGTATCTACTTAGATCCCCTCCCACGTCGTTTCTGGTTAAGACAAACCGTCATCTTGACCATTATTGCCTATTATTAATATTGTTGTAATTTCATTTCTTTTTCTAGTCCACCCCAGGATAGTTAACAGTAAAATGCAACGTTAAAACCACAGTGTGGATAGATGATCCTTGGATAGATGACAATTCCTTGAACCTATTATATAATAAATATGCAATTCAGCAGTAGACTGCCTTATAGCCCACTGGTAGAGCACCTGCCTTTTACGCCAGAGGTCTCAGGTTCCAACTGTTGCATCTCCTGGCAGCACTAGGAAAAACCCCTGTCTGAAACCCTGGAGGGTTGCTGCCAGTCAGTGTAGACAGTACTGATCTAGATGGACCAGTGGGTCTGACTTTGGTATAAAGCAATGTTCTATGTTCTGATATGCTGCAAAAGCTGGAGAAAGTAAGTATTAAGCTGGCCCTGAATGAGAATAATGTGCCGGGCAATCTGATCACAACAACGAGGGAGTTCCCTAGCCAGGGTGCTGCCACAAAGAAGGCTCCGCTTCATCCACTCCCCTACCAGAGTCCCATTCACCAAGGGCACCACAAACAAGGGCCTCACTGGCAGAACTCACAGCCCAGGCATGCCATGAGAGAGGCAGTCATTCAGCAGTTTGGATTCCGCCAGCGCCTTGAATAGGACCCAGTCACTGACAGCCAGCACAGTGCTTCCAGGATTGCTGTAATGTGATCCCATCTTACGTCCCCTAAACCACAAACAGGCAGCAGTGCCCTGCACCGGCTGCAGCTTCCAGGCCGCCTTCAAGGGAAGCCCTCTGTAGAGTTCATTGCAGTAGTCAAGCCAGGCAGGGCTTATCAGAGCACAGACCCAGAGGTGGGTCATCCCCATCCAAGAAAGTAGAGTGTAGTCAGTGGCTATCAGAATGTGCTTGGGTCCTTGTTGCGAGTTTCGCTTAGGCATCTGGCTGGCCACACTGAGAGCAGGATTAGATGAGCCATTGACCTGATCCGGGCGAGCTCTTCTTAACGTTCTTATGATGACTGTCATCGCTATTGGCACTTTATCTCTGTATACATAATACGCTACTGAGTCTCCCAAGTGCTAGACAGACACTTTAGGCGTGTGGGGCTGCCATATTGCAGTCTGCCATTGCCAGTCTCCCTCGGCTTACGGAAGAGTTTCTAGTGTGGTTGGGTAAGGCTGCTGCTGCTTGGGACACACAAATTTGATTCCTCTCCCATGTCCTATGTTGTTCTTCAAGTCTGAGCTCCAACCCTCTGTAGGAAACACATTCCGTCTACACGACCCTGGTTCTTCCATCATGGCTGAATCCCACACATGACGATGTTTGTTGCACCTGTTGTTCTGTCTTGCTCTTTGTTCCACCGAAACAATGTTTTTCCAGAAATCTTCTGTGTTTGCAAAATTCCGTGGTGTTCTGTCTGTCTTTCCTCCCCGTTCTTTTTTTTTTTTAATTGCTTCCCATTGGATCTTCTTTTTTTCTTTTTTTTAAAGAAAAAAAATGTGCTGCACTTAGCTTTGACTGTAATCCAAGTGCTGTATTTTACAGGCTTCCTTTCTCGAAAGGGTAGATTTATCTGACATCCTAATTTATCGCTTGCTCTGGGGGAGACGGAGCATCCTCCGGCAATTTATTACCATTAAGTGGGACAGAATATTGCTAACCCACGAGAAATCTGTAAAAAATTGCTCTTGCCTCTTTTTTAAGTGGGTTGTCGAGGTTCCCATCCCCCCTTCCCCATCGTTTTGAACCCGAAAGCATTCCTGTTTCCTTCCCTGGCGCTTAGCCGCTGTCATCGCCTGGCAATCCTAAGTCGAGCCAACCTGAACACGTGGCATTCTTGAGGACGGTTTGTGTACTCGGTAACGGGCGAACCTCTTCTCGGCCTCTCGAGGCTTCCGAAGAGAGCGAGACCGCAGGATGCCAGCTGTTTGTGAGCATGTTTGTGGTGTTGGTGATAGTCATTTTGATGTTTACTCTTAACACAGCCTCCCTGCAACCCCCGTGGCACCTCCTGATCTTTTGGACTGCAAATCCCGGCCGGCAGGCCTTGTGGCCCGAAACCTCTGGAGGGCACCTGGTTGGGGAAGGCTGCTATAACATGTCTTCTTCCTTCCCGTCTCTGTGAGTCCCCACCCCATGCCCTCTCCCCACCCACCCAATTGTTAATGGCTTCATGTGATCTATTGCTGTGTTTTCCTCTAGTTAGGCCTGGCAGGAAAGGACGGCGGCGGGTCTTCAGTCTCTCGGAGGCTGACAGTCACGGTGGACACTGGGTTTAGGCCTTCCGGCAGCAGCTGCAGCAGCATCAATCCTTGCAAAATCCCTTCAGGCAGGTTTCTCCTTGGATGTGTGTGTGGTGTACGGCTCCCCTTCTCACTCCCCTCGTCCTCTCCGAAAAAGAGATTACGGGGCCAAGGGAGTGTTGCTGCGATCCTCTTCCACGCATGCAGAAACAGCCAGCTGCTGTTCACAGTGCAGTATCTCACATCCAGGGTGTATAGAGGCCTTTTCCACCCTTCCTGGCTAATTCCGCTGAAAGAGAGCACCTTGGTTGTTCAGCCTGGCTTCACCCCACAGCCACTCCCTTGCTTTCTTCCTTGAAACAAAGAGCAGCTCTTCCCACTGGGTTGCGGGAAGGTTATCCAGGTCTCCACCGGAAAAGGCGGTCCCAAGGTTCAAGATGCCAGACTCCTGTATCTTTTGGCTCTTGGGTAGCGTAAGGCTCTTACCTGGCACCTGAGCTGTCGGCGGCTTAGTGTTCGGCAACTGGGAACTCACCTGACAGCAGGTGATCAAGGGATGGAGGTGGGAGTATTTCTGCCCCCCTGCCGTAGCTTCAAGCATCAGTTCAGATAGGTGAGAATGAACCCCAGTTCTCAGAACCTTTTAGCAGGAATTGGTTCAGGCAAGCTGTGTTCACAGCATGACGGAATTGGAGTTTTGTGTTTCCTTTCAGTTTTTTTTAAATGTGTAAAGTCTGTGTTGCCGCTTTCTCTGTGTGTTGGACGCTTTTTGGCTCCCTTCCTTACAATATTGTTTGCTACCTGCTTTTATTTGCAGCCATTGTCCTTCGAGGCCATGATCAGTTTGCTTCTGTATATTTTGAGATCTGCCTTTTCCTTGCAAAGCGGGGAGCTTCCTTAGGTTCTCATGAGAATTTGAGGTACCCCCCATCCATTTCCCCAGATCATTTAATGCCTATCTCAGGGCATGGGGAAACCGTGGCCCTTCTGAAGTTGCTAGACTACAACTCCCATCACCCCTGACCATTGGCCACATTGACTGGAACTGAGTCCAGCAACATCTGAAGGGCTACAGCTTTCCTATCCCTCTCCAAACTCTTTAATTTGTCTAGTTCATCTTGCCATTCAGGTGCTGTTTGGTCCAAACACTGGTGACAGTGGCAGGGACTTCATTTATTTACCTTTCAGGGGCATTTCTCTTTACGCCAAAGTCAAAGCAAGTAAGGATAAGCATTTTGGGACAGAAAAGTACTTTCCGCACAAACATTCAGGTGTAGAAATTAACCCAAAAGGTCTCCCTTTCCATTCTGACTTGATTTTCTCCACCCAATGCCTCTTCTTTATGTTTCGGGTGGATGAAGGCAGATAAGAAGCCTCCTTCTGTGTGCATTTTTGACATGTGAAGACTGACAGTGAGCCGTACACATCTTGCAAATCTCCCATCAGGCCACTTGCAGACCTTGCATGGCCGTGAAAAGCGAGATGTCCCTTGAATTCTGCCACCCACCACCATCAGTCCTACTTTGCAGCAGAGCTCGTCCAATTCTATCCCATAATTCTAGGGAAGAAGGCGGCTGTTGTGACTATATAGCCTGCTGCATTGAGGAATGACAGCCAAAGATTCCCCGGCCTGCATCTTCGGCTCTCTTTGAATTGCAGCAATATGAAGGGTGAATTTTACTTTTCAGGGAAAGCTTCAGTCGATAGCATTGATCAGTCAATTAATCCTCATAGCCCAACTGAGAAGTGCTATAGAGATTGTGCTCATTAATTACTCAATGTCTCTCGGCTTGCCGGCATATCGGACAGCAGAGACTAGCATGGTCCCAGCGGATACAGATTCCAGTAGTGCAAAAGAAAGAAACCTGTCAAAGCTGTCTCAGCAGTAACCCATCTTCTCCAGCCTGCCCCCCCCCCCCGCCCACAACCTGGTGCCCTCCAGTTTTTATTGGATCACTCCCCACATCATACCTGACCATTGGGCATTCCATAGCTTATGGGAATTGTCATCCCACAAAACCTGGATGGCACCAGTTTCGGGAAGGCTGATCCACACCCAACACTGAACTGTGCAGGGTGATTTTTAAGAGACTATTGGCTGAGGTACATGTTCTTACACAAGCCCTTGGGCAAGAAGCTAGAAAAGACCTCTTTGCTTCTCATACACATTCTGTGATGTCCTTGCCTATCCTAAGGTCCATAGTGCAGCTGGGAGTTGTGCCCAGAATCTCTTGTAATATTATAGGTGATCCTGGGGCACAGGATCCTGGGGCCCTTTCTTCCCGTGCTGCTTCATTGCAGGCCCTAAATGTTTTATTATTATTCATTTATTCATTGTTACATTTCTGCCCCACATTTACTCCAAGGAGCTCAAGGTGGCATACACGATTCTCCCCATTTTATCCCCACAACACTGCTTTAAGGCTGTGAGACTGTGACTGGCCCGAGGTCACCCAGTGAGCTTCATGGCTGAGTAGGGATTTGAACCCTGGTCTCCCAGGTCCTAGTCTGACTTTCTAATCCCTGTGCTACAGATGAACTTGCTTGTACAGTCTGGACAGTCCAGGCATGAAGGAAACGGTTAATAATAATAATAATATACCCCCCCTATCTGACTAGGTTGCCCCAACCACTCTGGGCAGCTTTCAACAAATATAAAAACACAGTAAGACATTAAAAACTTCCCTATACAGCGCTGCCTTCAGATGTCTTCTAAAGGTTGTATAGTTACAGTGGTACCTTGGTTTTCGAACAGAATCCGTTCCGGAAGACTGTTCAACTTCCAAAACGTTCGAAAACCGAGGCGCAAAGGACGGCCTGCAATTTCAATGGAGAAAATGGGGGGGGGGGGAGAGACTCAGCGGAAGCCGTTCGACTTCTGAGGTCCATTTGAAAACAGAAGCAATTACTTCCGGGTTTTCGGCATTCAAAAACCAAAACATTCAGCTTCCGAGATATTTGTAAACTGAGGTACCACTGTACTTGTTTCCTTGACATCTGACAGGAGGGCGTTTCAAAGGGCGGGTGCCACTACCCCGAAGACCCTCTACCTGGTTCCCTATAACTTCATGTATTGCAGTAAGGGAACCGCCAGAAGGCACTCGGAGCTAGATTTGTGCAGCCGGGAAGGGACTGGCCATACCCTGGTCTCCTAATTAGTGTCTATCCACTTCCAGAGACAGGGCCTGGACTGACAATTCGCGTGGGCTCAGTTTCACAACACGTCATTCTAGTTCCCATTCTTCCTAGTGTTTTTTCCCCTTGGGCATTAGAAGCCACAGAAGCTGCCTTATTCCCAGGTCAAGCCAATGGTCCACAGACCAGCAGTGGCTCTCAAGAGGTTCTTCTAGTGCCGAGGATTGAACCTGAGACATTCTGCATGCGCGACGTTGTACTGCTGGGCTGCAGCCCTTCTCCGTTCATTGTTATTTCCTTCTCCCACTCCCCTTACCAAGAGAATTGAACTGGCTCCAATGGGCCAGACCGTTGTCCCATCTAGCCCAGCAAGATCTACTCCAGCTGGCTCTCCTTGGCAGAGAGAGAGGCCTTTCCAGGGATGGAACCTGACGTAATTGTTATTTTAAACATTAAAAAAACATGTTCTGCCAACGACCTCCCCATTACTGAAAACTGGCTGGAGTTTTACTCCCTCCCAGCTGACTTCCTTCACATGTTTGCATTAGCCCAGCTCCCTTTCTTCTGTGTGTACATAACTCCTCCCTCCCTCCTGTTCTTGCAGAACCCCCCCCAAACCTCCAACAGACAGTACAGAATCCCAAGCTCAAGAGTAGACATTCAGAGGACCTGCAATCTGCAATCTTCCATTGCGTCCTTCCCTCTGAACCTCTGCGATCAGGCATCCCCACCACTTTGCCAGCACAGACTGAATTGGTCTGCGTTGTATTTGCATTTTCAAATTCAAGGAAACGCTGGTGGTGGTGGTGGTTTCTCCCACTTGCCCACTCTGAGCTGAAGCAACTCTGCCTTTTTCTCCTCTCCCTCCTTTTTTGGCACAAGCCCTGCATCTTTAAGCAGCAAAACACAAAAAACCTTCTTAAAGGGGTGGCACACCCTCTCCCCGCTACATATCTACTCTTCAAAAATGTGGGAAGGATTGGGGAGGGAGAGAAAGAGCAATGGGTGTCACCATTTCCTCTGCAGCTTTTGGTCTCTTTTTTCCTTTCCTTACAGAGCCGTGGTTTGGGGCTGCCAAGCAAAGCAAAAATTAAGTTATATTTCCCGGACATTAAAAATATGCATTGGCTGGAAGTCCTCTTCTGCGAAAATAAGCATAACCAACCCTTTACCCATGAAAGGAACTGCTGTCTGTCATTTCAACTCCACCCAGCCCTCTCATTTCCCCCACTGTACTCAAGTTTAATTCTCAGCTTCCCTCTTCCACTGCTGGTTTTGGCTTTGTAGTGTTATTGTTTTTTAAGTTATGCAGCACCCCTGCCTCTCTGTAGGATTTCTGTTAATTCTGCACAAGCAAGAGTTCCGTTTGAGAATGCCAAATCCATTGTGTCCACCACTCACTGCATTGCTTCGAGGGTCGTTCTGCAGATACCTTGTGCTGAAAGGGAGACATTGGAGTCGGTTTGCATTCGGCCAACTTGCCCAGTCTGACCTCCTGAAACAAAATGCAAACCGAAGTGCTGCCAACCGTTTGAAATTTGCGCTTCTCTGAATTTTGCAATGCGGTTCTCCAGCCAGCTAATGCATTCGAAAATGCATGTGCTGGGGTGAGATGTCCATTGAATTGTACACGATAGTGAAAGCAGTGTACAAACTGCATTATGTCAGGGGGACGCGCTTTGTAGAAATGAGCGTAGGAGGCAGACTTGCACACCAAAATGTGCAAGGAGGAAATCGCACTAAAAATGCTGGAGAATATCCATGAGGATTTTTTTAAAAAATTGCACACTGAGAGTGGATAAGTTTTTAGAATAAGAAAGTGAATGATGCTGTCAGAACAGCAGGATAAAAACATTTTTGTGGGACGTGATAAGAGAGTGCTTTCTGAGGTCAGTGGGGTCCCCTGCTCTTTTAGAGGCCAGCGGTGTCGCAGGATGCACTTAGAGGAGATTATGTGCCCATCTGAACCAAAATGCCTGGAGCAGTTGTCTCTTGGGTGTCACAAAAGCTGGGGATGTTCTGCAGCAGTCACACAAAGAGAAGCATTAAGGGAAACACAGCTACTGAAATTGCATTGCTTGGTGCAGCTATTTCCCTCTCTAGTCAAAGCTCACCTGTCCAGGGCTTCTTTCACCCAGTTTCTTTCTTTATTCTGGACAGAGTCATCCATTCCTCTGTTGCTGTTCTTGTTTCCCAGAAATCTGTCTCTTTCTGCCCATGGGTCCTTGTACCCAGAAGTGCCTGGAATTGGGGGCTGCTTCTGTCAGTGGACACCCACAGGGGTCAGGGATTGCTCCCTGAACAGTATCTTCAGTACCAACCAACATAAGAGGACCGAAAGTGAGATTGTGCAGGGACAATCTGTTAAAGCTTCACAGCCCATCATTGTTTTATTTCCTTCTAAACCTGCATTACAGTTTTAAACTTCTCAGAGAGGAAAGCAGGAAAGCCTGGAGGTAAGGATGGCAATAACAGTATCACAGAAATAACCACAAAGCAGCAGCAGGCATTAAAATATTATGCCGCAAACAAGTCAGCAAAAGATAGTAAGACCTTGCCTAAAAATGCAAATCGTTATCATGCTGTATTCTCAGTTGAGAGAGCTCGTCTTCCTCTTTGGCAATCACTCATAGCCAAGTAAGATTGTCTTCCATCGAGAAATGTCTAGCTAGTTAACAGTGTTTCTCAAACTTAGGTCCCCAGCTATTGTTGGACTACAACCCCCATCATCCCTAGCTAGCAGGACCAGCAATCAGGAATGATGGGATTTGTAGTCCAACAACAGCTGGGGACCTAAGTTTGAGAAACACTGGAAGACACCTTAGGTCAGCTTTCCCCCAGCCCTGGCACCCTGCAGATGTTTTGTGCTACCACTTCCAGCAGCCTGCGCTGACGGGTTGACGGGAGTTGTAGCCTGAACCATTTGGAGAGCGCCAGGTTGAGGATGTCTGCTGTAGGTGGACCTGGTGCGTCCCCTAGATGTGCCCCTTTCCTGATCTCAGCAAACGGAAAGAGATAACAGTTGCAAATCAGAGGTCCTCTTTGTTGCTGGAGGGGCAAGGTCAAATTTTCATAGTCTTTTTTCAATTTTAATTTTTAAAAAGCCCTTTGAGAGTGGAATGCGTTTTTCGAAGAAGGGATTAAATAATGTTGTCAAAACAGCAGGGTAAGAAGAATTTCGTAGGAAGAGATAAGAGAGTGAGTGAGGGAAGCCAGAGAAAGGCAAGGCAAGCAGATTTTGCAAGTAAACACTGGGAATAAGCACTGAGTTGGCAAAATTAAAACCACAATGTTGAGTTTTGGTATTTGCATGAAGGTTCTGCAGAACTAACCCTTCTTCCATGCTGTTTTTTGTTTGTTGTTGTTTTAAGCTACAACAGCTCCTGGTTCTTGCCACGGGTGCAATGTAGTCAAGTAGCACTTTCCACAGGTTAACTAGGACTAAAGTTGCACCAAAGGACTGGGTCAGTGTCAGGCAGCTGTCTGTGTTGCTAGGGAGGCATGGGGAACCTTGTGCAACCTTTGGCCCTCCAGATCTCGCTGGACTTCAAGTCCCATCAGCCCCAGCAAGTGCATCCAAAGATCAGGGATGATGAGAGTTGCAGTTCAGCAGCATCTGGGATGCCAAATCTCCCCCTGCATCTAAACTAGGTTATCATGGAATCCACAGGTGACTTGAGGCCAGACTGTGTCTGAACTGAGATTTGAGCCCAAGCCTCCTTTTCACCACCCTGAGAAATTATGTTTGCCATGCACAATATTATCCTTTTACTGCAGCTATGCCCCACTTTTTCTCTCCAAGGAATTCCAAGTGGTGCTCAAGGCAGTTTCTCCCTGTCCCCATTTAATCCCCACAACTATCCTGTGAGGTAGGTTAGGCAGAGAGGCAGAGACTGGCTTAACGTCACCCAGTGAGCTTCGTGGCTGAGTGGGGATTCAAACGCTGGCCTCCCAGGTCCTAGTCCAGCTCTCTTTGCCGCATTGATTTCTATCTGAAGAGGTGGCCCTTTTCGGTTAAGGATAACGCTCATTACACCCAGGCATAATATGGTTGTTTTCCTTCTCTCTCTCTCATTCGCCTGAACAGATGACTCAGCAGCCACTGAGCAGCCTCAGGCATCCTCTGGTCACTTGCCGGCAGCGGACGACTCTTCTGCGCACAACTCAAAGCCTGGCAAGAGGAGCACAGAAGCGGAAACGGCCAATTTATCTCCCAGCCTCATTCCTGCCCCGCAGCCCACCATCTCCCTCATCTCAAATGACAGCACGGACACCTTGAGCGTGGAGTCCCTGACGCTGGTCCCGCCCATCGACACGGACAGTATTCTTGCCGTCGGCGGCAATCAGCCGCCAGCCGCAGAACCAGGTGTTTCCACAGAGACCGACGGACAACAAACTTAGCCGTGCGTCAAACCGTGGCTCAGAGCGTCGGGGACGCGAGCGAGCAAGCACTCTCCCGCGAGCAGTTGAGCCAGCGGAGGCGTCACTGGCTGCTTAGCGACGTCCCTCAACCCGTGTCCATCTGCGTCTCTTGATGAAAATTCAGCGTGCGAGGCGGGCTTTTAAAAATAAAGATGGGAGGAACCTTAAACTTCAGTGCAGGACTGGCCTTGCACGCTGGTGTTACAGGGAGGCGGGAGGAAGGAACTTAAGGGAATTGGTGACGGACGGTATTTTGGAAGTACCTGGCTGCTTCTCCCTCTTTTCTGTTGCTCGTTTTTAATGCCACTGTCACAGTCCCACCTTCAAAAGCCATGACTGCAACCGAGCAAACTAAACTCTGTCGTGATCCGAACCAGTTTTCTGTCCGTGCGGTGCTTTTCCACTTCATTTGGAGGAAAGGGCCGTAGACCAAGGAACTTTAGTAGGGTGTGTGTGTGTGTGTGTGTGTGTCCCATTTGGGCAAAACTTCCTTCTAGCCTGCTGAGTTCTAGTTTTCATTTTGTTCGGAGGCATGAGCATTCTGTTGGGAATCCCAGCCAAGCTGGCCGCTTGTATTTATAGCACTGTAAAACTTTAATATCCAACTTGCGTGTATTCTGTGTCTGAAATAATTTTAACTTGAAGTTGTACGCACATCTGTTGGCGGGGGGTGGGGTGGTTTTGCAAGCAAACACGAGAAATTCGGGTCTTTGGCATAACTCTAAAGGGCTTTATTTGGAGGAATTGCGGGCAAAGTTTTGTGTAAGAGATTTCAGAGGAATGTAAAATATTTTAGCATACTGATGTCCTCGTTTATTTTGTGGCTTCTTTGTCGTCGTCCTTGGTGCTCTCCTGCCGCAGCAGCCTTCAGAAGGAACTTTGTTTATATCCTCATAAATCCAGTTCGCATCCTACTGGCATTAGTTTTTGGGTACCACCATGCATTCTACTCACTTCTCAAGCAGGTAAAGAGACCTGCCCAACCATTAAACAGAGTGAGGCAGCTGCCTCGGGGGGGGGGGCAGATTCTCAGGGAGAACAAGCAGCAGCCCCTCACTTGTCCCCTGAGATCTCTTAAGGTAGCCAGTTACCCCAGTGAAGGATGCTGTCGTCACCAGGGTTGAAAGAAGCTTCAGGTGCCAGTTCAGTTGGATGCTTTACGTAGAATGAGAAGGCAGCCTCTAGTCCAGCGGTTCTCAACCTGTGGGTTCCCAGATGTTGTTGGACTACAACTCCCATCATCCCTGAGCTCTGGCCTTGCTAGCTAGGGGCGATGGGAGTTGTAGTTCAACAACATCTGGGGACCCACAGGTTGAGAAAGGCTGCTCTAGTCCTTTGCTAGCAAATTGTTGTGTTTCACATCTGTAAAGTCCTAGCAATGTTTGGGATTCAGCAATTGAGTCCCATAAGCAGAAGCCCTATGCAAGGACTTACCCAGATGATTACCCAGTGGGGCTGTCCCCCCATGTGTCCCCCAAAATTGGGAAGGGGAGGGGGGATTGTTTTATCTGGCAAGCTGCAATGTTTGTCCTGGCAGAATGATAGACATAGTGCAATGTAGAATTCCTCCCAGCATTAAATCAGTTAAACTAATAGTCAAGAGCAGGGGTCAGTGAACTTTGTCAGCAGGGGGCCGTTCCACTGTCCCGCAGACCTTGTGGGGGGCCGGACTATATTGGGGGCGGGGGATGAACGAATTCCTATGCCCCACAAATAACCCAGAGATGCATTTTAAATAAAAGGACACATTCTACTCATGTTAAAACACACTGGTTCCTGGATCGTCCATGGGCCGAATTGAGAAGGCAATTGGGCTGGATCCAGCCTCTGGGGCCTTGGTTTGCCTACCCATGGTCAAGAGAATAGGACGGGACCTAAAATCTCAAGCATCAAGGGTAAAGAGCTGCATTGTCAGCAAACATTGGAAACGATGTAATGAAGGTTCCACATTGCCCCTTTGTGAGGAAGGAGTGCCACAAGTTGAGGACTGTCGTAGAGAAAGCCTCTCCTACCCTGTCACCCTTTGAACTTCTACCAAGAGGTCCCCCTCTTCTGATCTCAGCACTGTAGGGAAGGATGCAATTTTTCAGATGTTTGGGGCCAAAGTCATTTAGGGCTTTGAACGCTAATGTGAAAACCTTGAATCGAGCCCAGAGACAAACTGCTACCTGGCTGTTTTAAAACTGGCGTTGTATGAGTCCTAAAAGGAATCCCCAGCAAGTAATCTGGCCCCTGCATTTTGGACTAGTTGAAGTTTCTGAGTCATCTTCAGCAGATGCACATTACAATAATCCAGTCTGGAAGTTAGCTGAGCGTCAAATACGGGGGCCAAGTCATCTCTGTCCAAAAGTACCCAGGGCTGGAAACAGGCAGCCCCTTTGCTGCCTGGTCCTCCAGTGACAGCCCAGGAGAACTAGCCAAGATGACTATACTCTTCCCTCCACCGGCTGAGACAGGAATGCTCCTGAAAAGCAGTTCCTGAAGACCACAGGGGGAGACCGTGTTCTTGTGCTCAGGTCATCTGAGGATCACGGCAGTTTGTAATGCAGTGGTACCTCGGTTTAAGAACAGTCCTGTTTACGAACGATTCGGTTTATGAACTCCGCAAAACCGGAAGTAGCGTCCCGGTTTGCGAACTTTACCTCGGTCTAAGAATGGAATCTGAATGGTGGAAGGGCACCGGCAGCAGGAGGCCTCATTAGGGAAAGCGCACCTCGGTTTAAGAACCGTTTCGGTTTAAGAACGGATGTCTGGAATAGATTAAGTTTGTAAACCAAAGTACCACTGTATTGTGATAATGGTTGGCCACTGCAAGAACAGGATCCTGGACTAGAGGGCCATTGGCCGGATCCAGAAGCATTGGCCGGCTCTTATACAACCCTAAAGTAAAGGTAAAGGGACCCCTGACCATTAGGTCCAGTCATGACCGAGTCTGGGATTGCGGCACTCATCTCGCTTTATTGGCCGAGGGAGCCGATGTACAGCTTCCAGGTCATGTGGCCAGCATGACTAAGCTGCTTCTGGCGAACCAGAGCAGGACACGGAAATGCCGTTTACCTTCCCGCCGGAGCGGTACCTATTTATCTACTTGCACTTTTGACATGCTTTCGAACTGCTAGGTTGGCAGGAGCAGGGACCGAGCAACGAGAGCTCACCCCGTTGCAGGGATTCATACCGCCGACCTTCTGATCGGCAAGTCCTAAGCTCTGTGGTTTAACCCACAGCGCCACCCGCATCCCTATACAACCCTACCTGTAATCAAAATACACAAGATGTTTTCTTTCTGTTCTCACAGAAACTCAAGTCTGTTGTTTCTTCCTAGTTTGGGACTCCACAAGGTTATGCTCCTGTTGAAAAGCCTTTGCTTTGTACCAATAACCTTTTCCCTGACCCCATCTTTTGGTCGCTTCTGGTTCAAAGGCTTCTTCCCCAGAACAGACTCTTGGCAGCTTTGGCTGAGAGCTCTTGTTGGCGCTTCTTAGGATGTGCAGGTTAAGGGGAAATAATCTGCACGTCAAGGGCTGGGGTTGGAGCAAGCTAGAAAGTGTCCTCGGTTTCCCTCCCTGGCTGTTTTCTGTTCATTCCTGGGATATATCAAAGTGGTTAAGTCATCACTCTGGGAAGGAGCTGCTGCATTCAGATTACCAGAGTTCAAGGACACATTCTAGCCAGGCAAGGACCACTCAAGGAGGATGCAAAGATGGGGCAGTGAGGGGTGTGGCTGGGGACAGTTCTGAGGGCCGGACGGAGAGCTCTTGAGGGCCATATTTGCCACACACATGCACACCAGCCATAGCTTTGCTCATCAGAAGTTTAAAGCCAGGCAATGGCTGGCATTATATAAATCACATATATAAAGCAAAACAGACTGACTGGTCAACTTGAATCTGCTGGCGCTGAAGGAAAGTTTTTCCAACTGCTGCTTTTCAGTATTTCAATGACGCAAAAGTTCTTGGAAATCGAGCAGGCGCAGGATCATGTCCCGAGGGGAGAGACCACCTGCGACCTTGAACTGCTTTTGGAACGGTGCCATCCTCCCAATAATCTAATGTCTGGGAGAGATAGATGGCTGGAGAACCCAAGGGCTTCATTGTTCATTTTCCTGCCTCCGAGCCAAGATCCTGTAAATCCAGTGAAGTCATGCCGACGTTCTGATGGGTGGATTTTGGTTGCATTTCATTTTCATTTCCCCTTCCTTTTGTAGCATACGGGCTTATTCTTAACATATTCGTGTTTTCTTGCACTCTTCTGTTCGAGACCGTTACAGCTGCTCCCAAAATTTTGCACGTAAGATTTGTTTCGCAGTCAAGAAACATCCAACCAATTTTTGCCCTCTAGGGTTTTGCAAACGGTTGCAATGGCCTTTCACAATCAGGCATCCTTCTCCTGATTTATAATAGCTTCTGAAAATACTTTGTTAACGCTGGCAATTCCACCACGTATACTTAAAATCTGCCCTGTTCCCTTAAATCTCCACGAAGTGGCATCTAGGGTGCTCAGAATTCTTCTGATCGCAACTGGTGTATAGCACTAGAGGTTTGGTTTATTTAAAAATGTGTTTTACAGCAGCCGCTTTCATTCTGTGGGTACGCTGAACTGAATATGAATTCAAGAACTGTTCTTGGAATTTTTGGAAAGAGTCCAAGTGAAATCTAAAGGGGACTTATGATGCACGACGTTCATTTAGCAAAGTTAAGTATCCAACACATCATTGACTTTAGAAGATGCCTTGCAGACCTAGACCTGGAGCTACTATCTTATATATGGGCAGACAGAAAAGATTTTAGGGCCAAAAATAGCTACGCTGCTGTTCAAATCAATACAACCCGGCTTGTAAAGTTATGATGTGGTAATTAAGCTGTGGAATGTGATTGATCGCTCCCGGGCTCCCGAGCCAGTTGGCTCTCGAGTAAACGACCAACACTTCAGAAGTACAATAATTAGCCAGTAATTGAGTGCCTTGCCACAGATAGTAAAGTAGATTTGATTCACAAAACCGAAGGGAAGCCGTGGAGATTCTTGCCCTTATCGTCTTGCTTGCAGAAATGGCGCAAAGTTGGTTCTTGTGTGAGCCAGTGTTAGAAACAGATGTGAAAGTTAGGAGCCAAATGGCACCTTAAACCTGGGTTATTTGAGCAGCAATAGAATGTCTAGGTAAAGGTAAAGGGACCCCTGACCATTAGGTCCAGTCATGGCCAACTCTGGGATTGCGGCACTCATCTCGCTTTATTGGCCGAGGGAGCCGGCGTACAGCTTCCGGGTCATGTGGCCAGCAGGACTAAGCCTCTTCTGGCGAACCAGAGCAGCGCACAGAAACGCCGTTTACCTTCCTGCCAGAGCGGTACCTATTTATCTACTTGCACTTTGACGTGCTTTCGAACTGCTAGGTTGGCCACCGAGCAATGGGAGCTCACCCCGTTGTGGGGATTTGAACCACCGACCTTCTGATCAGCAAGTCCTAGGTTCTGTGGTTTAACCCACAGCGCCACCCACGTCCCTGTCAACGGAATGTCTAGGCCCAGTTTTTTTTGTAACAAGAACACAAAGCTGAAAATGAATGAACTGCCACTAAAATTTTACGTTCCTTTTTCATATGGTCCAGTCCTTCCTTCCCACCCCCCTGATATTCTTAAGAGGGTCTCTTCTCCAGTCTCCAGAGAGTAGCTGGAAGTGGGGAGGCAGAAAAAAGTCCTCTTTTCCTTCCACTCTGCAGTTACGATCTGAAATCTTAGGCGTGGTACTGCGCCCAGAGCTCAGAAACTGCTCGCACTAATGAAATTCCCTGTCGCAAAATACGCCTAGAAGAATGGGAGTTGCGAACACTGGTGTGAGCCCAGAACTTACTGTATTTTTTGCTCTATAACACGCACCAGACCATAAGACGCACCTAGTTTTTGGAAGATGAAAACGGGGGGGAGTCTGAATCCCATAAGCCAGGACAGCAAGCGGGATCGCTGCGCAGCCTCTCCCCAGCAATGGGAGCCTTCATCCCCTGCCTGGGAGAGGCTGCGCACGGCTAAGGCTCCCCCAAGAGCCGCGCTTCCTTTAAAGAGCGCACGGAGTGTGTTTCCGGCTCTTGGGCCCTTCTCCCTCCTCGGGGAAAAGCCCCCAAGAGCCGCACACACGCTCCACGCGGTTCTTTAAAGTGAGCGCCGAGCAGAGCCTCCCGCCTGCATTTGTGCCATAAGATGCACACACATTTCCCCTTACTTTTTAGGAGGGGGAAAGTGTGTCTTATAGAGCGAAAAATACAGTACTTAACATAAGAAGAGCTCTCCTGGATCAGACTAAAGCCCCGTCTAGTCCAGCATACTGTTCATACAACGGCCAACTGGAGCACTGCCTCTGAACACTGTCCCCACTTATGATTCCTGGCCACTGGCCTTCAAAGAGTTGAAAGAACATAGCAGTTTCTGAAGCTTCTCCATTGAGGGCTACCACATGGAAGATGGAGCCATCTAGTTTTCTCCATTTTCTTTCAGCCGCAGCATCAGTCTGTGAAATGCGGTATTAGCCACCCACCTTATGGGCAGGGTGTGTGTGTCGCTACTGAGATAATGTTCTCAGAATTAAGATACTGAGACTTCCTGGCTGTAAAATGCCCCAGAATGAATGCAGCCAAGTGGAAA